TAAAGAGACACAGATCTGTGTGGTTGCATTGAATATCTGACCCTAGGATTTCTGACGGCTTATAGCAAGTAGCCTGAGAGTGCAGAAACTGGAGAAAGCTCAGAGAAAGTGGTAAGTACCATGCAATTCATTTATTTACACACCTTTTTAAGACAATGCTATCAGAATAGATTCTTCTCCACTCTCCTCAAATGTTGAATGTTTGGACAGAACCCAAGTCTTGTCCAATCATCACCCAACATTCAGTAAGGGGCATAGGCTAGTGATAGAAAGTAAAATCCCTGAGTGGTGAGGACATTCCCAGTGATCACACTACTGTTGCGGCTAAGATCAGCTAACTCAGAAAATAATCTGCTTTCTCCCTGGTCTGTATAGCTCAGCTTTACACTGAGATGTGTATTTGGCATTTGAGCAATCAAAGGGCTGGAAGATCTACTATCTCTAATGTAGAAGTAGCCCATGCACCCACCAGGTCTGCATACATAGTTGGGACAGATATAAAAATAATTTCTTTATAACTGAGCAATGTGTTACAATTAGAATGAAATTGTTCAAAAACATTCCTAAATATCCATTTCATTCACAGATGTATTTCTCTCTCCAACAGAACAAAGGATCTCTTCTGTACCGACTTCTAACAGTTTTACTCCCATTGCCAAGCTTCTGGAGACAAACCACAAACCAGGACTTTTTCTCTGCCACTGTCTCCAAAAAGGATCATCAGGTGGGAAGGAACAGAGATGACCTCCAGGTCAAAACACCATTCAGACAAGTTATCAAGCAAGATTCCAACTTGGTGCGCTCATTGGATGTATCCAACTCTTAATCGGAAATGTGCATTGGATTTATAACAAAGACTAAACTCTTCTGTTTTTGAGTAGTGCTATGAGATCGTTAATGTCTACCCAAACAGGCTTGTCTGCCAAAGGGGTATAATTGGACAAGATTCTGGGAAGCACTTAAATTCAGGGCTCAATCAGACTGCGATGTCACCATTTAGAAAGGCCAAGAACACGTTTAGTGCAGACTGGTATTGGAAACTAATCAGACAAGATCTTGAGCATATTCAATGGCATGAAAGTTTTTCAAAAGGAAGCTGAGAATATTCAGACCACAATGCAGATCTCGTGTGTGAGCCTACTGGGCAAGATCTAAGCGCATTCCTTGCCTACTGCTGTTTGATTCATCCAATCTGATTTCTGATTAGAATTTGCAAAAGTTTTTAGTTCTCAATCTGAATTGAATTGGTTTATTGTAGCTGTTATCATGCTGCTGATCTGGGATGGTCCTTGAATAGGTTCTGTCACTCATATTCTCAGGACTTTGCAGAGACTTGACAAGAGAGGAGTTCCTTAGCCCAACACAAGTCTGCCACCTCTGTCAGTATACCATTGTCAACATCTGCTCAGCCTTTGTGATACCATCATTTAATAATAAGTAATTATAAGTATTTATAGCATCATTTAGCATTAAATAACTACTATTTCTGAGCATCTAAAATATTTTTTCATTAAAAATAATTTGCCTCAAATATTCATTTACCCCCAAAAAGGTAGGGTAAGTACCTTACCCCTTCCCTCCCCACTCCCCTTTTTTGGGGGTGAGGGGGCAAGGTACTTGAATCATTTTCGAAAATTGAGTGAAAGCTTGGATTAGATCCCACCAAAAGAGAGAAATTCAGGAATAAAGGAAGAATTGTGCTGTGTTAAAGAACTGGTAAATTTCCACAGATTAGTCAGAAACTCGATTGTTCTGGAACTAAATGGTGTTTTGAGAAACCCTGCAGGAATGTTGCTCCTGAAGGACACTATTACTTATTCTTTGTGAAATCCATTCCGGGAAGAATAACAACAGTATTGGCAGCATGTGTTCCACAGCTGCACTATAAAGCTCTACAGCTCGGCTGTGAAACTACAGAACTTTGGCACATCAATGAAAAAAAATATTTTTTTAAGAGTCGAAATTCTATATTGCATTTTGCCCAGGATAAAATAATACACATTTTTTAAGCCCACCCTCACACCTTGCACCACAGAGTGATGGACGGGGGAATATGGTCGCTATCCCGCTAGCGTGGGAAGTTGGTGAACAGAGGCCAGAATCCACCCTCTCCTCCCCTTGGAAGTGTTAGGAAATTCTATGATCAAGGCTGACACACCAAAGCAGTACGGAGGAACATCTGCATTGTTTGTGGTGCCATCCTTTGGATAAGAGATTAAACTGAGGACGCTGCTGCCAATTGTCTTGGTTTAAGGGGTTGTCACAAGTCCCAGGATACTTTTTTGTAGAAAAGCAGGATGCCAGAGTCCAGTGTTAACCAACAAAACATCCGTCACAATTTACAGAATCTATAGATTAAATATCCGGTAATTGTAATTTAATTTCTTTTCATGCGACAATGCCCCTGATTACTTATGTGACTACAAAGTGAGTTTCAACAGTTTGCCTGCAATTAGTGAGGGTGCCACGATAGCAAGAATTGGACTGCCTATCAGCAAGGGATATTTGATAACTTTTGCAATCAGTCATTCATTAAAGAAATCAAGCACCTGCATTCATGTTTCCGGTATACGTTTGTACAAACAGATGTTTGCTTCTGTGGTCATCTGCATTATTGTTTGACTTGCGTATTGAAGATTGCTGTAGTTATTGATTAAAAAGCTTTCCAGCAACATGGGTGGGTTTACTACAAATAAGGTATTGATTTTTTATTAAGAGGTGTTTGTTATGTGGACCTGCCCAGCCAACGAGATCAACAGATGAATTGACTAGAAATGTACCTTTGAATTTTGCTCACACCCTTCACATAAACCGATCTTATACCGTATTGCTCATTGAGTCTAAAAAAAGACTCAATGCAAGTGACAATTCAGCCCAATTGAAGTTCATAGGTTCTCAGATCAAGGTTTAGTTCTCTCAGGGTTATATGTTCCACCCTTTTCTGTTAATTACTGGTGGTAGAGTTTACTCAAATAATTCCAGTTGGATATTTTGGTTTCCACACATTGGATGACTAATTAACGTGATAAAACCAACAACAAAATAAAACAATGGAGTGGGCAACAACCCCTTCATGTTAGTATGGAACAATGGGATTTTTATCACTAATGCAAGTCCCACTCATGGTATTTGCCTGTGAGACCATCACACAGGAGTCTCATCCTGTACTCAGCAATTGGTGTCCTAAATGAGAGACAGCTAAACTCAAGAAAAGTCATGAATAAAGCCGGTGATATTTTGGTCAGCGTGCCTTTTTCTCACCTAGTTATCAGTAGAGAAAATGATGACATTTAAGTGGAACAACAGGTATCTGCATTCCAGCGTCAGCTGATCCATAAAACATAAGGACAACGTTCAGTTCATTTCTATGCATGTGTTGTTTGTGAATCATGTTAAAATGTTGATGTTAATCATTTTGTCTTAGTAAAAGATAAATCACGCGGGTAATGAATGCATAAAAAAGTGTGATCATCCTAATGGGTGGAGATATTTGTCTCTGATAGCAGCGAGGACATAGTCAATTTAGTTTTGGGTTCGAACCAGAGCAAAGCAGATTCTATCCTTTCCAGTGCCTACATTCTAGCAGTATCCTGCATATTCCCTGAGCAACCAAATTCCTGCAAAATATAATAATTAATTTGTACTTTTAAGTACAAGGGTACAGAAGATAAAACGTAAGATTTATTAGGGGAGATGTCATTCGTTCCAGCGGTTGTTGCACAAAGGATAATATTACTCAAACTTTCTGACGTCATGTTCTCTGGTTGAATTATAATTATGTCCTACGTCCTCTCTGGTAGTGAGAGCCACATATCCAATTATTGCAGGACAAAGCCATCCTGACCAGAATATCAGAGCCTTAGGAGGTTCTCCCAATGTGAAAGGCACTATATAAATGCAATTTTTGTCATTGTTGATGGCGATTGTGTCGAATTGCATCCTGCCCTTTTTCCTCTTCACGTGGTGCTTTTGTCAGAAATATTACTGATAGATGTTGTTTTCTTTCCTGTGAGATGTCAGATGATTACTGGTTGTAAATATTATAAATAGTTAACTAGCTCTCACCAACCAAGGCTGCCCTTTGGATCCTGCTGCTGTTTACACAAATCGCCTCCTAAAACCTGTAACAACAGATTAGTTGTCTATAAAGGAAGCACCGAGCAGCACTGAAACTGCTTGAATGCTCATCGTGTTCAGATACAGACATTTAATACACGGTATACAGAAACCCCTGCAGTACCGACTGGTATATGTTGTTAGGTACACAATATACAGGGTGGAGTATACGGTGTGTAATACAGTGCATCGTCCACTGGGTGTAATGTAGTGTGGGAAACATAACTCGCAGTGCAAGGAACATCACCCTGTGAGTTTAAGCTACCCAGGACTCTGGATAACAAACCATCAGCAGATCACAAGGAGGGTGATATCAGCCCTCGACAAAAAAAAGAGAAAAATACCTCGCCACCTTCACAAAAGCATCTTCTGACACGACAAGTATGGTTGAAAATGGCTATTGGCTCATTTTTCAAGCACACCCAACCTTGCCTACTGACATTGTACAAAAATACCTTTTCATAATAATAATAATCCTTGCCTTTGATATAACGCCTTATCACGTCTTCGAGACGTCTCAAAGTGCTTCACAGGATATACTGTAAAGTGAATTGACTGTATATTTATGGGCAAAACACGGCAGCCAATTGTCTTGTACTTTTCTTGGCTGCCGCGTTCGCCCACAAATATACAGTCAATTCACTTTACAGTGTGTTCTGTGAAGCGCTTTGGGACGTCCTCCCGACATGAAAAGCGCTATATCAAATGCAAGGATTATTATTATTTTCTTAAATGTTCTACGTGACCCATCTTTGTCAGGTAGACATACACACTCTAGGAGTATTTCATGTCATCTGGGTGAATATTTCTTCCTCTCTGACTGCTTTTTGTTCCACTTGTGGGTGTGGTAGTGCTGGATCATTGGAGGATCAAAGTCCTGCGAAAAGGAGTGGAAGTGGGAGCAGATTTCTGCTCATAAAAGATTCAGATCAACTGGCGTCAGGAGCAATAGTTACAGTCATCCCAATGGAAAGGACATCAGTTTCATTCGGATTTATTTGATCTGAGAATATATCCCATTCTTTGTGTCATTAGTTACAAAGATGTTGATGACGGAAGAAACTAAGTTAATGTGTTTCTAGGATTCTGTACGGCTGGGAGTTGCTTCGTATCCTAGACTAAAGGAAGTTGGAAAGATCAGACTACTGCGTGAATATAATCGTACATTTTTCTTGTTTCATTTTCCCCATCCTCAGGCTGTTGAGAGAGAGAGTTGCCACCGTTTACCATGGTCACTTTGAGAGAGGTAAGAATTCATTTTTACTTCAGATCTCTGCACCGATCTTCTTGTGACTTTCGTTATTCATTTATTCAGACTCAAGGTAGTTATTCATTTATCCAGGTTTAGGGTAGTTATGTCTTTACACAGACTCTGGTAGTTTTTGTTTGTACTGCCTCAGGTGTAGGTAGAGTCGAGTTGCAAGTAGAAGAATGAGGAAGCTCTTAGTGCAGGAGCTAATTGGGCAACTGAAGGGAGTGGGTAGAAGGTATGATGCTCAAAGATGGAGAAAGCAACAGATGGGGATAGGCTTAGTTTGGAAGTGAGTACATTTGTTTAATTTCAGAGGTTGAAACTTGCCTGTAGGTATTGGCTATTGTGCATAATCTACAGCAATTGTTCCATTCCCTGGTATTGGTCATTGTAAATAATACGGACCATATGGGTTTGCATATTTTATGGGCTAATAATGTTGTTTTCATTGAACTATAGCGGTTTCTGCTTGGGTTGGAAGGAATGTTAAGTCTGTGGATAGGGCTTCACTTGGAGAGTAACAGTGATGAGGAACGAAGGATAGATACCAACTAAGAGAATTTAATGTAAGGTTACATAATAGCACAGATTGCACAATGCCTATGAAAGGATCAGGTTTGTTGGGCCAAATGGCCTTTTCTTGTCTGGTATGTTTTATTGTATGGAAAGAAGAGAACGTACATAAGGATAATAGTTGATATAGATATAAATATGTAATAATTTGCAACTTCAGTGACATCTCTCTGGACGAGTCATTAGCTTATTCATTGGGCAAATAAGAGCAGTGCAGTAAATTATAACATGATAGTCACTGGGCATTTCAACATCTCAGAGTTAAAGTGGACAGAACAGTGAAAGGGAGAGGTGAAAGCAACTTCACAGACAGAGTAATTGACTGCTTCTGAGCATAATATTCATTCTCCCTGAATTTGGTTATCACTTTATGCAATATGAGTAAAACATATTGTTGATCAGAGCACTTAGGACTGGTGGCTGTAATGTATTTTCTTTATGGTTGAACTAAAGGTCAGAAGAAATGATGTAAATGAATGAGAATATAATAAAAGGAAAAATAAGGTGTTGAAGGTTAACTGTAAAGTGCCTTTATACTATTGCAGCATCAGGTATAGATTCAAAAGGTGGAGAATGTTTTTCTTTGATTGACTGCTGAACGTTTTAAAAGTGGCTTTGAAAGGATGATCACAAATTGCTTCTAAGAGAACATGTGAAGTCATACAATAGGGTAAAATGCAGTATTCAAATCCATCATTGGTGATAAGTAACATGAAAGTAGACAAACACTCGGGTTCTAGTGATCATTGCAAATATAAATTTGATATCATAACAAATGCTAAAGCCAAAAATAACAAGACTTCAGGGGAGCAAAAACTTGGAGTCACCAGAGAGCTCTAGGGAGGATTAAGTGGAAAGTAAAATTAGAAAATAGAACCGCAGAATGGAATAGAATTCTTCAAGACTGCTTTAAGGGATGTGGATAGGAAATATATTCCTTTGAGAAAAAGAAGAAAAGTATTGAGGCCGAGACTGGGGCATCTGAACCAGCTAACTTCAACACATCGCGGGGCATATGTAGGGAGCTTTGCTTCATAGTGAGGTGTGTTGCAGCTGGAGGAGGTAGGATTTCCTCCCATCAAGACCTCCTTATACAAAATAATGTACCTGTCTTTACAGGTAAATGAGACTTAGAATGATTGCTTCATAGAGTGCCATGCTCTGTCTCTGAAATCGGAACCAATAAAACCATTAAGCAAAGACTTAACAGTTTACATTACACATTTGTCCAATTTCAGCTAATGTCAGATCTCTGTGCAACACGAAAAAAATGTAGTGCGATGCACTGACCAAAATAACCCACAATCAGGCATATTTTATCCTTCACTCCCTTCTTTTTTGATGAAAGAGTGTTAGTTAATCATTTAGGGCACACATGTGTATGAAACATTCTACAACTGTGTAAAGAGAGATTTTTTAAAAATTGTGAATCCCGCGGATCTGAAGTCAAACCAAAAATGCTGGAAATGCATAATTGGTCAACCAACGGGTAAAAAGATGTTCCAATTCATCAAAAAACAGATGTGAGGGGCTGCGTCCAAAATGTTAACACACCTTTCCCTTTCAAATACTGCTACGACATTGCTATTTACGCACGATTCACACTGTTTCTGTAATCCTTTGTGTTTCTGTTCTCAGGGTGATCATGTGTGGCTGGAGCTGAAAACAGCGAGTGAGTTCAACGTGCCAATTGGAGCGGTTGTCAAGCTAGCAGAATCAGGAAAGGTTCTGGTGTTGGACGATGAAGGGAAGGTCAGCTGCCAACTTCACTGAAACCTCTTTTCTTGTTGCACAGAATAAAACTCCTGAGTATCATTGATCTTCTTTTTTAGGTACTCTGTAAATGAGAACTGAGAAGCTCCCAAGACTGCGTCTTTTTGCTTTGGAAAAGGCGCTGTATCAAATGCAAATCCTTGCATTTGATATAGCGCCCTATCACGTTTTCGAGTCGTCTCAAAGCGCTTCACAGAATATACTGTAAAGTGAATTGACTGTATATTTTGTGGATGAAAGTAGGGTCAAAGTACATAGTTGAAGGGTCAAAGTACATAGTGCAGATATGGAAGAGTATGTGACGTGACAAATCAAGAATTGGTCTTTAGGGAACACCAAGCCTGTATACTGGAGGAGATAAAGTCTTAAAGTTCTGGGAAAAAATAAGTTATGGTGGGAGATGATATAATCAGTTTTCAATGCAACACACTAAGAATTTATGGATTAGTAAGAACATGCGGATGAGAACACCCTTTGAGAGAATGAATAACGTGGGGAGGTTGGGATGTCTAGGACATAAGGGTAATTGACGGGTAATTTTCCATTGTTCATTAGGAGCTGTGCTTTTTTTTAATGATTTGTGGCCTAGATGGACACATACACAACTATCTGACACACAGAGAAAGATAGGGGGGTTGGTTTGCATGGATATTGAATGAACGAGATTACCTAGAGAAAACCCAGACAGAGGAACAAGAAGATGAGGAGAAAGATGTTAGCAGTGCACACAGTAAAACAGAAAAAAAAGGCAGCTTGGCATGCACACAGAGAGGGAGAAACTGACCATTGGGTTGAGAAACCGAGAACGTTTAAACAGCAAGTATGTCTGAATGCTAACATATTAAAGGAGACAAAGAGAGTGCTTACTTATGAAGATATGGATTGAATGCGGCAACAGGTCTTGTGCTGGAGGTCAGTCTTAAGATGACAACACATCCATTTGTAGGGAGTGTTAACAGTAATTACACAAGATCTGGGAGTTATAGAGTTCATATATGGCTCTGTAAGAGCTGTTCATTTACAGCTCACCAGGGACACAATGCACTTTCACATTGTCGGCCTCATTTTTAGGAACGCTGGTTTAGTGGAAAGGACGTTAAAAAGATCAAGCACATGCACCCTACCTCGATTAATGGAGTGGAGGACATGATCCGTATTGGGGACCTGGATGAAGCAGGAATACTACGCAATCTCCACATCAGATATAATGAGACCATCATTTATGTAAGTACAGCATTGAGAGAAGTGATTTCACTTACATTACGCTGCATTACCTAACCTTCACTCACTATCACACAGATGTAGTCCATGCTGAATGAGACTTGCTCACGGCCCACATATTGACTACCAAGGTCTCTCCCTCGGGACGCACACCATTATGATAATAATAATAATAATCCTCACAAACATCAAGAGGATGTCTCAAAGCGATTCACACAATATACCACCTTGTACTGTATGAAACCTAAGGTTTTTCTGTTTTATTCAATAATTTGAAAACACAGAAAAATTTGAGAATAGTTCAAAGGGCAACATATTCCACGTTAATCTAAGTTTATTTCCCTTTCTCAGACCTACATCGGCTCTATCCTGATTTCTGTGAATCCCTACCAGCTGCTCCCAATCTATACCGTTGACCAGATCAATCTCTACACCAATAAGCGTATTGGAGAGCTGCCACCTCATGTCTTTGCCATTGCTGACAACTGTTACTTTAACATGAGAAAAAATAAGCAGAATCAGTGCTGTATCATAAGGTAAGAATCAGGTTTTTCTCTGGTTTCAGATAAAAGAAATGCTATAATTCTATCAGAAATGCCTGCAACAGATAGTCCAAAAGTGCAGCAAGATCAGTAACAGCATCAGGGAAAACCCACATTACATGAGATCTAAAAACTGGCACTTGTTCAGTTGTAAGAGCTGTTCGTTTACAGCTCACCAGGGTCACAATGCACTCGAAGGTCAGGCTGAAAGGTGACCCTGTTTCCAAGCCAGCGTGAAAGAATTTCCTATAATATGTCACCATGAAGGAAACCATTGGTACAATTAAACAGAGCGAATGGTAACAGTGGATCTGATTCCTCAGAGAATGGGGGTATAAATCTGTAAAGAGTCTTAAAACTAGATGAAACCTACAGTGAAGCTCTTAATATGATTCAGCCCAGTCTCAGAGGATATCTGAGGTATTCAGATATGGGTATATTCTGTAGTGCGTCACAATATTCTGTATGGAGACTGATAACAGGTTCATAATTCTGCCACAGGTTTTACAAATGGGGGTAATGAGTAGTTAATCTCACAAAGTAGAAATTCTCATCATGAAGGTATGATTCTGCATGAGTTCTCGCAACAATGGTTTGACGTAGCCCCTGGTCACATCGAAACATCTCAAAGCACTTCACAGAGCTTTTCTGTCAAGTGTAGTGACTGTGTATTTGTATGTATTGATCAGAGCAGTTGTACATCTGTGTATATAGATATCCTGGCCAGGGTTTGGTTAAATATAAACTGAAGACATAGTGGAAAAAAAGAGTGAGAAAAAATCAGTGATTGCAAAATTTTGTTACACTGCCTTTTGACTTTGCCTGGCGTTCTAACAATCACTCTTACCAGGTAAATTGCACTAACCTTTGATCACTGGATGCCTCCAGCTATCATATTGCAGGCGTACTACAGTGAGCATATTGTATTCTCGGTGTTCAAACATTAGGTATATCATTGGTTTCGCTCCCCCAATGAGTCAATAAAGTTACTGGCTGGTTTGAAATTGAGCCATACAGAACATAAGGGACCCAGGTTTGATAATAATAATAATAATCCTTGCATTTGATATAGTGCCCTATCACGTCTGACTTATGATCTCTCCGATGGCTGTATTGTCTGCCAATATGTACTGTTACAATGCCTAGACTAGCACACAAGAAATACCCATGTGGGAAGTTCCCTTTGTTTGTCTCATCTGATTCTAGGCACTAAGGGTGGCCTGATGCCATTAATGTTGACTTGTAGGCAGAAGGCACAAGGTGCATACTTGCATTGAATAAGAAATATAATAACTGAGCATGTCGTGACATGGTGGGTATTGGAAGAGAAGAAACATCTAGCAAGGTTCAACTACTGTAGATCATTTTTATTATCAACAACAATAAATTACATTTGTATAGTGCCTTGCATGTTGGGAGGATGTCCCAAGGGACTTATTAAGCACTTCATCAGTTGACCACAGATGTATACAGCCCCTTGGATGCTAGAGATGTATGAACTTGTGGACAAAAAAAGTAAGAAAAACAATGGATAAAAAGAGCTGGTTATTTTGCCTTTCAGTGGGGAATCTGGAGCAGGGAAGACAGAATGTACCAAGCTGCTCTTGCAGTTTCTCACTGCAATTAGTGGGCAACATTTATGGATTGAACAGCAGATCTTGGAGGCAAATCCTATTCTAGAAGGTAACATTAGCAAACATTGAACTTAAAGAACATAACTGTTCCAAGATTTGATGCTCACACTGATAGTTAACTCTTCAGGACTCGATACTCACTCTCATTGATAATAAATCTTTCACAGTGGTTTGTCAGTGCAGGCAATGCATTAATAATAATAAATAATCCTTACATTTTGATATAGCGCCTTATCACATCTTCGAGATGTCTCCAAGTTCTTCACAGAATATACTATAAAGTGAATTGACTGTATATTTTGTGGGCAAAATTGTAACTGAAGCCAATGTTATGCATCTTTGGAAGTGTTACACTTACGTTGTGTAAACCAATTACACAGGGTATGTGAGTATTCCATGGCTCTATCAGGAGAAATGAACAGTTTCTGGCGATTTTTTATTCATTTTGTTTAGCAAATTTGATTTTGTGCTTTTCCTCTTATTTTTCTTAGTGATTGTTTAGGGATTGTCAGTGCTGGGTGAAGAAATATTTTGGTGCCTTTTAATGTCCGTGTAGGCATTAAGATCTCTTGGATTAGATACATCAGGGTATCTAATCCAAGATGGAGGTAACCAACAAAATACTTCTTATATAACCAAAGGGAGACTTTGTACCTGTAATGAATGCAAGTCTCACAGACGAAAATACAGTGTTCTAACCCATAGCACCACTCAGGCTCTTTTGGTGTTTTCGTGAACTATTGCTATGCCTCACTCTGCGGATAAAAAGGAACTGTGTTCTCAAGCATTTACTGATGCTACTATCTAATCACTGCTGGGTGAAAAGCAATGAATGACTCACCACCAATTATTACCTGCCCCCTTCCTTGACTCCCTCCCTGATGCCCCCCCACTGAGAGAGTGATTGGTTTCTGATTGCTGACTCTCCTTAAAAATGTGAGTCGATTTTGGTAATCAACATTTGGAAATTGCATTTATCATTCTGCAGCTCAGTAGACCATCCACAACCCCAGGAGAATATCCACAGTCCACTTATAGCACATCAGTGTGAAATGTTCCATTTCCCACAATATCTATTAGATCATCGCAGGGCAGGATGTAATCTGGATGTGCTGTACAGATTTTCAATCATCTTCATATTGCTCCAGATTATACACATTCTATTCTGTTTTGCAGCTTTTGGAAATGCGAAAACCGTAAAAAATGATAATTCCAGTCGCTTTGGAAAATACATAGACATCCACTTCAATGATGAGGGGATCATTATGGGAGCAAGGATAGAGCAGTACTTACTGGAGAAGTCCCGGGTCTGCCAACAGGTGGGTGTAAAACAATGATCTTAGTAATATTATTATTATTATCTGGCCAGTCTTTATATGTGAACCAAAAAGTGAGGTTCAGCAGAAACCTGGTGCAGGTTGCCTGCCTCCCCAGTTCAGGGGTAGTGAATGGGGTAACCTAAACACGGAACTTTCAAATAATGTTTTGAAAAACAAATACAAAATCCTCCAAAATTGGGGACGGTCTTGATTCTTAAAAAGAAAGTGGCATTTCAGCAATGTCTTTGTCCATTCTTGGGACATCCTCCCGACGTGAAAGGCGCTATACAGATGTAGTATTGTATTGAATTGTGTCCAGTCTGGAGGAGGAACATTGCACACACCTTTTATTGATTGCTTTTTATCTGCATCTTTTCATGTACTCTGCACAGGCTCCAGAAGAGAGAAATTACCACATATTCTACTGTTTGTTGATGGGAATGAGCGCAGACCAAAAGAAACTCCTCAATTTAGGTACAGCAGGTGAATATAAGTACCTAACCATGGTAAGTCACTGTAATAGGATAGACACTGCCTTTCGTTAATATGAACATTTAAAAAAAACCCGGTTTGGTTACATGTCACTTTGCTCTTACAGGGTAACTGCACAAGTTGTGAAGGACAAGATGACGTTAGACACTATGCACACATCCGCTCAGCCATGAAAATCCTGATGTTCTCAGACATTGAGCAGTGGGAAATCAACAGGCTCTTGGCTGCCATTCTACACCTGGGCAACCTGGAACTCGAAGGTATGAACAGAAACACCAAGCAGTCATTTGTTATATTCTGATCTCACATTTATCATTGAAGTCACCAAAAGAAATAAAGTTGGTAACCTATTCAAGCCGTCTTATATCATCCCCAATAAGCAAAGAAAGGGGAAACTTGCATTCATACTCTACCTTCACCACATCGCCACAAGAAACCAGTGTGAAATTTTCATTTCCATTTCCCTCACCAAATATTCTATCTACCTTGTACCAATTATGGGCGATTTTTTGATGTTGACTACTACCTATCAGGAAATGAGTTGCATTTACCCTAAATGTATTTCATTTACACTGTTGCAGAGAGAAAGGGTATATATGCACATCAGTCCAGGATGGAATTAAACTTATTCCAGAAATCAAAGGACACAAGCCCCAAATTCCTCATTGCCCCCCATTGAATTCAAACCCATTTCAGGTCTGTGATCATTATCATGGTGAAATTCCAATGGCTAGTAGTTACCAACCTTGGTGGCATGCGTTTATAAATGGGGGAAATCCCATTCTAAGTGCGTGCTGCCAATGTCAGCAACTTTACCAACCACTGGAATTTCACCCCATATTTTTTACTTCTGTTGGGTCCCTTGGGGATATCATCTATGTAATGAAGCTGGTCACAGTTGATCAATGTCATTTATAAATAATGTTAGAGTAATATACCTGGAGTTTTCATTCAATTGATTTGGGATAAGGAAGAAATGTGAGAAACTTCTGACCTTTTGGAAATTTAATTTGAGTTATTTCACGTCCCTCAGGAGATGTAGGGAGAGTTCATGAGAATGGAAATTGTAATTTGTCTGCTAGAAGACGCAGACTTAATCAGTTTATTTTTCACATTCTACCATATGTTCCTAGGTTTTCCCGGATTCAGTCTCAATTCTGTGCTTGTTCCCTTGTGTTTTTATGTTTGTTTCCCCAAAATTAATTTACTTCCTCACTTTTTTGTATTTATGCATTCCCTTGTAGAGGCTGTATATAATAACTTGGATTGTTGTGAACTTCGGGAGTCAATTCATCTCACCATGGCAACAAATTTACTTGCGGTAAATAGAGATTTCCTTGTCAAATATCCCTTATGTAAATCTCATACAAGCAAAACCATTGTCACAAGCAGCAAAGACACTTTCCTGGTTGTTAGTCTTCATTCACTGTTCACATAACTCAGCTTTGTTAAGGAGGTTTTCCAGGAATTGTGCTTCCAAGGCTACTTACCAAAGGTGTAGTTTACACTTGGACCATGCCTGACTCTGTGGTTATAGTTTATATATATATATATTTATTTATATATAATGGGATTGCCTGTTAAGACATAGAATCTTTTGGCTTTGACATGTGGTATAGCTTGGTGAGACAAGATACCTAGTGTTAACAACATAGGAAAACAGGAAGAGGAACCAGTTGTTCAGCCCACCGAGTTAACAATAGATCTCATCGTAGTTTTCAGTGAACAAACTAATATTCTGCCTCTTAATAAATGCAGCTAATTTGCTCTTTATTTGTGCTGCAGGTGAACTCAGTGGATTTGGGGAATGGACTGACCAGGCGATCCATCATTACCAGAGGAGAAAGCCTCACCACCCCAATGAGCAAAGTGCAAGCTTCTGGTAATCGAGATGCACTTGTGAAGGTAAATCTGTGAAATGAATAGTTCCATCTTTGGCACGACACTTTTCTGCATCAATTCTATTGTTCTTTGGAAATTAATTAAAAATCAGTAACAGCCATAGTGGACTTGATATTAAAGGGCGAAGTAGATGTGTAGTGCAAATCAATGCCCATTGGAAAATAATAATTTACCGAAGTGGTCTGAATCACCATTCACACTTTTCTGTAGTTGTCAACATTCTTGAGTTTCATTTCTGTAAATCCCTATGAACCCATGGATCTGAATATATTTGATACATAATCTTCTTATCCTCTCCAAACCTCTTCCAGTGTCCAAAGTAATATAAATTCTTTGATGTTTTAATCAGGGGATATATGGCCACCTTTTTGTGTGGATTGTGAATAAAATCAATGCTGCAATCTACAACCTACCTTCAAATCGTTCGCGAGACGTCCACAGAACGATAGGATTACTGGATATCTTTGGCTTTGAGAACTTCAAGACAAACAGGTACACAGCGTTTTTTTTAGTTCAGTTATTCAATAAGAGATGGCATTGATAGTCACTATTTGTGTTGAAGTTATAGTGTGATTCACACTTGTTGAAAAGTGACACCATTGCACCATATCATACACACTATGGCTTACATTGATTATTGCCTGTTTTTATTCGTTCCTTTTTCCAGCTCTCTCCCCATCTGCTGATGGTGGCTCTCTCAGGCTTCTCAATGACATTGCACCTCTCATTTCAGCTTCGAGCAGCTGTGCATCAACTTTGCCAATGAGCACTTGCAGCAGTTCTTTGTGCGGCACATCTTTAAGCAGGAACAGGAAGAGTACAAGCGGGAGAAGATTGGCTGGCAACACATTGATTTCATCGACAACCAAAAGACACTGGATGTCATTGTCAACAAACCGATGAACATCATGTCCATCATTGACGAAGAAAGCAAGTTTCCAAAGGTAAGCTCCCCTCCTGTTGCCTTTATCTGCTAACTTAAATATCATTTACACAGTGGTAGACATTCAGAACATATACCTCCATACCTTGTCATTGACCAGTAATGAAGAACTAGGAAAAATGCCATTGGATAATAAAAGCTATTCACACATACACATGCACAGATGCACTCAAAATGATCCAAAAAATAATACTAAAATTGGTCACTCAATCCATGACTGTTTGTGCGACACTGCTGTGCGCAATTGGCTGCTGCGTTTCGCCCACAAAATATAGTCAATTAATATTATTAATTATTATTATAAATGTACTGTACATATTCAAGCATGAATATGCAAAGATGTATGTGTGTAAATACATCTAATAATCACACATATTCCAACGTTCGAACTTGCTGGAATTCACACGCACAGAATGCAGTGAGTCCATAAACAAGATGATACTGCAGTCAGTTTCAATTATGACTCTTTTTCAATTGATGAAACTTTTAAATTTAGTTATCAGTGAATATTCCAAGATTAAATGGTCTGAGATACTTTCCATCACCCAGAGAGCCGGTGGGGGTGGGGTCTAATATACCCGGTCAACCACCCATTGGGGTGTGTTGGCCTATGGTCTTAGACATTCCTCCCACCACCCATTCACCACAAGTAGGCTCTAAAGGCCTAACCATTTTCCACCATCCATCATAGAACGAACATCAGTACAGATTGGCAAAGGTGCATTCCAACTCTCCCTCTCCCCAAATATGCCACTAAGCCCTCCAATCATCCACCCTCCCCCCATCACTCACCAGCATGAAGGTGGCAATACTATCACGAGATGTTTAGCTGAAAGTAAGGTGGGACAGTTTGCAAAATTTTCCACCAGTAGAGGGTGCCACCTTGTAACTGACTGGCAGGAGGCACAATTCACACTGATGAAACCTTAAAATGTTTGGTCCTGTGTCTCAAGTTCAAGCACTCTCCTGAGTTGAAAATCTGACAGACTCCCCCAGGCTGAGGCAGACAGATATGCTTCTGGGATGTGAGCAGTTCCGTTCTTGGAACATCTTCCCGATGCTATAAATGTAAATTTATATTGTCACGTGTTGTATTCTGGTGCACAGGCAAATGTTCTTCTGTCGTATCAGCTCGGCTTGAATTGTATCTTATTAATACAAAAATGCTTTTATCAACAGGGTACTGATTCCACATTGCTAGTCAAGCTGAACTCTCTGCACAGCAAGAGCAATGTCTACATCCCACCCAGGAGCTCTCATGATCCAATGTTTGGCATTTCTCACTTTGCAGGAGTGGTGTTTTACCAGGCTAAAGGTACTAGCATATTTCACAAACCCTTTTTCGTTCATTAGTGGCTGTCTTAACTAACGTAGACTTGGAAAAAATGGAGAAGCACAGAAAGAGAAAGAGATTTTGATTTACAGCCAAAGCCTCAATACAAAGGAAGTGACATACTGAGCACATCAGAAAAGAAGGTATTTATTGCAAGGTGATTTCAGCACAAGTAAGGTAAGGTGCCAGCAACTAAATTCTCTTTTTTCGTGACAGGTTTTCTTGAGAAGAACAGAGATCAGCTGAGCACCGATGTCATTCAGCTCATGCACGCTTCCCGGAATAAATTCCTCAAGACAATTTTCCAAGTGAGCACCAGATCAACTCATGGGAAGACCGGCAACCATATCCAAATCAACACTAGCAATTCCATGAAGGTTATTGACCTTTGAATATAACATTTTATATATTCGAACTTACTGCATATTGAAATGGGCTATGAGGAGATCTGCTCATAATGCGTCCCGTGAGAAAGGTGGTTCCTCTTAAAAACAAGGTGGAAAGATGTTGACGTTAAGCAATGTGTGAGGAATTCACTTCATTATAATACAGCATGTGAGGAATGCACCTCTTTGCAAAGCATTGGTCGTCCAACGAAAGCAATTTAGCATAAATCGTAATGTAGAGATCATAACGCGTCTAACACAAAGGAGACCTCTTCCTTTGACTCCTCCATTGTACACGCAGTGAGAGCAACTCCTCACATTGGGACATGGAGTGAGAGTCACTCTGCGCTTTGAGTGGAGGGGGGGGGGCGCTCCTTCGTGGAATGAGGGCCAGCTCGTTTTGGTGTGCAATGTAAAGAGAGAAGCCCCTCCATGAAAGAAAATATTCGATGTCATGAGTTAGGTATTTTCTCCATTCAAATTTATGATTTATATTTTTCAGTGAGCTTATGCAGCACCTCAAGCCTATCCTCTTTCTCTGTATCAACAAGCTGATATTGTCTCACTGTTGGAGTTCTTATGGATCTTGTTTAATTGTGTTGGGATTACTGCTGTCTTTCTCGCCTATTGTAAAGCCGTTTCTGCAACTGGAAGCCTTAAATACCCATGCATTTACTTTATAACCTTGTCAGAGGGATAGATTTGTTAGCCCTCTTCCTGTTATGAACCGTTTGATGTTATCTCGTTAGATCCTGTTAGTTTATGAAGCTAATGTACACAGTTAACTTTCATCTGTTCTCATGCTGTGATCCGATTTGTTACTCTATGCATTTGACATGCTTAATGATAACTCATGGCAGAAGACTTGTACATTTGCCTTGTCCTTGTGAATAGCTCAGTGAATTTTAACTGTATGGGCTTCTCCCACAGGGAACTGACAACCATAAGCATCTCACCACACTCGGCAAACAGTTCAAACAATCGTTGGATGACCTCATGAAAACTTTGGGTGCCTGTCAGCCTTTCTTCATCCGCTGTATCAAACCCAATGAATTCAAAAAACCCTTGGTAAGCAACGGCTCTCTAGATGCGGAAGCTGAGGTTCTGGGCACAGATCCTGAGTTAGGCGGATCTTTGGGCTTTGAGACTTGAAAAGATTTGAGTTCACAGACTAATTGGTTTAGTTGTCTTCAAATGTTTCTTTGAATAGTCAGGTGTAGCCTTTAAAGGCAAGCTTAGAATGATCATTTTACCCACACAATATACAGTCAATTGACTTCACAGTATATTCTGTGAAGCACTTTGAGACATTTCAACAATGGGATAAGGTGTTATATCAAATGCAAGTATTATTATTATTTTTATTATTATTATAGTGATGGAGTTGAAAGCTTTGATGTTTCCTGACACTAGAAACATATTTTTACTGTGGGTTACTGATCGGGAGCTAACAGAACGAAAGATTCTATCTCTCTGTTTCTAATCATATATATTCAATTTATTCAACAGTATTGTAATTAGACGTTCTTATCATTCAGGACTTGTCAATTAGTTGTTGTCAGGATACTTTTCTAAAGAAATTGGTACTTTAGTAAAGAATGTTTCTGAGGGATTGAGGCAAACCATACCCTGATTAAACTTGATCTTCCTTCTGATTATTCAGCTGTTTGATCGGGAATTGTGTGTTCGGCAATTGCAGTATTCTGGAATGAGAGAGACAATCTACATCCGCAAGTCTGGCTATCCCATTAGATATAGCTTCCTCGATTTTGTGGACCGATACAAGGCTTTATTGCCTTCATCAAAGTGGAGCATGAAGGAGGTGAGTTGTGGAACTGGTAATTATGTATGGAATGGATTTTGTATAAATATTGGGCAGTCTCCAATGGATGACTAATGATCAATACCTCATTCATAATAATGACATTTGGAGGGCATCAAGGATCCCATTACTTTCCACGTAATAATATAGTGAGACAGGTTTATCTCACTGCCACTGAAGTTACTGTCTATTTGGAAACCATTGGATCTTATTTTTAATTATCATATAACATTATTTGTATTGTTCTATAGACAGACATGAGCTCATTCTCATTTATCATTTCAGTATATCTGTGATTATACTCTAATCCACAGGCAGTTGTACTTTTCCCATGTATAATTGCATGAGTCGCATTTCGAATGATAGATTTTTTTCCATACTCTGAACCTTCAGTAGTGCAACGCTTTTCAATGTGTAATTACAGGAGAAAGTTCAATCATGCTGCAAACAGATTGTAACCTCAGCGATTGGAGCGGACAGTGATTGGAAAATAGGGAAAACAATGATCTTCATGAAGGTACTGTTTAGAGGCTGGAAAGTAAAATCATTGCTAGGGCAAGCAAGCAAAACTCGTCTCAAATACACCTACAAGTGACATTAGTCTATCAACTGCATGCAACTGACTGAGTAAAAGAGCAACATTCAGTAAAGAGCCACGTTCTTCCAGATCATTAGTGGATGCTCATAAATATCCCACTGCTTGAGTAACTGAAGGCAGCTACTCATATTTTGCCTCTGTGCAATGTAATCTTATATTTGTATGATTTTGGTACCCACAAAATACACAGTCACTCCACTTTACAGTATATCCCATGAAGTGCTTTGAGACATCCTCCTGACGTGAAAACCACCATACCAAATGTAAGGATTATTATTGTTGCTGAGAACTGAATCTTTCAAACCTGCTTTGGCTGTGATTTGACCAACTTTTTTTGTGTTAGACAAAAGTAGACTCCTGCTAAGGTCAGGTCCTTTATGAAACTCTTAGGTTCATGAAGACCTCTTTCAGATGTGCTTGATAATCATTCCTTGGCTGTTACCCACTCACCCTTTGCTTCCTATTACTCTGAGCTGTGCTCTCACTGGATCTCTCTTTTTATATAGGATGAGCAAGAATTGGTGCTCGAGCTCAAGCGAGGCAAAATCTTAACAACAAAAGCTCTGATCATTCAGAAAGCGCTACGTGGGTTCAAAGACAGGTGAGAGGCAACAATTACCCACTACTTGAGCTGTGATGTCCTTCCCTTGAGCCTTTAACCAGCTGAACGAAAGCAAGCTGTTCTACTGAGGCAAAAAGAAGAAATTCTGATTTAAAGAACAGATCAAATCTGATTGATAATATGCAGACCTTTATGTGAGCACTTTCACTCAGTTTGTTTGATGTGTGGCTCCATAGGAAGAATTTCCTGAGGCAGCGCCGCTCAGCCTTGCAGATACAGAGCTACTGGAGAGGATATCAGAGTCGTAAGAAGTGCGTAGAGGTAAGTCTTACCTTAACTCATCAATATTAACTGATTTGAGTGGATTAAACATGAAAGAATAATGTAATATTATGGAAGCTAAGGAATCGATGTTCAAACTGAATACGACCATTAAGGTCTTTCCAACTGGTCCTATTTTGTAAAACGTAACCTCTTGCTATTTCACATACCTCCCAATCCCCGTCACAATCATATAACGATTGCTCGCTCTGTTGAAATGATCAAAATTATCCACCTTCACCACCTCCCGTGTTCCATGCATTCACTGCAGACAACGTGCAAAGTACTGAATTGTGTGCTCACCTTCCTGAGTTTGAGATTATGTTTTCCATGTTGCTGGGTTGTAACCTACTATTTGCTGCAAATCTGTACCATTTTCTGCCCTAGATGTCTCTGGGTTTTGAAAGGTTGCAGGCATTTTGCCGAGGCCGCATGGTTGCCAAACGATACAAAATGGCACAAAATCACATCATCCTGCTTCAGGCCCGCTGCCGGGGGTACTTGGTACGGCAAGACATGGTCAAGCGTTTGGAAGCCTTGACCACTATCCAGGCCTACACCAGAGGGCTGCTGATACGAAAGAGTTACCGGAAAAAGAAGAGAGATGTAAGTCAGTGAGACTGTTTATGTGATGACCATCAGTAGCCAGAAGGTGTAATTGGTGTGTGTGTGTGGAATGAATGAGGATCAGGGATCATGTGGTCAGGAGTTCACGTTTTTAATGAATTCAGGGGATTGCTTCTTTGATGTTTTAATGGGTGTCAAACAGTGCGGATCAGAGGCCTGAAATTCTTCTTAGCCTTAGTTTGTAAACCCAATTTGTCTTAAAGTTTAAGGTTGCACTGAGTTGTAAAACATTCTTAAATACAGGCTCAATTTGAAAGCTAATACTTTTAAAGTAAACAGCCTCAGAAGTTCATTTGTTTGAAGGGTCCATTGCACTTGCAAGTAGGATGATTATAAAACATGTGTAGCAGATCAGGGTAATATAGTATGTGAGATGACTGCAGGGCTGTGTCTGTGGTGGACTGCAGTGGAGGAGATTTATATATGAGTTTGATGGGATTTTGGAGATGATATGGGGTGGATTAGGGACCTAGTAGGGGTTGTACTTGGGGTGATGTTTATGTTTGTAAACTGTTTGCAGGTTCAAAGGCGTCTTGAGGCAGAGAAGCTTTGCGCTGCAGAGGAGATGCGTCTTGCGAAGGTGGTGGGCCTAACAAAAGCTAGAGAAGAAGCTATGAAACGACAGAAGGTATGAGCCATACCATGTTGTGCCAGAACAGCTTTGTGAAGCACCACTTCTTTACTTCATGTTCCAACCACAAGATCGATCAAATGCTCCTCACCTAATGCAGATACCCACAACTCTGACCAAGACAACCTCCTCCACACTACCTCCAACACCGGATACCGCTGGTGGTTCTTGTTCATTCCTAACACAATTACATTTGTGTGCTTACCTCTCTAACTGCTTTCGTCCCTTCTCTCCCCTGAAGTCATTGCACACGTACCAATCATGTCCAGTACCGCACTCAGATCAATTCTAGAGTCCTTAGTGATGCTATAGAGATCAACAAACTTAGTTGTAGACTACAGGGGCTGGAGGATATTCTTTGTGATTGGGCTTTGAAGATTAACTTCAGCTTTATAATAGCCCTTTCTGTATGTCTGTGTATCCTCTGATTCTTCTGTCCATTGAGTATGAATTTAACCTCTACAGGAACATTTGGGGAGATTGGAACAGCAGGATGAGGAGAATGAGAGACTGAGAAGAGAACGGTATTTATCCCAGCAAGATAAGAATGAATCTCTTAACGACCTTGATTTGGTTGACAACATCTTCGGCTTTTTACCCAGTGTGATCGCAGGCCAAGAAGGATTTGAGGTAACATTTGGCATTTTTGTGATTTCCTAAAATTATATACAGTCTCTCACTCTGATGCTGGGATCTCTGTCCACGAGGCTGTGGCCCATGACTGTGATGTTGGGTTCTCTGTGTGTGTGACACGAGTATTTGTGTCTGCGGTTCAGCAATTTCTATTAGCTGACTCAATGATTTGATTTGGAAGAGTTAGATGATTCTTCACTTGAAATATTTCCCTTTCTCCTCCTTACTTTCTTGCTTGTTCTTGGTATTCTCAGGACTTGGAAGAGAAACGCGAGAAACTTGAGGAGTCTGATTTGGACGATTACCCTCTTTCACAAGAGGAAGAGGATGATCTTGCCCGATACACCTTCCCAAGCTTTGCTGCCACCTACTTCCAAGGATCCGTGACTCACACTCATTCTCGTAAACCACTCCGTCACCCACTACTGTTCCATGATGATGAAGTTGACATTCTAGTGAGTGAATTCCTCCCAGTGGAACAAAAGTGAATGGCTTCAGAATGTTAACAAGTGCCAAGATATCATATTCTTAATGTACTGTGAACGATGATAAAATGTTATTTTATATAGCTCTCAAAGGATACAGATAGAGCACAGAAACACATAACTGTAGGATCTGAGATAATTTGTAAATAGATAGTCTAGTTTTGTTTTAAGTATATTCGATGAAAAACGTATCAAGTCAGGTGGAAGAGAAATTTGACCTGTGATTTAATAGCGCAAACTTATTTATTTGAACACATTCTTCCTCTTTTCAGTTTCTTACAAAACACAGTCATTGCACTTTGCAAGAAATCCTGTGAAGCACTTTGCGATGTCCGCCCAATGTGAAAGGCGCTGTATCAAATGCAAGGCTTATTATTATTACAGTTGCCAGTGACGAATGCTGACCTATGCATAGATTCATCCCACAGTTCTTGTTAACTTGTAAAGCTTGTCTATCACAGGCTTCTTTGGCAGTCTGGAATATTATCCTAAGGTTCATGGGAGATCTTCCGGAGCCCAAACAATACACCCAGAAATCTGAGCCGAGGAATGACTCCTCCATCATGACACAGATATATGACAGTCTCGGCAAGAAGAGCCAAGTCCGCATGTCCTCAAAGACATCTGTATATGAGGTAAAGTTCCTGTTACCTCTTAAATATTGAATTTTATTTGTATCTTACGTGGGCATTTTAGCATTAGCAGATGTTCAGTGACAATGGGGGAAGGAATATAAGAAAAAAACTTAATCTCCGAGAGTAACACTCAAACCTACTTCAATTTATTTACAGAGCCAGAGTCAAAAAGGGAACTTCAAAAAAATGGCGCTCTTGAATCTAAAGCATTCTTCCAAATCAACAGGAAAGGTTAGTGATGTTTCAGCTCTGCTATTAACACATGAAGATCTTTGAAATAGCTGCCGGTCACATGGATATTCTAGTGGTGTTTATCACTCATAAGGACATCTTTCCTATACCTGCTAGAAACATGACTCTTGTAGTAATATCTATCAGTCACACCAAGTGACTCTGCTGTTAAACTTTTCCTTATGTCTGTAGCTGAGATTCTGATTGATCTTATTCAATTACAGGGCATGTGTATGCAAGGCCTGGAAAAACTTCCATTCTAGATTTTAAGTTAGATTTATGATATTGTAACTGTGTCTCCACAGTAAACAAACCTCCCCCTTCTGGAAGGCAGCACAAAATACCCCAGATAGGTTTGATTTTCAATGTTCCATTCACTAATATTCCTATGATTCATGTTTCAGGCGGCATCTAATGAAACCATTGGAAAGGAAATACTATTGGGTGAGAGTCCTATCTCAGACAGGCCAATGTCAAACCTACAAAAGCTTCATTTCATTGTTGGGAATGCCATCGCCAGGCCTGACATCAGGTAACTAAACACTGATCAGCTCAAGTGATGAACCTGCTGTTTAATGTTTCCTTTTCAATAGTTTTTACAACTGATTGCAACAGACCTTTAAATCACAGGTCCGTCTCTTTAATGAATGACACAATTGGAGATCTATGCATGGCATTACAGCAGAGCAGTGGCAAGAAGTTCTATTTCCAATCTGCAGAGCTTTATAGAGGAAAATAAAGGCAAATTCAAAGAGTTTACAAAGGGAATCATATAATGGATGCTGTGAACTCCACAATCAAACCCTGATGGCAGCTTACTTGTGTACCCTTTCGCAAACTTTATTACAACAAAGAGAAACACCATTTGGAGGCCCAAGAGGAGAATCTTGAATAGCCTGTCTCTTCACTGCATTGAACCCTTGAGTGTCTGTTTGCTTTCATTGTAGGGATGAGATTTATTGTCAGATCTGTAAGCAGCTGTCTGAGTGCTACAACAAGAATAGTTTCGCCAGAGGCTGGATTCTCATGTCCCTCTGCATTGGCTGTTTTCCGCCTACAGAAAAGTTTATCAAGGTAGGTCTTACCTAGAATTGTAAAGATAACTTTTGTATTCTATACCCTGGAGTGTAGACAGTAGCTGTACACAATTGCACCTCCATACTGTACTGTAGCCTTGGGACTTCCTCCCGACGTGAAAGGCGCTATACAAATGTAATCTTGTTGTCGTTGTTGTTGTTGTTGTGTATGTTGGAGCACTCCCTCACACACATACACACACGCACACATTACAGCAACCCTACCTGTTTCTGCAGTCTCAGAGATCAGTTTGATTAATAATCCTGTAAAGATGAAAATTGGAAGATTATTTACATTATGGATAAAATAACTTGGACTTTTTTTTTTCCCGCTCAGACATGTAGAAATTGATGTTCAGTTTTGGATTTTAAGGCAGTTCTGTTTCATTGCCTTTGATTGTGGTGACCTTGAGCTTGGAGAGAATGGAGATGCTTTTGTTTGGAGAGTCTTCCTGTTGGGCCAACTCACAAGCAGACCTCTGGCTCCTTTCCAACACACAACAACAGCAGCAAACATGTTACTCAGTTTCAAAGGTCTTAGCCTTGGGGTGTCTGTCAGAGCAGGAAAAGTCTGTGTCACTGCCCGCTGAGACAGAGGATCTTTCCGTGTTTGCAATTGGGGGTTAGTGCCAGCACCATGCTGTTTGCAAATGTGTAAACTTGACCACATATCTGGTATTTATGTGGCCTTTCGCCAGGTTGATCAGTGGTATCTTTCCACTTTCTCTCCAGTGTTTCAGATTAAGAGGTACAAAGAACAATGGGATTCATTCACACCAATTTGTTAGGAGTAGATTTGTTGGTGTGAAACTGTATGAGGAGTTGGGTGGAAAAAGAACAGTTGTACCATCAGCAGAAACAGATATCTAGAATTCTCACAGTGACAAGTCACACATTCTGTACTCCCTGAAGAGCAATAATATCCTCCCTATATAATTAAGTGACCAGTGCAGCAGAAATAATTCAAGATGGGGTCTTACCAACACCTTAAGCAGTAGCAATATAACAATATAAACCTCTTTCGATTTGTACTGTATCTTCTGTTAATGCAGCCTTATTGTTGTCTCGAAGCATTGGGCTGATGATTCCATGGATTTTATTCACACTAATCTTTACTGAACAGTGCATTACATGACTGTTCTGATTAATAAGTACATGGCTTTCTAATAAACCGTTTCCTCCTGCTTTATTAATGGACAAAACAAGTCAATGGCAGCATAATAAAGGGGGTAGGGGATAAACAGGTTCTAATATTGATCATATTTCTATACTGATTTAGATTAGGTGACCAAAATATTGTTTTTCATGTGAAAAAGTAAAAGCATCTTTTCTTTTCATTATTATTAGTACCTGCTTAACTTCATTCAAAATGGACCTTCTGGATATGCCCCATACTGCAGGGAAAGGCTGCAACGTACATCTGCGAATGGAGCTCGGACTCAGCCACCAAGCTATCTGGAGCTTGAGGTATGCTCACTGTTTACATTGAACGATGCAATTTAAGGAGAGCTTCATCTGTCCAAAGCCGGAGAAAGTGAAGATGCTACAGAATTCCATGCACCCTCACTGATTCTACTGGCTCATTTGCAAGGGTGTGACTACTGACCCGTTCTTTATTGATTCGTGTTTTTTTAATCATTACATTTTCTATGAAATTGCAGCATCTGCAGTTGTTCTTCATAGGCAGCATTTTTTAAAAAAACACATTACATTTCTTCTACTTTTCTAACAGGCAACCAAATCAAAGAAGCCAATAATGCCACCAGTGAGGCTGATGAATGGATTGAGACACACAGTCCCAATAGACTCTGCCACCACAGCCAATGAGATGTGCAAGTATCTCTCAGAGAAAATTGGATTGAAGGATTCTTTTGGATTTTCAATCTACGTCTCGCTGTATGATAAAGTATGTTACAATAGCGTGCGAGCTGAGGAATCTGGGAGACAGGGCTAAAGTTGGGCGGTGATGCTGGGATGAGGTATTTGGAAGATGGGTCGGGTCAGTCAAAGAGACAACATAACTTGGATAGAGTAAAATGTTCTGTCTTGTGTACGTGTGACTGAGCAATGATGTTTCGCACAGCAATACACTTTGCAAGCCAAAAATTGCCAGGTTCACCTTAATTGAATTATTGTCTCTAGCACTGAATCTAATGAATGCAAGTGAATAAATTTTAATGACTTGTTGTAGGGCTAGATTTGGAACCTTGGACTGGTAAAGTGTCTGCCAGCTCATTGCCACAATTGGTAGGGCCTTTTCCCGATCAATCATTTGCACTATAACATATACTTAAACCATGGTGTATTGTTAAAATCCAGGAGTACCCAATCAACAAAAGAATGTAGCTTAAAATCTAGAGTGCATTAGTCATACAGATGTATAATTCATAACTTCCCGCTGCTCTTTTCGCTCCTGCCCAGACTCATAAGTCAAAAACACCGTGCATTGAAGATGCAACTCAACATGAGATTTCCAGAGTGTAATACTGCTACTACAAATTATCCTTGCATTTAATATTGCACCTTGTTCATGTCATTGAGATGTCGTTCAAGCGTTCTGAGACGCTACCCTGCGTGAGGGGTGCTACGTAAATGCAAGTTGTTGTTGTTGAGACATCTCAATGCGTTTCACAGGTTTATATATTATAAAGTGAATTGACAGTGTATTTTGTAGGCGAAACGCAGCATTGCACACAATGTAAGAGCTGTATTGCTCTTTCACCCAGACAGGATGCTCACCTGATTGCATTTCCATCGCTAGGTCTTCTCTCTTGGTAACGGCAAGGATCACATAATGGATGGCATCTCGCAATGTGAGCAGTACATGAGGGAGCAAGGCGGGCAGGAACGCCATACCCCGTGGAGGCTTTTCTTCCGGAAGGAGATCTTCACACCCTGGCACGACTGCACTGAGGATGCTGTCAGCACAGACCTCATCTATCACCAGCTCATCCGAGGGATTAAATATGGGGAATATCAGTATGAAAAGGTAGGCAAGAGATCCCGTTGTCAGGCACTGTGACATCAACACTTTACGAGTGCCCTGGATCAGTGGGTTCAGGAACCCACCCTGTTCCACGTTAAGCTGTTAACGACAGAACTTGTCTAATTTGACACCAATTCTGTTGTGCTCTTCTCAACATTGTATTGCAGGCGAGATTATCAATATTAAGGTTATTACATGATGAAAGAAAGTATGCTCTATTTTAACTTTTTTTTGCCGAGTTGTTTTAGCCTCACTTAGAGGGTTGTCCGAGATCGGTGTCTGAAGGAATTCATATTGTAAACCTTCATCGATGCAAACTCCACAGGAAGAAGAACTGGGAGATATTGCTGCTAAACACTATTACGTGGAGTTTGGAATGAACATGAGCACTGAGAAAGCACTGAAGGTCATGTCTGCCTGTGTCCCAGATAAACTCATCAAGAGCAAATCAGGAGATAAATGGTGCCAACAGATAACCACAACTCATGCCAAGGTATACGCGAGCAACCTCATCCTCTTGGTCCTTGGGTGGGGTTTAACTCACAGAGTGACATGAGGGTAAATGAAAGCGAGGACGCTATTATATAATGATTGAAACTGAAGTTGCGAGTTTCTTCCTGTTTAAACATTTCAACAATTGGGGGGGAGGGGGGTGTTGCCTAAAAAGCAGTGCTTCCCTATCAACCACTCTCAGTCGCTATTGATTTCTCCCCCTCGTAAACCCACCCACTTCTTAGACTCCCAACATGCCTGGTTATGAGCAGCAGATGCTGTAGGATGTGAGGTTCCTATCACACTGAGCTGCTGAGCAGCCAGATGTTTGGTGACATCTGCATTTCCCCACGTGCTGAGTTTCCACCCTGGGTGGACGTGCTGAGCTGATTTTAATAGATTAAAAAATTAAGAACCGCATTTGATATAGTTAGTGCCTTGTTGTGTATCAAAGTGTGTTACACAGTGGCCCTAATTCTAAGGTGCAGAGTAAGATCCCAGAAATAGAGAGCTGAATGACAGATTCCGTCTGGGTTTGTTATATAAATTTAGATCAGTGAGGAATATTAGCCGGAACATAGAGAAGAACTCTGGTCTTCTTCAAAATAGTGCCGTGAGATCTCTACTGTTCACTTGAAACACCAGCAACTCAGGTTAACATTTCATCCACAGCAACCTAGTGGGTTGTCAACCTGGAAGATTATGAACTCAAGTCCCAGGTGGGGCTTCAACCCACAACCTCTTTCTCAGGGTAAAGAGTAGTGAGACATGTGTGTGTGCACGTGGCACAACACAGCAGTGAATAATAACTTCTAAGATGGATGTCTCTCTCTTTATTACAGGCATTCAGCATCAATAGACCAACAACGCTCGAGCTCAAGGAACAGCTGGTCAATTTTGCTCGCTTGAAGTGGCCGCTTATGTTCTCTAGATTTTTTGAAGCGTCAAAGTTTTCAGGTAATGAATGTGAGCAGACAACCTGTCACATTTTCCACAAGTGTGAGCAGTAGCTTGTGTTTCTCATGTTTTGTGCTAGTTTAAGTAGGCAGTCTTTTACACCATGTGTCAGGCAGGGTCACAGTCACGTACAGCAGACCCATACTACAGACAGACACGCATACGCCTAGGGTGGATGTGTGTGTGTTTCTGTATTTGTTTGTCTATGTCTTCTCTGAGTGTATGTCTGTCTGCCTGTAGTATGTGACTGTGTGTGTGTGTGTGTGTGTGTGTGCATGTGCACACGTCTGTGTATGTGTGTGCATGTGGAGGTGGAAACTATGGAACATTCTCCCTCAATCCCTCCGCCTTGACCCCTCCTCCCCCAACTTCAGGTCGCGACTGAAGACCGTCCTGTTCGACCGTGCTTATGGTCCCTTCATCCCCTGCCTCCTCCACTGTCGAGAGCTCTGAGGTGCTACTCTACGTGAGGGGCACTATGTAAATGCAGGTTGTTGTTGTTGCACTTACCTCAAACCGCTCTGCAAGCACTATGGTATTCAACGGTTAACGTTCACTTCCTTGCTTTCAGGACCCAGCCTGCCAAAGAACCAGATAGTGTTGGCCGTTAACTGGGTAGGTGTTGCTTTTGTTGATGAAAAGGAAAGAATCCTTTTGAAACGATCCTTCCCAGAAATTATCGGCGTAAACACAAACAGGTGAGTGTCAGGTCAGAAATCAATTTTGTAAAGTACTGACTTGGGGTCAGTTTTAGAGCAAACAGGGTACAAGAGGGGCTAGTCTTTGAAGCGCTCTGGACACTACTCCGTGTGAAGAGTGCTATATAAATGCAAGCTGTTGTTGTTTTTATTGTTGAATCGTTCTCAGTGTGTACTGTTTTTTTTAAAAAACTCTTGAATTTGATATTAATCCTTAAAACGTCAGGAGGGCGTCCCAAAGCTCTCCACAGAATTTATTGCAAAATGTAGTAACTGTGTATTTTGCAGGTGTATGTTAATGTGGGCTGTTTAATGCAGGGCTGCGAAGCTGTGTGGACAGAGCATCACTCTGAACACACTGCAAGGGGAGGAGTACACTCTGACATCGGGATACGCAGAAGACGTTGCTGATCTGATAGTGATGTTTCTAAACGGTTTGAAGAAGAGGGCAGAATACGCAGTAGCGATCCACAGCAGCCCGAGAAAAGGTGCACGTTAAAATACCTTCTGGGAATTACCAGTCCAGCTATATACATCACACTGGCCATTCCAAAGATTGCCTGTAAAGTCTAATTGTGCAGTGACTACCTGTTTAGTCTGACTGTATATCTGAGCTGTGACCATCCCAGGTCTATCGTCCTTTACAAGTTCTAAACGCTGCTCCTTTTTTTCTTTCAGATGATCCCATATTCCTAAAAATTGAGAAAGGTGATTTGATTACGTTGTTTAAAGACGAGGAGATATCTGAGCACAGTGCCTGGGTTCAAGGGAGGAATGAACGCACCAACCAATCTGGCAATGTCTCTCTGGACCTTATCTGGATCATTCCTACTCTTATGAAACCCTCACCGGAAGTGCTGGTAAGAGTCTCTACAGTCTATTGACACAAGGACTGATAGAATTATATCAAGCTGTTAGATATACCAAAATAATACAGAGGAGGGCACTGACCAACTACCTTTGTTTAACTAACAGAACTTGATACTTATGTCCCCTGATCAACGGCGAGAAGCAGCACGAAAGGTGGAGGAGCCAGACGTGAAGATCAAGCTATATACACTAGAGGAATTCTCCTATGATCATTTCAGGTTAATATTGATATGTTGACGTGAATTGTCAATGGATGTTCGGACACCAAGTTAATCAAGCTCACAGAGACCATAATTTTATATGGCAGTATTAATGATACGGAAAGATATAATTACCAATCTGGAGGTCAGAATATTAGTGAATAACGATGACTTATTTTTCTATAAATTGTACCTTCTCGTTTTCTAGCTTTCCCAGGTTTGTTCTAACTTTAGACTACTTAGTGCACGATATTTATACACAGGAACTTGGAACTTCCCACGTGTTCAACTTCCCCTTCCACAATCTGCCAGATACCATCTCATTGTGGTCAACTGCCTACACCAACCAGTATCTAATCGCGTTACATCTTTTATGGCATATCATCTTATATGTAATTGATTACTACATTCCTGATCTATTCTTGCTTCACAAATTATCTGGTCACCAACCGATTCATTACTTTACTTCTGCATCTAGATAGACCATCTGGTTACACATCCCCCTTTTTCCATCCCTGCAACAGACATGATCAACGATGTTAAAGTAATTATAATAATAATTGTTGCATTTGATGTAGTGCCTTATCACATTGTCGAGACGTCTCAAAGCACTTCACAGGATATACTGCAAATTGGATTGACTGTGCGCAAATAGTAATTATAGGACTCACACAGACATCACTTAACTTTAAGGTTGCTGACATTCCCATTTCACAATAGCTAAGGTTACAGAGGTTATTAGCAAGATAGGAATGTTCAGCAATTTTTGTTGTATCCAGAATTCATAGCAGTACAACAGCACACCCATAGTGCATCATAAGCAACTTGTGTCAAGAACTGATTTCTATTGAGACAACTAACCCCTAATGCTTCACCCAAATATACCTCTGATAAAGAATTGCATTAATTTCCCTGTACGGTGACTGCTGACTGTTTGCATTGATGTCCTATTGCACACGTGTTTCAGATCTCTGATAACGTTTGAGTTAGAAACCGTCCTTTCATTTCTGTATGCCCTGATTCAAAAACAACTCAGAGTTCATGTCCCTGAAGTGGGACTGGGTAAAGCAGTTAGTTAAATCACTATCTTATCCTTGGAACTTTGGATTCAATTCCAGTCTAGACTGAGGGTTTCTAGTGGTTAACATTTAAGGCTGAGTTATATGGTTCATTTAGATTGTATCTAGGGAATAAGACATTTCCCAGCAATTGAATTATTAAGATAGCTGGAGCAGTGTTAATGTGATATTTTTTCCCTTCTCTCCTCGAATTAGACCTCCAGCAAAAGAGTCTGTGAGCAGAGTGGTGCTTCCAAAGGCTCGAGCAAAGGACCGAATTTGGGCTTGTTCTCGTGAACCTCTCAAACTCCCTTTACTGAAGAGAATCTGCGCAGATCCAGACATGGTGCGGGAGGCCTGCCAAGCTTTCATTGATATCCTTTCAGTCACACAATCACCAGGACACTCCATCTGCTCTGCAGATCAGCTACACCATGAAAGAGTGAAGCATCTTAAGGTCACGGCTGCCAAACAAGGATAGAATAAGGTTTAATTGAGGGGTTGCTCCTAACGGCTGTTATTGAGGTTTGAGGAGCAACAGACACATTCGTTACTCTGCCAAATTCAGGGAGGAGAAGAAGGAGGGAGGAACTAATCTGCCTACGCTTTGGCGAGGGGATCATCAGTTTCATCCACATTGGGGGATGGGGAGGGAAGAGACATACTACTGTGTTCATTAGGGCTAGACTATAGCTAGGCTGTTGTCCTTATAAAGGAGTCGAAGAAAGCAGTATCCAGCTGGAAGGGGGAATTAGTTGCAATTAAATATTTTCAGTCAGACTGTCATACACCAGCATCATCAGTCTAGTTTAGTCTGATAATCTCTTTCACCAGTGACCGGTGCCTTAATAATAATAATAATAATTCTCGCACTTGGTATAGCGCCTTATCAAGTCATTGAGACGTCTCAAAGAGCTTCACAGAATAGATTGTAAAGTGAATTGACTGTATATTTGGCTCCTTCACCCAGACCAAGCAACATGGGAATTTTCTTAATTGTTACTTGTTCCCACTTATGTGCGCTTTTCTTAACCAGCGTCTCACCCATAATGAAGTATATGGGGGATTATCCAGCCAAGCAAGCCAAGGCAGCCAGTGAGTTGACCGATCAGATTTTCTTTGCAGCAATGCAGGAGGAATCAATCCAGGATGAGATCTACTGCCAGATCCTGAAGCAGATGACAGATAACAACAACAGGTACTGGCGCACAAATTGCCAGTGGGAGTTGGCACAAGTGGCCTCAATAAGGATCCTTATTAAGCCTATGTATTCCAACTAGTGATTTGTTGGATCGCTTTTCCAGCGGTAATAATCCCTTCAAAAATAAACAAATAAATAAATTGAAAAAATTGAAAATAATAATTTTAATACTTGTTTGTGGAACACTGCTGTCTGCAATTGGCTGCCACGTTTCACCCACAAAACATACAGTCAATTCACTTTACAGGGTATTTTGTGAGGTGCTTTGAGATGCCTTGAAGACCTGATGAGGCGCTATATCAAATGCAAGGATTATTATTATTACAACCACACCTATGTGGATGAGAGAACGTCTGAAATTGACAGTAGCAGGTAACTGGATGCTAATAATGGCTTTCATTCTGTCCCGCTCCTAGGTACAGTATTGAAATGGGTTGGCAACTGCTGTGGCTTTGTACCGGCCTCTTCTTTCCCAGCCCAGTGCTGCAACCTCACGTCCAGAAGTTCCTGGAAACACGTCGGAAGGACCAGCTAGCTGCTGAATGTATTCAGCGATTGCACAAAATTAAGAGGTAAATGAAGTGAATGGGCGTTGGTGTGTATCGTGTATCATTGCGGTGCTGAAAGGGTTACAAAGCAAAAGAGATAGGGTTAAAGGGCAAACTTCTGCACCAGTGCTGGATGCTCCTGCTTGTAAAGCAACTGGAGCTCTGACTCAAGGTTCAGGAGGGCGTCTCTTCAATTGAACTCTCGATCAGTCCGTTTTTGCTAGGCAATTAGCAGAGGTTGTGTGCAGTACTGTAGTCGCTTGTACTCAGTGGGGTTGGATGTTCCACATGGATATGTTAGCCTTTCGTATTTAGCAAAAGTCTCCTGAGAACGCGGAATTGTTTCTTTTCACACTACAGCGTCAAAGTCCACCCTGAGGGATAGTCATTTTCCACCCGGCAATATTGCATTTTACTTCAGTATGAGCCAGTGAGTTGAGTTAAGCAGGATGTATGCTGTGAGCTCAAGTATTTCTGAACTATTGAACTCTGGACCTGGCAATGTTGTACAGCGGGGCTGAGAGCTTCACATGCGCAGAGTTATCGGAGTTGTTAATTAAGCAATTTAACTGTAAAGAAATAGGATCCCACTGAATCAATCTTCCTGTCAGGTAGGAAATAGAATTCCCTTCATTGAGGGGGATTGTCGGTAAATTTACCCATCTTCACAGTCTGAACTTGTAACGGGATCCCATTTGAAGCTGAAGTGGCCGAGGACATTTCGTTCACTGACCAGAGGAGAATCACCCACACAGATTGGTGAATTTTTGTCGATTGCAGCTTCGGTCCCCAAGTCTCATTCGGGCAATATTAACACCAGTTCAGATTTCCTGACGTATGTCGAACACAATGGTGGATTTGCACTCCCTGTGAGAAAAGATGACTGTAACAGGGAATAACACCTGTAATTTAGAATATGCCCTTCCCCGCAACACCAACTAGTGTGAATAGTGTATTTGAGTTCAGAGATAAGAGGATTAATAATTAAAGTCAGAGTCTCTACTGGATTATAAGTAGATATATCTACATGTGTCATTACACGTACACCTACAGACTCAGTGTTAACTGATCATTTAATCCAAGTACGAAAGAATATAACATGAATTGTCGTATGGCGGATGAAAAAAAAATTCCTGTAATTTAGAAGAAATGGAGTGTAATCTGTCTGAGGCAATACGTTAATTGCTTCTCCCTCTTTTCACTGCTTTCTGTGTTCTCTGATAGGAGTGGTGCTCGTAAGGAGCTGCCCCACATGGTGGAGGTGGAGGCCATCCAGCACTGGAGCACCAAGATCCTACACAAGATCTACTTCCCGAATGACACCAGCGAGGTGAGGGAGGGATTTGTCCGCAGTACTTCCCTTCAGTTTAACTTGAGTTTGACGTAACCGCCTGCGTTCAAATTCACTTTCCTTTCCGGCAGATTTTCGAGGTTTTCACCAGCACCAAAGCGAAAGAACTCTGTGCAAATATCACCAAGAAGTTGAACCTCAACGCTTCTGATGGCCTCAGTCTGTTTGTGAAAGTGGCTGACAAGGTAACATAACAACACACTGCATTCTTTCCTTTACTTACTGTTGACGTCCACAGACTAAAGTTTCAAAATTATCAGCACTCCTGAAATTATGCATCACAAAATATACAGTCAGTTCACTTGACAGTATATTCTGTGAAGCACTTTGAGATGTCTCAAAGACGTGATAAGGCGCTATATCAAATTCAAGGATTATTATTATTTATTATTATATCAACATGTGTTCCCCTTTACGGTTTCCATGAATGATGTTTAATCTCCACTGCATTGCTGATGTATGCAACCTGCATTATGTGGTTACGGTATGAAACGTGTATTGTGTGGCTGTTTTTGGGGGTATAATAATTATATGGTACCTGAGTGAAAATGAGTTAGGAAAGTGACACTTGTGCAGTGTTCCAACAGATAAGCCTGTTGTCTCATGTATAGGATAATGTGTATTACTTCTCTGACTCTGTTGTTTCTGCCTCCAGGTGATGAGTATTCCTGAAGGGGATTTCTTCTTTGATTATGTGAGGAAAGTGACAGATTGGGCAAAGAGAGACAAGCCAGTAAAGGACGGTATGTAGCTCTGACCCAACAGGAATAGAAGAGCCTAAAAATGAAGCCTATTTTGACAGCTCGGAATGCTACAATATGTTTTGCTGTGATTCCACAGGTGCATCTGTCTCAATGCCATACCAGGTGTTGTTCTTGAGGAAGCTGTGGCTGAATATAGTTCCTGGTCGGGATCTCAAAGCAGATTTGATCTTCCATTTCCCACAGGTAAGGGACTCACGAGCTCCGAGGAAAATCATTTGTGGTTGTGTGGTTTGGATTGATAACTAACACTTGTCTCACTGGATGACGAAATAGAACAAGTACTTTTGGCTAATTGAAGGGCACATCCAAATTCACTGCCATAGTTTGAACCCTCCACACTACCAAAGAGTGACTCTCCTCACCCCCCGCCCGCCCTACCATTCTAAGCGAAAAATAATTCCATTCAAAGTTTGAACTGCTGGATACTGAAGTTATTTCACCAGTTCATCAGTGATGTGAAGGAATCCATTGTGCTGTTTCAAAGCCTTGTAGTGTTTTGGTTTACATATTTTTCGACACTTCTTTAAACCGCGAGCATTTGCGTTCAGTGATGCATTCATTTCCTTTACCCTAGGAACTACCGAAATACTTGCGAGGTTACCACCAGTGCACTAAGGAAGATGCAGTTCAGATGGGTGCATTCCTTTATAAAGCAAAGTTTGACAACGACAGGTTCCAGTTTGTTAATATTCCTAAAATGCTGAAGGAGTTGGTTCCTGAAGACATGGTTCGGGCGATGTCAGCAGAGGAATGGAAGAAGGTAAATTTCAACCATCTCGCTTGTTTCTGCTGGACAGATAGGGACCCTCCCCAGACAACCACTGATTGACACGTTGCAGGGCCGATGATACTTATTAACGTAATCCTGACAGAATTTCTCATTATCTAAATGGTTGTATCAGTACAAAAAAGTCTGATAGTATAGAATCACTGACATTTCAGTACAGAAGGAGGCCACTTTGGAAAGGAAGCATTATTCAGGGATTGTTATAATGAGAGCTATGGTTTTATTCAGGGAGTGTTACAATGGGTCTGAGGCATATTCATATTTATAGTTTTGTTTTGCGTGCTTTGAATCCTGGAGAATAATTTAGAATGAGATGTTGTGGGGCAATTTCTTCAACGTTCTAACTTCATCCTCATAGAGTGAGAGACAAAACGAGAAACTCGTCCTGGTGACTCAGACCTGAATCCTGTGCGAATCCTGCAAGAATCCTGCTCTCTCAGGGTTTCAGGAGATAACCGAAGGGCTTCTGTATATGTATCTTCAATAATTCCTCATTCGATTTCCTCCCCAGGCAATTGTCGCGGCATACAACAAACACGCTAGTAAATCAACAGAAGATGTGAAGGTGTCTTTTCTCAAATTCGTGTTCCGTTTGCCCACTTTCGGATCAGCTTTCTTCGAAGTGAAGGTACTGTGTTACACGTCCTGGCAGTGGAAAACTACTTTCTGCAGCCACGAAATAATGTGCAGCTGATCAGAAAAATATTTAATTGAACTGAATTTCCATTGCAGTTTAAGTTTATCAAACTTTTCATTCTACGCTGACAGTGGGTTTTTCCATTGCAAATGCAGGACAAAAGTTTGCTTAGAAATCATGAACACTATGAGTTCGATCCGAGTTTGTGATATTTATTTAAAGGTGCAATTCGTCTGTCAATATGTGATCTTTAAGCGCGTGATGCAGTGATTTTCTGTTCCAAAAGCTGCCCAAATCCTGTTCTAATCTTATTCCTTCCTCTATGCAGTCAGTGTCGGATCTTCAGCTCCTCTTCACACAGTCAGTTTCTCTTCTTTTCCTCTTCACTTTCTCTGCCACTTTCCTTTCTGCCTGCTGAGTTGGACTCTCTCAGATGTTAGTGTGTGTATGTGTGTGTGTGAGTATGCGCGTATGTGTGTCCTGTGTGCATTCATGAACTAGAATTATGAGAATCCCACGGAGTGGAAGGTTCATGCAAATTTTAACAGTATTATACTCTCATACCTCCTGAGATATTAATACATCACTACTCTATCATTTCTAGCAAACCTCTGAACCTGGTTTTCCAGAAATTGTGCGGATAGCCATCAACAAGCAAGGAGTGATACTGATGAACCCCAGAACAAAGGTAACAAGCAAATTGGGCTCTGTGAGAACAGGGAACACGAAGGAGCATAGATCTGCACAAGTTGTACAATCGCTTAATACTGGCAGATTTATAGGCATTTAAATCTGTGAGTGGATTGATTCTGAACATTTTAGTTCACTCACTGACCAAGTCTATTAACAAAGTTAGCAGCAGGTGACTAACAATGGCTCTTGAAGGCATATTTTTATGATCCAGCTTTGTTTGCATTTGGGGCCTTGACTGAACGTTTTGGGGGTGAATAAAACCAACATAAGTGTATCACACTCGGTTCATAGATTACTGCAGTGGGTGTAAATTTCAGTCACATGTGCCCGCTGGCAGATTGGCTGTGATGCTATTGCCTCTTTGGTGACTTTAGATCTTGGTCGGTGCCAGGCGCCTGCTGGGGTTGGAAGTAAAGTGAGCCTTTCTTTGTGTGTCATGGGTTATAGCCATGCAATTTACTGGAAAACGATTTGCTACACTTCAAGGCTCTGTGGAAAAAAAAATGTCCAGCTGTTGGTTGCTGTTTTGCTGGGGAACTGGAGTTCAGAAGCAGATGAAAGAGATGCGAAAGTGCCTGCAAAGCGAGTAATCTGCTTCCCCTGGATATCATTCACCTCCGCACACAGCTCGATTCAGGCCAACTAGAACTAGTGAATCAATGCACGCCCTTCCGTCTTTACCTGCGTTATTCATATCTCAGTGGCCAACTTTTTAATTCTGTTGCAAAGTGTAACATCACTTTGTTCATGTTAAGCTATGCTTAGAATTGTGTTTCCTTGCCCCCACATCATCAAATTGTTCCGTTTAACTGCAAGAGGAAGCGTTCACCCTAAAATACTTCAATTAAATCACTAAATTGAGAAACTCCTGGTTTTCTCTCTGTTTATCTCATCTCTTCACCTAAAATTGGTGGCTATGGTTCCACAGGTGCCACCTCTCCCTCTGGTGCTTCAGTAAGTTGCCGTTTCTCATGTGCAAGTTTAAGCACAAATGCCGGCATTGTGTTTGATCAACTCTGAGCTGATCTGATCCTCACAGCGTCTCCAGACAAACATTCCTTCTGCTAGTTGTTAATGGATAGGAACGGGATCTCAGCTAATTTCTCATTACCCTAGCCCGAGGACAATGAGGTCAGTCTGGTCTCTTTGGTTTGTTAACATGCCAGAGACTGTGAATTAGAGATGTATTACACATATTATAGCAACAATGCCCTCAAAGAAATTACCATGTTGTGATTTATTAGTAGACCACAGCCTTCGATCAGTATGATACCGGTGGTGATTTTGCCTTGATGATCAGTTGAGTGAAGTGCTCTCTGTTTTGCAGTAGTTTCTCTATCATCAACATTTTAGAGTGTGATGTTGTTTCTGTGATCTCTCGGAACTCAACATCAACATCATCCCAGCTTGTTGTTGCACAGGGTTTGGATTTCTGACATTTCTCTGTGCTCTCCCTCCAGGAAACTTTAGTGACTCATCCGTTTAACAAAATCTCCAACTGGTGCAGCGGAAGCACGTACTTCCACATGTCAGCGGGCAATCTGATGCGAGGTGGAAAGCTTCTCTGTGAGACTTCTCTGGTAAGGACAGTCCCTTAGTCATTAGGAAAGATAACGTGCACTGAACTGTTAATCTCGTTCTTACTTGATTCAGCTCCTTAACTGCGCAATTGGCTGCCGCGTTTCGCCCACAAAATATACAGTCCATTCAATTTACAGTATATTCTGTGAGCGCTTTCAGACGTCTCAAAGACGTGATAAGGCGCTATATCAAATGCAAGGATTATTATGAATATTATTAACCGTTTGTCTATATGATTAAAGGGTTACAAAATGGATGACCTCCTGACATCCTACGTCAGCATGTATTTACCTTCTGTTAAACAACGAACAGCCCGATACGCAGCCTGATGTGAAATGGGATGCTTTGGACTCAAAACTACTAGTGCCATGGAAATGCTCAGAATAAAGGTGCCTTTCCTCCTCTTTTCCCCCCAATTCTTACCCACCCGTCGAATCCCGGTAGAATTGTACTTGAAATCAACCTGTGAGAATACTGTGGAACAGCATTTTTCTAACAGACAATGTGATCAGAGTTCAATCAATTGTGACTTGCTCCTGAAGTGATTGATATTGATAGATTTTTTTTTAATCGAGGCCTTGGCCCCTTTTTGTGCTTTTAAACATTTTCCTCTGCTCCCTACTCTGTGTTTACCCAAACCCACATAAATAGACCTCCACCTACCCATTAGCCCTATTATTACTCACCACAGCACCGCTACACTCTCATCATTACACATTATTATTATTATATGTACCCTTACCCACATTACCTTTCACAGCAGAGACAAAGGGCCACAGGGTTTGCCTTCATGTACAGTATATATTTATATAAAGATAGCCATTGTGTAAAATACATACAGTAACTTACATACTGTCAGAAAAAAACATTGGATCCCTAATGTATACAAAGCAGAAAAAGCAAATACAGGTAAAGGTGGTGTCAATGTAGAACATCTTTCATGCCGTCTATGTGGACAGTTGTACCCTGAATATCTGTAGCTGATCATTCACCCTGTCTGAAGGAGTGAAAGCCAGTCTACGTGCACTTGAACATTTATGTGGGGCCCAGTCTGATTACATAGCTGGGCAGTTTCCAACAACATGACTGCAGATGTCTGCAAATGGGGCCTAGGGAACATGGATGTATGTGTACAATTATAGATCTGTGTGATTCCCAAGTGTCCAACTGTGGACAAGTCCGACTGGGAGCAATTGTGGAACTGTTCAGTTTTCACCACCTGTGATTATGATGATCCCATGTGATTTTTTTAACTTGTGTGCTCAGTGAGAGAGAAAATATACTGAGCTGTAGACTTCAATCCCCATCGAACCAGAAGATGGGTTCAATGAATCATTTTGTATTTTCAATTCAACGGACAGTGTGCTAAGTGGAAATATGTGGTTTTACTGTGTTATCATCTGAACTCAGCCTTTCAGAGAGCCTAGGACACTGTTTTCTCTGTATGGATTCATTGCCTTTCATTATACGGAATTCATTGAACGTGTCAATATTACTGCATTGCTGAATTTCTATGACTCGTGCATTGTTTAGTGCTGCGGCCAAGATTCTTTGTATTTGGGAATCATGAAATAAAATAGTTTCAAAATGAAATGCCCTTTCCTTAATAATAAACAATCCATACGTTTGCTCCAGCGCCGATAATGCAGAAACATCTTGAGGTTCTTCACGGTGTTTATTAATTTAAACTAATCAAGATGAAAGTCTCCTTTGCTCGACTGGCAGTGAGGATTCCTCATGAATATGTGTGTGAGCTTGCCTCTCTTGGTAGCACTCTCTCCTCTAAATCAGAAGTTGAGGGTTCAAGCTGACAATTGGAGGCTGAGTCTTCAGGACAGTAATGGGGGAATGATATGTTAGAGGTGCAACTTTTGGATGAGAAGTTAAATCAGCGTCTCATCCGTTACACGATTCAAACAGACGCAAGTTTTTCAAGTGACCTGGATCAAACATTCTATTGAAGCAATTATGATTTATCTCAACCAGAACACAAGCAGCAGTTTATTAAGCTTACTTAGGCCCACGACTGGTCCAAATATAGACCAGGGCTATAAACAGCATTATAAATGTTACAATATTAGGTTTACACAGCTGGGAAATGTATATGCTACATTTGGTTTGGGGGAAAAAACAGTTCTCATTGCTGTCAAGTCCAGCAGATCATCCCAGAAGTTTACAACACCAGGAGCTAGTAATTTTACTGATTGTCCCGAATCTCCCTAAAGGGTATCTTCTGAGGTCACCTTTCTCCACAACTGACACCAAGCTTCCCGTGTCTGGATGACACCTGCCACAAACCCCAACATTGCAGATTTCCTCTCCACACATTTCATCCACTCACAGTCTAACTGTATTTTTAACGTTTTTGGGGATTTTTTAAAATCAAAATGATCATGTCAGTTCCTGCTACATCAATTTGTTTGCAACCTAAGTTGGCTACAGTATGAAGACTTGCTCTGCATTGTCCTATTCACAGTCCCCGATCAAGAGTAGCATAGGTTAGATGGACGTTAAATTTTGGACTGCACTGTCCCATCAAACATTCCCATGTCAAGTATAACATAGGTTAGATTTATGATAAACCTCCTATCTATTCCATTCCCATTATCTCTCTCAGGACTGATGTGCAGGGCTCTTGTTGCAAGGTCAAGTTCCCTTTACATTGCAATATTAGTTATGCTCAGGTCAGGAATTGCAAGGTTAGAACCTCCCTTCTGGTTCCGAACCTAGCCCCATACAGTAATCCTCTTTTTCCATTACTCATACCAATTATTTTCTTACTGGGACTGAAAATCTGGTACCAATTATTAAGTACAGTGTGCAGTTTTGCGTTGAGACTCCCTAAATGTTCACTTTGGATTCTTATGTCGGTTGGAGAACAATTAAAACATTTATTTCATCAATTAAGGTTAGATTCAAGCCCGGGTCCCAGAGGATGGTCATAAAGACTATGTATAAGATGTTTGTGTCAGTTAAACCTGTCTGCTTTTTCCTTATATACAATGGATGCTGGTTCAGATTTGTTGGGGATGTGTTCTGTACGTCATGGACATCAGGCATTGGGTGTCATTGAGCAGAGAGGGAATGTGATAAAGTACACAGGTTTGAGAGCAATGAAACATTCTGTGTGCAGCTTACTTCCGGGTTTTCATGTCAGAGAGTTTCTTCAGACGTTTCTTCAGCTCCAAGGGGAACTTCTCATAGCATCGCTTACACACGGGCTTCATTTCAAACTCCACAAACTTATTCCTACAAAAGTCACAATAGCAACTTACATCGCATGAATCAGAAAAATAAGAGCACATTAGACAGTCACTTAAATACAAGTGGCAATCGATATACAGGAACCCACGGTTCAAGTTATAATTCAGTGATTTGGGACGGCATTCACTGTCAGAGAGAGGATTCAGAGAATGTTTAGACAAAGGGTTAAAGGCACACTTCAGCAGTATTAATACCACTTTGTAAATTTCAAATTAGGTTTAGAACTGCAGTAAACCTTTTACACTAATAGAATGAAAACTTGATTGAACTGCCTGTTGACGGGGGAAGATAGATCCAATTAATTTAAATTCCTGATCATACTCCAGCATATTCTACATGCCGCAATATGGGTGATGCTCACATATCAATGTAGCACTTAATTGCCACCCATGGCGCAGCTGTAGGTCCACTAAAATAGAAGCAATAAATGGCACAGTGAGCTTGAAATGTGTGTTACTGACAGTAAGAAGCTGGACTGTATCTATTCAAATCAGTCTTACTTAGAATCATTGGTTCATATCTCCCAGTGAACATGAATTTGACATTCTGACAGAGGAGAGACAGACGAGGCTACGAACATTGCCAGAACTCAGAGCTAAATTATGAACTAATAATAATTACTGGATACTTACTTGAGAGTGAGTCTGGTGTTACAGGTGGAGCAGGCGAAACATTGCACACACCAGGACTTATTCAGAGCTGAAACCACTGCAACAGGACACAGAAAGCATTATCTCTTTGTTTGCTCTTTCAAGTCAACCATTAAAGCATCTCAGCTTGTTACAGTTAGTGGAATGTGTCAGCACATCAGAGCTTACCACATCTTTCCTCATTACTGCGAACAGCAAGAGGTGTCTTTCCATTGCAAAGGGAATAGAAAATGTCAGTAGCAAAAAATGGGAATAGCAGAAGTGGATAGGGAAAAAAATTGGGAATAGAAAATATAGATCAGGGAAAGATGGGAACACGGGGGAAAAGATCAGTTCCTTATTAACACTGGGATGTTAGGTACCAGAGCAGTGATTCAGAAGGATGTTCTTACCATCTGCTTCAATCACATGGTTACAGTGAAAACACACGTCTCCAAACAACTGTGGAAATAAAATGGAGATGCGGATCAGCAAGACAGAAAGTAACTGTTAGTAACATGTTTGCAAACAGAGCATGAATCACGTGTAATTTCACAATTACTATGTCAGTTACACAATTCTTAATAGTGATTGATAAAGTCTGCAATTCACCCAATAACATTCAATCAATAAAATCACTAACACAACTAGTAGAACAGTAAGTAATACAGTTTGTAATGAAATTATACTGTAGTAACATAACATTTAAATCCAGCAACAACAGTCTGTACCACCAGCAAATGTATATTTACCAAAGTTAGCAATACACCCACACCAGGTAATTACAGTAATACAAACACTAGAAGTAATGTAAGTGACTGGCTCAGAGAATAATATATTGAGCAACAAGCTTCTGCACAAATAGCAGCACATGTTCACAAAACATACTGAAGCAAGTGAAAGAAACCCCCACATCATGTGTGAATACCTGGTTATAATGCTTCTCACAATAGGCCAGTCCTTTCCTCTCAAAGTGACGATGTCCCAGGAATGGCTTTTCACACATTGAGCAAACAAAATGCTGCAGGAGAGAAAATAGGGAACCTTGTAACACCAGCACTGAACTCTCTGTTTCAGTAAACCTCCTCAGAATGACAGGACATGTGAGAAAGAATGAAAAGTCACCTTGAAATAGCACAGAACAGAGTCGGACAAAACAGGGCTTTGTCAATCATATTGCTCAACTTAACATACTATAGGAATTCATTCTTTAAAACAAATGCAGCACATTCACCAAATGCAGTGCCCAATGCATAGGATGGATTGAATCATTGGCGTTTAGGAAGCAACGTGATTGCAGGACAAGAACAAATGCCCGGAGCTTAGCAAGAAGTCTACTTGAAATCAACGTGAAAGGCTAAAGCTAAGATTCAGAGATGAGGAAGTCTCACAACAGCAGGATGAAATAAATGATCGGAGATTAGGCAAAGGGTACTGAGAACAAACTGGAAATATACTTGATCACTGTCACAGAGCAGTTACAAAGGATAAAGAATAAACCAGAAGATATAGAAAACTTTCCAAAGATTGCTTAGATACTTTGGTAGAAAACAATAACAGAAAGACTTTTGTACCCCATTCTCTCTCTACTTTAGTGCTCTGTCCACTTTTCTCTTGAATGTGGTTAAAACATTTTCAGTACCTTCGTAATAACATAATTTTTACATTTATTCACTGATGTAGATCTCCAAAATTTCCCCGGGGAAATATATTACTGGAAATGATTGAGAACAGTGTTTTAAAGAATTAATTTCTATTGTTGAGTGAAAAACATTGATAACCTGGCTGGGTTGCTTTCCAAAGTGGTCTCCAAAATCTTGCTGTATCCCATTCTTGTGTTATTCTGAAGTGACTGATTCTCTTTGAACTTGTATTCAGATCGATGCCTGGATTTTAAAGACAGAATGTACTGCCAATGACTCACCTCAACATGCCACTGCTTCCCCAGAGCGTTCACCACTCGCCCCTCAATGGGCCGTCGACATGCTCCGCAGATCGGAATCCCCATCTTGTCATGACAGGGCAGGCAGTACAGCTCACCCTTCAGCTCCCGAGCATCAGCAGTCAGCTCCTTCCTGCGTGTTACAAACCAATGGTAGCGATTGATAAGAAACACTTCCAGTGCCCAGTTCAAATTGGCTGGTGATCCGATCAATTTAGTGCCAAGCCAGGTCATTCAAAGGGAAGGATTCTGTAGCACAGCCCAAGGAACATATCCAATTAACAATAAGCTGGTAGCTGCACAACTGGGATCCACATACTCTCCAGTGGTAATATGAACTGTGTGACATCATTCACCAATGCAAACCACAGCTTCATGAGCTCAGCATTGCAGATGGAAAATAAGGCTCTATTAACACAGCCCACTATTGGGACATGAAGCTCTGTCTATTGAATGAAACCGAATACATGAAACGCTATGAAATGAGCAACAATGACCAACTCTGTCAGCTCAATGCAATTGAAAGTAAGCACTCAAAGTTATAAGTAACTAACTCACACCATATACAGATTGGAATAGTATCCCAATACACTGATGCTACTTATAAAGTAGAATTAAATGGGAATCCAAACTTACCCACAGTGGGTGCAGTTGAAATGGTCGGGGTGATAGGCATCATTTTTGTACATCAGATGCAATTCCTCGATGATGAGGTGGCATTTCTGGCAGATGTACTGGCCGAGATACTTAGCTTTCTCCTGGTTGTGGCAGGGTCTGCAAAGATGCCTGTGGGTAAAATACCAAAGTGAGAGAGTCCGGAACTTACTAAATATTTTACCACTGTACTTACATATGTAAGTAAATCTACCTTTAACCCCTCTCGCAGATCCAGCATTCCTTCCATCTCACTACTCTGCCAGCCCTCCTTCCTGCAGTCTCTACTCAACTCATGTGAAATTTTTGATTCGTTGCCAATATTTACAGAATTTTTTGCCTGTTTGAGAATTCTAAACAGGTCATTTAGTCCGAGTTTGACTTAAATCCAGATGGCAGGATTTGTACATGAACTTTGCTGCCAAAGTCATTCCAATTCTGTTAAATTCGATTTATTTTTCGAACAAATTAATAGATGTCAAATTCTATTAAACTTTGTTTTGAACCATATAGCTTTTGACAGAAGATAACTTTATTTGGGAATGAGAAGAGCTCTTATCCCATACAACATCTTTCTCCTTTCATCTCTAAACCCTTGTTCATAAACCAGTCTTTGGATTGTGAGGAGCCTCACATGCTGACTCTGGTAAAAATGGGTTTATTGCAATTTTCCAGTGAGACGTTGAACTGCTTTCCCTTGTTTATCAGGAGAAACCAAAGAAATTATGACCAAAATGGGATTCTTAAGGACTATAAAGTCAGTGTAAAGAGCACATACTGAAGCATTTAAGTGTACTTGCATGTGTCTATAAGTGTGTGTGTGTGTGTTTATGTGCGGTGTGTGTGTGTGAAATTGAGACTAACAGCTGTAACATCTCACCTCCTTGGCCTGCCTGGGTCGCTGTATATGTAACTGAGACGAACAACAGGTGGAATTTCTTGCCCACATGAACAAAATCCAACAAGGTCTTTTCTTTTAATTTTGCGAAATATTTGCTTTTTAAACTTGAGACCACTTCAAACCCGACTGAAATCCGAGCCCTTTGCTGCCAAACATCATTATTCAAAGAGCGCGTACACAGGCCCTAGCAGGGAGGCATGTCTATGTGGGCACACTCTGTCCACAGTGTGTGATTCCAATAGTATCCCACAAGCTGATACCATAAGCTTACTGTAACATGGCTGTTCCTCATGCACAGTTACCTGGTGGCATTGCTGCTGGTATGAAATGACCTCAAACTGTTACAGGAGCAGCAATTCAGGGAGAATGAATTTGGCAGCAAAGGTCTACATCAAATAATCCTATTAAATTTGTTCGAAAAATAAATCGAATTTAACAGAATTGGAATGACTTTGGCAGCAAAGTTCATGTACAAATCCTGCCATCTGGATTTAAGTCAAACTCGGACTAAATGACCTGTTTAGAATTCTCAAACAGGCAAAAAATTCTGTAAATATTGGCAGCGAATCAAAAATTTCACATGAGTTGAGTAGAGACTGCAGGAAGGAGGGCTGGCAGAGTAGTGAGATGGAAGGAATGCGCAATTGGCTGCCGCGTTCGCCCACAAATATACAGTCAATTCACTTTACAGTGTGTTCTGTGAAGCGCTTTGGGACGTCCTCCCGACGTGAAAAGCGCTATATCAAATGCAAGGATTATTATTATTATTATTATTATAAAGTGATCCTGGCGTTTCTGCTAACTAAGACCTCTTTCTGAGCGCTGCAGAAAGGGTTTATACAATGACCTGGTTACATACTCAGTGCTGATCCGAGTCAAGAGAGAGACATCTGTGGCATTTCCAGAGAAAGAGGCTGTGTGTTCTCGGTGGAATCAAGTCACTCATTCACTTTCTCTCGCCCTGGTAAAGCGTCACTAAAGTGCTCTGTGGTTAGCGCTCTGACTGAATCACATAGGAGCTGTTGAGGTTATTTTAATGAGGGCAAGGTTGCCAGCTGTGCTGTGTGGCTGATTTGTCGTCTGAAGTCTTGATACCGCTGCAGATGGCTGGGCTCAATTGCAGGTGTGTGGATTGAGCTGGCCTCCAACTCACACAGCAACCAATGAAAGCCTGATGCATTAGCCTTCCAGCTGCAGATATCAGTGAAGTTACAGTTATTCTGTAGCTATCAATGGTTACTGTCCAAGTGAAGGTCCCATGAGAGTGAGTATCCAGGTCTGGGTTACAAACAATGTATTAAAACACTTTGGAATTCAATGCTTGTTTACCAGTTGCATGTAGAATACAGTCAAGTCAGGGCAATATCAAATGGAAGGATTATCATTATTATTACTACTATTATTATTAGTCGCTGCCCTTTGCAGTAAACCCTATGAAATGCAGTACTTTGAAACATCCTCCCAAAGTGAAAGGCACTAAATCAGATGCAAGGACTATTATTATATTCATTCCAGGACCTTGATCTTGTATGACTTGTGATTAGCCTTCATCTTCTACAAGATCTGTGACCAAGTCTATATTCTGTGAAGTCTGCAGCAACATTCCTTCCTCCAAGAAGTCTGTGAGCACCCCCTCCCCCTCTTGCCAACCTGCAGCTAACACTCTGGATTTAGGTAGACAGGATGCATCCCTCCAGGGAGAGAGTGTGCATTCCATTCCAATAGATGGGAATTTCCATGTGTAGGTGGGATGCATTGAACACTCAGTTTGGTTTGGATTCTATTAAGCACAGTGATGGGTTTGCACGTGTATCAGGCACCCGATTAACCCCCAAAAAATCGTTCCTGATTATTTTCTCCAAAATCTAACCTTCACTTCCCATTTATAAATCAATCATGCTCTCTTTGTTCAGAACTCTCTCACGTCTCTGTTTCTCTCTCTCTCATAATCCCCTGAGTTTGATAGGACGTCAGTTCTAACATTACTACTGTAACTATTTTGCGCAGTCAGATGGAATGAATGGGGCTGCAGTATCTGTACACAAACTATATCTGTTCTTTTGAAACTCGTTCGCTAAAAGTGTCCAATGTTTGACACTGTGGAGGATTCATCCTTAGCGGCATTTTTAACACTCAAAACTCGAGCAAATTTGTTGAAAGAGTCCTGTTCAAACGCTATGAAAGTAGAAAACGAGCTCTATGTGTCTGCATGAATTGATAGAGCTGCTCTTTCTGTGACTCAAGTTATCAAGGTCATTGGTCTGGCTCAGACACACTCACAGCTGCTGTTTCCCTGTTCAGCTTTTCTGTAAGAAAACATCTGTATTCACATAAATCAACTCTCCAAGTTCACCAACCCAAATAAAGGACATTCTGTTCCAATCAACACCGTGAAGTATTTAGAATCTTGGTCAAAATACACCGGACCCCAGCCACAGACCTGGGCTCAAACATACCGCTCCTTACCCACAGTCCTGAACTTTAACACACTAACGTTATTTTCCTTCAGTGCAATCTTGGTGAAGGTGCAATATTCCTGGAAGTCACAAAACCGTGTCTCGCTGTACCTGTGGAGCGAGCACGGAAAGGGGACAGGAAGCTATACATTCTGGAAGAATACGTGGAAAGACAGAAATTTGTGGGAAAAACAGCAGACCAAAAAGCAGACTGACAGACAACGCAGCTGCTGCCACACATATCCGATTAAACACCTCATTTGGCTGTTCTTTTCTTCCCCGTCTAGCTTTTTGCTCTGCTCCCATCCATTGAATTAACTCAATACCTCCCACCCATTGAGCTAGCTGGCAATCCATCCTCGTTTGGAAGATTGTCCTTAGTACACTGCGACTCACAATGCAGGGAATCATTGTTTTACATGATTTCACATGTAGATCAGGAGCACTATGGGTTGGTAGAATGTAAAGCCCTGTTATTTTAAGCTTGAGTGACCCCATAGAGGAGGGGATATTCCGCTCAGAGGGCCCCTTTTGAATCTCAGGAATGGGATGTCAGACTGCACTAACTGGTACGTGCATATTTCTGACGACAATTTAAAGCTCTTAACAATCCCTCATATTGTAGTTTCAGTTCCCAGCCTTTCCTTTGCTCTTGCGCATTTGACCGTGTGCCTGTCCATTGTTGATTGACAGCGAGTTGAGCGGTGGAAAGACGCAGTGACTAGTCCCTACGCTTCATTTCATGCACCAGAACCCACCACCACCTCACCAGAAAAGCACTCGGTTTCTTTTCATCAGCTGCCTGCTTATTCCAAATTCAGTTCCGTGTTTGCAGAGGCAACTGGCAACTTATGCGTAAGAGTGAGTCAATCCGCAAGAGCTCTTGGAGTCACGCAGTCATTCAGGGGCTGATACCAGCTCTCCATCTAACATGAGCTCCAATCCATGTTTATCAGCTCTCTTAAAGACCACTGCGTCTCTCTTCATGAGGGGGTGGGACGGGGAAAAAGGGAGAGAAGGTAAATGAATCCTCTGAGGTTGAGCTGTCTCCATCGCCACTAGAATATCCCAGCAAGGCAGCTGTGCAGTACTCCAGGACATTGTTGATGACTGAAGCTTGGCATCACCTCACCACTGAGGATGTAGTGTTTGAGTGATGCCAAACTTCAATATTAAAATACAGTAGATTGTAGGATCCGGGAAAGACAGTGTCACAAGACAATAGGAATGAATGAATTACAATGACATGATGCAATAAATCTTTGCTTCAACAGAGAGGGGATGCCAAGAGGTGGAAGGGAACGCAGGGTGACATAGATCAAGCTGCGAAAGAATAAGAAGAAAAAGTACAATTGAAAGAATGGAGAAAGACAAGAACATTTGTAATGAATAGAGAGAAATTGGTCACCAGAGGCGATTCTCGATACGACAATAAAAGTGGTGAATGTGGGACACTTCTGTGAGTTTTACTGATCAGAACACACTCTCTGTGAATGCGCACGATATAGTACCTACTTTGTGAGTGTGCAGGACATGCACACTGTCACCAGCACTGAGCCTCTGCGAATGGAATTTGATTCTTTTGTGGGCTGAAAATGTGGATCAATGGAGCAATGCCTCTGTTTTAATATAAAATGGCATAAGATGGATCTGATGGCCCACTTTTGTGTGCCTGGGACCCTCTGTTCTGTGAGTCCCTAAGTTTAAGGATAAGCTTCCGTTGGCCACAACTATCCAATTCATGCTCCCCACACTGACCGCCACCTTCCTGACCAGCTAATTTTAGCCCTTTTGAGAAACGGACACTTGCTGAAAAGTATGAAAAGTGTCTTTTTTCCATCATTTCCTTCTGAAGAATTCCAATAAGTGCTAAATATTGCTGAGACCCAGGACAAAGAATCGGCTTTATGTGCGACATGTTAATGGGAAGTTGAACTGGCCTCTGAGGTTTGGCGAGAACGAATGTTAAGGATTCTATGAATGAAGGCAGCTGTTTCATTCAGGATGTGCTTAACATTGTTCGAACTCTGACCCTGTGGGGTTAATGTAACTTTCTGTTGTGATGTCATGAACAGAGTGAGCGGAAACCTATGGATTTTCATCTGCATATTGACTACAATGGGATTGGGACCACTTGGGCAAGTTTCCTTACTCCACACAGAGCCTTATAATAATCCCTCCAAAACCCAAAACAATAATAAAATGGTCATTTTCAATCTACGACTGTTTGTGGGACATTGCTGTGCGCAATTGGCTGCCGCGTTCACCCACAAATATACAGTCAATTCACTTTACAGTGTGTTCTGTGAAGCACTTTGGGACGTCCTCCCGACGTGAAAAGCGCTATATCAAATGCAAGGATTATTATTATTATGTCAGGACTGACAGAGCCTGCAGTGAATCGTGATCGATATACAGGCTGCCTCACTTCACTGAACCCTTCTCCGAGTTGGACCACTGCCGCCCCACCACAAATGAGATAATAGCTGCAAAACTGGGAAAAAGGCCAGGAGCAAAGTTCCCTGATATTCAGCCACACCTTCAACTACCACTATTCCAGTTGTGACAATCAGGCAGCACTATTCTCCTTCATGAGAATAGTGAAGTGTTGCCTTCTGGTCACTTTTAATAGCAGGTTACTGCAACCCCTGAGCAATAACAACAACAAATTACGTTTGTATAGTGCTTTTCACCATGATCACAACACAACACTGACCATGATCAAAGAGGGTTAATGTTGCCCTGACCATCCCACTGACCATTACTGCACAACCTGTAGCTCGTATACTCAGAATTTGAGTTACTCTACTACCTCTCTGGACTCACGATAATTCAACTTAATTAATTTAGGAGACACAGACTTGTCTTCTATCCAGAGATTAAAAAAAAGATTGCTTGCACTATTCAGCAGGGTTTGAGGCTCAGACAGTGACACTACATTATCACTGACTAAATACTGCCTTTTCATAGACACTTGTTTAAAAAACGCAGTAAATGTTTGGAGGCTGTGTCCAGTTGCCATGCCACCTAACCTCCCCCCTCATTGCCCCCACTGTCCCCACACTGATATGCCTCTGCTGAAACCTCCCATTGTACAGGGAATCCTGTGAGGAATCTGTCACATAGATTCATAGAAAAGCCTCGTTGACAGGATAGACCCCGCTACAGGGATCTCATAATGGAATCACACACAGAAATATCATAAAGCTCGTCGCAGCACGTTTTAGGGCGGAAAATACAAATTCTTTTCATTTGACACACAATCAGCTCCCTCTATTGGTATTAACAATGCTCTGTGCCTATTCTCTGCACTGGTTATATAGTGGAACCACCCCAGTTAGTCAGCCTGATACACACAGCCTTGATCATGTGCAGCACTTGGAAATGTGCAGGTCTCGTGTAATTTACTTACACCTCAGTTTTCCTGAATGAACTAGAGAAGCCGGACTTGGAAGTCAAGAAATCAGGACTGGGAACCATTCTCACAGACTTTCTACTAACTCCAAGGATATCAGCACAGCAGCAGCACCAGCAGGTATGTTAGTTTGTTAACAGCTGTTGTTCTTTTCAATTCTCATTGCAGAAAATAAAGTGAGGGAGAGATTATAGTAACAGGGAAGAGAGAGAGAAAGAAACACAAAAGGAAGAAGCCGGAGGGATAGGAGAAAGAACAGAGGAAATACAAAGGGCTGTACAAACAAATTACTATACTAGCTAGTAAATCAAAGGGAAGGAAAAGTTGTGAAACAAACTGTAAGCAAGATATGAAATGTTTTTAATGGATAAAGAGAATAGGAATGATTTTAGAAATTATTTTATATTTTTGCATTTTATTATTCTCTAATTGTTCGATGAGGATAAAATAGTTTGAGCTGATAAATATTCAGAGCTGCTATTTGTAAAGTCCAGTACTTTATAACTGCAGGAAAACACTGCAACACTAAAACACATCAAAGTGGCTTCTGATTACGGAACTATGACTAAACCTTTGATTCAATCTTCAATCCTATTAGTGACGGCAAATTTTCAATGTTTCTCAAACAAAGTGCACAGAAAGGGTTTCCGTTCAGTCAAAGGCAAGTCACTCATCAATGGTGTCATCAATTACAGTCAGTTGTTTCAAAGTTGGAAATGCTGTAAGAAGCAATAGTTTTGATTAAACTCGTTAAACTGAGACCCTGCGTATGTCCACGACTTTATGGAGAGTTAACCCATTAAAGGTGAGGCAAAATGCTTCAGTTTGCGGAAGGTTTGTGATACTATGAAGCGATGAGTTCGGAAAGCAAACACGCTGAGCGAATAAGCAGCTATTTGTAATGGAATGGGATTGTTCAATGAGAAATCCAAGTAAGGACTCCATTCAGTAACCGGGATGTACCTTGTGTTTTTGGTCAGCTAAGCGTCTGATACATGCGCCCGTCATCACGTGAAAAGTATCCAAACCAATCTCACGTCCATTATGCACCTCTCGCCAAAATGTATCCACCTGATGACAGCTAGCTTCAAATCCACATCCATTTGCAGTTCGCATGGACTGGATATAAATTAATTAACTTTACTGGAGGTTCCTAGTATTTGCCCTTATCGTCGAGTTGCTTAAGTTCCCTGGAGTCTTTCTCCCACTGTGTCAAGACTCCAACCATGAGATATAAAATATTACAAGCATGTAACTATTCATATACCTCTATATGAAGTATTAATGCTTGCTCTTCCCTTGGGTTTGTTCACCATGATCTGCATTGTCCACTCACCATAGCTCCAGATTGAGACCCTTCCACTCTGTTGACCAAGTTGTGTTCACGGCACAATTTACTGTCAAGCAAAGTGTTTTATCTGTCCCAGCAAAAAAATCAGACACAATAGACTGAAAAGCATCATCGGCCGGAACATTTACGTTTACTCAGTGTTGGGGTGGTCCTTGCTCAGCTTCAGGTGCTCCCATCTCAACGACTTGTCGCATGCTGCTTGCTGTCTCAGTGATAGGATTATTCATCACTGTCGTTGAATTTCAGTACCTCGGAGCATGAGAGAGTGCAGTACTTACACGCAGTCGCAGGATTTAATTGTAGAAGGCAATGCCAAAGATTGGCCTTGGGTTTGGTTCAAAACTGCGCAGATCGTTTTATCAAACTGTTGGTAAGGAGGAGGATTAGGGAGTGGGGAGGTTGTCAGACTGAGTGAGGCATTCCTCACATTCTTTCCAAAAGAACAGTTTATATCTGTGGTAATTGAATCCTTTCCGAGGCTCTCTAACAGGCACCACGGTTAGGGAAAACCACTGAGAAGTTCAGCGGTTGCCTGAGAACCCCGAGCACTTTCTACTAATTTCAAGCTCCCAGCTGAACTGTAAGCCTCAGAGGCACTGTGTGAGATGAGAAACTCTGACTGTGCTTCTACCTTTGCACTGGCCTCAGTCTCTTTGCGGCTTGTATACAAAAAAAACAATCTGATGCTGACTTTATGTTGCACTTTTGGCAGTTATTCACCAGGTTTCTGGCAGCAATTGACTGCCAAATGTGCACTATAAGCGAGAGCTCAGGCAGCATGAATAATGCGGCATCCTCAGCCCTGAAGCACGGTATGTTCGCCAGAGATTCAGTTCACACCCAGCAGTATAAAGTGAACGAGTGCAAATCAGGGCAGTTTCCCTGAGGAAGTTCCTGCACTGGACAATTGGGTGACCAGCTCATTGAATAAAATTAGTAAAACAAAAGCCTGATTTTAACAATTCTATAAACTATTCATGGCCCAATTCAGAGGTGTGAAACATAAAAGAAGCGTAAATTCAGTCCACGTTCCTGCATTAACCCCTAGCAGTGTAACTAGAGCAACGTGGAATATTTGAAACAGAAGAAAAAATCTCTTATGCTGCTGAGTGCAGTGATATTTGACAAATAGGTTTATGGCAGGATCTTCACATTACAAGAGCAAATCACCAAGATACATTCCACTCCTACGGACAATGTACATTGTCTGTAATAGACCACACCACTACTGCTGGACACATGAAAGACAAACATTACCACGATATCCTGACCCGCTGTGTCATCAATGCTAACAATCCGGATTTACCAATGTACACTCCTGCCAGGACCATGCAACAGAACTTGCCGGTGACTTCATTCAATCTGTCTTTCTGAATGAGAAAATGAGGATTTAACACAGTACAATTAGGCCTGATATGGGAAAAAAAATTATGAATTTTGTTCTGATAATTGAAATTATAGTCTTCATGTTTCTGCAGGAAGTTAAGACCCTGGGGGAATCTGTTCTCATGTCTCTCTTGCCCCCATGTCCCATTTATCCTGTTACTTTCCAAACAAAACCCTTTGACCTTTGTCTAGCTCAAACATGAGTGAATTTCTTGGACATGCCTTGTTAAGGAGGAGGTCACTTCATTCGTTTCAGCTGTTGTTCTGTCAAAGAGGCGTCAGTTACAAAACATCTCTGGTGGACACTTTATCGGCACCAACTTCTTGCAGGTTTCATGTCACTGCTGCACCCCACACTTCCCTGCCTCCCTTCAGTTAGCTTTATAACTTCAGCACACATTCATTCCACTCCTGCACTTCCTATACAGACCACACCACTACTGCTGGACACATGCAAGACAAACACCTCTTGTACACAGGACTGAGAGTTTGCAATCAAGTTTCAAGAATAAAGAGAAGGCAATATGTCGGTCATAAAACCGAGTGCAAGCAGGGACACTGAATACGATGATTTTGTAACAGAAAAAAAGATTGCGATGAGGTTGCGAGAACATGCAGTGTGAAACGTTGGTGATGGGACTTGTCAATGAAAAACGTGCAATAATAATATAACAATCCTTGCATTTGATTCAGGCCCCTTATCACGTCTTTGAGGCGTCTCAAAGTCCTTCGCAGAATATGCCGTAAAGTGAATTGACTCTATATTTTGTCGGAGAAAGTCTGTAAGGAATTCACTGGGCAGTGCGGGTGAGTTTGCAATTAGCTGCTTTTATTTTCCAGATGCCCATTGAAGTCTCCTGGATGTGAGAGAAGCTCCCATACTATGGCCTATTCCGTTGTGTTCGGCAATGCCAGTAGCCTTCAGACAGAGCAGTGCAGCCAGGAGAGCGTCGAAGAGAACCTCTTCTTCTCCTCTTTCTACGGGATCGTGTTCGTGCTGGCGTTTGTCGGCAACACGCTGGCTGTGTGGGTTTTCTCGTGCGACAAGAACTCAAACACGACCACCAACATCTACCTGATGCACCTGGCGGTGGCTGACCTCTCCTACGTGTTGATCCTGCCCATGCGGATGGTTTACCACCTGAGTCAAAACCACTGGCCATTCGGGGAAGTCCCATGCCGCATCACGGGTTTCCTCTTTTACCTGAACATGTACGCCAGCATTTTTTTCCTGACGTGCATCAGCACTGACCGCTTCCTCGCCATAGTGTACCCGGTCAAATCCATGAGGATCCGGAAACCTCTCTACGCCAACGTCATTTGCATCGTCCTGTGGGTGGTCATTGTGGTGGGGGTGGCTCCCATGCTCGGTGCCCCACAGACGCTTCGAATGGACAACACCACCACCATGTGTCTTCAGCTGTACCGGGAGAAGACCTCCAGCTTTGCCCTCGTGCCCCTCACGGTTGGGTTTGTCATCCCGTTTGTCATCACCGTGACCTGCTACTTGCTGATCATCCGCAGCCTGCGGACGGGAAACCGGATCGAAAAGCACTTGAAGGACAAGGCAATCAAGATGATCATACTGGTTTTGACCATCTTCCTCATCTGCTTTGTCCCCTATCACATCAACCGCTACGTCTACATCCTGTCCGCCAGCGCGGCCCATTCCACCTGCAAGGGCAGGAAGGTCATCGCTCTCAGCAATCGCATTACTTCCTGCCTGACCAGCCTCAACAGCTGTCTCGATCCCGTCGTCTACTTTTTCGTGGGTGAGAAGTTCCGAGAGCGATTCTGCCACTTTGTCTGCGGCCACAGGAAGAGAGCCCAGTCCGTCAGCCACGAGACAAAAACCAACGAGAGCTCCCTCAGCGGCAAGTCAGAGCTGTAATCGCTTCAGTAATCCACATGTGCCATTTCCTGTGTGTGTGTGTCTGGGTGTATGAGTATTTGTGTGCTCACATGTTTGTGTGTGGATGGGACTGTGTGTGTGCGCCTCTATGTGTATGGGTATTAAGGAATTTGGGACAAGGGCTGGTAACTGGATTTGAGATCATCTTATAAAATGGCGAAACAGGAACAGGAACATAGCCTATTCCTGTTCCTATGTTTAAACCTGTGTATGTTGATAGAGATGAGAATTCCCTACAAAGATGCATCAATACCAGATAAAATAAATAACTGGGGGGGAAAAAAAGGTGAGGATACCTAGTGAGTATGTTTAAGGTATCAATTAGAACTTCAGAATGGTGTTTGTTGGAAGTACATTGTTCAGAGTTCCTCACAAGATGAAGGTTAGAAATCTAAATAGGTATATATGTGGTTCTGAGTTTGCGTCTTGTGTCTGTCTAGGCCTTTGGGCATGTATCTCAGTGTCTGTGGTTTGTCCCTCCACAGACCAATACTTGTCACCTTGATCCTTGACATCCAGTGACAAGTTACATTTTTAACAAAATCAAAATTAATCAAGCCTTCCAGCATCAGAACTGATCAAACTAAGACAAGCGAACTTTGAATTAATTGCCCATGAAGTATTTCCGGTACAAGCACATTTAAACTTAGTGGTAAATCTTTTCTGACTTTCATTAAAAGGAAACTTGCCTTGCGAACCCAGAGAGACGCACAGAGTCATCGTGAGGGATCAGTAATCACAATGAGGAGGGCAGAACTTCTGATAAAAGGTAGAGATTAATTTCGAGGTCAGCACTGCTGTAATCAGATACCTTCAGAATAAGATGCTCCTCTGTCAATGGTCATTCTGATCATTATTAACATTCAACTCTCTCCTTTGGCTTCTACTTCTGATCACTTTAACTTTGCCTAATTTTCTTGGATATCAATGTGAAATTGTGGCTTATTCAGTTTCCCAAACCTCTAGGTGTCTCCTTGAGTAAACCTAAGCTGGTTACACCCCCTATTACTTTGTTAAACACTGTATGAATAATCTTTTGTGAGACACCTCCGTATCTGGGACTTTGTGTTAAGTTTGCGATGGGGTATGGGTGTTTATTGATGTTAGATTTCAGAGTCTGAAATCTATCTATCTATTGTCAAGTGCTAAGTACCTTATTTGTTTAAAAAAGGAATTACATGAAAACACATAATGGAAAGATCACTATTTTGCGTACAGAAACTTGCCATCTTATCCTATATCTACTGTTATACTATTTCCTCCCACACGTCTTCTCGTAAACGATCTACATCCCTGCTCTTATATCACCCTCTCCTATCTCACCAACTCATACCAACTCTTCCTACACATCCATTCATACCATCTTCTCCTACATGCCCATTATCGTTATCAGACGCCTGCTGCAATATAGCCGTGCAGATATGGCAATGACAGGGACCCTTTCAATATAGCCACTTGAAATCAGAAAACATAACTCAACCACTACATAACAGTTGTGTTGAATTGGACTAATATTCAATAGATTCATTCTCTGGTTTGAACTAATATCTGAACTGTTACTCGCAATGTAGCACATCCTAACTGGTACTCTACTATAAATCAAGAGCCTATTTATTTCCATATAACCCATTCCAACCCGAACATATCAACATAAGGCACTCTAACTTCACTCTTTGATGTAACACAGAATTTATCCTATGCAACACTACACAGTATTGTAATCATTTCAGTCCTGGGGGAAGGTGGCAGGCTTTGGTTCAACAGTGGAGGGTGCATCTGATCGTTTTTTGGAGCCTTGGGGGCGTTGTTGCCTTCACGGATAGGGAAGCGTTTAAAATTCCTCCAGGAGATGGATCAAGTGGTGTGGTATCTATGGGAACATAGGCTTTATTTGGTCTGGGGAAACCAGTATGGTGGACTGAATGGCTTTTCTCATTCTGTGTTTCAACTGTATGGTTGTGCACTGGTTAAAGCTCACCTGGAGCCAGCAGTCTAGAATTCAGCGAGAGTTCTTGAAACACTCAAGCCTCTGTACCAGACTGTAGTCTCCAAGTCCTTTGAACTGTGCTTTCTTTCTCCTTGATTGGTTTTCCATAAATATTATCCTGTATATTAGTGGCTATTTTAACTTGTATTTGACATTTCTATTCACGATCAGTGTTATGAACCTGTATTTTTTTAACTTGTTTTTGAATATTAAAAGACATTCCTTTTTCCAATATGTAAAATGTCTATTTTTTTTAGGTGTTCCCACACTTCCTATGAAAATATTCTACTTGATCTCAGTCGGGATAAAATTTCTGGTGCTATAATTGGTTCCAGCGCTCATTGGTTAAGGAAGGGTGGAGGGGAATCAGTTCCTGATCACTATCGAGTCAGCCTGATAAGAAACTGCTTAGAAAAAACTGCTGCGATGGTGATCAAATCAACATCCCCTTATAAAACTCTAGAGACACATAACTTACAGGAGGTTTACGCTAGAATATGGTTTCAACAGCACACATCATCAGCATTTGCCTAACATCTTGCTGAATCCAAATGTATACCAAATGTATCCCATCTTGGAGACCTCTGACTTATCCATCAATAACAATGACGGTCTTATACATTAAAAACAACCTTAGAAAAATAAAGAAAACATATTAATACATTTCAAAAAGCACCCACAACAGACTTTCTGGTTCATATCTTGTGAAGTATCAATTCTCAGTTAACACAATGATATGAGGCCATTTATTTGAACTGCCAATGAATGAACGAACAGAACATTTTTCCCTGTGGACATACCTTCCTGCATTTTTCACAAAGCCCAGGTCAGCCAGAGGCACGGAACAAATCTCACAGCAGAAACAGTGAGGGTGCCAGTTATTGTTCATTGCTTTGATGACACGGCCAATGATGAATTCCCCTGGTTAGAAAACAGAGCAGGAAAGGTATAATTATTGTTCATTATAATTTCTGTTCCAATAAACAGAACTGAACAGATACAGATCTGAGACTGGCCTTGTCCTGTTCTTAAAAAAATCTGGAGGTCTTTATCAAAAAATCCAAATCAATGGTTACACTGCTTTATTAACTTGTACAGGGCAGCGTGAGACTGTAACAAGTTACCAATACTGAACAAACAGTGGATTACAGGGTTTTATAATAATTTGGTCACTCAATCCACGACTGTTTGTGGGACGCTGCTGTGCTCAATTGGCTGCCGTGTTTCACCCACAAAATACACAGTCAATTCACTTTACAGTATATTCTGTGAAGCGCTTTGAGACGTCTCGAAGACATGATAAGGCGCTTTATCAAATGCAAGGATTATTATTATTATGTAGAGTGTGCGGTGGATCAAGAATGGCATTACACATACTGAATGAAAAGTCACTTATACTGAGGTGTTACTGGCTGGAGGATAGTGAAAGACTATTGGTACTTTTACACCATGGCTCCTGCCAGCAGCAAAGACCACAACACTAAAGTGGAGGTGTTGACTGAGATCCCATTCGTTTTCTTCACAGCTTTGCCCACTTGTCTTCCCACTTTTGAAGATTTATGCACGTTAACCCTGTGTCATGCAAAAGCATTATAACAAGAAAAATGTGACCAACACTGACTAAACAGTAACACACACATATATACGCAATCAGAATGGACTAGATCCCAATCCTTACCGCAATATCCACAACAAGGTGCGAAGAGCATCTGGAAGTCATGTTCACAGTACTTCCTGCCTTCAAACTGAAATAGAAGAGACAACTGTGAGCAAGAATCTCACCGCCTGCATTGTAACTGTCATCATCCAAGTGAGATTCAACAACAGCAACAACTTGCATTTATATAGTGCCCTTCACGAGGAGGGTAGCATCCCAGAGCAACTCAAAAAAGATCTACAAATTCTCCCTCCGGCACCTTCTGTTGCTCATTTTATTGGCTTTGCCCATTGAAGTACAGTTGCAAGGTAAATTATTCTATTCTCATACTTTACTGAGAAAGCGCTGGTCGTGTTAAGAGTGATGTTCTCAGGACATGAAGAGACATCACTGACACACCCTTGGGCTGGCAGTTCAGACCAGGCTTACCTCGTAAAATACTCCTGCCGGAAACTGCCGGAAGCACTGGGCGCACACGAAGCACTTCTCGTGGTACAGCTTCCCATTGCTGTTGACAATCCGCTCCGAGGGGTCGAATCGTGAGTGACAGCAATCACATGTCGCAATCGCGAGAGCGTCAGCCATGTCACTGCGAGGAGAAAGAAAAAACATAGCTAGCAATAACATCAATCCAGTACGAAAGGAGCTTGGTGTGAAGGGTGCACAAACACGTCCCATATGTTTCACCTAGCAATAACATTAAAACATTCCTAATGAAAAAGTGCTCATAGTTTCTGAGGTGCACCAACGCCACTTGAGCTTTTTGCTTCCAGCTTGATTATCTCTCAAAAGCTGTTCAGTGTCAATGAGAACAGCCTCCAAAGGGCAAATAATGAGGTTACATTTTTTATAAATTCACTATATTACTGTGTGAGCTTATTCCATGTGTCCTCCTCCTTCTCCTCCTCCACTGGTCAGCAACACTGACTGACTGCTCTGCCCACGTGCTTATAAAAGCTGCTTTGTGAGAAGCACGCAGCTGACTGCCGCCGCTGCTGGAATTACATGCCCCACAGCAACACAGCCAACCTCTGTCCTTAATTGCAAAGCTGAGGAGCCAGCCACTTGCTCCCGATAAAGAACACTCTGTATTGGTGTTTATTTTGCATTTAAATGAGGCCTATGAGGCCACACACTTCCGACGACCTTCCCTGATCATCCGCCTGCCTTTCTGTATCCCTGACCACCCCTCACCCCGACCCCCAAACCCCCGACACTCACTCTTTACAGACCACCATCCGACCGTACAGTATACACAGGGAAGCTTCAGTATGGACAGAAAGTGTTGGCCATTGAGGGGGCAGAAGTGTCAGAAATTCTATTATGGAAACTGCACGCCTCACGTCATTTTAACATCACTACCAGAAAAGCAAAGAGGGTTTTTTTTTACATAGAAGTTTCCTAAGATATTAGGTCTTACCAAAAACCTCCGGTTGAAATGGAATCCGTGAAGGCTTTAAAAAAAAGGTATTGTACAAATATTTGAAAAGGAAAACACGTGGGGGAAAAATGAGGATCAGGAAAAAATGGATAGTCTTTGTAGAGAGCGAGCACAGGCATGATGGGATGAATGGCCTCTTTCTGTGTGGAAAAATTCAACAATTCTAGCGATGATAAACACTATACCAGGTCATTGCACAGTTTCAGCTTGAACAGTCAGTTTCCTGCCAATAACAGTAGGGGGTCAGGACATTGTGTGGTACTGGTGACGGGACTTTGTTAAGATTGCTGGTTATAAACAGGATATGCTGCGTAATGCAATGTCCAAAATGTTTACTGAAAGTTGAAGGAAATCACTGAGACAGAAACATCGCAGTCACATTCCAATGGAAAACACAACAACATGCCACTCGTTCCTGGGTTGACTACGACAAGTGGCACATTTATGTCACCTATATTTGGCACCTGTGCATAAGAGAGTCAGATTACAATACAGTCAAAATTACATTTGTATAGCACCTTTTACATTGGGAGGATGTGCCAAGGCCCTGGGACAGTCAAGGATTTGGACAGAACCTGAAAATGAGAGTGATGAATACCGACGAGAGTGCTACTACAGAGATCCTTATAACAGCATGTTGTAACCTTATAGTGTGGGTCCGTGTGGCTGTCCTATACAATACTAATAACCCCTTATTGACAGCTAATATGAAACTTAATACTTTAACCAAGGAAGAGCCCTCAGAATTTAGTCTGAACCAGTTGTTCCATTTATTATTTATCCCAGCAATGTTATAGCTATCAAGGGAGTTCTTGTGACAAGCATTCACAACTAAAGGGTCATATGCAAATTATTTGTAGTTTCATGACAAGGTCCTTTATCACAGAAAGGACTCCTTTATCCCTACTTTCCAGGCTGGTTCCCAAATCAGAGCTGTGCGTCTACAGTGTATCCTCAAATGCCGATTACAGACAGGAGCCCTGAATCCTCTCTGGTAGGGCGGGATTTAAACTGCTCTCAAAGGTAAAAAGGCTACATTCTACCAGACTGTTCCATCTAATCCCAATGGACAAGGGCTTCCGCTGAGTACAGTAACGCTTTCTGTGTAAGCAGCACTTCGTTTAAATAACAGATGGTCTCTTGTCCCTATGAATCCCAATACTGCAACAACTTGCATTTATATAGCACCCTTCACGAGGATATGAGCGAGTGAGAAGAGGGGAAAAGGGAGATGTTCAAAGAGGTAGGTTTTAAAGTGGGGTTTAAAGAGGGGGCAAGGCGGAGGGTGTAAGGTAGTGAATTTCAGAGATTAGAGGTTCAAGTATAGTATCTGAAGGCTCGGCAGCTGATGGTGGTGAGGAATGCACAGCAAGCTCAAGTTACCCAAGTGTAGGTAATGAGCAGAGCAGGGTAGGACAAGGTCAGAGAGAGTGAAAGGATTTACAGTTGAGGGTGAGGACATTGGTCAATCCGTTGGGAGCATAGGAGCCAGTGGAACCTGCGAGGATCTGGGTGTTGGTCATGCAGAGTTTGGTGCAGGTGAGGATATGGGCAACAGAGGTTTGGATCAGCTGCAACTTACAGCACATACACTTCAGAGGGAATATCAGTATGGTAGCATATACACACTAGGCAATACCAGTCCTATAGCAAGACACTTCATTTGACAGCATGTACACATTACCAGTACAAAGAACCCAGCACCACTCTCGATTGTAATCTACATTAACTACAGAATACCATTCCCAAATTGACCAATCTATCTTCCTTCAGGGTATTTCATTAATACTAATAATAATCTTTGCATTTGATATAGTGCCTTATAATGTCAACATGTCTCAAAGTGCTTCACAGGGTTTATTTACTGTAAAGTGCAGTGACTATGAATTTGTAGATAAACCTAAAAGCTAATTTGTGCACAGCAATGTCCCATAAACAGTTATAAAGTGAATGACCAAGTCATAATTAACTGGAGGACAGTTGGCCAAGGCACAGTGGGAAACTCACTTCTCATTTTGAGCAGCGCTGTGAGATATTTAATGTCTACCTGAACAGGCAGAGAGAACTTTGATTTAACGTTTCATCCAACAATGCGTCTTTTCCCTAGCACTAGACTGGATTGTCAGCTTAGACTATGAGTTAAAAGTCCCGATGTAGGGCTCGAACCTGCATCCTTCTGATTCAGAGGTGAGAGTCCCAAGTGACTCGGCCTGACACGGAAAAATAATTGCTTTATTCAGTTTTCTGAGTCTAAAGCCACCCTAGTTTGTCCTCGGCTGGGGCTAGATTCACAAAGTGGAATAAAGTTACTGTTTACAGAAAGAGACAACTGTCTAATGATAGGGAATGAAGGCCTGTCCTTATTGCTGCCCATATTCCCTCACGGCTAAAGTAAAGCCTTCCTATCTTCTCATCAGATAATTTTCTCGATGAGCGTAATCACCCCTAGTTCAGCAGAGGGCAAGGATCTGAGCGCAAGAGGCCGCAGCACTGGGACAAAAACCCATTCTGTTAACATGTGGCTGGGTAAAGCTGAGAGAAGTGTTTGGCCCTATTGTGCACTCGCTGGCAGGAAAACTGCCTGCGACAACAGCTCAAGGAACGGTGTTTCCTGTTTGTAAAGGAATCCGCCTTGTCCTTTTCAATCGCGAAATGTTCAGGGGGTTGTCAAGCCAGCACCTACCCACTTCTCTTTGCTGTGGACACAGTCCTGCTCTGCCATGGGTCTGGGGCACTGCTGTAGCGCTCGTAACGCCGCCGGTAAAGCTGAGATGAAGCAAGCTCCCGAAGTCTCACCACAGCCATGCTGTAGAGCCCTGCTTGGCAGCCACCCACCGAGCTTCCAACGACGGAGAAGGGGTGGAACTGAGCACAATTGAAAGAAGCGACTACTTCACTCGCACATTGTGAGTCAGGTTTCCTGCTCTGTTCCCTTCACAAATCAGGCACTCTGCAGCTTGCCCCAGCTAAACACTGAAAGTCTCCGGGAACACAGAAAACAAATCAGAGCAAGAAAACACCGCTGAGCTCAGCTTATCAGGTTGTTGTTTTCAGTCAGGGTGATTTCTTAACAACTTGATAAGTCGTAAAAAAAACATATTCAAAGCCTTTCTACTCTTTACTCAGATCAATTTCCATTGGGCATGGTGCAGCCTATTCATATAATGGTGTTCAGGAGGAAGGGGGCAGAGAGGTGGAGTATTTCACCGAAAGATAACAACGTAATGAAGTTTAGAAGTGGGGAGACCTCTCCTAATTCTACAGGGAATATAATAATAATCCTTGCATTTGATATAACACCTTATCACGTCTTCAAGATGTCTCAAAGCGCTTCACAGAATATACTGTAAATTGAATTGACTGTATATTTTGTGGGTGAAACTCAGCAGCCAATTGCGCACAGCAGTGTCCCACAAACAGTTGTGGTAGATTGAGTGACCAATTTTTTTTGAAGGAATTATTACCCCCAAAAGGCGATCTGCCAATCGACTAACAAATGGGTTCCTACTTACTGCTAGGTAAGCAGAGGGGAGTAAAGAAACTTACCCAATGTTTCACCCTGCAGAGAATCGAACCCAAGTCTCTTACTTGCACGGTGAGTGCTCTAACCACTGAGCTACAGGACTCCACACGATATAACACAATCCTGTACATCAGGCAGCTTCACCGTTTTTGCTTCCTTGTCTCCCATTGATATGTGCCTGTGTGGGACTTCACAGATAACCAGGTAAAGCAGAGATGCAGTTTGAATTCTTCACTGTCAGAGGAGTGATACAATATGCATTCACCTCACTGGTCTCTCTGCAGCCCATACACTCTCTCCATGTCTCCCTGACTATCCACCTGTTGCACCACCACATTATATAGTAATGCAGGTCTGCAGGTTGGAGATGCTGGAAAACCACAGGAAACAATGGTCAGGAAACGAGTGACTTCTGTGTCTGAGACAGTGTTCAGATTTTCTGCCTGAGGAACCCATTGCTACTTCAGGTGGGTTTTACTGCCTCTTCTCAAACAGAAGCGCTACTTCCCTTCGCAAAGTGATAGTGGAAGTTAAATGGTGCAATGCTGCTGCACTTTCAAAAGACCTTTAAAGTAATGAAATGACTGATAAAACAACCCCCGTGAAGGTCAGTGGTAGGAGATGCCAATTCAACGTCTTCATGTTGGAATAAGGCTGAGATAGAATGTTCATTACTCTGTGTTTTGTTAGAAACAAGCGTAAAATGTTATAAAATGCACCATTCCAAGAAACAAGACTCCATCTCTTGATAAATACTTATCTATAATACGAATTGGCTGCTGCATTCATGTAAAGTGCAGTCTGTACACTTTATAGCAAATCGTGCGAAGCACTTTGAGACATCCTGCTGTCAAGGAAGGCGTTGAACCATGAAAGATTTTAAAATGTGATTTTATAACAAGGGTCTGGTGGGGGAATCCTGGTCTGTGCTAAATGGATTGATCTCAGCTGTACTGCAGTTGGGACCCAATAATTGGCCACAACAGCTATGATTGTTAAGGAGACCAACACTCTTCTTGAAAAGAGAGGTGTTTCTCCTGGTGCCTGGCCAACAATCAACAACAACAACCTGCATTTATATAGCACGGGGTAGCGTCCAGGAACGCTTGTAAAGGACCCAGGGTAAAAGTCACTTCATGACTGTTTGTAGGATTTTGCTGTGCACAAACTGGCTGCTATATTTGATCTCAGTGCTTCCCCAGCCCTGCCCTTCACCCTCCCTGATCCCGACCCCCAGCTCGAGTCCGAAACTCTGGGACGTCCTCCCGACGTGAAAGGCGCTTATACAAATGTAATTTTGCTGTTGTATATTTGTTGACAAATACAGTACCACACTTTACAGTAAATTTGCTGAGACATTCCTCCTGATGTGGAAGATGCCATATCAAAGGTGAGCTTTATTATTATATTATTATACTTAAAATCAGGTCACACTCAACAAGTTGGGCAAACTGAGTTTCTCTGCCCCAATCCCTCCTCTGTTCCACTTATATTGTGCCCCAAGTGAGAGAGTCTGTTGCACACAGCAGGAGTGCTGGAAGCCTCGACTGACCTGAAGTATAAACCTTATGCAGTGTAGATGTCACTTGTTGCACCAAGAAATGTTCCAGATCTCTTCTTTGCCTGACAATCGTTGCTTTTTTACACGATGGGGAAAACCGTTTAGCATCAATCAACTCAACTCAACCTCGCATCTAAAGCCAACCTGTGCATTAATCCTCTCTCAAGGGAACCCATCAATTTCACACTGTTCCCTGGCTCTCACACACACACAGACACCCATCACACAGTGACCACCCCACCCTGTCCTGTCCCACAGCACAGGATCTCCCACTGACCACAATCTCCACTCAAGCTCCTGACCTCCTCATTTTGTTGCAGGTCATTCTCACCTTCCCGTCATTGTCCACTCTGCGGATGTCCGTTATTTTCTCTCGGCTGAGCTCTGCGGGTCTCCCGTTAGAAATGGCCAGACGGTTGCATCTTCGCCAGGAAAAGAATTCAACCCAAAAAAGGAAAGAGTCGGCAGCACAGTCCGCACTTGGCAGCCAAACTACTCAATCCCCGAGAGGCAGTCAGTCTAAGACGGGTAATTTGTGTGGTGTGTTTTTCTTTTGCAAATGACTTCTAAACAGAGTTAAGCTCCCAGCCAGATATTTGAGATTAAAGCCAGTGCAATGTGGTGCCGCAAAAGCCTATTTTTTTCTGGTATGTCAATAGCCACCACCCCCACCTCCCCCGAAAAAGTGACACATTAAACAATTTGCAATTTCCTGTGTCCTGCCCTGGTTTTAAAAGGGGGGTGTGGCTGGGTGGTGGGGGGGGGGGGGGCATTTGGGGCTGATATAACAATTCTTGCGCGGTATAGTGTCTTATCACAACTGCCAAAACGTCTCAAAACACTTACTATAAAGTGTAGTGACTGTGTATTTGTAGACTGACGCGACAGACATTTTGCACACAGTAATGTCCCACAAAGAGCCATGAAGTATAATTGGGGGATTTCAGTGCCTTGGGATGTCCCACCCCCCACACAAAGTTAAAGGGGCTATATAAACCTGTAAATATACATTTGTTGGTGTGGATTATTGTCTAGGATAACAAGAGAATCGCCAGATGTTGCCCAGGTTGTCATTACAACACCACACATCAATTACTTGTGGCACTTCGTAACCAAGGAATATTGTACAATTAAGGTGCAAACCACTGCCATCTGAGACCAATCCATTTTGCACGACAATTTATACCTTGGGTTATGACATGATCAATGGTACAACATATACGGACTTTCAATGCTGGGTCAAGTGTAGAGGGTCCCCATCCAGGTCCTTTTTCTGGGTATCGTTATTGTACTAACATGCCCCAAACAGTAATAGTATTAACACGTATTCTGCCATTAGGACAGCATTGCAACATGCTCAAATTCCTTGGTGAATATAAAATGCCTAACCCGATAGAGTGGCAATATCAAAGTTTTTTTTTTAAAACCGCATTAATCCATTTCTGTAATATATGTATGCACTACACTGCAAAATTACAGAATGGCAGGGCAAGAATGAAAAATTTCACTTACTCTCAGATTTTTCCATGTCCTGGCCTTTGATCCAAACCCTGAAGTTCTGCAGATCATTTATTGGGTCAGTGACCTCCCAGTGCCTCCCACTATACACAGTGCAGTTAGTTGTCTCACCTTTACAACTAAAAGTGCTGCTGCACCATACATTGTCGATCTACTTTTCCCCTGTGCAGTACTGGTTCTGTAGCGCCCTGCAAACTCTCCTTTAAGTACAAATGGAACTTTTTTTGAAATGTGTTCTGATGGGTCGCAGATCCATCACTGATATAAACAAACCATTCGCACAGGAAGCAGTAAGACTGTAAATTACCTCTGTTCCCGCTGTCAGGAGCGAGTAACTCCTGTTTTCGCACCAGATGAGAAAAATAAATACCAAATTTATCTCAGATAATTTTGTGACCAGTCCTAGTTGGCATGACATGCCTCCTAGAGGTAGTGAAGAGGAATGCGATAAGATATGATGAGGCGTAAGCTCTTTGGCCTTTATAATGCCTGTTGCAGAGGATTTTCTATAAACATATAAAATGCTTAACAACAGTTTATTAAGCATTGGGAGCTAAGAGATTTTAGACAAGTTTCCAACAGTAAGAGTCTACATTTACGCCTCAGCAGATTGGTTGAATTCCCAGCAGTAAGGCAAGCAGTGGTGGAATCAGTTAGTATAGATGATTTCAAGAGGAAGCTCGACCTTCACATGAGGAAGAGGAAAATAGAAGGATACGGGAGGGAGTAAGGAATCGGTGAAGTAAAAAACACAGCACAGACTGGTTTGGCCGAGTGGCCTGTTTCCGTGCTGCACATCCTTTGTAAACTCTTTGTAAGATAAATAAAAACGTAAAGAATAATAAAGGCAAACACTTTTTTTAAGCCAATTTTGACTCCTTGGTCCTTTCCTGAAGAAGTTTGGATTCCTTTGCTTTCTATTAGGTTTTGGGTTTCACAGGTGCTGACCATTCACCAGTACCTTATCCAAGTCAGCCTTATTCATGTTTGAACAGTGGTGCATTGTCAATATTGCTATGTTAAAGTGCGGGAATGGATGGAGGTCCACTCAGCTCAGTGTAAGGGTTCACACTGACAGATATAAAGAAGGGATAATACTATTTAAAAAAAAAGGATAAATCGCCTTCCATAAAGGTTGTGGGTTCAAGCCCCACATCGGGACTTAGAATCACATTCTAAGATGACAATCCAATGCAGTGCTGGGGTTATGTTGCATTGTCGGAGGTGCCATCCTTTGGACGAGACGTTAAACCAAGGTTCCATCTGTCTGTTTAGGTGGATGTCAAAGATCCCATGGCACTATTCGAAAAGAGAAGGAGTTTCTTCCGGTGCCCTGGCCAACAAATCCTCCAAATATAATTGATCACTCACTCCATGGCTGATTGTGAGACGTTGCTGTGTGCAAATTGGCAGCCCTATTTTGCCCATAAAATACACAATCAATCCACTTTATAGTAGATCCTATGAAGCGCTTTGAGACATCTCAACGACGTTATAATGTACTATATCAAATACAAGGATTATCATTATAAAATAAGTTAACCTCCACCCCAATTAACAAATTTAAATGCATCTTTACTGTGCTGTAGTTCAAACTAAGAAGTAAGTGGATTGACATCAGTTGTGCTTTGTGTTTGTGATATGACATACGATACACAAAATAAAGAATCAAGTTTTCAAATGTGTTTGTTAAATTTTGCACAAATTATATTGTTTAGTCATACAAAATGACACTTCAGACAGACAAACTGTACATACAGAAACAGAGCGCTTCTGTTCTGACACATATTGCTGTGTGTGGCAGTGCTCCAGAGCCCACAACACTAAAACTGCTGGAGTTTAACAACAAACACCGCTGCCAACTGTACAAAACTGAAAAAGGAACAATCGCTTCTCCTGGGGGCAGATTCAGCACTGACTGTGCACTCAAGTTCCAGTTTAAACACTGTACATTGTCATTGGAGCATCTTTAGTAAAATTCATTCTTTCAATGTTGTTTTGTTCATCTTCCTCTACTGCCTCTGGAGGATCCCCGACGTGATGGCTGACCTGAACTGTTTCCACTTCTTGCCCAGTTAGGTCCTCCCCTTGCTGTACTCCTGGGAGGAGCACCTCCGGGCCCACTGAATCCATCATCTCTGTGGAAACCATCATGATGCTCTCCCTCATGTGAATTGGAACGCCCAGTCTTGGCCACACGGGGTGCTGCTCCACCTGGTCCACTGCGGCCTGCAATACAATCCATCAAGTAACAGATTATCTGGAATGCCATTCTCCACAGAACCCCTTCTCTCTGGTGCTGGGACTCTAGCTTAGTACCAAAAATAAACAACTTGCTCACCTCAAAAGAGGATTGTAAAATGTCCTGATTCAAGTGAAAAACTATTACCCACTAAAAGGCCGTGGTTCGTGTCAACACTTAAAAATTTGTTTATGCTGCATGCAGCGAAGGGAAGCAGAGCAAATAATCAATGAAAACCAAACCCATCCAAATCTGGCTGGCTTGGTCTCACAAACTGCAGGGCCCAATTTAGCCATGTGTGCACATGGCTTCCATAGTAGTTTCCATAATGGGTCCTTGTGATTCCTTGCGTGCGATTCCACACGGCATCTGCATGCTGCAGTATCAGCTTGGCTTCCACTGCAATACCTCACAACATAACTCTGCAAACACCGAGCGAGCGGCCACCTTTGCTGTCAGGTTGACTGCTCGGGTGTCCTGTGACAACGTCGGTGCTGTGGCAGTCGTTGGTGGATATACACACACACACACACAGACAGAAACTTACTTTGGCCTCTATCGTCAGGTGTGGGACCAGGTGTATCCAAATCCCTCTGATCAGGTGTTCCCGGCCCTTCGTACCATGGCCGTTTGCGAGGAGGAAGTGATGCAGTATCCATGCTATGGAGTGATGATGGTCGCTCCCTGCTGACTGGAGACTGGCCATCACGGGGTGATTGGTCCTGGCGAGAATCATCTGGACAGTGATCGCGGCCAGGCATGCCTGTCCAATCACAGACAAGTATGTGAATACTTGATGGACAGGAATACTAACTAAAACTTCAGAATGTTGGCCACTTGTATATCAGTTATAAACTGAACCTCGGTTTATATTCTTACTAAGGGTAGTAAAACATTAGGGGAGCAAATATAAATTTTGTGCTATCCTAGGACAGTGTGGGGCAGCTTGAAAGGCTTAGACCATGACAACGTAGGTCCACAGAAAATGCTACTGTGTGTTTAAATAAATAGGGAGATGTGGGCTTTTAATATTCCTCCAAGGACAGACATACTTACACCGCCTCCCACCCAACCACACAAAATTCTCTGGGAGCAAGTCTGCAATTGATTTTCAAACAACATTTGATGACGAAACAAACCTGGTTCTCTGCCAGTCTCATGAATTTCACCTCGGTCTCCTCGCCCTACCCAGCCATCTCGGTGGCCTCCTGGAGACAGCGGCCGTTTTTCTGATTTGCGACCAGCTTCAAAACGAGGGAACTCTTCATGGCTAGGCAGGGGCAGGAGGCCCCCTCGCCCTCCTGTGGGAAAGTAGTGCATCAGGGACTGAAACTCAAACATGTTCTCTCATGCTCTAAGAAAGCTAGGTGCTTACTTTCTGTGTTTTGGTATCAAGCGGACTGTCCCGACATACTTCTATTGTCGAAACACAGCTGTCAGTCAAAATGTAGCGCGTGTGGTTATTTGGGAGCCTGGCGGTACACACAGGTATGCCTGCAATTTTGGGAGGTGAAAGAGTGGTCCACAAATGTGTTCCACTATATATTGTGTCCATGTCAACTGTGTAGTTGTCCATGAGTAAGTCTGTACATTATAATGGTGAAGGCGTTTCAACCTTTCGGATTTAATCACATTTGCATGTCATGTCCCAATAAAAAGCTTAAGTAATTAATTAGGAAATGGATTTAAAAATCAGGCATAGTTTAATCATTGTATTTGACTTTATTTCTATGTCTTAAAAGTGAAGTGTAAATCAGATGCGTGTACACACACACCTCGCATTACTCCACGACCTCGTCCTCTCCCTCCTGGATCACGCCCTCTCGAGTTCTCTTCCCCTTTTTCAAATTCTTCATTGCCAATAAACTCGTCCATCCCCAGGAAGCCATCTCTTCCTCTTGGGCCACGGACATCATGTCGAGCTCCTCCTCGCCTGAAACTTCAGAGAACATGCAGAGGTTCATTTGCAGCCTTGGTACTCTCACACCTGATAGACTGTTAAGTTTCACAGCTACCTAATAATTCTGACGGTCTCGCACTGCATCAGGATAGGAATGTGAAACTTTCCATGAGCACCTGGCTTCAGTATGAGGGTCCAGATCAGATTCAGCCCAATCCTCAACAAAAATTCTGCAAACACTGCATAGTTCACAACACAAACAATCAGCCTCGGACCCTCCTTAGTCTGAGAATCGTGCGCATATTCAAGCTTTAATTAAATGTTTACTGTCTGTAGTTTAAAGAACATATGAGATTCACCACAACCCATTTTGCATTTAATTCTATAGTTTAAACCTATGTGCATCAGCTTGTACAATAACACTCAACTTTAAGTTTCATTTCCAGTCCCATCACTGTATTAACGCTTCAAAGTCCCAACTTTCTGTACAGTTCATTTTATATTCCTGGATACAGATACACTTATCTTTAAACAAAATCCCTCAGAGAATATTGCATCAGGAGCTCCTTATCCAAACTCCACTGACTGGAATTGGCTGGCTATCAATTGATTGGCTAGTCTCTCAGCAAGCTCGATGCATGTATCTGATTAGTACATTAGTACCTGCTCAATTAATATTGCTTAATCTAGTGCACTGCAGCTATCAGCTTTCATCAATCCAAAAATTATTCCAAAACAGTTTGGATAAATAGCATGTGACGCTGGTTTACTCTACAATGCAACAATTTCTATAGCAAGTTGCTAAAAAGCTCTCTTTCTTTGAATTACTGCTGACTAAATCAACCAGTTGCCTGTTTCTACGGTCTTTGGCCCTAGACTCTTTTCTGTGCATGGGACATCATCTCGCCCACAAAATATACAGTCAATTCACTTTACAGTATATTTTGTGAAGCACTTTGAGACTTCTCGAAGACGTGATAAGGCTTTATATCAAATGCAAGGATTATTTTTATTATGTAATGTACTGTACATTCATAAAAGCAAGCCTAGAAATGTTGAAGATTAATAGTTAGTGCTGTACAATGTTACTCAAGTGTCAGTTCTTCCACATGAGCATCACTGTTTGTGCTGGAGGAGGCATAGTCTAAACTCAGCAGAATTGAGTCATATCTAATATGCAGTTCGTCTGGTTTAGAGCTTCCAATCAATAATGGTGTTGAGTTAGAAAGGTAGGTTGAGGAGGAGTGACTACACCCATCTCTTATCTACAGCAGGACAGATACTCTATCTGGACAGACTAATCCTTTGCTGAGATTTCAAATCTGAATTTAAAATTTGCATGAAGACTTACACTTCTTCAAATGGCTCATGCAGTTCAAAATCTGGGCCACGTCTGACTTGAGATGGGCGTCGCTGATCACGATGTCTCAGTTCAAATTCAGTGCCACGTTGATCAAAACTCTGTTCAAATCTACAAAAGGAATTAAGACTAGGTTGTTCCGCTGCAAACATTGAGCCTCTCGCTCTTCTACTACCTCAGGCAAGCTTAAACTGAACTAGCTCAATTTGTATGGTTTATTTTGAAGACCAATTGAAAGGACTGGAAATGTGAATGGTTTATAGATACAACCTTTCTCTATTTTAATCAATACTACCATAGTCATTCCTTGATTTTTTTTATATATGACTTCCTCCGAGATATTCTTCCTTCCTACATTGAAATAAAAAAGAATGAATAATGGAAATCCACAGTAGGTCATTCAATATTTGAAAGAGAAAAGTTAACATTTCTCTTTCAAATGCAGATTAAACTGAAATCAATTTAGACCATTTTCTGTTTTTATTTTGGATTTCAAGCATTCAGTTTTCCATATTCTTTCTGCTAATTTTCAATACTATTGTCCTGGAAGTAAAAGGCAAGGGAGAAAGAAAAACATACTTGTAAAAATAACAACTCTCAGCATTCAATGTATGCTATAATGTGTGGTGGTTGAACTGAATTCACTGTGAAAGGTCATGTTTCTCAAGCTTCAAGTATTGCTTGTACTTAAAATGGAATATTCATCTTTGGTGACAAAAATGTAGAGCTCAATTTTCTGAAGCATCAAGTCAATGGTCGTTGTGCTTTCACAATGGTTTTTATCAATATAGTTTAATCAATTTCTCAGATGTAACTATTAAAACCTGTGTCAGGCACACATTATGCACTCTGAGGTGGACCAGAGTTTGCAAACTTGTAAATGTTGTAGCTGTGCCTCAAAATCAGGGAATAAATAATAACGTGCATAATATCAGATTGTGTGTAGAAAAACATTTAAAAAATCAATGAAAAGGCTGCAAGTTTCTTGAGTCGAATATACCTTTGAAAATAGAAATGGTATTTTATGTCAAACAGAGTAATAACTGCTAATATTGCACACTTTCTCACCGGTCGTCTCGTCGCCCACGGAAGCGAGCATCTTCTGGATCCCTCCCAAATCTCTCCTCTGGTGGTTTCCTGCCATCCCAGCCTTGTGGTAGACCTCGATTTGGACCTCTGAGCTCAGGGTCCACAAAGTCCCTGAACTCCTGATCAGGTGGGAAATCCCGCTGTGGAACAAGACCCCGTCTCCACCCTTCTTCATGAGGTAGTGGACCACCTCGACCCTCAAATTCCCGTGGCCTAAGGACAAATCGTTCATCCTTGCGGAATTCCTCACGGAACTTATCCTGTGGGTCGAAGCGATCGTGGAAGTCGTGCAGGGGGCCCCGCCTTTCAGCCGATGGACGTTTTTCCCGGGGATCTGGCCAGTCCGGGGCACCCCTGAAAGGCCCATGGTCGGGATCACGTTCCATATTCTGATCATGTCTCATTTCTTGTGGATGGCCCATGTGGTGATTTGGAGGACCGTGAGGTTCACCTATAAAAATAGTTTGTAAATTATAAAATATTGCACACAAACCATATATGGCTGTAGAAATGGGGGGAAAAGATGAGTACAGTGGTGTGTAACTGCATAAAATAGACACAAGTGTTTGCTTTAATCAGATGTCCATGATAAACAATGATAATCCATTCAACAACTCTTGCCTGTTGTTGTGCTCAAAGTGTGCTGTGAAATTAAGTGCCATTTCTGCTTTTGTTAGTTGATTATATGAAATGCCTGTTAACCATTTTACTCGAACAATGGTTTCATATATACTGAACTTCAGACAGCCATAAAGACATAAGCTTTCCTGTAGGGGCTACTTGTTGTGTAGGTTTACACAGGAAACTATTCAACCAGGAGCTCTTGTCTTTAAAGGAAATGTGGTAAGAGAAACAAAATCAAAAGCTCAAATATATATTTTTTAATTTGCCTTTTACTAAAGAGACTATTGGACACTATAACACTGTCCTGCGATCACGGTCCCAAAACACTGTTACCTTTCTGGGACAGAAGCTGCTGTGAAGGAAGAGCTCCAATGGGCCCTGGACCTGGGTGTCTAATGATGGTCATCCCTGGGCGTAGCTGGTACATGATAACACCTGAAGCTGGGCCAAGCAACTCAGTATTTGGAACATTAGAGTTTCGAATCATAGCCCCTGAGGTAGGACCTAACGATCCATCACCTGTCAATAAACAAACAAAAACTCACTGTTGTAGCTGGCTTTATAAGTGTCCTCACCTACGGGCTACTCTCTACAGATATCACCTACTTTCCCATCCAACCTCAACCTAATGATAAGGAGCTGGAAAAAAATTATAAATGCTCCACCCGTCCAGAGACATTTTTACATTGGGATTTCAATTAACTAGCTCTACCTCCACCTCTTCCGTATTGAGGTGATCGAACAATTATTAATGAGAATAATGTGTTTAAAAAGCCTTCAGATTGACTGATTCACCATTGGTATCTCTTCCCCAATTGAAGTACATAGCTCTGGATTTTCTATAAACCTTAAGCGCTCCCTTGGAAATATACTTTGGCCTGAATTTGCACTTCAGTGCTATGCTTTGGTGACAATCAGTGGTGGATTGGCTCCCCGAAAGAGCTTGGGATTTTCAGGTAAAATGGGGGTGCCGAATTGATACACCTCCATGCATTCAAAAACTTTGTCGGGTCTTAAAACAGGAGGGTAGGCGGTGATTGGCTACAGGAGCCGTCACTCACCAGGGAGGTAGGGCTCTAGGCAATGATTGGCTGGACCAGGCTGTCACTCATCCGGATGTCAAGCCCTGGGGTGTTACGTGTCGGGAACCATTCACGGGGACACTTGGGAAATTTCCCGATTTCCCATATACCCACTCCGCGCCTTGGCGATCATGTGCACAAACAGCCACAATTTGTTCCTCTGATGCTTGTTCAGTAAATACTACTTTACTCACCTTTGCCTGACCCTGGGCCAGGAGGACCTTGGTTAGAAGCAGGTACTCGAACTGGTCCCTGCTGCCCCATACCTGACATCATCAATGGCGGTACTTGGTTTGGAGTCCCCTGTGAGAAAAACAAAACAGTTATTTGCGAGATACTTTATGGTGTGAGGGAGCTGGATAACATCAGTAGATACAAACAGTAATCCAAGGAGTTTCATTTCCAGTGGAGATATTTTGAAGCAGCTTCTGCCCATTGCGATGCAGGCTGCTGGCTGATAAATGTAGGGGAAGGGTGTCAACATTCAAAAAGATCCGAACAATACATTTGTTAACAAATAATGAATGGAATTACATTAGAATGCCATTTATTGCATATTTGCTGCATCAGTGCACCAACAACATGAATTTCTATAGCTGCTTTCACACAGGAACCCACAGGACCAAGCAGAAAGCCTGAGTTAGCCAAGTGGAGAGGCAGGCAGCAGAGGCAGGACTGCAACACCCAACATACCAATATCTATTACTTGTAGATCTGCAGTGAAGGGATAACCCACCTGATTAAATGGCATTCTAGGTCCATCACCCAGCAGTGAGGGTTTGGCTGGCTGTTGAAAGGCAGGAGATGAGTGAGGTGGCCCTTGCATATTTGAAGTCCCTTGCTGAGGATGTGGTTGACCTCCTGGTGCACCCTGTGGTCCTTGAGGTCCCGGTGGTCCTTGCATTCCCTGAGGATGCCCTGGCATTCCGTGGGGCGGTCCCTGCATTCCTTGTGGAGGCCCTTGCATTCCCTGCATTGGTGGCCCTTGCATCCCCCTGGGACCTGATGGCCCCTGCATTCCTTGTGACACTGATAGTCCTTGGGGCCCTGGATGCCCCTTAGGGCCTAACCCTTGGCCATGTGGGCCTTGTAGTCCTTGTTGGCCAGGATGGTTCTGAGGCCCTGGGAAACCTTGTGGCCCTGGGGGCCCTCCTGGGCCATGAATCCCCTGAGGACCCATTAATCCTTGCGACACTGGAGGACCCTGCATGAGTGAAGGGACTGGAGGTCCAATCTGTCCCGGCGGCCTGAATTGTCCTTGGGGTCCAGAATGTGCTAGAGACATATTCATCTGCATCTGCTGAGGTGGATGGTTTTGCTGAAATCCTTGGGGAGGTTGTGGGAGAAATCCTGGCCCTGAAAAGGACTGCGATGCTAAAGGAGGACCTTGCTGTTGCTGCACTTGTTCCGCCTGCTTCTGTGCCATTCTCTCAATCTTCAGTTGCTGTTTAGAAAAATAAAGCATAAAAACATTAAACATTCCATTTTCCAGCACCGACCATTACCAGGTTCTGTCAAAAAACCTGACACATACAGCAGTGTGACACGATTCTCTTCAAAGTCATCATACAAAGCAGAGCTTGTTTTTCCAGAACCTATTAAGCAAGACTGATTTTCCTCTCCTAAACACATCAATTTCTAGCTGATGATTTAGAGAGAAGAAAATAGGACTGGTACTAAGGAGGAGCAACACTTTAAATAATCTATTAATGGCAAATATAATGAATTTCAAAAGCTAGTTTTACGTTTTTTGCATTGTAAGACAAAGATAGAAACTGCAACACAGGGGCTTCTATTACACGTGCATATCTTGAGTGTTCAATTCTAAGGAGTGGTGGGATTCTCTACACAAATACCTCACATGCACCCTAATAGGAAATATCTTTTTGTTTTGCTATTTAGTTTTGATACAATTCCATATTCTAATGGAGTTGCTGTTTTTTATCCAACATGATAAATCTAGTAGGTTGTCTCTCCCTTTGGTCTAACACATTGGTAGTGATAATTAGCTGAAGACTTATCAGATAATAGAGCAGTCAACAATAATTGTTCTCACAACCCCCACCGCCCACCAGGAAAAATGGCTGAAAGTTAAAATGAACAAATTAGCGTTATTCTGCAAATTGATTGACTCAGTTTGAAGAGATTGCATTTGGCCTCCTAGAAAAAAAATGCAAATGACAAATGAGAAAGATTAATCTTTAACCTCCAATAGAAGAGGATTGGTGTACTGCAGAGCAGCCATTTCCTGCTCGATTTCTGCCTGAGATTTCTTCTTTTCGTCTAGTTTCTTCTCCTCTGCCCTCTCGATCTTCAGCATCTCGATAGGCGCTGTCAGAACTTTGTTCTGAGACCATGCCTGCAAACAGAAGAGAGAGATTAAAACTTGCATCCTTCTAACCCCTCATTTCTAACCACACATGTTCAGGTTTCATAACCAAGATGTAGGTGAACATTTGTTGACTGACCTGCTGAAACTGTACAGGAATAGGCTTTGCATATGGGACTTTCTTCTGTATCACTTTCTTCTGGTCCTTCAGCATCATTTCATCCATACCCCAGTCCAATCCTGGGATTGCCATCTCCACCTCATTTACTTCTTCTTTGCCTATAAAATAACAAATACTTTATGATAGGAAGCTAGACAGAGGATTTCTAAATATCTATCTGTAGTGATTTTGCATTGCTCATTTTAACTACTGTCTGCTACAACTAACAAAATGAAGAGAGGCCGAACAGGAATCAGATTTGGAAAGTGCTTCCAATTAACATAGGTTTCATATGCTGTCATTACTCCCTTCTTACTCAACGCTTTAAAAAATTGTAAGGGCTATTACTATTCACTGGGGCAAATGATCTGCCACTTGTGAATACAAACATTTGCTCCTCGTTGTTCCAAGCAATGCTGCTCCATTGCCCGCCCCCACACCATAGGTTTTGATCCCCAGTAGTCCTCTGAAACCTTACTGCTCCATTAGCACATCATGCTGAGATTTCCTTGAAACATGCTCTCCTCGCTATTTTTATTTGTGGCGCCATATTCTTTTGGTATACTTACTAGCCTGCTCCATCTCCAGGGCTTGTTTGAGTTGCTCTGGAATGCCCATCCCAGGAATGCTTGCAAGACTGTTTGGCTCAATGTCATCTGTGAAAGTCCAAAGAAACGTAAAGCATACAATCGTTTCAAGGTACAATATTGTGTTTAAGTGTCTGTTCTATTTAGCAAAAGTGTATGTAGCCATAAATTACTCTTATGCTGAAGAACATTCAGGTTGTACACTGAGAAGTTTAATGCATTATCCTAGGCCCATGATTGTGTGGTGTAACATTCTGAACACTGCACAAGGTAATCTAATTGTGCAGGTTTTTGATGCAGAACATATTGCTCTTACCATATTCTCCAGCTGCTTCGTCAGACATTCCTGGGAGCAGATTTAAATTGTAGCGATCCCTCATTTTGTCTCCAGGTCGGTTTCTCGTCCAGAATTTACTGTAAGGGAAAGTTAGTGCATTGAAATTTGACACACTGTTGGATAAGTCCTGTCTTTACACAGACACAATGAGCCGTTTGAAGGCGTACATTATCTGCAACACCTTTGTTTCTTCTTCCCTCCCCAATCAAATTTCTATTTTGTTCACCAATATCATACCTTGTGTGGTCATTGGATCCCGAACACAGTATGTGCCCCAGTGGATGCCAGGCTAGACTCCAGATCATGCCTTCATGGGCCATCTCCATTCCTCCAACTTCCTTCTCCACACTGCAAACACACATCCACACAACTGTAGGTACACAATCATTTGATAAACAGTGAACCTGCACTAGACTGGCTAAATTTTAGAAAATAAACTCATGGTCTTTGTATATGTATTTAACAACTCTACATAATACCACCGGCCCCTTGCACACTAGTACTAGCTCTGCCCATGTTCTGTTGTTTTGGTTAGCCAGGTGTCTGACATGTGCAAAAATATCATGCTTAGGAGGATGCAAAAAGATTTCCACTATGTATGTCATCTACACATGGAAACCTCCGTGTCTGGAATGCACACTCTCTGAAGGGATGCACCCTGCTAATTCCGGAGAGTATCACACGCAGGTTGGCAAGAGCCGCGGCTTGGGGAACATGGAGTGGGTGTTGCGTCCTGCTGGAGTTTAACCAGCTAAAACCACATACAGGAGTGGTTTGGCAAGCTTTTGCTGCTTGTCAAGCAAGGACCAACTTACCCATTAGGGCTTTAGCTTGCGGGTTTAACAGGAATGGAGTGAAAGAATTCCTGCCCCCAGTGACCAGTCTGACCCTCCAAGTCCTGCGAATGAGCCCGATTGGCTGGTCTGTCATCAGCGGTGCTGGCTCAGGAATCCACCAGACTACTGAGACCACCACAGAGTGTTCCCTCTTTCCAACATTTTATTGCCAATCAAATCACCTTGGAATCAGTTCAGCTCCAAGAAGATCCCACTTCCCTCCCCTCCACAAAGAGGGTAAATAATAATAAATAAATCCTTGCATTGGATTGCACATAGTATGCTCTGAACATAAACATTATTTCTAAATTTTACTCACCCCACATGCCAGAAGAGTAAAGAACCATCAGAACCCCCACTAGCAAACAGTCCTTCATGCACAGGATGCCAAGCCACAGCTGTGAACATAAATATCATTCAAACAAGGGCACTTTGCACCAAGGTGTAGGTGTTCATACAGAAGATGGATTGAAGCAGGGGAACATGATCTTAACACTACATCTATGTTAGAGAATGACAGCTAGTGCAACAAATATTTTCGGGACAAAATATTCACCCATCTTGATCTTAAATATTAAACAACTACCTTATATATATCTATACTAATGAAGACGAAATGTCTGTCTGTGGGTTTGTGTCTGTCAATAACGCAATAACCAAGTGACGTAAAGACATGATTTGTACCTCATACGAAAGGTCTTTAATGGGGGACTGTCATGGGCATATTGTTTTGGAGGGGTTCTCCTATCGTTGATATATATTTATATATTAATTTTTTTTAAATTAAGCCCCAGAATATGAGGTATGCATGGTATTCTGCAACAAAGTAGTGACAGAGGAAATGACACACCCTTCTATAGAGATATCTATGCTAGTCAAGACAAAATGTCTCTCTGTGTGAATGAGCAGAAATAGTAACACAGACATCCTATCCCACATTAAAACTTGCTTGGCTCAGGTACAAATTTAATATTTCTATATTCCAGTTGCTTTCCTGTCATATGGCAAAGCTTTGGAGAATGGGAAGGTTCTGGGTAAATATACCCATTGTTGCAGATGATGATTACTGACCTGTGGCCTCCTTTTTGTGACCCCTGAAGATTTGCAGCTCCTCTTTCAGGTTACGGATGTCAAACAGTTTGCAGAGATGATCACGGGATGCTGTGAGCAGCCAGTTCCCATTCTGATTCCATTTGACTTCCATCACTGTATTTTTGTGAGCATGGCTGGAGAGAGAGCAGTCAAAATCACTGGGTATTAGATACAAAACCCCTACAGATTGAACACTAATTTAAACTCTTGTATAAATACTATTATATCAGCAAAGTGATGTAAAGGCAAGCCCTTCAGATAGACACAATCATAGATTTGTCTCTGTATTTTTTCCTTAATAATAGAGCTTTCAATCCCTGCAGTCTGCCTGGCTTTTTCTTCACTCAATAAAGACACTATTAATATCTTGTTAATGCCTTATGGTTTCTGCCAAAACATTTACACTGGACATTAAAGTTTCCTTTACGAACCCTCCACCAGGCAAAACCAACACATTGCTGACGGAAAAAATATGCTCATTGTTTTTTTTCCAGAAAGGCATTTTTAATGGGAAAAATAGGAAGACATTAATGTGCTCCTGTCTCAGACATCATACAGTTCACAGATCTAACACATCTGCCTCATATATATTGTAGACACAAGGTCCTACTTTCTTGTTATCTTGTGTGGTCTTAAAAGTGCTCAGCTGCTAACAGCACAAATCCTGAAACCATCTGCTCTGTAGAGGTTAGTGTTACTAATTTAGTGCCTTCACCTACTATGACATCAGATGAGCTACTGTATATCTACTTATAAGGAAGATCTGGTGCCCTGTAATGTTGTTGCTTAGGCTTCCTCGAGGAAACATTTCAAGAAGCTCATATAAAAGCGAAAAACTGCTGACTGCAACACAATCAAACTTGTAGTGTTTCGCTGTGATCACTGAAGACTGAATTAGACTCATTTGAAATTGTATTTTTTGGAAGACTATTTGATAAAACAAACCAAGAAAATATAATCTGTTCTGCAGTCTGCCCGTCTGGGTCAGAGCTAGACAGCCTATGAAGCTTAATCAGTAGAATTTATTGTATTTTGTTACTGTAGATCCTGCACTCAGTCACATGGGATTCCAGCGAAAGTAGAATGTGAAATTCTCTGTAGCTTTGATGAAAATTACTTCCTTCCTAATTAAGCAGAGTCCACACGACGATCACCCCAGTCCTCGCCAGACTTCACGTCTCCCAATGGATTGATTTCAAGGTCCTCGCCTTCATCTATAAATCCCTTCAAACCCTCGACCCTCCCTATATTTGTGATCTTCCACTTGGTTAACTCGGACTTGCTGCACATCCGACTCCACCGAGCCACCAGCAGTGGCCAAACCTTCAGCTACTAACACCCTAACGTACGGATCTCCCTCCCTCTACCTTGTCATGCCTCCTTTGCATGAATCCTCCCTTAAAACCTACGTCTTTTGACTGCGCCTTCAGTCACCTCCCTCTTCCCCCTCTCCCTTCCTCGGTGTCCAATCCTGACATTACATTACATAAATGCAAGTTGTCATCATTAATTCAATGGTTTTATTGGACCTGCAGCTTTTATAATTCTTATGATCAATGTTAACTGTATTTAAATGGTAATCACTTACAGTGTTGCAAGACTTTGACCCGTCTTAGGATCCCAGAATTTGATTGGTTGTTGGCTGTCTTTACTTCCTGACACAACCAATCCTTTGGTAGGATGCCAATCTACACACTTTACATCAGCACCATGTCCTATTGGGAGCACAAAACAGAACTGATTATTATTATTATTCATAATGATCTGTAAGACACCCTCTCATTATTCAGTTGTACTTAATAGTTTATTCAGAATCCCAAACACCCCTGGCCTGGTTCAGCAATCAATCAACTCTATACCACCAACCAATCCAACTTACTTGCCCATCAAGTATCTAACCTTATTCTACCAATCAAACACACATACCTCCACATGCAATGTTAAGATTCAACAACCTGAAATGCAGCATGTGGCAGACAGGTAACATCTCCTAGACTTCAGTCGATGACCCCAAAGGTATCCAAGATTGACTCAATCTCGATGGAATACAATTCACTCTACCATCACCTCTTCTCTGTAGATATAGCCTAACCTCAGTTTGGCTTTTCTGAAACAGCTAGTTGCACATCGGGAGGACGTCCCAGCGCCTTGGGACATGCTCCCAACATGAAAGGTGCTACACAACTGTAATTTGGTACTGTATCATGAATTTTCTATTTTAAAAAATCATTGGGGATATCCTATCACACCTCAGTACTAAAGTAGGTTTCGCAAGATCTATTTGATGATAATAATCCTTGCATTTGATATAGTGCCTTATCACTTCATTGAGACATTTCAAAGCACTTTAGAGGATATACTTCATAGGACTGTGTATTTTGTAGGCGAAATGCACCAGCCATTTGCGCACAGCAATGTCTCGCAAACCACCATGGAGTTTATTTGGGGATTGTTGACCAGGACACCGGGAGAAACTCCCTTCTCTTTTTGAATAATGCCATTGGATCTTTAAAGTCCACCTGAACAGACAGAAAGGATTAAAGTCTCATCCGGAAGATGGCACCTCCAACAATGCAACACCTCCCAACACTGCATTGCAGTGGCAGTTTGGACAATGTGATTCCAAGTCCCGACGTGGGGTTTCAACCCACAACCTTCTGACTCAGAGGCAAGAGTGCTACTAGCCCCTCACCAGGATGACACAAGAAAATTTAATCCAACATTTGTTCATCATTTAAATACCATCTACTTTCCTACACTACCTGGAACCATCACAAATAGGAAAGGAGGGATCACCTTTGTAAAGATGGGTTCTAGCTTTACCTATTCTAATTTGTATGAATCATTCTTGGTAGGAAAGTTGCTTACCCTGGAAATAAATTGAAATAAAATTATTATCACTCATCGGGGATTCCTTTGTTTTATTTATTTCATGTACTATTTTCATTACTGAATGATCAAGAAGATTTTACACTGAACTAAAGAAGAAAGGGATCTGAAGCAGGCAATAGATTATGAGACTATCACCATTATAACAGTTATGAAACATAAGCAATTACCACCCAAAGTAAATCATCCATTTAGTTATATAATGAAAGAGGCAATAAAGATCTCATAAAGTACACTATATACTTTTGAATGTTTTCATCAACATTGTCTTTATTTCAACATAGAACTTTGCTGATCATTTACTGCAGCTTCATCCCTGGCTCTAATCCAGTGGCCTTTATAGCACTAAATATTGGGTGGAAATGTATGGCTATTGAAGGGAATTAAGAAGGGTGACAAAACAAGTGCCTGAATTAGATATTGCTTCTGTAATGGCTCAGTTGTAGATTTATTTCACTGCCCTAAATAAATAAGATTACTGATTTAAATTAGTTATGATTGTTTCTGAAAGAAAATAACCAGCTTCCAGATGACAACCGATCAGATCTTCATGTGGAAATTGTTTGTAGGGTTTTTTTCCTCATTAGGATAACTGGTTTTGAGATAGCTGCAGGTTCCAAGACATTTAGGAAACTAACTACAATCAAAATGTAAAGGTCTAAAAGGCATGATTGGTCTGGCTGAATACTGGGGAAACTCAATACACACACATGTAGAATGGAGTCTTTGGGATCAGCAATATATAACCCATATTAAAAGGTATCTGAAGGATGCAAGTGTGCATATTGGAACAGGTCATTAATAGGATTTGCTGATATGAGCATATATGCTCCAATAACTATTAGAATAGGGCAGAGACATATATGCCCTGTAGAATGTAATAGGCTTAAGGTGTATTGCTAGAATAAAATAAATATTAATAGACAATGTGCACCATTAAGTACACCATGAATATAGGTGGTGGGAGGCGGAAGAAGTTAACAAATTGTGCACATATTAGAATTGCTCATAAAAAGTACAATAGTCCATTAGAAGTACATGTTACAATGTTTTTCCTTTAGGATGCTTTGAAATGGGTGTATGCCTCACACCAAATTAACAGGCTTGCAAATGTGTAAGTAGGTGACTAGCCTTTCAGTTAGGGGCAACTTCTGAAGCACAAAGCTGACAGTATTGAGAGCAGAAGCAGAAAGCAATAACGACATCATATTTCAGCAACTGTTAAGTAGTCATTGTTGGAAGCCAGCTACATTCACCTTTCAACTTTTTTTAAAAAAAACCTCTCAATAAGGTTGCGATGCCATAATTGGCGACAGTGGTCAAAGGTAAGGAGAACTTCCCTCTCTTGGTCACTATTCAACAATGGTTGCTGGAAGAAAATGTAACTGCACATTAGGCAGGTGAAAATCAGGCTCAGCTTCACTGCTTGGACACACAAATAGTCTGCCAACTAACACTCACTCACATATAATGCCCATTGGAATAAGCTAATGACCATGACCTGTTGAACCATACTCCAATAAAGGAACAGTCAATTGCATTCATGAGTGGAGAGAACATTGGAGTGTTTATGGGTGGGTCAGTCGCGTGTCTGACACGTGTGGAAACCATGCTTAACAGTATCAACAACAACTTGCATTTATTTAGCGCCCTCCATGCTCGCTGGCATCCCAGAACGTTTAACAACGGTGGAGCCCAATGCCAAGCCAGGGGGAGGGGAAAAGTGACCATAGGCACAGTCGAAGAGGAAGGTCTTCAGGTGCAACCTGAAAATGGGGAAAGAGGGGGCAAGGCGAAGGGATTGAGGGAAAGGATTCCATCACAAACTAGGGAGTTTGGGGGCTTTATGGCTGTTTGTGAGACACTGCTGTACACAAATTGGCTGCCACGTTTGCCTACAGAATGCACAGTGCTGTGAAGCGTTTTGAGTCATTGTCCCAACGTGACAGGTGCAATATCAAAATGCAAGGATTATTATTAACTATTTGCTTCCACACGTTCAATATAATTGGGGATTAAGATGTTGCTACAAACATTCCATTTGAAATCAACATCGTGCAATTAAACATAGCCAATTTCTGAATTTCTGCACCACACCCCCATTTAATTACTCAGCAATTCAAACCAAATAAAAAACAGGAAATGCCTAAGAACATATTTTTCAAGTTATTTGACTTGGCATGTGAACTCTGGGAGGAAGGGAAATTACTGCTTTAAGTGCACTGAATCGACTAAAAAAAATCTACAACATTGGGGTGAATGGGAAGCAGATTGGATAATGTAGAGTTCTACGGCATGAGAGCAATTTGGAAAATTTTCAGTCCATTGGAATTCCATTCTTGGATAAGATCTATATATACCCAAGCACTGTATATATTTCCCCCAACATAATCTGTTTCTACAGCAGAGGCTTTAACCTGCAATATGCCTGTAGTATTTCATTTGAAATGATGTAAAGTAAATCATGGGAGATCAGAGGTTTGCAATAAAAGTACAGTAATTTATCACCAAACATAAATGTTTTTTAGGATAGTTAGTAAGACTGCATGGTATTGTCTGTACCAGAATACTGGGATGATTAATAAAAATGATTCCTATTTAAAACTATGCTGCCCTCTACTGTTCACTTTATCTCAACAGTACTGACACCTTTGGGATTTAACTATTAATAAACACTTTGAAATGTTTGCTTCATATTTTACAAGACAAATACTCAATTAGGGTGGCTGTCACAGAAGCAACATCCCTTCACCCACAATGCACGCTACACACTCAAGTATTGTCCCCTCCAATATTTCCTCAGCCAATAACACCTCAGATTATTGTCTACATGAGCTCTGGATCTGAAATTGCTAACTGCAAACCTCATGTTTGAATAGCGTGTAAGAAACAACTGTGAGCTCTCACCAAATGTACAGGTGACTTAACTAATTAGCTAGCAATCCAACAAATGTATGAACTTTTTGGTTAATGCTAGAGGGATAAACATAAATTATCAATTGTAAGTAGTCAGAAGTGATCAAACACTTCAGAAAAGCTACGGTGGGCTTACTAGACATAGATGTGATCATCAGAGCATCATAAATGGGCATGTTTTGATCATAACCTTTTCATCGTCTCAGCAACTATCATGGCTGAGGTTGTATGGCCTTTTTATTTGTTAATTTAAGTCCAAGTCTTTAGTGCATTCATTTGTGGCAACAAGGATACTATGGTTGGGCTTCTCTGCAATATATGCAGTTTAGACACAGCTAGATTCTGTTTAAATTTGTAGTAATTTCTGCCTCACCCAAGTGGCTATGCTTCTGTATGGCGATTGCTACTAGGCTTTAAAACCTCTTTGCAAGCCATTAAACTGTGGGACACATCACAGTTGTTTCCAATTCTGTTCTTACCCATGTCCCAAACACGCTATTCAAGCATGCAGTACCTATGATAGAAATCATAAGTTTGAAACTCAACTTATTTTTCCTGAACTAGATCTGGGGATGCTGAGACAAACTTCAGTTGCTGCCTCAGCTAAACTGAAAGATTTGAACCTGAAACGTTCTGGTCTGGTTAGGCCCAGTGCTAACCTTGGCATTAACTGTACCCACTAGGGTATGATGAGAGTTCAAAAAACCTTAGGAAAATAAAGAAACTTTAGAATAAATACAAGTTTAAAATACAAAAATATTATATATAATAATATAAAATAAAATAAAAAATAAAATAATATTCAAGTTTCACATTCTTAAACCAGTAATTCACTACTGTCTCACCAAACATTTGAGACAACAGCTGAAGTCAATCCATTTTTGATCTCTGCTGTCTGCTGGCCTATTTATTTTCTAACCATGGTGGTAAGTCTCCTAAACTCAAAGGAATCATCTAAATTGTGGGTATTTGCCTGGTTATGGGCAAAAATGCAACAGATATGATATGGTCTATTGCACAAAATTGTTTTAGGAATCTGGTGAATTTTTTTTCAATTGCAATTCCAGTTCATTCCCAATATGATGCTCGGAAATGAAAATAATCGGCTTTGTCTCCTTGTCAATGAAAGGAGAAATCAGAAATGCATAACCATACGGAATAATTGGCATCCTGAATGACTTTGCCAATGAATATCTGTCATAGCGTTGGAGTCAAGACTTTTATTTAAAGAAACTTTGAAGGTTTCCAATAATTTGGACTTGTATAGCTCTTTTCATGCAAGGTAGTGTCTCAAGAGCGCTGGAAATGGTGCTGGTCAAAAATCCGTCCAAGAATTTGTGTTAATGGTTCAAACTTAAAAATCAAGTTTTGTGCATCCAGTGAATGAGAAGGTTGTTCCTGCCTGACACAATCAGTTTGATGATCTGCTCTCTGCTATCAGCTGGAGTGAGGATGGCTTGCATCAAACAAATTAAATGAAGTTCAAGAGGGTCATCAACTTCCTTTCTCACTCTCGAGTCAATGGGGATCAAAACGCGACAGATGATTTTGCACCAACCATAACTCAATTCTCAATCTGCTTTTCCAAAGAACTGGAACCTGAGGTTTCTGCATGAAACCATCCTATCCTGCAGCATTTCTTTTAATGAATTAAAAGGTCACTTTTGAATTTTGCTGCTTATCCTAGAACAGGTTGCACAATTCTAGGAAGCACTAAATGGACACACCTATAACAATAATCCTTGCAGATGATACTACATCTTCGTGACGTTTTAAAGTTTTTCACAGAATATACTGTACACTGAATTGACTATATATTTTGTGGGCAACTCACGGCAGCCAATTGCGCACATCTAGGTATCAGGCTAGAATTTGGTTTGATTGTGCCACAATTCAACAGCCTCACATTATGAAAAGTCTACTGGGGCAAGTTATTGAAGGGCTGCTAAAAACTGTGTAGCAATACGCCTATCAATAATCAAAAACTTGAATCAAAGTATTGAACAGAAAAAAAAACTGAAGCATATTTCCAAAACTAAGCACAATAAAATATCATGTCTAGACCATACAGCTAATCTGAGTTTTGCACAGCACCAAACACTGAAGGAGACTGTAATGGTTGAGGTGTGGGAGGTTTAACAAAGGAAAGATAAATTATGCTGCTATATTGTTTCCAGAAAACGTTCCGAAATGGTGAATTATGTTGTATTTTAGGTGATCTACGGATAAGAACGTAGGTGAGGACTCTATTCAGTTACCTTTCATCTAACTTTGCACTGAGCCTGTCAACTACCTGCTAGCAAACTTTAACCACAAAGAGAATCTCAGAATAAATGAGACTACAGATCAATGAATATTATTTTCTTGAATGCGTTACTTCCAGGTGAAACTGGACAATGTGTGCAATGCATGGAAAAAGAACAGAACCACAGAAGCCATTCAGCGGACTTAAAAATGAAACTAAAGTATTTGGAATAAATCACGTCAGATTAGAAAAATATTTATTTGGAGCAACCATCTGAATCAATTTGATTTATTCGTCCAACTATTGTGGATTCTATGCCAGCAAATTGAACTGTTAGTCATCTATAAAGGGGAATATTCTTTATTCGAAACATGGTAAAAGTGAAACATAAGTACATAATACCAACAAAATCCCAAAGTAGCATGTTATTTTTGGCAGCTCTTATAAGAGTTTTTTTTAAAGTTTGTACTAGATATTCTTTTTTGGCAAGTTGAAATCAGGGAAAAATTGGGGGGTGGGGAGTATAACTATTGTGTATTACAAAATTGTCCCAAACTACCCAAAGTAATTTCTCATAGAACCCTGACAGCATCAGAGTAAAGAGATTTTCATCCCACCAATCTGGATTGAACTAGATTCTAATCCAGATTGAAGAAGTCAAAGGACAGTGCGCTCATTCCTACAGAAGCCAGTTCCACAAATCACTTAAAACCCCTTCATTACAAAAATCATGTCTTTCCTTTCAATGCAACACCTGAAATACTGACTACAATATTGATCTTCTGGAATTTTACAAAATGAAATTCAAGAACAAAAATGCCTAACCTATGTACCCTGCAGTGTGATACTGAGTCATACAATTTAGGAAGGTCCCGGGTTCAATCCTTGCTCAGTTTACGAATTAAAAGCATTGTCAATGTCATCAAGAGCGGTTACAAGCATTGTTGGTTCTTGCTTGAATCAACTTAATATTATGCACCAAGAAGTGTTGCTTGTCTGTGAATTCCCACAGATTGTGCTTCAGATTTCAAACAAACTACAACAGGGAAGTGGGCATCTCAATCGTACCATGTTTGCTGTTATAATCTCACTTTCAGATATTTACTTGCTGATTGTTACTGCAGATAAAGAAAACATTAAATCCCATTATCCCAGAAGTGTGCCATAAAGAAACAGAACAAGTCATGTGAAAGGCACAATAAAAGCTGGGACGTGAAAATGTCTTTCAGTCCAGGAGCACCCTTTCACTGTTTAAGATGTTTTGAGCCAAAAATACGTTTCCAGGGACTAAGTACCACTGAGATAGGACTAAGAAAAGCACTCATGAATGTGATCTGAAAGTAATACATTGGAATGAAGGGCAACAATGCTACTTCAGTCCTCAAAGGACTATTGCAGCCATGAATATCTGCATAGCAAGGACAGAGTATTGAATGACAAAAATACGCCGATTATTTTAGATAACTTATTGGGCATTTTACAATGGTGAATACAGAATAATGCTGTTTCAATCAGACAATAAAACCTTGGGAATGCATTGGATCAAAACAGCAAAGCAGATCAACTTACTGTATTAGATTTTAGCTCGTAGAATACCAAATACATTTTCAAATTGCTATTTCAGAGTGGAGTGGTATGCACATTACTCTCAAGTCAAGAGAGCTTTCTACTAGCTGAGTAATATTGTAGATACAAGTTTCAATGAATATTTGCACTGCCAGCTTTCCAAATCTGTATCTCTTTCCTTCAAACACTATGAATTAGCCACTTAATAAGCCCCATTGTATAAGCAAATCATACAGTCAGGTATAATTGCCATATTTAAGATGTTGGAATCGCAATACAGGTCATTTTAAATTGTTTAGGTTCCACCTAATGTGCATTTTAATCATCTTTGAATTGAACTCTACCTTAAATCCTGTTACAATTATGGTAGGGATTTAATCTTAAATTACTGCCAAGGACTAGGAAACTAGTTATAAAATAATCCTTGCATTTATTACTTAATTTCTTGTTGGAAACAATCCTGTGAAGCACACAAATAGCTTCTTGTATCACAAATTATAGTAAACATTCTCACAAAATTCAACAATAAAATCCTCTGTGGAACTGCATGCAGAATGTCCCCATCTGTTGCTAAGCAGCAGATGTACACATCTAGAAAGACTAGATCCACAGGGACCTCACTGAAACTGACAAACTACAGTACTAGCAGCAGAGTAAAAGCAACTACCACTGGAATTTGAAACATGTGCTCTTGCAAGTATGCTTCAAAATAAACGATTTTAGCTAAATTTAATTTTCTGTTGCCCATGAATTCAAGGGAAAGGTCATCCTGTATTAATACAGTGGGCTCCATCACACAGAAGCACTGGGTGGGTTGGTGGTGTTTACAGCTGCATGTGACTATATGCGACTCAGATACAGGGGTATGTACAGTAAAGCTTTTCATGTCACCAAGAGTGTGCATCCCAGACATGATTTTCTGGTGGAATTTCTTGGGATCAAAATTCAGAACTTGAAAATCCAAATAATGCTTGCCTGCTTCTCCCACCCCCAGGATATAGACTTCTACTGAACAAGGGATCTCACAGAACTGTTCTGTTTTAATCTCAGCATCTCAGATGAGTAGACACAGAATGTGACACATGGGAGGAAACAAATGGGGATGTCTCTCCAGAGTACTGACAATGAGAAACGAGAACACTTCTTAAACATGTGTGAAGAAGCATGATTGCTAAACACGCTTTTGTATTCCTTGGGTGGAAAAAATGCCTTTAAGCAGATATTTGATTATAACACAAAATCTTTCAAATACAGCAGTGTGCTGAGAGCCTGGACTTGGGGGATTTCGAGATGTACATATTCATTTCTATCACGATGACCAGCATATAGCAGATACAGTAGTGTTTTTTTTTGCTGTACATACCTCGAAGAATTCGCTCCTCATGGCATCGAAGAAAGTCCCAGATTCGAACTGTGCCGTCATCAGAACATGTGGCAAATTTATTATCCGTAGGTGAGAAACTGTTACATGAAGACACACAGTAGGGGAAAGAAGTCAGCATTTAACAGGAGCCGAACTAAGCCCAATCTGGGGCATCTTCACATACACTTTCTCTACAAATGGACCCCAGAAATTAACAAGAATAACCTTAATGGCTTATTAAACAGGTCCTAAAGTCAGTTTATACACTGCCAAGGACAAGATATACAGTGATAATTTGGCCATGGATGGCCACTGCCAAAAGATGGTATAACTAAATTGTTCAATGCAGCTTACTCCTGTATCGTCCTAAGAACTGCACGCAGTTATTATACTTTAATTTTATTACCCATGAGAGTTATTCTGCAAAAATTCTTCTAACTGGCAATAGTAATTAATTTGGTGTACTTATCACAATTAATTAATGTATTTTAAAAATGTAGGATTGAATGGGAAGCTGTAAAACACTTCCAAGTGTTGCAGTTTTCAAACTTTGCCTAGGGAAACAGACAGGGGTTATGGAAAGCAATTGCCCATAACAACGCTGAAATTTAGAGTCTGGGAGAATCTTGATAATCCACCATTTCATTGGAGAAGAGTGAGGAGTGGACTGATTGACCACCATCAACCCTCACCCCCGACCCCTCCTTTCCACAAATTAGCAATGGAGACAGGGCAATACAGATGAGAGGTAGGTATCATTTTTGTATAAATGTTCTCAATAACATTAATACCTGGTGGTTTCAATTATATTTTCTCAAAGAATTCAAACAAAAATAATGGCTTTATATATTTTTTTAAGGAGGCAGCTTGGCATGGTTTATGGGGGTTTATGGAGGGACTGCGTGCAGAATACAAATCATTCAGCATTGTTCCAGTTGTGACCTAATATCTGATAATAAAAAAGTAATTCCATGAATTGCAGGAATGATGAGGAATTTAGAGTCAGAGTCAACATGTCAGGGAAGACCGATCTTAAGGCAGTTTTGAGCTGGGCAGTAATAACCGATGTTGTATTCTGATATTTTATAACTCATAACTATTAAGAAATTTCTTAAGAAATATGCTATGTTGCTTAAGCATGAGAAGTTGTGCGGCACAATTCTATGGAAAATATATTATTGTCAAAAAGAAATGGTTTAAATAGCCATGGTTTTTGTTTAGCGATAACTACACAACGTTTCTTTTTACCAAAGCGAGAGAAAAAAAAGCTATCTCAGACAGCCTGTCAGCACAATATCATGATTCCTGGACATACATACAACAACACTTGGGGACGATCAATTATCCACCAATTTCAATCATCTACAGGTGGCCTCCTCCAGCAAGGCAGATAACCAAGGTTCCACTGAAATTCTATGATTGCACATTTCAGTCAGAAAACCTTTCCCTGCTTCAGCCACGTTTTGCTGAGGTGAAAAGTATCTGCAAATGTCAAACCCAAGACACAACTTGTCGCGTTGCAAGTGGTAAGATATTTCACAGGCATAGCCCCATTAGTCACTCTGAGCTCACACCTAGTCTTCCATCAACTCTACCCACTTAAACATCAGTAACAATGTTGTGCACTGGCTACTGATATTTTCATGAATGGGCAACTTCAAGTGCTTCTATTTTTGAACCTATGACTATGGCTGTGTCGTGCCCCTTAACTGGCGCGTTATGCTCTTGCATTTGTTACTGCACCATGATCTGACAACTACAAAAGTGACATCTAGTGGAATTAAACTGGTAATAAAAAACTTCATTTTAATGGCACTTAAAAGGTGGACACCTTCCCAGGATGTATGGGACCTGGAAACTTTCCAGAAAAAAAAATCAACCCTGTAAACGGCTGATGGGGTTGTTTGCCTCCATTTTTCAAATTGAAATGACTTAAAAGATTGATCTGGCACCACCACAACGGAGTTTCTCACAATACTGAAAACTGTGACATCTTCTCGTTATAATGGAAACCCTGAGTGGAATGGGCTAAACTTAGATTGTTTTATTGCTCTCAGTCAGATCACAAGCACATAGTAACTAAGTTACTTTCTGCAAGACCTGCCACTTTATTTTATTTTGCTGGTGGAAATATTTTTTTAAATTGTTTAAAATTTAATTTTGTTTTGCAGCTCTTGATTCCAGTGTTCCACTGTATGCAGTTGGATGTTCCCAGTAACCATGGTCTAAGTATTTATTTTTAAATTCCTGTAAATATCACCACCGCTGGGATTCCGCTGACCATTTTACTTCAGTGTTGAAATTGGTTTTATTTCTGAAGTTTTAACCTTTATTCAGTTTAAAAAAAGAGGAAATGCTTTATTTAAAAATGTAAAAATCTTGCTTACAAAGAACTCATAAGAGGAATACTCGTATACATTAGCACTGCAGCAAAGCTCACAGCAGTACAGCATACTGCCAACATCCACATTTCTCAAGAATGGCAAAGTATAAATACTGCACCATAGTTCTATAGTAGACAACGTGGCATTTTGTGTAAAAGAGGAAACAAATGAAAATATTGAATATGAAATGTAGAGCATCGCTCCTAGGGTCTCCTTGAAACCATGCACAACTCCACCTAGAATACATTGAAATGACAGTATAAATATACCAATCCCTACAGAAAACTGCATAGCATTAATCCACCTGGCCTCTCTAATCGCCTCCTTGTGAGCTTGGAACATCTTCACATTGTTCATGTTGGACTGCCAGTACTTTACATATCCACAATGGTCAGCTGTCAGCATCCACATGTCATTGTGAGACCAGGTCATAGCTCTGACCGGACTGTCATGAGCCTGTAGAGAAAAAGAACAGTTCCATTTGTGATACACTCTTGTTTGCCCATTGTTATTGAGTGCTCTCTCGTGTGATATCAATTCTGCTCGCTAAAAGATTCCAACTCTTTTTAAAATGCCATTCAGATTTTTAAATTCACTACAGCCTTTAAATACACACTAACTTTGAGTTAAGAACAGTATTACGAATTCATGCTAATGTCCCTTTGGCAGACTGCATAGCTGGGTCTGGATTTAAGCAGCTAATGGTTTAACTTCCCTTGGTGTTAGAAATTCCAGCTCCAATATAAAATATGGTGTAGAAGCATATGGTGAAAAATAGCATTTTTACACCTCAAGCAGGGGGCGCTGCTTTTCATTACTGCCACAGTACAAGCTCTTCCCACAATCAAAGCGAGCTGCAGGAAACACTCCATTCTCCCTCCCTTCCCTAGAAGATCGAATAGTGATAACCGTCATACCTGTAAAATAGTTTCAAAGTTAAATGTGAGCCCATTCCAGAGTGTGAACTCTCCACTTGAAGCACCAGTGACTAAACGCCTTCCTTCAGGAGTCCACTAAATACAGAAAGAGACAGTTATTCACCTGTATGAGGAAATGCATTACAATCTTTACAGCATATTTTGCACTACAATTGTACAATGGACACATATAGGGTGACATAGTTTAATGCACTTCCAGGAACTACAGATCCACAGGACTCGCACTCCAACGATGCACCTTTCTAATAGGATCCCCTTGTATAATTGTTCTGAATCTAAAATCTTGATACGATTGACATTACTGAGCAAAACCTTTCCAGCCAGTACTAGTTTAGTAGCACTTAGACCAGAGCAAAATGTCCCACTCAGAGGTTTCAAGACTTGCATCAGAATGAGATCCTTGTTGGTCATTATGTTAACGACCTCAATATGATTATATTAAAACCATGTTTAAATTGTGAGAAAATGAAGGATGTTCTGAGAAGCCCATAATAATTGGTTCACATTTAATACTGTGTGGTCGTGCCCTTTAATTCTAAAAATACTAGAAATGATTTATACTAAAAGTTACATTAGAAAAAAAACTACAATATCATTGACAAACACCAAGAGTTCAGAATGTGACATTAACTGTCACAGCATAAATAATGAAGTGTTTGTAAAATATAACAACCAGAAAGTGATATGAATACTAATGCTATTTAAAACAGTAGTCCCCATTTCATCCAATTAATTGGTTGCTCATCTCCTTATTTATGAGAAGTTACCTGTCAAGATTAGGTGTCATGTTTGTATACAACATTTATTTTCCTTTTCACTTTGTGTATTTTGTAAAGTGCTTTGAGACATTTATTTTTGCATGAAAGCCATGATACAATGTTATTTTTGTTTTCTCCTTTATGGATCTAAACTTCTGAGGTGCAGCAGAAGAACTTCCTCCAACCCATTTGCAAAGTCCAGGATCAAGCAGTGAGGTGGATTTGTGGCACAGGGAGCGGTTGCAGGGAGTGAGGGCTCTGGCCTACACTGACTTGTCGCTAAGCACTCTGGAAGCAGTCGGCTTCATGGCAGCCACGTCTATTTGCCAAAGCCTCACACGAAGCAGCTGATGCTGAATAAACCTTACTCAGTACGCTTGGACCTCAAGAACATCAAGGTGGCTGGCACATCACAATCTGTCCTCTAAAGCTCCTCCCACCATGCTGAATGCAAATGTCCGTCAGATAGCTGGTGATGAAACTTGGGAGGCTTGAGACAACAGCTGCTGGAAGGTTTGTGAGCATACATCTTTACATCCAGCCATGGAATGCATCTGGTTTGGTTTGCAGAGAGGCAGGAAGATGCTGCTCAAGCTCTACACCTCCAACTGGTGGAATCTTTAAAATGGGAAGGGATGCATGTCCAAGCTTTGGGCAGGAAGATGGTGACAATGCTCTCATGCATTTCATGCAGGAAGCTCCCAGGAAGTTGCTGGTAACTGCCATCCACCTAGTAAGGGCTCAAACCCCCACTTGTTGAATGTCAAATGACTAACGAGTGACTATCCTCCTTGGAGGGAGGTGAGCAGGGTCTCCCTAGAGCTGAACTGATTCCAATGTGTCACGTTTGGTAATGGAGTGTCAGAATCGAGCCAACCGTGTCTCAGGAATCCAATTCCAACACCTGATGCAGGCAGGTCCGCAGTTCTTCAGGGCATTGATGATGAGCTCACTGCTGAGTGGCTCATTAGCAGGACTTGGAAAGGCAGCTCATTGATTCAGGACAGCAACCCTTCCCATTGAGCTCCTGTTAACTCTGCAAGCCAAAACCCTAGCAGGTAGGATGGTCCTAGCTGCAAAAACAGAAGGAAAGCTTGTGCAACGGTACTTTTAAGGCAAGCTATATGGTTTCAGCTGGTTAGCCTTCAGCAGTATCCCAATGTGTACTCTGGGGTCCCCAAGCCTCGGCCTAATACTGCGCCTAATACTCCCCGGAATTAGATAAGCAGGATGCATTCCTCCAGGGAGAGAATGCGCGTTCCATTTCAACAGTATAGGTGGAAATGCATGGAACTCTCTTTGGTTTGGATACTCTTAAACATGGTAATGGGTTTCCACATGTGTCAGACACCCCAGCTAACCAAAAAAAATTGTTACTGATAATTCCAGCCTACCATACCTTGCATTATAGCCAGAACACCTGCACCACATACTCCTTGCTCCCTGCTGACAAATCAGCCAGTTACATGCACTGCTTAAGCAAGATGTAATTGGCAGTTAAATTTCGATTTTCGTTTTAATTTGTAATCCAATGCCATACACAAGCCAATCTTTCTGATAGTATGCAATGAACAAGTATGACATCAAGTTAAAATATCAGAAGATCCACATCTTCAGTTTTAAATCCCATCTTAAATGCTTGCACACTGTACTTACCCTGACAACAAACACGGGACATTTCACTTTATTGGTTGAAGTTCTGACAAATTTTGTTGTTACTGCATTCATGGGATTCTTAAGCATTCCCATAGGTGGTACTAACTGTAATACAAAAGATCAGACAACATCAATACTAAGAAACAAATGACAAATTTATCAATTCGGTCTGCACCAAACAGAAAACCCAGTTCAGTCAACAGTAGAAACACAAGAGCGAGACGGAAATGTACCAAAGCACATTAATGGAAAATAAGACAAAAGCATAAGCTGCAATCACCAGCAGAACTTTTTTCAAACACGATATTTTTGAGTGTTTGCATGTCCAAGAGTATGATGCCAATTTGGGGAAAGAGAGCGCTTCCATAAGTACTCCGTATCAAGCCTTTGCAGATGAAATATAATAGATGACAAATTAATGTATAAAATGCACAGACACTCCTAAAATGCTTACATCATTATAATAAGCTGCATCTGGCTGTATTGCTCGAAGGTCTCTGTGATCTCTCTGCCAGATGCGGTTCTAATAAGAAAAAAATACATACCTTGATTAGCAAATAAACTTGACTTGAATATATAAATATACAGTGCTATTCAGCAATGATACAGTATAGCTTTAAACAATAAGTCAAAAGGTTTAGGTCCATATTTATTTATAGTAGAATATTAATATAGCATACTTCATTATAATGTGGATTTGTTTATAACACGATTGGCTGTAGACCTCCACCTTTTCTTACCAAAAATATCCAACATGCACTGCCTGACTTGCTTCATCACATCGCCTTGCTTCAAAATGTCAGCTGGTTTCTCTCATGCTAAAAGTGACCAACTTCTGGATCAACAGGTGGCCACCTGATGACCCAAAAGTCAGCCCTTTTTTACCACGGAAGCCAGCTGGCTTTCTGCACACAGGTTCAGTGAACGTGAAAGCACTGATGTACAATTAATCTCCATTATTAAGCAGGTTAACAATGGGGTGTAATTGTCGATTCCCCCCCTCCCCCAACTACCCATCATAACAGGGTTTAACTTGTGTCCGCCGATCATAAGTTGCTAATGCTTCTATTTGCTAATACTGCTATTTAACTGAGGGAAAGCAACCATGTCTGATTTGTCCCAGCAGAGCCCTTCAGCAGGGGACAGCCAAACAAAATGGGGATCCTCCTTCATTTCCCCCTTCCAGGAACACAGAGGTCACTTGGAAAACTACTGCCATCATATAACTCAGCACATACTCGGGGATACATTCAGGGCACTCCAATTCATATGGCTGTAGTTGCATAATGAACACAACAGTACCTAGCTTTAATGAAGAAATCCATCACTTGGGGAACTTTAGCGTGCTGAACAAACATCATAGCCTCGAGTAGCCTCTGGAAACCTAACCATAAGGCTCATCAGAAGACCAAGCACATTCAGATCATGTTACAAGGGACTTCAGGATAACTCGAGTTGCACTGCTTGGTACCCTTCCAGCTCTGACTAGCCAGCTTCCCTCACATACTGCGCAGGTTTAGAAGCCCCCCCCCCCCACCCGCAGTTAGTGATGTCCCAGTAACCGGTGGAAGCGATCATGAGAAGTTACCACTTTCTGATCACACTGCACATGCAGTAGTGCTGACCAATGAATGCAACACATTGCAACAGTGATTGGGATTTTATGCACCCAAACTATCACATTAAAATGGGGCTTCACTCAATCCACAACTGTTTGTGGGACACGGCTGTGTGCAGTTGGCTGCCTTGCTACGCCAACAAAATACAGTTAATTCACTTGACAGTATATTCTGTGAAGTGCTTTGGGACGTTTCGAAGACGTGATAAGGCACTATATGAAATAGCAAGGATTATTAACATACACTTGGTGTATTCGGAGTACCGCATACTCTAAAACAAGCCTATGGATAATAGTGAATATCAGATCTCACTGTTACAGAACTTCTCTGAATCAGGTTTCTCATGTACTCACCTCTAAGAACTTAATAACAGACGGGTTATAATCGATTGTCTTCCTATTGACGGCCTTTCTCATACGCTTGCCATCAAAGGTCAGTTGCTGCATGGCTTGCTGCTGAGCATAATCAGGCCGTTTATAAAAGCTGTGCCGAGGGCCTTGATGCTGGAACCTCGGCATGTGGAAGAACCGAGGTGGAGAAGTTATTTCCATTGCCATGATGAGAAAATTAGTTTAACGGACCTGTTGAAAAATACACAAGATAGGCTTTTGTAGATATGAGTTTATACAGTTTAAATAGAAACACCACCATTTTGGTACAATTAATCTAATTGTTATAAATGTATTTATTGTTACTATCCCAGTTACAATCAACCACAATTCCTTAACTTTCTTCCAAAAATTATCCACCAGTAGCTTATAGTAGCTATCTCCAAAGTGATACTGATTGGATAGCTCAGGAAAAGTTACCCCATGAATGAAAACAATCACTTCTGCCCATCACTTATTACACAGAGGAAACAACTAAGAGAAAATATATTTTATAATAATCCCTAAAGCTGCATTTCACAGTTCTGCACACCTTAATGGTACAGAGTGTCTAAATATCTGCTGTTACACCTTAGTGTGGCAATGTCACAAAACTTTTCAATAGTATGAAATAAAGGCTTGTTTTATCAATAATTAACTACTGTATTGAGCATGCATACTTATCTACAATTCACATTGTTACTCCACAGAAACCATTTTGAACTGGAACAGAGACATCCCAGCAGGTTTAAGGCACTGCTATTAGATGATTTGCACCATTAAAATAGGATGATAAACCAGGAAAACTGATCATGAAATCACAATAATCTAGAATCTTCAAATACTCTAATTCTATCTGCCAGCCCTCAACACAAAACTGCTACCATTTCTCAGAGACAATAGAGCAATGCTTTATCTAAAACATTTCCAAATGGGAAATACAGCTGTGCAAAGAATATTTTCAAACTCAAACCAGGATTACCCAGCTGTCCTTTCATCTCTGCAATAGCCTTTTTTCCCTGTTTGATGGAAAGCTATTCAACCATGAGCTGAAGCTGGTCTTAGCCTCATAACAACCACAGAACAGAGATCTCTGGATAGCTATCAGGAAACAAAACTCTAGGTTTATTTTCCCCTCCATGATCAAACATGTAGCTCAGATAATAGACATGGTGCTTCACCAGGTGGTGCTCAATTAAGTTCAAATGTAGGGAAATGGGATTAAAAGATTTGCAAGAAATAAAATGCAGATCGGGCAGGGTTACTGACTGAATGGTCTACTCATGATACTCTGCAAGTGCAAACAGTTCAAAATTGATGTTGATTTCTGAATACCAATGATTTTCTCTCTCACACTCTCTCTCTATCTGTATTTTGTTTATTGTAACCCATCTAGAATTTAAACCACAAACAGAACTTCAGTTTAAAATTTAGAAATCTAAATAAAACTAAATGCTCAGGAGTGGGGAAGAAAGAGAATCTGTAAACATTGAAAATGAAAATCTCATCATAAAGATGTACACAAACATAAAAGTACACACACCAGTAAATCCTGACCACTGTATACAAAGCACATATGCTTTGTATACAGTAGTCAGGGTTTGTATGCTTCACTACAACATATTCTGCAACTGGGGGTTCGTACACACACACTTTGAATCTTTAATGAAACCTTTCTCCAGAAACTTTCACCATCCACTACTAGTAGACTGGAAACAGCCCAGTTACCCCCTAGAGCTTTATCTATGAACCCCCATATCCCCTTTGGATAAAGCATTTCACACGTGTAACATCATATCCATTACTTATGTCTGCAACTTGTCTAGTATCTCTTAATTTAGTTTGACTGTTTACAAAAAATAATTTATTTTGTCATGCAACGCTAAGCTGTAATCATTTCGTTCAACTCAAGATTTCGCTGTAAGCCAAATGTAGTCTCAAAGTAGCTTAAGATAAAAAGAAATACAGATCTAGATCTATATGATCACAATAACATGGTGAAGTCCCACATAAATCATAATAATTCTTGCATTTGATATAGCGCCTCATCACATCTTTGAGACATCTCAATGTGCTTCACAGAATATACTGTAAGGTGAATTGACTGTATATTGTGTGGGCAATAGAACAAGTACAGTAAAAGGCAATGAAGCCTTTATGCACAAAGTTCACAGCACATTTGGAAAAAAGGCATTGATTATTATACAAAACCCTTCTCGTTTGCAGTATAACATTTTAACCAGTTTGCTGGAATTTTCTTCAGTTGCCCATTATTGCTAAATTATTTTAAAAAATTAAATAATTGATTATATAAAGCACGACATAGATATATATAATCATAGGAGTTCCTCGATGACTCAAATTTATGTTGGTCAGCCAGGTGTCCAACACACGCATCACCATGCTTAAGAATATCCAAACCAGAGAGTGTTCTATATATGTATGCCACCTACACATAGAAATTTTCACTCTAGAATGAAATGCACATTCTCTCCCTGTTCAACTACAAATTACATTTGGTACAGCTTAGCGAAAGTCAAGATTTGGGAACTGCAGAGTGTGTGCTGGGCTATTGCTGGAGTTTTACCAGCTAAAATTGCATAGTTTGCCAATGGAGCACTGTCAATTTAAATAATAAAAATCCTTGCATTTGATATAGCACCCTATTATATCTTCAAGACTTCTGAAAGCACTTCACTGTAACGTGGTGTGACTGAGTGTTTTGTGGGTGAATGCAGCAGCCAATTTGTGTACAGATATTTGTATCCTACAAATAGCTATGGAATGAATAGCCAATCTTCTTTGGGGTTTTGGTTGGCCAGGATAAGAGGAGAAACTCCCATCTCTTTTCAAATAGTACCATGAAATATTCAAAAAACATCTGAACAGGCAGATGGGACCTCCAACAATGGAGCATAACTGCAGCACCATACTAGATTGTCAGCATAGACTGGGTGAGCTCCTGATGTGGGGTTTGAACCCACAATGTCTGACTCAAGCAAGATGCTATTATTAAGCCCTGCCAATTAGGAAGGTTCTGCAAATAAGGAATGAGGAGTATAGATACTCAACCTGCACCATATTAGTTGTTCAATTAGAAAGCAGTCAGATATAATTGACTGATACCCCAAGGAAATATCAGTCAGTATACACAGATGGATCATTGCCCATTAATCCCCATTGACAAAGACTGCACATCAAGTAAAAGCAGACTCAGGCCTGTCCAGTTTAATGAGGGCAACACAGAAAACATTCTCCGCAGCTCCTACCAACTCTTCCTCAGTTTTCCCACATTTCTCTCCAACCCATTATATCAGTGTGTGATTTGGAAGTTCAGTTCAACCCTCAGCTCTCTTTCCTCCGTCAGTACCTGACCAAGACCGCTATTCTGCACCTTCATCTGCGCCTACAAACTTATCTGAGGCCTAATGCTGCAAAAGCCCTCACTTGCATCTTTTCACCCATATACTAGACTTTTCAAATTCCCTCCATGCCGGCCTTTCCAGGTCCATTTCTTGGTATGTTCGAGCCTGCTGTGCATTCCTTACCCCCTACAACCCATCATCAGCCATTCTGCCCCCACTGGAACTCTGTCCCTTAACTCCTCCCTCTCCATCTTAAAAACGTGTTTAAAAAGTTGCATCCTTCTTCACTGTTCAGTGTCGAGCAAAGTCTCTGTAAAGCATTCCACATACAAATACAGTCACTACACTTTACAGTAAATCATATGAAACATTGAAACATTTTAACACAATAAAGGCACCGTATAAAATACAAGGATTATTATTATTTTGAAAATTGCTATATAAAGAATTTGTTGTAATTCATCTAATTGTTGTTTGTGGAATATTGCAGGTGCAGTTTGATTGCCACTTTGTCTACAAAAGTCAAACTTAAATATCTAAAAGTACTTCACATTTGAAAGCTTTCGATATCAATAGGCACTGAATACATTTATTTTTTCCGTTTTATTGGAATAAAACTCCAAATGAACCATGCAGTATCCTGTCCTTATTTATGCATGAATCTCAACTATAGTGTTGCAGTCAACCTGATATGCACGCCAAATACTGTCTTCATGCACACTTTCCAGCAGATATTACTGAACAGTGGTGAGAAGCAGAAAACTCCAATTGTCATCTTAATTAGTGAGGTGCAGACCAGGAGTGATGGGCAGCTACAACAAATCAGAAAGAACAAGAAACAAAAAAACAAAGCTCTACTGTGATACATAACAGTGAAACATTAGCAGGTGAAAAGTAATGGCTCTACTGCAATATATAGAACTCATAAAAAATTAATCTTGATTAAAAATCCAAAGCAACAGCTAAAATGCAATTTTTTTAAAAAACATTCTCAGGCAGGCTTCTTCAAAGTTAGTTTCTTTTATAGCTTGACATTTTTTTAGATAAAGTAGATGATTGGGAAACAAAAATGTAGCCTGTCTTAGTTGAGCAATTAATAATAATGTTCTAGGTTAAAAATTCAAAAAGTTTTCAATGGTAGAATATGTCAATCTAGCAGGGTTAAGAGCAACACATTCAAATTTGGATTTGGCTGGAAGTCAGCTGAACACAAGACAGATGAGACAAGGGAAAACAGAGGACTAACACACTGCACACTCCCAAATACGGAAACTTATTACTTAGGTGCTAATAATTTATTGTACATGTTATGGAGACTATGTCCAATGATGAAACCCTTGCATGCAACATGGGTTTTGCAAGACTGACTAAACTTTGATTTTGACTTGAAAGTGTAGCATCGTCTACCCGTTACATGAATCAGTTTGGGGAGTAACTCAGTTTTTGTTAATTAATAAAATAATATAATAATCCTTACATTTGATACAGCACTTTTCATGTCAGGAGGATGTCTCAAAGCATTTCACAGGATTTACTGTAATGACTGTGTATTCTGTAGCCAAATGTGGCAGGCAATTTGCACACAGCAATTTCTACCAAACATGCCAAATTTTATCGAGAAGGATTATTGGCCAATATATAGGGAGAAACTCTCTTCTTTTAAAACAGTGCCACTGGAACTTTATCATCCATCTGCACAGGCTCAATTTAACATCTCATCCAAAGGATGGTATCTCAAACAATGCAGTGTATCTCCACTGCAAGGATGATTTGGGGCTTGAATCCACAATCTTCTAACTCAGAGTGTACTACTTACTAACTGTTCCAGGTGGATGCACAATAACTGCCATACAAAATGTTCAGTACTATTTGAAAGAAACCAATGTAACATTTGTTCTGGTTACACTGGTTTTTAACCTCCAACATAATATGAAATGTATCACAAAATTTTGCAATATTTTTAACAGAAACAGTTATCCATTTCTACCTTTTCTAACTGAAAAATATTCAGTTGTTTGCTTGTTTTGTTTTCGCGACTTATAGCAGAGAAAGTCTATTAAATGGAACCAGATCAATATTGTTTAAGACTAATCGCTATACTCCTGAAAATGTATCAAATGATACCAAAGATATGAAAGAAAAACTGACGTTTTTTACGTTTATTCAAAATGGATTCATTCACACACACACACACCCCACCCGTCCAACGTGCTTTCCTTCCACTCGGTATCAGACCCCATCTCCTCCAGGCCTTAATGGCAGTTTCTCTTTCCCTCGCCCTCCCCTCCCCCATCCCTTCCCCCCTCCCACCCCCCCATAGCTGTCAACATTAGCAAAATGTTCAAAACGTGAATCGTATTCGTAAACCACTTAAGTGTGTTCCTGTCAAAGAGATACTTTTAAAATAAATATATATATGTATGTATGAGTATACGCGTGTAGTTTTTTTTTAAAAAAACTAACGAGTGAGGATTTCACAAGTCTGTCCGAGTCTCTTTACCCGGTCCAGTGACTCTCCCCCTACACGGGGTCCAGTGACTCTCCCCCTACACGGGGCCCAGTGACTCTCCCCCTACACGGGGCCCAGTGACTCTCCCCCCACACGGGGCCCAGTGACTCTTCCCCCCACACGGGGCCCAGTGACTCTCTCCCCACACGGGGCCCAGTGACTCTCTCCCCACACGGGGCCCAGTGACTCTTCCCCCCACACGGGGCCCAGTGACTCTCTCCCCACGGGGCCCGATCGGGCCCTCTTTCCCCCCGACCCCCGCCGCCGCACCGTTCTCTCTCCAGGGCTGCCCTCCCCTAGAAGGCCACGACTCTTCCTTTCCCCATTCCCAGGTTCGGTTTTCCCTCCTCCGACGCGAAGGAAAGGGCCCTTTCTCCCGGAGCCAAATTCGGTTCCCTCCCCGGACATGTCCGCAAAATGGCGGCGACCAGATTGCACTGCGCCATCAGCGCTCCCGGGAGCTCGTGTGATTTGAGGCGAACACGGGGGGGGGGCGGCGGCGGCGGAACCGAGCTGGAGGGGGGGCTCTCACTTACTGCAGTCCGGCTTTGGGCGGGTCGTCCCCGTTGCGGTGTTCGGTTCTCCCGCTGCTCTGTTTTTTGGGGTGGGGGCGGTGGAGGGGGTCGCGGGGGTTGCCTTCAGGCCTCGCGTCTCCTCGCTGCCGCCATCTTCCACCAACAGCTCCGCCGCGCCGGAACTGACGTCATCGCCCCCCCCACCACCGCTCGCCGCAGTCAAGTCGGTCGGTCGCTCGCCGGCGGCGCCGACAGTGCGCATGCGCGCTTCCTCCCTGTAGCCTCTCAGTGTGGGGTGGGCAGCCACGTTTTTTTTCTTAGCTTCATCATAAATCATAATCATAATGATAATCATAATAATCCCGGCATTTAATAGCACGCCTGATCGCGTCTGCGAGACGTCTCGAAGCGCTTCGCGGAACGTACTGTCGGGCGTCCCGACGGGCGTATTTCGTGGGCGAAACGCGGCAGCCGATTCACGGCGCGCAGCAGCGATTTGGTTCGGATACTCCGAAGCCCGGGGATGGGTTTCCACGCGGGTTAAGACGTCCTCCCGACGTGAAAGGCGCTCCATAAATGTAATTTTGTTGTTGTTGTTGTTAATGACAACCCGGCTGACCCAAAAAAAAACAAATAAATAAAGTTCTTTGAGACTCTATGGGAAATTTGATCAATTAAAGCAATTGAAAAACGAACATTAAAAAAATAATCCTTGTATTTGATACAGAACTTTATTACAATACCTGTCAAAACGTTGCACAATTGTACAAACGTTGCACAATTGTACAAACGTTTACCAACTTTATTCCTTGGAGATATCACACGGTGTGAAGAGGCATATCATGTCAAGCTCAGGTCAAGAAAGGGTAGCGCTCATTTCAGCCACTTGCTGGAAAATGCATTTTGGGGACATTCAGCGAATTTCAGCAAAAATGGGCACTTGCTGATTTTGTGACAAATAAAATAGGACCTAAATGGAATGAGGCGCTAATTGCGAAAAAAATGAAGTTAGAAGAGAAAAATCACAAAACATACAGGTATTGACTTTCTCAGATACCTCAGCAAGTGCCCATTTTTAATGTGTGAGTCTAAGCAATGAGTGTCAGCATATTATTCAAAAGTGAATAACATGACTGCTGAATTTATATTTATATTTGCTGAATGTCCCCAAAATGCATTTTCCAGTAAGTGGCTGAAATGAACTACCCTTTCTTGACCTGAGCTTGACATGATATGCATCTTTACACAGCTAGGAGCAAGAACAGTCTGCACTGTGTTGGAGTTCCCTGGCACCTTTTACTTGGCGTCTTGGCACCTTTTACTCACTAGGTCTTAGGGTAAAGCTTCTGAATTATTTTTCAAAAAATATTCTTGTGTGATTTTCAACAGATTTAAACTGGAGGTATAAAAGCTTTTCCTTTGTTTTCACTCTGAACTCTATCAGCATTTTTAATGCTATTCAAAATAACTTTCATACTTCAATTAAACGAAAAAGACCAGCAACTTTTTAGGGTTAAATTTGTCACCTCTTGCAAATGGCTAAATGTACAAGATACAAAAATATGGAAATATCAGTTTGACATCACGATAAACAAAATACAACGTTTTCTCTTNAAAAAAACACAGGAAATTCTGGTGTCCTTATATCCTGGAAGCCTTGGAAATGTTATCCTGCATGATGTCCAGACCCAAAGTTAATTCAGAATGATTTCCCATTATGTTGACGATAGATAAGAATTGGGTTCAAATTTCACAGCCTCTGCATTTTCACTCTTTAACAAGTCCCCGTGGGAGAGCAGCACCAACCAGTGGTAGGAAACCGTAGCCTTAATACTGAAAGCTTCTCTTGGTCTGAATATCATCAAGAATCTGCTGGAGCTCCTCATCTTCAAATCGCCCTTCCAAGCTGCGATACAAAAAGGGTACAATCAGGGGAAAGGATCAGGTGACAGGATAAATAGCGAAGGCAACTCNTTTTTGATGCTGAAATGGAAGAGTAGCATAGCTGATTGGTGCAACAACTCCCTTTTAAGTACCAGAGAAAAAAGAATGTACCATCATGCATTCAGAATAATGCCAAATACATAGGTCAATAGTGGCACAAGGCTGAAATTATATAAGTACAAATAAGTCCAGCAGTATATGCGTTCCCTGCCATGGAGGAGTAGTGCACTGACCTGGGAATAAGAGCCTTGGCTTCTTCTGCAGTCTCAGGGCATAGATTAGCCAGACTGGCCAGTTCAAACTTGTGCAGTTTCTTCTGTAATAGCAGACTAAAGAGGGAAGGAGATGCAAATTACACTTCAAATAAACCCGAGACTACGTACATAAACAGTACACTCCCTTTTCCTTAAATTTAGAAGAAAATCAACAACAACTTGCATTTATATAGCACCTCTCCCGCAGGGTAGTGTCCCAGAGCGCTTAATCAATTAAAAACAATCTGAATTTCCAAGTGAGCATCATTCACCACTGAACAAACATCAATTTCCAGATCTGTATTGCTGAGTTTCACACTAGGCATTATCAACCAGATATTACCAACCAAGCCATTGAGGAGCCCTTCTATTATCCTAACCCAAACATCCCTGTTTACTGTGTCTGTCACATAATCTCTCATCCAGCTATTTATGGTAAAAGAACACGGCAAATCTATTGCCTTTAGAGTACTCCAGATCAAGCCTTTCAAGGCAATGGCATTGGCACCTATTTTAGACATTCACCAACACTCCATTGAAGAGGCAGGCAGCAATCAGTTTCTTGGCCTCTGCCAATATTACACTGAAACAGATATTTAGAATCACTGGGTTTTACCCCCCACCCAATGGCAAAGAAATGCTGAAAGGTTATGTTCACACTGAACTATTCCCCAGATTATAGTACACTTATCTGTCCTTGCTTTTTTCAGTCCAGATAGGTAGCTTGCATCAATCCATAATAAAGGAAATGTCTTGGAAACACTCGGATCTTCCAGGCAAGCTAAACATTGTTCAATCCCTCCACCACTGACCTCCTGACACTGGCGATGGTCTCTCTGTTTTTGAAGCGACTAAATCTGGCCGTGTAGTTTAGCGTTTTCATGAAAACTTCTGACAGTTCCTGTTCATCTTCTGCACTCTCGTTCTGCTGTTTTCTGTGTTCCAGCAACATATGGACTTCGGAGTTCAGCAACGTCTCGGAGTTTTCAAATTCTATGGGAAATAAGAGGACAAATCCACTACAATTAAAATATTCCTTAACAACAAAAAATTACATCTGCATAGCGCCTTTCACCTTAGGAAGTCCCAAGGCGCTGATACCTTCACAATGACCATACCCACAAAATAATAGACATTCTCCTGCTGGGCATTACACATTGATGTTAGCAAAGCATATTGATGTTTTAAAGTCCAGCACTACCAAGCTGTTACCACTGAGTTCATGCCACTGAACTTTTGGCAATAAATTAGGCAATGTTGCTATGATGAGGCATTATTAGGGTGGTTGGGGAATCTAGAAGGAGAATCAGCACCAAGTCATATCCTCAGAAAAGAAATGAGCAGCTGCTGGTTATCCATCCACTCAATGAAGGGATAACAAAAGCTGATAGTGTGACAATAATAAACATCTTATAACAAATGTTTTTGGGTCAGCCAGGTGTCTGACACGTGTGGATAGTGCATAGTAGTACTCAAACCAAAGTTCTGTGCATCCCACCTTCTCATGGAAATTCCCATGGAACAAAATGCACTCTCTCCCTGGAGGGATGCATCCTGCTTACCTAATTCCGACAATGCAACCCCCTGTACCGCATTCAAGGGTCACCTTAGACTATGATTCCAAGTGTCGATTTAGGGCTTGAGCCTACAAGCTTCTAACTCAGAGGTGAGAGTGCGACCGCTGCCCCAGGCTGACACATATACACACACGCTCTCTGACATAGACACATTCTAATGATACACAGACACACACACTGACACTGATACACTGACACAGACACACTGACGCAGACACACTGACACAGACACACTGACACACACACTGACACACACACACTGACACACGCACACTGATACACTGACACACACACACACTGACACAGACACACTGACACAGACACACTGACACACACTGACACACACACACACTGACACAGACTGACACACACTGACACAGATTGACACACACACAGACACAGACTGACACACACACACTGACACAGATTGACACACACTGACACACACACACACAGACACTGATACACACTGACACACACACACACTGACACAGACCGACACACACACACACTGACAGACTGACACACACACACACACTGATACACTGACACACACACACTGACACACACTGACACACACACAGACTGACACAGACACACACTGACACACACACACTGACACACACACACACTGACACACACTGACACACGCGCGGGACCATTGATCGCTGCCCATTGTCCCGCGGCCGTCGGCGGATCCCTCCCGCTCTCTCCCCCCGAGCCCGGGCGGGCGGGGCGGTACCTTTGGGAAACACAAGCTGCGAGGCGTCCTCCTCCACGTCTCCGACCCGAGACTCGCTCCCGCACGCCGCCATCGCAGGACACTGGCCGGAAGTGAAGAGACGACAAACAACTGCGCCCGCCGGAAGTGTGGCGGGATGCGCGCGCATGTGTTGTGAGCGGTCGGAGCTGTTGCTGTGTGTGTGTGTGTGTGTGGAGGGGGTGTGTGTGGGGGGGAGAGGGGAGGGGTGTGTGGGGAGGGAGGGGTGGGGGGGGGGGGGGGGGGGGGGGGGGGGGGGGGGGGGGGGGGTGTGGGGGGAGAGGGAGGTGTGTGTGGGGGAGAGGGGGTGTGTGGTGGGGGAGAGGGGAGGTGTGTGTGGGGGGAGAGGGGAGGTGTGTGTGGGGAGAGGGAGGGGTGTGGGGGGGGGGAGGGGGTGTGTGGGGGGGAGAGGGGTGTGTGGGGGGAGAGGGGGGTGTGTGTGGGGGGGAGGGGAGGGTGTGTGGGGGGGGGGGGGGGGGGGGGGGGGGGGGGGGGGGGGGGGGGGGGGGGGGGGGGGGGGGGGGGGGGGGGGGGGGAGGGGGGGGGTGTGTGGGGGGAGAGGGAGGGGTGTGTGGGGGGGGAGAGGGGGGGGTGGTGTGTGGGGGGGGAGGGGTGTGGGGAGGGGTGTGGGGGAGAGGGGGTGTGTGTGGGGAGGGGTTGGGGGGGAGGGGTGGTTGGGGGGGTGAGGTGTGTGTGGGGGGGAGAGGGGAGGGGTGTGTGTGGGGGAGAGAGGGGGGCTGTGGGGAGGGGGCAGGAAAGCGCTGTTGACTTCACTGATTTTCCCCCTGGGCTCAGATTAACGTGTCTATCTTTGGCCTTCCACCTGGTTTACATGTTTGAGATGTTTATTTTTTAGTCTTGAATCGAGACACTCAGCTCGAACGACACACACCACCTGGACCCGGCCGCTTCACCAGGCCCCGAGTCCGTTCCGGTGCCGCCGGAGGGTGTCGGCCCCGACTGGGCTGCTAAGCACCCTGGCCACGCAGTCAGAAGTCGTGGCTTTAAGCCTCGTGTTAAAGGCGCTTTGGACTCACAGACGAGGCTGACAGTCCGATACGGTGCTGATGGACCACCGCGCCCGACCCTGTACTTGCTGGCTCCCAACAGATCAATTTCACCATCCTCATGTTTGCCTGTAAATAGCTTCACTAAAACCTGGCACCTCTCGGTTTCAAGGACAACATCAACTTGCACTTATTATAGCACCCTCCAAGCAGGGTAGCGTCTCGAGAGAGCTTAACAGTGGCGGAGCCCGACTCCGAGCCGGGGTGGCGAGGGGGGAGGTGGCCGTAAGCACGGATGAAGAGGAAAGTTTTCGGGTGGGACTTCAAAGAGAGGAGAGAGGGGGCAAGGCAGAGGGATTGAGGGAGAGTGTTCCAGAGTTTTGGGGTATAGTGGCTGAAAGCATGAACTCTGATGGTGGGGCGGAGGGTGCGAGGGACGAGCAGGAGGCCAGTGCCAGTCGAGCGGAGGCACCGGGTGGTGGATTGCAGAGTGAGAAGGTCGAAGAGGTAGGGAGGTGTCAGGGAGTGAATGAATTTGAACACGAGAGTGAAGATCTTCTCCAACCTCACCGCTCTGCTCACTGCCTCTGCCTGGCTAATTCAGATGCTATGCAGCCCCCACCCTCTGGCCCATAATTGGTGGCTGAGCTTTCAGATTCTGCATCCCCAGCCACTGGAGCTCCGTCTGTCTCACTATCCTCTTTATTTGCCTTGACCACCCCCCCACACCTACTTCTTCCAAAACACCTATGATCACCTCTCCCATACACTGTATCAAATACAAGGATTATTATAACTGGCATCATGGGGAGTCTTGTAGCTCAGTGATTAGAGTACTTGTCTCACAAGCGAGAGACCTGGGTTCAATTCCCGGCAAGGCAAAATCTTGGGCAAGTTTCCTTACTCTGCACGCCTGATAATAATCCTTCAAAAAAAATCGGTCACTTCAATCCACAACTGATTGTGAGACACTGCTCTGCGCAATTGGCTCTGCCGCGTTTCGCCCACAAATATAGTCAATTCACTTTATAGTCTATTCTGTAAAGCACTTTGAGATGTCTGGAAGATGTGAAAAGAGCTATATCAAATGCAAGGATTATTATTATTAGCATGATTTTTTTCTCAAATACCTTATGTGTGAATAATTTATATTTCCCTGAAATTGTAGGCATTTGTAATATAGAGAAATGGGTCTAAGAGCACCACAAGCGGGAACACAAAGACGTTGGAGTGAAGTCAATACATGAAGTCAATACATTAAGTCAATAAGATCAGTCATAGAGCAGATATCATGGTAAGAAGAATCAAATAACAGTGGTAGTGTGTTCTGAGAGAACCATAAAGGGAAAAATAGGAGAAAGAAGCATCTAATAAAATGAACAAAATTAGATTTACGCATCGAGTTGACAAACTACTGTTCTGGACCGAGTACTGAATTTGGATAAGTAGGGGTAATCTCGCATCAATTGATTTTTATAGATGGCAATTTGGCTCAATTGGTAACACTCTTATCTCTGGATGAGAACAATACATTTAGGAAAGCATTGTATTCCAAAGACCAAAGTCCCTTTAAGATCAAAGGGTGTAATTATTGGAGCGAAGGGAAAATTGGCTGCTTGTTAATTGCTTGCCACCAATCGGAGATAGTATAAATTGCACACCTAAAACTCATTTAACAGAGGTAGGTATTTTCAAAAACTTCAGAGAAAGAATGATTTGGGGAGAAGGAAAAAAGGCTAAAAAGTGCTGGTGGTATGAAGGAATTGTTATGAATTTACTTTTATACAGCTGCTCTGGAGACCTTTTAGTGATAAACCCTTTATCTTGTATTAGGTGTTTCCTATGCATTCTGCTGACATTGAGAGTTGTGAAGTTAATGACAGGTTAGTGATGTCTTCATTAAAGTTATGAAAATCGGGTTTTTCTATGCATTCCAACAAATCAACTCGGTTTTGTATATTTCAGCATGTGCAGGTCAAGATTGCAAACATGTAGAAAATCTCTTTGCTTTTCGGAAAACTCCCAGGACCATGCCTACAACTTCTCTTGTGAAATTCAGTCAAGATAACTACCGAACAGAGGAGCAGAGATTTCGACGGAGACGTGGGCCTCTTGAACATGAGGGAAAAGCGGGGAACTGGACACACGGTGAGCTTTCTCATGCTGAGGATAGAGTAGGTGGGTTCTGTGTCCAAATAACTTCAATTTCCAGTGATGTATCTAGAATAGTTTCGAATTTTATACCGTTTGTGTCTGTCCAATAGTTGGGTTGGATTTTATTTGCACTGGAGTGCACATTTTGGTGTATTGTAAATGTTTTTACAGGAAAGTTGTTGTGTGGGAATATTGACATTGTGGCACAGATTGGGGACAAGATAGTAGGTAGGATATCATGATCCCAAGAGCAGATTTATTTCCAAGTTTTATATTGTGCCTAGGTGTTCTTCTTGGTGGACGTTGTTGCCAGAATGGGGGCACTTGTGTGCTCGGCAGTTTTTGTGTGTGTCCTAAAGCTTTCAGTGGTAGACACTGCCAATACAACCATCTCAACAGGTACATTTACAGCTCGGTTTGCATTCAAAAACCAGCGCGGACCGTATCCTGAGTGCAGTGTTTCTGTTTTTTCCCCCCTCACATAGAGACTGTAACTCCATACAACATGGAGAGTGGGCTCGCAAGAACTGCACCTGGTGTAAATGTAACTATGGGACATTCCATTGCCTCCGAGGATTGCTGGAAAACTGTGGTAAGCGTGCGGCAAACAGAACCCACAACTCGCTTTTACTTCTGTTACTGACACTAAAGTATGACCCAGAGAACTCATCTGAACTTTCAAAGTGTGACTCGCAGTGAATTAGTCAATCAGAAGTTTAAGTCAGGAAAACATTTCATATTTAGCTATATTGAAACCAAGTTTGAATTAATCATTGACATATCTACCTGCCAGAAGCCAATTCGCACTAATAGAAACTCAGAAGAAGGTTATTCTTGGACTTTTACCCACTGTTGTGTTGTCACCAGCATTGAATGGCAATAAGCCAAACCTTTATAATACCAAGGCTATGCATATTGATCTATTTGAGACGTGTATGCAATTTAGAATGAATTTAACATTGAGCTTGATAGGTTTGGTGAGTGTATGGAGCATTTTGATTCTGAATCATTGCTGTTCCATCTCTCTCCAAACCGCCCTGCTCCCAAAATATCCGGTTGAATCAACTGAGGTTCTGTAACTTGTTTTCCAGACATTGGGTATGCCAAAATTTACAGGAAGTAAAAAATATGGCGATAATTCAGCGTTATCAAAGTGTGTCCCAAGGTCAAGTATTTAAACGTGCTCTTATCTTATTTCAGATCCAGCCCAGGATAAGGAACTGGGATATATATTAACATCTGGGTGCAGTTTGGAATTCTCTCTCCACCCCACATGCCTGCTGGTGCCCTTGATGATCAATATCTGTGCAAGAATGATGCAGCTGAATTACTGAGGCAGTTTTAAAAATATATATTTTAACAACTTGAACGCATTTGAGAACCGTATTGGTGATGGATTGTCACTAGAGACCAAACACACTATTAGCTATATAAATGTGATTGACCATGTCGCTAAACCCAATTTTGCTTTTAACATTAAACCCATTTGTAAAACAAACGTGGCATAAATCTTCTGTTCTTTGTCTCTAAGTAAACTATTTTCCAACATGTTTGGTCTAAAACCAATGAATTCGAGGCAAAATGTAGGGCGACCTTTGCATTTGCTTGACTGCTCGGATGAGCATTATTAACAGCAAGTCCAAACAAATGGGAGATTTGAAAGCTGCAATATGAGGTTCTTGCCTATGCAACTTCATTTATATGCAATTCTTGAATGTGTCTGATGAAATGTGTTACATTGAATTTCCGTTTTTATTAACTCAGGATCTTCACCAACCACCACAAAAATATTGATGTGTAAATCTGTCCCTCTGAAATTTAGAACAAACAATTTTAACAATGTTGAGGAATTTCTGACTTGTCACACGGGACAGACCAAACTGATCTTTTGCATTGAACAACCAGGAGACGCTTGAAAAAAAACTTGAAGATCATAAAGCTTGAAGCAGATGGTCAATGAAACATGATGCTGCATGTATCCCTGAGGGTGTGAATGAGTCATTTGTGGAATGCAGCTGATCAGAGTTGGAAAACGTTTTCTCCAATATACTTGGATGTAAATTTTTTTTAAAAACTTTGGCAGTACATACAAGAGAATCTGTTTAACTTTGTCTGTCACTTTTAGTTAATTGCATCTGTTATTAATCCCAGTGATCTCCGCTTTTTTCCATTCAATCCCTGGTTGATCAGTTTCTTCAATCGATAACACCCTTAATTTTCCTGTATCCAACCAGTCTCCTTATTAAGTAGTTTCAGAGGAATTGTGCAATAATCTTGAAATCATTAGGATAAGAATAATCATTTATGGTTTCAAATAGTCTAGTTCAGTCTTAAGACCCACTGTGTGCATGTCACGCCAGCATGCCAATGTCAGATTCCTATTCCAAGTAACTTGTTTTTACAGGTATGACCTGGGGCAATCGCCAAATTATATACACAAACCTACAGCTATCCTCAAAACAACATTTCATTTGTTTGTTTTTTACTCTTGTATGTTTCCATATAGAATCTTACAACTATTTGAGAAATTCCTTGCTATAATATCCCGTGGGGCGGAGAGAAAGGAAAGGTCATATGCCCATAATCAAGTGTCAACATGGGTTGTATAAAATCAGCAAAAGACTTGACCGCTCTGTACCTTTTTGCAGATCTAAGGGTATTATGAGATTTTTTTTTAAAAAACTTAAAATGCCCTGATAATTGTCATGCTCCTCCGAATGGCAGTTAGTTGACTCGATAACAAGAATAGTAATCCTTGCGTTTGATATAGCACATCGTAGAGATGCCTCAGTCCTTCATGGGATATACTGTAAAGTAGATTGACCATATATTTTGTGGCTGCAACATGCTCTGGCACTTCCCAAGTGAGCAGTCTGGAATGCCAGGGTACAGCCCCTCATGTCTCTTTCACAGTGCCAGACTGGTGAGAAGCTCAACAGGGTCTTCTCTCTCCCATCAATTCCATCAAGCCTGTTGCCCTGGCTGTAGTTTTGCTTGATAGTAAGTAGGGACAGTGGGAATCTCATTCATCCATTCATGCTGTCACTAATTCGATGACAATTAGACATCTACCCTCTGATGGAACGGTACCAGGTCATCAGGTCCCTGCAGGGACTCACCGGCAACTACGCCCGAAGGGCTCTGTGCTCTTTTTGAACACACGCCAAGCGTAGCGTGTGTGCACTCGCTCTACATCCTGTGAACATTTTTAACCGAAGGACTCTGAAGGGTTTGCGCTGTGGGATTCATCGACTGTCCTGGTATCGGGTTTTTCCTGCCATTGGGTGGTGTTTTCCTCCATTGTTTGGGGGTGTGGGGGTGGTGGGGTGTGACTCCTGGGGTGTGACTCCTGGGGTGTAGTGTGACAGTGCTTCAGAGTGTCCAAACCAAACTGAGAATTAAATGGATTCCACCGTCTGCTCTCCACAAAAATCCTTACCCTTCACTCGGGAATATTTGTAGCGCTCACTGAGGGAAGCAGCGGGACGGAGTGGGGGGACGACAACAACAACAACAACACTTGGATTACATTTCAAAGGCACTCAGTAAAATCGTGCAGCAGAGCGACAACAGTGAGTTTCCATAGAAACAGGCGCACCCTCCCTCGGCTGCGCGCGTCATTCCGACGTGGCTTCGCACCGCTTCCTGGGAAACGGAGTCGCGCGGCGCACGCTGGGAGATGCAGTCTCGGGCGCCTGCGCTTTTGTTGACAAACGCGCGGGGCCGGACCCGGGCGAAGGACTACACGACCCGGCGTGCCCCGCGAGCCGGCTCCGAGCGCGAAGCAGTCTGGGAGGGAGGGAGGGAGGGAGGGGGAGGAGTCGGCAGCACGGCCTTGGCCGGGCCCTTTCCCCTCCTCACCATCGCCACTGCCATCACCACCCCCCTCCCTCCCGCCCGCCCGCCCCTCCCGCCCCTCCAGTCTGAGCTGCGGCCTCACTTCCGTTTCCCTCCGCCATTCCGCCGCAGTCTGTGTCCGTCCCGGGGGCTGTTGTGTTTCGTCTCGTCTCGCCCATTGCCGCGCAGGACCCCACGGGGAGCCGGAGAGGCACCACAACACAGGGAGGGAGAGAGAGAGGGCCGGAGCAACGACTGACTGTGTGAGTGCAGAGTGCAGCCCGGCCCCCCCCCCCCCCCACTGCCTTCCTTCTTAAGGGACAATTGGGCACCGGCGGCGTCTCCAACCGCCTCTCACTGTAAAGCAAAGGAGTCGAGGGGAAGGTGTGAGTGAGGCTCGGGCCGGGGGGGTGGGGGGAGCCGGCGGGGGCGGGGGGGAGCCGGCGGGGGGCGGGGGGGAGATTCTGGGTTGAATATTCTTCGTGAAGGGTGTGAGGTGAGAGACAGGTGGAAGGGTCCGCGCTTGGGTTCACGGGGGGGGCGGCAGCAGCTGTGTGTGGTGTGGAAAGCGAGCGGTCAGCGACGCGTTTGGTTGGGGTGGTGCGGTTTCTGTGGTCAAGGACAAGGTTTGGGAATGTGTCTCTTGGGTGTGGGGGATGGTGTTTGGAAGGGTCGGGGGGGGGAGGAAGGAGAGGAGTTGTTGGGGGTCGGGGGGTGTGGGTGGGGGGAGGAAGGAGAGGAGTTGTTGGGGTCGGGGGGTGTGGTGGGGGGGAGAAGGAGAGGAGTTGTAGGGGTCGGGGGGTGTGGGTGGGGGGGGAGAAGGAGAGGAGTTGTAGGGGTCGGGGGGGTGTGGGTGGGGGGAGGAAGGAGAGGAGTTGTTGGGGGTCGGGGGGGTGTGGGTGGGGGGGGAAGGAGAGGAGTTGTTGGGGTCGGGGGGGTGTGGGTGGGGGGGAGAAGGAGAGGAGTTGTTGGGGTCGGGGGGGTGTGGGTGGGGGGGGGAAGGAGAGGAGTTGTTGGGGGTCGGGGGGGTGTGGGTGGGGGGGGAAGGAGAGGAGTTGTAGGGGGTCGGGGGGGTGTGGGTGGGGGGGAGAAGGAGAGGAGTTGTGGGGGTCGGGGGGGTGTGGGGGGGGGGGGAAGGAGAGGAGTTGTGGGGGTCGGGGGGGTGTGGGTGGGGGGGGGAAGGAGAGGAGTTGTTGGGGTCGGGGGGGTGTGGGTGGGGGGGAGAAGGAGGGGAGTTGTAGGCTTCAGAGAGAAGGTGTGAGGGTCAGAATAAGTGTACTCACTCGCCCAATTTCTGTCTCTGTAGCGTTGGTTGGCTCTCAATGTATCACTGTATTGCCAAATGTAACACAGCTGCGTTATCCACTCCTCTGTGTGAAGCTGATATTTACATGTGCAAGGCTAAAGTCATCGCTAAAATACTGTACTCTGACTTCTGTGTTTGCTGTACCCGAATTGACTGCTGCATTTGTCTGCACAACACAGTCATTACTCTTTGAAATGCTTTGAGCCACTCCTCTGACGTGAAAGGCATTCATTAGATCCAATGCTCTTATTAATAAACTGATCAAAGAAGCAAATGGAAATTTCCAGTAGAGCACCAAACAGCAAAAAACGGAGACTAAGCTTAGAGTATGTTATAGTTAACACAGTATATGTACACTTATTACTCCACTGCTCAATTTGCACAAGTACTTTGAACTTACTCTAATTCTGTGTATAATTTATACCTGAAATAACATAGTTGGCACAATCCGGAGGTTTCAAGTTCAGTCAGGACTAATGTGTTGCAGCTTCCAAACATGGAATACAGGCCTCGACCTGCTTTGTGAATTGATTTAGTTTCTAAATTTTTCAAGATGTCCATGACATCTCAGAATAAAAGTATGTGAAAGAAAGTTTTTGATCGGAATATTTTGTGCCAATATTTCATGGTGCGCAATGCAATGTGTATGTTGGAGCTTTAATTTAGAAATACTGTAGTTGCGTATGATTTTTTACAATGGCTCTGAGGTTTAGTGGCACATTATGCGGTACTGAGCCATAAGGATCACAAAGGTTTAATACCTGGTCTGTGCAGCTTTAACTGATCACAGGCAGAAAAGTAAAGTTGGGCTACTTCTGGTTTCAAAATCCATTGTAGGGTGAAAACTTAGTCAGTTAGGTAGTCAGTCACTACCCAATCATATGGATGTTGTCTGAGGCACTGGAGGTGCAACTTGTTTGTTTATCAAACATCTGGGAGCATGAAAAGGTCTGTAATAACCAAAAGTACATTGGTATGACAAATTCTAGTGTGTCATAACCGGGCCTGGTTGTGGAATATGTTGTCTGCAACGTCTGATGCAGTTTCAGTGCTGAGCCTGGGCAGGATGTCATTAACAGGAACTGACTGCTCTTTATGTGGGGTTGTGTATTCTCACAGCTTCCTCTTTACTCTGTACTGTACTTGGACCCGTAGAGAGCTTTGATTATCGACAGTATAAAGTTTAGGAGAAGTGCTAATCATTCATTTGGAGATAACCAACAGGAAGTGTGGCCTTTAAGAAACTCTTCTTGGAATTTATACTTTATGATCCAAATTGTGTATACTGCTGGATATCTCCCTATATAATTGCTCCAGATGTTGCATTGCTTGGAGCTCAGCGTGCATTGAGGAACGCACATCCCTTGAGTTTCACTGTGACTTTAGGAGCTTGTTTATCGTAATTGAGGGAAAATTTTGCCGAAAACAAGGCCAAAGTTCTCTTGCATGCTTAAATTTTGAAAGTCCTGGAAATTAAAAGCTGTCAGCTTGCTGCAGTAAGGCCCGTTTTCTGTTTATAAGTATGGCACATTTTTAATTGGTGTTTGCTTTTAATACAGTGCATTTATGGTGTTTCCAATCTGCAATGTAATAAGTTTCTTGTCCATAGCTGACACCTGAATCCCACAATTGGATTTCTGATTTCTGGCTGTTGTTGGATTCAAAAGCGACAACTCACACTTATATAGTGCCCTCTACGTCAGGCGGCGACTCAGAGTGCTTAACGATAGTGGAGCCCAAGGCCGAGCCGGGCGGGGTGGGAGGTCGAAAAGGAAGGTGTTCAGGTGCGACCTGAAAATGGGGAACGAGGGGTGGAGGCGAAGTGGTTGAGGGAGGGAGTTCCAAAGTTTCGGGGCATGGTGGCTGAAGGCACTACCGCCAATGGTGGAGGATTCGGGGGATGTGTAGGACGCCGGACCCAGTAGAGGGGAGGCAGCAGGTACTGCTGTGGGAAGAGAGGAGGTTAGAGAGATAGGGGGTGCCAAGGAATGGAGGGATTTAAACACTAGAGTGAGGATCTTGAAGTCAATCTGCTTTGTGACAGGGAACCAGTGGAGTTTGGCAAGGACTGGAGCAATCGGAGTACGAAGTCTGGTTGCGATACCGTGACAACAGATCTCAAAGTGACTTGACAGTATAATGAATGTATAGCGCCTTTCACATCGGGAGGACGTCCCAAGGCACTGGACAGTGTACAGCATTTCAGACCCAAGCTGGGGTCGGGGGGGGGGGGGGTGGAGGGGAGAGTGTTCTTCCAAGTTGTGCTTGAGAATGATCCTTTCTCAGGGGCTTCAAACTGCTTTATATTGGGGGTGAATTCCCAGGTTTATTGATGTATGCCTTATGTCCATCAAGTATAGTAGTCCAGAAAGTCACAAGTTCTTTGCATGGACAATTTATACACTTGCAACAGACTATCTGGTTTATATTCGTCTTCAGCTACAGAGACCTCTCCATTGTTTCCAAACCATTGTTTCATATGTGTTTGGGTTTCTTGATATTCTCTCACTGATGACCTCTCCACACTTAATTTCGTAAGGAAGCTTGCATTATTCTGTGCCATGTTGCAGCATGCAGCATGGAAGAATTTAGGTGATGATATTTGACAAAAGTAATCTTAAGGTTGACTGACCAAGTTACCTGCAGTTCACTCCTGTTCACCTCAAGGAGGTATGATAAAGCCTCCTTGGAATCAGCCAAGAAGTACACTATGTCCATTCTTACTCCCCCACCACTATGCAAGAACTGGATTTTTTTTCTTCTGAGGATTGTATCGTTGAGTGTAACTTATCCACTGAGAGCACTGTTGTGAAACTTGCAGTGAATGAGATCTGTGTGGAAACCTATGGTAAAGTTAGGTGTGCAGAACACAAATGGGTAGGATTTATAAAGCTCACGTTAATCTTTGGTTAGCTTGGATCTTAGTAGGTTTCTAAGGATATCTGAAAGTGAAGTACAGTACACAATGAAATCTAGGGTTTTAGGTGACGTAATACATATACTACTAAAGTTTGAGCGATTAACCAGCGGTCAACATTAACATTTGCCGGTTGAAGAATCCTCTCATTTTTTTTTCTCATCCTGTCTCAGAATGTGGGCGATGTTGATGGGGCCAGCATTTATTGTCCATGACTGGTTGCCATGAGAAAGTGGTAGTCTTTTTGGTAATGGGTAAGGAGTTCCAGGATATTGACCTGATAGTGATGAACGAACAACAGTATATATTCAAGTCGGGATGGAGTGACTTGGAGATGGTGATGTGGGTTATATTAACTAATTGGTGGTCTGGTATTTTTCTTGGTTGTTGTACATTTTGTCCTTATCTAATCACCTTTTCAGCTTGTGAGTCACTTCCTCTGTTTCAGTGATGTAAAGGAATTTTTGCCAGGTGAGGGAGCTGAGACCTTACCCTCCTTGGTGTGGGAGAAATAAATTAATAGGATCTCTATGCCTATGGCATTACTGTTACACAAGAGGTGGAGGGAGCAGGAAAGGAACATTGCAGTCAGCCAAGTGAAAGCAGCAGACTGTTTGGCTCAAAGGGCAGGTGCTCAGGAATTTCCTTTATCTTTGAGTTCAGAGAATAGCTTTCTTGTACACGTTCATCTGAGACACTACAGATTTCTTCAGTTAAGTGAGTTGCCACTGTTTGCGGTTGTGTTCTTACTGTGTCAGCAGTTGATACTGCTTTACATTTAATAACTGAGTTGCTGATCTATTTGTGGTGAATAATGTTCATCTTACTGGTAACTGACTAAAAAGTAGACTGATAGCATCTCTGGGTTGTTTCTGGCTGATGCGTGCTTTTCCCCCCCTAGATTTTTAATGTGTTGTGTTGTCTTACACATTTCTGAGTACCTTGTAGTTGAGCAACCTGCTCCCTGTCCTCTGCTAGGTTTACACTCCAGCGATTTGCTTGGAGGGCTGTCTCAGTTCTGGGCAAAATGTGACTTAGCTGATGTGTTTTTTTTTCTCTCTCTTGCCCCTGAAGGCAGGTGCTTTGCCTCTTGTCACCATCTCTTTCAAGAACACATTTGAGCTAGGAAGGTGATGCATGTTATTTGCAGAGATAAACCTTCCTCTATTAGTAACACAAAGGAAATCGGCATTGAAAGTGGGTTAGGGTGAGATCATCTCTGAGTAGGCCTGGTGTGAAGTCACATTACTATTAAAGGGATGTATGCAATTACTACAATTTTACATCCAAAACATCTGCAATGGATGCCTGGGAGATTGCACCTTCCAGAATGGGTTATTGTAATTAATTGTTCAAAAAAATGTTGAGAATGATTCTTTGTTGTACAGTTAGATCATAAAGCTCAAGGCTTGAAGCAATCTGTACAGTTACCCTGAATACTTAACATCTGCAATAAGTACTTTGAAAATGTATTGCAAACATAAAAAAGCTTATGTCTCTACAAGATTCCTGAGGGGTGGCAAAATACCTTTGAGAGTTTGAGATCAGAGATGGTTGCTGTCTTTAGTCTGACCCACCAGATTGTATTGCTGCATGGCTGGCTGCCTGACAGCAATGCTGATTGTAGAAGAGAAATATTTGCCTCATTGCATTTCTGGCAGGCCAGGGAGGCTTCGTTAGACGTGATGGAACTTGTGCAGTAACTTCCTTTTCTGTGAAGCTTTTCACAAAACGAGTCCACGTCTGTCAGGAAATGATAGGATCAGTGCCTTACCCAAGGCTATGGTCCTTTCTGCAATGCAATGGAATTACAGGCTGCGCAGAGCAGACCATAAGAATCCAATGGAGTGGATAGCTGTGTCTGACAGGACTGATTGCCAAGGATGTTAGGATTCCTTTCACCATGAGCGGTCCGTGGTTATCCCTGGCTACTATGTAGTTCACTATTCTATCACACTTGTGCTTAGAGTTCCTCAAATGGTGAGTTCCTGACTTATAATACTGAGAACCCACATAACCCCCAGGCAACATTCCTTCTCCCTTCCCCCTATGGACTCAGCATCACAATTTTCATGCTCTTGCAGTTCAAGAGTATTATTGGGAAAGATGGGAGAATTTTCCCCACATCTGTCGAGGTGAGGGTATTGTGCAAGGTTCACAACCTATTGGAGGAGAGAGAGGTGGAGGAGCATTGTCGTAACACAGAGGAATTGGAGAGCTTTGGGGGTAATGCCGAGTGTGCAGCTGCTATGAACTACAGAATGTGGGAGTAAAACATGCAGATCTTTGTCAACTTTAAAATCCGCTGATCAACTGCTCGTCAGCTGCTGGTGTACACGTGTATTTGGTTGATTCAGTGAGATGAACACTACTAATCTGTAAAAAAAACATCAACACCAAAAAAGGTTGGATTGCAGACACACTGGAACAGACGCACTTCAGTGGGAGCTTTGATTGGCTGTGTCTTACAGAGTGACTAAACAGGAAAGCAGATATTCAGATGTGGTTAGGCCTCTGAAAGACTGTCTGCTACCAGTTTGTGAGAAGTGTGTCAGCAAGGTGTGCAATCAGTAGAATGCTTGGAAATGGTGTCCACATCCATTTTTTTGATGCTGGCAGGATTATACATTTATGCACCCAACAGGATGCTCGAGTTTGACAATCTTCACGTGTAAAATTTTGTAAACCGCATTAGACTTCGTTTGAATCATTTATTCTGTCTAAGAGGACTGAATGAAACAGCCTTGTGAAGTGGAACTAGGCCTTTTGTGGTAAGTTAATGTTCGATTACTTGTTGGAGGTGATCGATTAAAATATGGCATAAATTATGATCACCTTCTGTTATGTAACTGCAGGTTACATAGGTTGGTGCGGGTTGGTGTATTTGGGGTGAGTGTATGACACAGTTTTTCCAGTATGAGGTACATATCACAGACTCACGATATAAAAATGGATCAGAAATCTTTTAACCAATCTGGGAATCTAAGACATGGTTATCTTTACTAAAATCCAGTACTGAATTTGACTGCTACTGATGAATAAGAATACGGCTCTAATCATGATATCTCCATGTGGAGTTTTGCCATGGCAGATAGAAAGAAAGAGTTAAAATTAGAGCAAGACACCTGTATAATCCCAGAATCTGTTGTTATTTTTCCTACCACGTAACCGTGACTCATTTCTGCAGCTACTGAAAGCCAACTGTGATGTTATTGTTAGTCATGCAATGACCATGTCCAGTGATGATTCTAAATAGAGAAGGGCCCATCACAAATCCTGTGTTGTTCACTGTGGTAATTCTTTCCTTGCCAATATTTTCGATATTCCCTCCTTCCTTGTGTGAAACGTTTGTTTCCTATTTTCTTTCCACTGGGATATGGTTCCCTAGTTACTTGTTTTACTCTGATACATCACCCAAGGTGCTGTCATTTATGCGTGGTGAACCTCCACAGTCATGTTGGTCAGCTATTTGACTGCTCGCGCTGCCCTGATTTTGTGCTTGTCCAACATATTTGCAATGGCTTGAAATAATAATAATAATCCTTTTATTTGATATAGCGCTTTTTACGTCTTCTAGACATCTCAAAGCGCTTGTTCCAGCTGGCCTGATAATTTCATTTTNAAAAAAAATAGAATTTTGACAACATATTAAAAAAAAATCCTAACTTTGTAGCCTGTTTCCTGTCGTCTTTTAAAAAAATCCAAATAAGACTGAAATTACAATTTATAATAATATTTAGCAATTTTGCATCGTATTAAATTTGAAGACAAAATACTAGTGTTTTAATATCTGAAACTAGGTGAATGTAAGAGAAGCCTCCAAAAGGGACACTGCTAAATATTGGTCAAGTGCATGATCACTCTGTGGGGCACTGAGCTCAATGGTAGTCTCCTGGCTAAGATCTGCTAACCCCTCACTTACAGTGGATAGTGCAGTAGCTCTATACGGTTAGTATTGTTTTAAGTGCAGCAGGAAATGGGTTGGGAACGAGAGAAAAATGCAGCTGCAGTAAGCTTAAGAGATATGTTATGGTTAAATCAGGTCTAAGTTCAGCCAGAATTGTGATGCTTTCCTAACAAAATTAAATTGTTGCATTAAGAACATAGATCTGTTGATCTCATGTTTATCACAGTCCAGTGAAATCCATGGAGACCCTCCCATCAGCTTCACGCTACAGTAATAATCTGTGTACTTGAGCAGAAAGGTAGAAATCCAGGGTCACAACCTTGTTCTTATAAGAAATATGTCATTATTACAACCGCCTTTGAACTGGTTTTGTTGTGTCTGCATTGACATCTCAAGACTTGCAAAATGGATGAACGACCAAGATATGAGGTAACAGAAACTGCAAGGCTTGGAATGTAGGATTTTTGAAACGTTTCATATTAAGAAACCCTTAATGAGTTAGTTTGGCATGACCTTTTGTTTGGTCATGTTTGTTTGAGTCCTTGGAAACTGAAGTTGTTGGGAAGAAATGTGTAATCTGCATTATTCTGAGTAAACTGTTTGCTAAACAATGGGCTATTCAGATATCTTTTCATATACCTGCTTGGAAGTGAGCAGAATCTTAATGGATGATGTACTGTTTTGTGGCCACTAGAGAGAGCTCGTGTCATTTACCTGGATGAACCTGGTCTGCTGTTCAAACATACAGTAGTTTGGAGTTGAGCAAACGCAGGCTTGCTTATGGGTAAACTTTTCTTTGTGTGGGCTAATGTAACTGTCAAACCAGGAATACATGCTGTATTTTCCCAAACCCCCTTTCAGATTGTCAGTTCGCCTTTAATTAGCCTCTGTTTCTTTGTTTCAGGATTAAGTAATCTGGAATTATGTCAGATAACGGAAAATTTGAGGATCGGCCACCTGCCCCTCCTGTACGTGTAAATAGCACATTTTTCATCTCAGGCAGCAAGGATGCCTCATCGAGCAACCACAACGCCAAACCCTTGCCATCTGTGCCTGAAGAGAAGCAAAAACGACCCAAACTCATATTCCCGTTCACAATCACGGGAGACAAAGGTATTGTATGGGATATCTAGAGGGATATGTGTGGAGTACACTTGAGGGGAAGGGGCTAAAGGGAGCCTGGGGGCTTTAGTAAGTAGGAGGCAGTGACAGTGAGTAAAACAGGGGACTGAATGGTCAGAGTACATGGCTGAGTTACAGAGTGCAGGGATGATGGGAGGGCATTTGTACTACGTGCTCTACTTGCTTCCTATTCTGTTTATATAATTGCACCATATAGTGCACTGTTTGACATCAGCACTTATGTCGTCCACATGTGCCAAGAATAGAAAACCTTTTTTTATTTATTTTCCTTGTTCTCAACACAAAACTGCATCTGCGGGAATCTTTTAAAATGTGGACAGATCAGTACTGTGTTTTCTTGTGCCTTGCAGTTCTGTTCTTTGTGGATATGGTTCCACTTGACAATAGATCACTGGTTCAAATCCAACAAATGCATGGTGCGGTCACGATCAGTGATGAGCTGGCAGCTTTCCAGTGTTCACTCTGCAACATTCACTCAGTGTGCAGGCATGATTTATCAAAGTGTTCATTGATTAGTCTGATCTTCAGTAGCTTGTAGGCTATCTCCCGGCGAAGGTGTAACTTTTATTTGAAGCCAGTAGAAAATGAATTTTTCTACCCAAATTGCTACTTAATGACGCGGTAAATTAGTATGAAGTCTTATTCCCTAGATTTCAGAACAATGGACTTCTTGTGCAGCTTTCAACCAGTGCTTTTGGTTTGATCTTGTCTGCTTTTATTATTTCTAGGGAATGAAAGTTCTTCCAGCATTTTCCCTTCCCAATATCACACCTTTCCATACTCCTTGCAATTGTGTTAATCGTGCTAAATTAATTTAATGTTTTTTCAGTTTGCAAGGCACTTGATGGTCTTGTGAGTGTATTTTTGGACCGGATCCATTCTGGTTGAGATCTGTCCCCATGAGGTCTGTGACTGGACCCGTGATGAAGATTTGTTCATTTGGCTGTTTTCTTTTGAAATCTCTGATTGTGCTTTGATTGTCTATTGTTTTGGTAGTTGCTGAGCATTGTTCTTATGTTTCTTCAGGAAGTAAGAAAAAAGATAAAGAACGTCCAGAAATATCTCTTCCATCAGATTTTGAGCACACAATTCATGTCGGGTTTGATGCTGTAACGGGAGAGTTTACAGTGAGTACTTAATGGCATAAGTGATGGATATTTGATTATTCTATTGAATCTAGTTTGACTCCTGCAGTTCTTGGAAGGCGAGAGTCGAACTAGACTCTCGCCTCCCTTAAAAAAAGGGTTGTGGCTGTGCTTCATTATTACCAACTGTGCTGACAAGTGTCTCATCCAGCAGATTTCAGTCTTCATCAAACTTGATGGTTTCTGCATCGGATAAGCAGAAAGATGTGTTCCATTACTGGCTCTGGGTACTGTTTGGCCATTTCACCATTAATTCATCATTTTGAATGGAGCACTGTAATGTGGAGATTGTCTTGGGTACCAGAACTGTTGAAGAATGTTGTGTTAGGTTAACCCTTCCTTTGCTGTATTGCCTCCCCTTGTGGGTGAGCTCAGTATAGTGGGTTCCAATGCACATCCCGGCTAATAGTGCCACTCTTAAGTGCTTCTTTCTGGAGGGGTGACGAATCTTAGCTGTGAACTAATTCCACCTCAAACTGTGAGTTAAATTGGATCCCTAGGCTTGTCCTAACCAGGTAATATTCCAGTTGAAAATTATGGAATGCAAATTTTGAATTTCTGTTTGAGGGAAGTCTCCAAATTATCAGAAGGTTGCACTATTTCACTATAAGATCCGGTCACATCATCACATTGCTCCATTTTGTTTCCCAACATTTCATAGAATTTCTCTTAAGGAAATGTTTACCTCACCCTCCCCTTTTTTTTTACCAGGCAGAAATGAAATCTATTCTCACGGGTGGGGAGAAGTTTTTGCCAGTGCTGTAGCATACCTTATCTCATAATCAGTGAAAGAATAGTCCTGTAAGATGCTTAGGAACTTATTGTACACTTGGATCAGCTGCAGATAATAATAATGATAATCAATGCATTTGATATAGCGCCTTATCACGTCTTCAAGATGATATGCGTTGCATGAGATCAAAGATGCTGAAATAGTCTTTTAAGAGAACAAGTTTTTGCATTCGGAAATATTTTTCTTTTAAGTAAAGTGATTAGATTGGTTTGTATGGGAATAAAAAAGGAAATTCAAAAGATGTTTTAAAATCTCTCGCTCTTCCTCCTGACTGCTATAACTAAACTGTTGCGTTATTGTTTAGGGAATGCCAGAACAGTGGGCACGGTTATTACAGACATCCAACATCACAAAACTGGAACAGAAGAAAAATCCTCAGGCTGTCCTTGATGTGCTCAAATTTTACGATTCCAAATCAACAGTAAAACAGAAGTATCTGAGCTTCACAGGTATGAGAAATGAATATGGGAGGAGAAATGATACAGGCTACGCAAAAGCGGAAGGACTTAAATGTTATTTGTTTGAGTATCCAAGACAGATGTAACCTATATTTTTCCTTCCTTCCTATCTTTTTAAATAGAGCAATCAGATGGGTTCTCTCCAGTGCCAGCCGTGGTGAGTAACCCATTTCATATTTATTACACTTTGTTCTTTTATTGTATGTGAATCTTCACCTGCATGCACCCAGGCAATCCCCACACATTAATGTGCTCATTGGCATAGTATGTTGAAGAAAATTATTGTACCAAAGTTTAAAAGTTAGTACATTTGTATGTAGGAAGATGCATCACCTTGTTTACATTATATAATACAGGAATTAGGACGTTGTATACATTAAATACTACCATCTATAGATTAGATACAGAATGAATAGTAGGCCCAGATAAGATGTGAAGTTGAAGTTCTCGTCAGTGGTTAAGATGTGTGTAACTATAGCACTATTTTGTAGAAGAGCAGTTTTCTCTCGGAGTTAAGGCCAATGTTCCTGCTTTACTCCCCTCCCCCCTCAAAAATTCCAATAGATTATTAATCTCTTTACTTTTTGAATGGCATTAATGCCGCAGTTTAGCTGCTGTTTGCTTCCATATGATGCATAATGCTCCAAAGTAACTCATCTGTACTGAATTGAGATTTTTTTAACATTAAAGAATCGTTTATCTTGGGTAATGTGTGGGGTGAGGTTGGACAACGAGAGGAGAAGCTGCATACACATATATGTGTGTATGTGTATATAATATACATTTATAACTACACGAACACTGATGCAATTGTTTTCCTTTAGCCTGGTTCAAAAGGCACTGACCCATCAGGTGTAGCGACTGTTCCTGAGGAGGATGATGATGATGAAGCTCCCCCTCCAGTTATTGCTCCTCGACCTGAACACACCAAATCTGTGAGTATGTCTGTTCCTTGTACGTAGGAGTTCTGTATTCGAAATTGCCACTAACTATTTTGTGGCAACTGTTTTACCAGGGAGATTAGTAAAGCGTTCAACATTTCAGAGCGCTTAATTTTGGTATTGGTGGATATGCATAGAATTATTTTATATAACTGCTTATTAGGGTTATGGAAAATTGTGGGCTGAATGAATCTACAAGAAAGTCGTCTATGGATGACTGCATGTTTTAACTCTTGATAAAAATTGTGTTCAGTATGAACTTGGTTGTTTCTCAAAGGCTCAGATTCTACAGTCTAGATAAAATTCAGCCATATAGGTCTGTCCTGAGACTCTGCTGTCATGGCCTCCATGATGGGATAGACCGCTGAAACTGGCTGTATAATAGCCACTTGGACAAAGTGCCAAAAGATGACCGGTGCAAGTGGAACTGCACTCTCATATGAGCTGGTGCTTTCCAGAGGGGAAATCGTGTATATTGGCTCTCGATCTCCGTCTGTGAACTTTAACCATGTATTATAGCACTGAACTCACTGTACTCTTCTCTCAGCTTCTCACACGCTCCGTGATCGATCCAATCCCACCTCCTGCCAGCAGAGAAGGGGATGGTGATGGCGCTGCAAAAGGATCTGACAGATCAAAAAAGAAGACCAAGATGTCCGATGATGAAATCATGGAAAAATTGCGTAAGTGCTTTTCATTACGGCACTCAATCTATGAGGAACTGGGATACATACAGGCAAGCTTGAAGGAAGCTCATTTTGGGAGCTACTGATCTATGAGGATAGCTAGTGTACAGCAAAGTGCCACTTTATGGAGGTGTCTGTAATGATAGTCACTGAAATTGTCTGAATTTTGTTTGAGTCACTGAAGCAGAGGAAAGCTCGGCTTTGGACTTGTATGAGTATCAGAATGGGTATCATTTTGATGGTATTTTACCACATGAATTTCAGAAGGTGTGTGATGTTCAGCATTCAAGACAGTGTTTTGCTGGTATGGATACTTGTGTGTGGGTGTGGTGTGTGATGGAAAGGTGTGCACTGGGAAACACCGTGAGATTGGCTGTAACATAACCATTCATAATTTGGGGAAGTCAATGAGACTGACTAATATTACTGGTGCAGAGACTGAGATTCAGTGTGTATAATAAAGGGGAATAGATAAGATTCTGAATAATATATAATAACATAATAGTATGTTTCTGCTTAACATGGGGTAAAAAAAGGTGAGATTGACTACTAAAAGATTGTGCTGTGGTAAGTGTGATTCCTAACCATTGTCACCAAATACCATGCCTGTCTGAGAGTTGCTCTGAAATCTCAGAGGTGCTCTGTCTTCTCCATTTTAAGTTGGTCTTCCTTTTGTACCTTTCTCTTATAGGAAGTATAGTCAGTGTTGGAGACCCAAAAAAGAAATACAGCCGATTTGAGAAGATCGGGCAAGGGTGAGTGCTGGTCCTTTGACTCTTATCTTTGAAGTGCTTTGAGATGCCCTAAAGACGTGATAAGGTGCTATATCAAATGCAAAGATTATTATTAGTATTATTTACCTGAGTGGGCAACTGGTGGGGTTTCTTAATGATGCTCTCTTACTATTTAAAAGACCAATTCTACTGCTTAATTTCCGTCGAAAGAACCCCAGTGTCTCTAACTTCAACTCAACTGTTTCCAGTTGCCATTCTAGTTTCCATGTTTGTCCGGCTCCCTAGTTTATTCAGATTTGTAGCTTCTAACATTGGATGTATTTTAGAGTGATTTATGATTTAAGTCTCTTTTTCCCTCCAGTGCTTCTGGGACAGTGTTCACAGCCATTGATGTGGCAACAGGACAGGAGGTACGTTTCCAATCAAAAGCTTTATTCAGAGGTATCCATTACCAGTGAGAGATCTGTGGATTGACTAGTCTGTCACAGCTTGTACATAATCTTGCACTGAGAGACATCAAATGGAAAAAAAACTATTATAGATTCCAATCCACACACCATTACCAAATCAATATCCAGAATAGTGTAGTCAGTGCAGATTACAGAGATCTATTTGTTGCTCATTGTCTTTTAAAATGTAATCTATTATTTTAGTGATCAGGAATAAGAGCATGTCAGAAAGTGGTGATACAGTATTTCTGCTAGACAGTGCATTCACCTGTGTGTCTGAGATCTATTGTGAGGAAGTGGAGAGATGGTGGCCTGGACATGCTTTTCATTTGCCTTCCCAGGTGGCAGTCAAACAGATCAACCTGCAGAAGCAGCCAAAGAAAGAACTGATCATCAATGAGATTCTGGTGATGAAGCAGTTGAGGAACAACAACATTGTCAATTTTGTGGATAGGTAACTGGAGGGGGGCGCTGGGACGGGTGGTCTGTGTACAGTCAGGTGGGAGCTGTGCGCTAATATATATAGTTGGTCAGATAGGGCCGAGGGCATCCATCTCGTGTGCTTCTGTTCTGATAGAGGAGTAGAGAGGTTTTGTGTGTTCAAAGTTTTAACACTTACAATTTTGGAGGATTACTCGGGGCTTGGAGTGATCAGGACCACATGCTGGGAGGCTCGAAGCCACTGTCTTCTTGATGTTGACCAGACGCTTAGCTACTCCTAGTTAGTCCTTAGCTCTCCTCGCTTTCTCAACAGATAATGTCTTTTTATAACGAAGGGTCGTAGACCCGAAACATCGACTCGCTTTCCTTTCTCCATGGATGCTGCCTGAGTGTTCCCAGCGACTTCTGTTTTTGTTTTCAGATTTTCAGCATCTGCAGTATTTTGTGTTTTGTCCTTTTATAACCTTTTGTTATCTCCAGTTCATCATGTGAGTCTTCTTGAGTTTTTCCATCTGAAGAGTTGGTTTCAATTGCCCTTGCAGTTACAATGAGTTGTTTTTTTACTGCTTAGCAGCAACCATTATCACGCTCTTGCGATTATCACAATGGACTTACTTCTTTCTGGATATCTCCCTCATTGTCTGGATAATGACCCAGGCCATCATGCTTTGCGGGCCCATCTATGGTCAATGACCGTTTAACTTGGAGAATATAATATTTTACACTTATCGTTCTAAGCTCGAGTTCTGAATAAAATTTAATTGTTATAGAAAAACAAGACTAAAGCAGTAACATTTTCCGCAGCTTTCACTTCCTTAAAATAGGATGGTGAGTTTGGATTTTAATAGTGTGGAAGCCTGGAGGAAGAGAAGGATGGCTTGGTGTGTAATTCATTATTGATGCTTGCCTTCTGAAACCGTGCTGAGATTGAAATGTCACGTGTGGTGAGAAACGTGAGCTAGCATTGTACCTTTCTTTGAATACACCACTTCTGCACCAACATAAAGAGCTTTACCTGTCCGCCTGTTTCTTTCTGAAGTGACTAATGATGCGTTCCCCTGGTGGATTCTAATGAAGTGCTCAATCCTTTGTTCTGTCTTAGCTACCTGGTTGGTGATGAACTGTGTGTCGTGATGGAGTATCTGGCTGGAGGGTCGCTGACTGATGTGGTCACAGAAACTTGTATGGACGAGGCACAGATTGCAGCTGTCTGCAGGGAGGTAAATGCAGACACCTCGGGAGACCTGTTTTGGAATTGATTGTATTTGTAAAGTTCTCGAGCATTTTTGTTTAATAAGGATCATATTAGTAGCACCTAATAGTTTTTCCTGTGTGCAGTGCTTGCAAGCTTTGGAGTTTCTACACTACAACCAGGTCATCCATCGAGATATCAAGAGTGATAATGTGCTACTGGGAATGGATGGAAATGTGAAGCTCAGTGAGTAACAGTGTAACTAACCCATGTGATGTTGAATACACCCAAACAGCCATAATGGTTGTACTGTTCCTGAAATTATATTCGCAGACTGAAATTGAAAACAATTTTGAGATGTTTGCAGAAGATCTAATAATTGCTTTGTGAATTCTTAAAATAAATTGATGTTATTAGATTTTTTTTATATTCCATTATCTGTTCCATTATGTTCTAGAGATGGTATTTAGGGACAATCTGACCCTTCAATATGCAAGTTACTCGAACCTTGTGTCACTGTAGATGTCACTTCCTGCGTGCGGATATGAAGTGACATCAATGTTGCTCCAGGTGCAGCAAGGACTAAGGAACATCAGCAATGACCTGACAACCCGGATGTCAGACATTCTTTAACACATGGGAGTGTTCTGCTGAAAGCTAGTTTGGGTTCCACAGGCCACTTGTCTTATAATGGGGTTGCCCAGGAAATCATTTTGTTGAGTTCTATTTAAACAAATAATTCCTCCACATCTCCATCTTTTGGTTGTTCCCAAATGGTTGCATTCATTTACACTGATTTTCAACTGGATACATTTCTTTTAAAATTAAAAACTGGTTGATAGAATAATCCAATTTTTAAAAATGTATGTGTCTGAATATAAAAAGATCTTGCTGAAGTTGAAATAACTTGGCACTGATTTGTCACATTGTCATCCATAACAGCTGATTTTGGGTTCTGTGCCCAAATCACACCGGAGCATAGCAAACGGAGTACCATGGTGGGCACACCCTACTGGATGGCCCCAGAGGTAGTGACACGGAAAGCCTACGGTCCCAAAGTGGACATCTGGTCACTGGGAATCATGGCTATCGAAATGGTCGAAGGAGAACCACCTTACCTGAATGAGAATCCACTGAGGGTGAGTCCAGAGACAAAATATGAAAATGCTGTTCTAGTTGCAAGCCTCTGGTTCACACCGTTGCTTAAAAGTACAGTTTTCTGAACAGGGTGCTAATTTCAAAGACAAATGCCTCCCTGTAATGCAGAATATTGTACAAGTCTGTTACACTTTTTATACAATGGGAAATTGGTTTGTCCACATTTGGCAGTATTTTCTTTCCCTGGGTTTTAAACCAGCTTTCCTGCTTGAAGAGATATCTTTGTAGTTCATTCCCTGAGACTGATCACCAGAAAATGCCCTTTTACGGTCAAGTCAGGGATCTTCATGACTGGAGCAATTCAAATCTTGTTACTGGATTTTCTTTGGGATTTACTCTTGCTAATGTGATTAGGATCAGGCAGAAGAGAGGGTCGGGGGTGCAGTTACAGTTTCCAATTCAACCTTAATGAGACTGGGCCAATGAAGAATGCATTCCTGGTGTATGTCATTGTTCACTTCACTTGTGGTGTGTGTGTTGCAGGCCTTGTATCTGATTGCTACGAACGGCACTCCAGAGCTTCAAAACCCTGAGAAACTCTCGCCAATCTTCCGAGACTTTTTAAACCGCTGTTTGGAGATGGATGTGGAAAAACGAGGATCTGCAAAGGAATTGTTAGAGGTAACTACCATTGATTGCAGTTTTGTCTCTATGGATCCCACCAGTTGGTTGCTTTAATAGTTAGAAAAAATCAGTTTAGTATGTACCTGCCTCAAACAGCTCCTTTATTTTTTATTCATGTTAGTCCTAGACATATTATAGATAAAAGGCAAAATACTGCAGATTCTGAAATAAAAACAGAAGTCGCTGGGAACACGCAGCAGGTCAGACAGGATCTATGGATAGAGGAAATGAGTTAACATTTCAGGTCGATAACCTTTCGGCAGAACTGCGGAATGTTGGAAGGGAGCAGATTTTACTGACAAGCAGAGAAGGGGCCCGGGAAAGAAAGACAAAGGTCTTTTTCTGTCCTCCACATTTAGGTGGAGGACAGAAGATGATAGCAGAGATGTTGATGGTGCAAGACAAAATAAGGCAATAGTGGGAGATTATAGAAAGAAACAATGCGTTTAAGACCCAGAGGGAGTGTGCATGGTTATAGTAGAGGGGGAGGGGGGAGGCAAGGCTGAGAGAAGATGGGAGCTGTGTTTAAGATCTGAAGTGGTTAAAATCAATGTTGAAGCCAGAGGGCTGTAAGGTGCCGAAGAGGTAGATGAAGTGCTGTTCTTCATGTTTGTGTTGTGCTTCGTTCGACCGGCGTAGGAGGCCATGGACAGGTGCCCTCCCGCAGCACCTCCCATACCAGCGCAGGAGATGCAACACCTGCCCATTCACCTCCTCCGCTACCAATGTCCAGAGCCACAAACACTGCTTCTGGGTAAAGACAGTGATTTACATGGACTTCCACTAATCCGGTGCAGTATACTGTATTTGCTACTCACGATGTATTCTCTGCATCGGAGATACCAAACACAGATTGGGTGATCGCTTTTGCCAAAACATCTCCATTCCGTCTTCAAGTGCAACCCTGAGCTTCTGGTCGCTTGCTACTCTAATTTTCGTTCCCACTCTGACTCCGTCTGTGGCCTCCTGTGCTATTCGAATGAAGCACAACACAGCTCGAAGAACAGCACTTCAATGTTGTAGGCAATTCGGTTGGTTTACTCAGTATTGTGTTACAGATCTACAACTGTCATTGTATCTGTTTTCTTACAACCTTCTACCAGTATTGACAGCTCGTTTCTCTTTCTTTCAGCATCCGTTCCTGAAACTGGCAAAGCCTTTGTCCAGTTTGACACCTCTGATCCTGGCAGCCAAGGATGCTATGAAGAACAACCGCTAGGATCCCCTCATCTCCTCCCAAAGGACCCGGATCAAGTATCTCAATCTGCACCAACATGGCAGAGCAGCTGTTGATTCCTACTCTGGCATTGCCATGTGCCTGTCATTGGTCACCTACACAAGCAAGATTTGTCTTAAAGAAAAGTATTCCCCATAGACCTTCTCTCTCCCCTCCCCCTTGACAATATCAATACTTGAACTGCAGATCAAAAGAATTGTCTCCGCAGAGGGTAGATTTTTCCCACAATTGCTGTTTGCTCTGCCAGTCGCTTGTCTCTTCTTTTCTCCTCATGGACCTGTATAGGGTGAGCTGGGCTTTGGGATGCTCTGCTTGATGCCTTTTTTTTGTATATTGTGTATCTCAGCGGTGGATTGCATCCTTAGAATTCAGGAGAAATGTGGAATATCTGCCCTGATTATGCTTTTACTGTTTTTACTAACAATCAAATTCTGATGGTCAACTTCATCAGCTACTTCTCATGCAGCGAATCACGGGTTCCCTTCGTACCCATGAGAGATGTGATTTTATTTCTTGGTCTTAAATGATGCCTCAATGACTGTGTGCACCCATGGAGTAATCTTAGGGAAGTTAATTTTTCCGTTACGATCATTAAAGACAGTTGATGTAGTTAGACTAGTTTAAAATCTTGGCCTGAATTGGAAGAGCGGTTTCAGATCATATTGGAAAAGCTGGTTTACACTGAATGTTTTCCCAGCAGCCATATGTTTCCCAGTGTCTGTGTTACTTCTACAACTGTCTTGCATTGAAGTCCTATGATAGTCACCTCACTGAAACCAAGTCAGTAAGACTGGTGTTGATAGAAATGGGTTGTGTGTGTGTGTATTTACTGTAAGAACTGGTTAGTTTAGGTGAAAGAGCAGTATTTGGATAGTATTGAAAAGTAAAACAGTATTCCCATCTGCTTGGCTATGTAGGCCAAAAATCAAGAAACTTGCATGGTCCCCAGCATTGAAAATATATTTATTTTTTATTAGAAATCCACTTTTAAAGTGGTTCATTTTCACAGACCTATTTAAAAAGGGCATTCGCCATCATAGCATAGATGGCAATAACACATCAGCTCCCAGTAGCTCAGATGTAGTAGTTGGGTGCAAATAAATGTAAAGTATTTTTACATGAAATGAAAGAACTTGCATTTTATCACACTTCTCTGGTAATTACTGGAAAGCGGCAGTCATTGGTGCCAACAAGGTCTCAGAAACAGTCACCAGTCACAGTCATCAGTGAGGCTGCCACTGAGCTTGGCAAGGTGCGCGCACTCAAAATCTTTGGATTGTACCGGAGTGAAGAATTAGCACCCAACTGTCACTATTTGAAGCTCTGCTGAAGAGGGAATACTGTCAAAGGTAGAAAACTCAACTTGTTACGGGTTACTCGAGTTCTGTTTTTGGAAAGGCAAGGCATTGTCCATCAATTTCTGGGAGTGTTGGTGAATGTGTGGCTTGTTGCTGCAATGATGTAAGGATCAAACTTAACAATATGCAGAACACATCCATTAAGTGCCTAACATCTGTAATGAAGTGCCTAACCGCAGAGTCTGACATAACTGGTGATTTGGGGTTTTGGACTTTTTTAATTAATACTACAAAAAATAAAATTTTTAGAAAAATGGTTGTGTGGGAATGTTCTTTTTGTAATTGCTCGACTCAATCATAGAATTACACAGCACAGAAGGAAGCCACTTGGCCCACATACTTGTGACATTTTCCTGTTGTCAGCAACTGTGTCTGTGCTTGATACCAATATGGCAATGTACAATTCCCAGCTCAACTTAATTACATTGCAACAAAATTAATGGAAAAAAACATTTGTTTAAATAAAGATGGGTGTGGTAGTAGTATTTGACATTTTTAAAGTAATCAAAACTACAGTTAGAGAATTAGACTGGCTTTCAGTGCAAAATGCCTGGTTGATTATTGATTGGCTGCTTTTCTTGTACACGTGTATTTAATCCTAGTGCCCTTGAAACTGATTGCTGTCAGACTAAATGCCACGTTACCAAAGACTGTTTTTTAAAAAAAACTGAAAAGCATTTTGAGCCACACTCCATCCTACAGACCTGTATCAGGTGTGTTCCAGACAATCATACAGAAAATTTCTTCCCTAAACATGGCTGGACTTAATGTTTCATTTGGGTATTTCTGTATGGTCATTGCCATTTGTGAGTTTGTCAGGAGGATCTCCAGGAAACTTTTGCCAATCCACATCTACTCCAACTTGGTGGTGGAGTTCGTCTCCTGCTTCCAGTTAGCTGCCTGTTGGTTTGAACGTGAGATGCTTGTGGAAATTGGATCTTGGGGAGGCGGATATGGAACTGATGTGGTTACGACACTGCTGTTTGTTCTCTTCTTGATCCATGAAGCCACGTTTGATGGAGCTGAGGCTAATCCCTTGGTAACCATGCAAGAATTGCTCCGCTACAATTCCTCTATGAAAGCCAGCATTGTGAAGCTCTTTGCTCAATTCGGAGGGACAGAGCTTGCGAGAATAGTCGCAAAGATTTACTGGTCATGGGAGCTAACAGATTTCCATCTCATCCAGAATCTGATGGCCATAGATTGCAGCTCATCCATCAAGACATCAATTGGCCAAGGAATCTTTGCTGAAGCAATCTGTGCCTTCCTTTTCCACCTGGTTTTGATGAAGCTTGAAAGAACAATTGTTGGATACAGGATTATCTTCAAAGCCCTATTAATCACTGCCTTGGTGTACATAGGTGAGCCCTCAAATCCAATTAGTATTATCCCCATTAAAAATATCTGCAGTATTAAATCACTGCACTACTGGAATTACTCCACTCAATCGGATCCCTGTCACATGATCTCAATATATCCTGAATTGTATTACATTTGTGCATAGAAAAATGGGGTTTGTGCTTCTTCTGAATCCAGTACCCAAACCGTAATCCATATTTAACAACCCTAGGCTTCATGAGCAATCCGATATGTACAGGAGTCACGCTCCCCCACTGTCAAGCACTCTGGGGCACAATATAAATGCAAGTTGTTGTTGTCATACTGTTGGTGGAGTTGGGATGTATGCACTTTGTGGGCAATAAGATTGGTCTTGCTGACATTTTAGTGCTCATATTCTGAAGCTCCATTGATTATTTTTTTTAAAAAATTCATCTCTAGAATACGTATCCTGTATTTGAGAGTAATATGATGTGTACGTACTGCAGAGATGGAGAGATTGACTAGCAGTGTCAACCATGCACTTTGGCTCAGCAAAAGGGAGACTTTGCTGGTTTGAATTTATTTTTGTCTCTTGTGTAGTTGGCCCGTACACAGCAGCACTGTTTAACCCAGCACTTGCCTTCTCATTCACGTTCCACTGTTCTGGAAACACATGGTCAGAATACATGGCCGTCTACTGGCTCAGTCCATTTGTTGGTGAGTATCATCGACCCTCTTATTGCTGAGACTTCAGGGCACTCGAACCCATTGCAACTGCAGTTACACCGTTAAATCTTCATGACTATTCATCTATATGATAATGAGTGAATGAATCAGGCTGTTTGTATTACTGGGTCTACATTACTGACCCTGTCGCTTTTCATTTTCTGTGTTGCTGTTACTGAATTCATATCTTTTCTGTGACTATTCTGTGTGACTGTAATGCTGGCTGTCTCAATATCCTAATAAGCAGGAGTCTGTATGACTGATTAGCTTTGTACAACTATTACAGTGCTGCACTCCATCGGTGTGTGTGCAAATAGCCGTACCACTGGATTTGATGGAAAAATGTCAGTAGAAGGAGAAAAAAATGTTCAAAATAAATATTAAGAAACACTAAAAACAAGTATTTCCAAGTTTTCTCTCAAACCTCCCAAAAACATCCAAATGGATAGATTTATTAAACACCGGCAATCGCAGCTTACAAAATATAATGGGGTTAGTCTGAAAAATGAACTGTACAGCCGGGGGAGGAGGGAGGAAATCCTTCTCTATTCCCTCCTCGCTCCCTCCCTTCCCTCCACTCACCCTGACCATGTCCCCCCTGCTCGGGTCCTGACCCAACTGTCCAGCGCTTTGGGACGTCCTCCCGATGTGAAAGGCGCTCTATAAATGGAATCTTGTTGTTGTTGTTCTGCTTACAGCTGATTTTAAAACGTTAGCACTGCATTGATTGCTGTAATCAAGGATAATCAATCTGCTTGGCAAGCTCCTTGTCCTCTTTAACAATGTAAACCTCTTACATTGGTTTACAGAGAGATCAGGTAATTCATTCATGCAAATCTCCTCTTGTTGCAGCAATGTTTCTGGCTGTCTTTCTTTTCAACGGAAACGTTCCCCTCCTTTTCTCCACGAATCTGATGTATTCCCAAAAGCCCAAGTACAAAATTCCTAAAGGGAAATCGACACCAGAGGCTGGAGAGAATAAATCAACGAAACGTGAAAAGGGTGACGAGAGGCTCGAAAATAACCGCAGAGGTGGAAACAAACGAGTGAAATTCACCCCATTCGGTTTACAGTGTTTTATGTGGTTATAATCATTGGTTAATTGGTCTGTTATTGACCTGTACCTTAGTGACCCTGAGATACTCATTCTATAGTGACCCTGATATTATGTATTCCTGTATTTGCCCTCTTGCATTCACCCACTGGTATCTCCCTACGTGTACACCTTTTTGTTTTGGGTCAGTCAGTTGTTTGACATAGACAGAAAACCTCCTCCATGTGCAGTTCATTATACTATTTCACAAGTATTTCACACTTGTTAGTAGTTTCTAGACACTTATTTTGAGTTTGCTGTTCAGAATTAAGTGGGGTTTGTGAGAAAGATAATTTTAAGTGGTCAGAGGGAGATTCCAGTTTACTTATTCATTAAACATCCAACATTGCAACAATTAGAATCGTGTAATATGGGGCCAGTAATATGTCAGTAAATATACAACCAGCCTGCAACTATTTTTCCCTAAGATTGCTTTGCTGAAATGTTGTTGAAATGGAACATTTAATCAGTAATGAACTGAAAATTCCAATTTGTTTGGTATTTTCTGTACTGGTTTCAAAGCAAAAAAAAATGCTCTGATTTATCAGTGAAATAAACATGTGATTTGACTGACGAGTCTGTGTTACTGTGTAGCAATAAAATATGGGAGGTTATCAAGAATCATCAGCCTTTTTATATAAGTTCAGGCCTCAGCAGCGCACCTGATTAATGGTATCTATATAAAAACACACTTCACAATTCTTCTTCACGATGGTATGTTTTTATTTCCTGGACTGTCCTCATGGCAGGAATTGAAGGCATCAAAACAGGAGAGGGGTAAATCGAGGGGTCGGTAGCTGAATGCTGTCAATCGTATGTGAGTGAAAGGGTTGGAAAAATACGGCCAAGGCGACATTCCTCTCCTTGAGAAAAAAATGCCATCCGACCTTCACCAGGAATTTGATAGAGTGCAAATAGTGTGTTGTCACTACCTGCAGTGTTAAGTGCTTTTATTTTTCTTCTTGCTTTATTTCGCTCATCCCTCTTCCTCTAGCACTACAGGTTGACACAGAATCCGCTTACGGCTACAGCTCGTTCAGAATTCAACTGCTTTATAATCTCAATTGATTTTAGAACAATTTTGCTCCAGCTAAGGAATGTGATTTTCTTCATTAGGTTGAAATTGACCGTCAACAGTAGGGGGAGAGATCGTACCATATGGTCAGCAATGGAAAAGCAGATTGTCACAGGAGAAGCCAAATTCTGATATCTGCAACAGGAAAGCTTAGGTTTTTTTAAAAATAAAGGTTCTTAAATTCTTCTTTAGTTCCCTTTTTCTTTCATTGCATGTAAGTACACGTATTGTGTTTAAGCATTATTTGGCAAAACCTGTAAACCCTCATTTGTCTTATTTTAAAATACTTTTTATTTACGTATTTTTGTAACAGTCAAAATAAAGTTGGCACCATGCACACCAGAACAACAACAAAAAACAATTTCAGCCACAATACATTGAGAATATATACACTCAAGATATACACACATAAGATACACATTAGCCACACAAACGCACAAATTATATTTATCCCTCCACACCATAAGAACATGAGCTAAGGAAGAGCCCAGTAGATTTGGATGAACCAAAATCTGAGTACTATGGATCAGAGTCCCTTTATTTTAAAAAAAAGGCTAGTTTCCTCCCCACCACCATACGTAGTTACTAATGTTAGTTGAGGCATTCCTGACATGAGAGGTGCTATATTAAATTTTATTATTATTAGCAATAAGAGTATCCAGACCAAGACACTGTCTGCAGATATTCAAAAGATTATGTTTGATAAAACTAATTCGTCTCGAAGCCTGGAAGAGTATGATGACAGAGCGGGGCAGTGGAATTAAAATTTCTTCCAAGATCTAATAAAATGGTGGGATAGAATCAATGGGCTAAATAGCCTCGTGTTCCTGTTTTCTTATGTTCTAAGGCTTTTCAGGTCACTTGGAAACAGATGGATTTTGAAGGAGATCCTTCCAGTAACACACAACATTTAGATGTAGAATAAGGTGTCAATCAATCTATCCATTCCAGAATAAACCAGTGCGTCTTTTGTTTAAAAATAAACATGATGATGTTAATACTGTATTTGATGCTCCTAACAATTTTGGACCAGTAGGGTTGATTTTAAGCAGGTGCAGATAATATTGCCAAGGACTCTGATGCCTCTCCAAGATCTCCAACATCTATTGAGTCTATAACATCTGTCTAACATGGCTTTCCATGTGTGGTCTCTTAAGATGAGTTTCCTGTATTTAATATTTTACACTGGGCTTTTCCTTTTTTTTGTCGGATTTGCTATCGAGTTTATTCTCCCTGATTGTCTGCTGAATTCTGGTCCCTCAATTCATCAAGGTTTGAGTTATTTGGTGTATGCAGAAGTCGAACAATATACTATTATCCTGCTACTATTTATCAGGAATACTGCTTATCATAAAGTAGTTTAGTGTACTGCAGTTCAGGAATGACAAGACGCTGGCATTTCACCGTGATGGTGTGATCCAAGTCTGGGTTGAGGTTATAGCCGAGGATTCTTGCCTTGCCGAACTGGAATGGTTTGAGAGCCTTATCTTTGATTTTAGAGGCATCAACAGCTCCACCGTGTTTCCAGACAAGTTTTCATCAGCTCCGTCTGCTTTTGCCGCAACTTATCCACTTCTTGCTGCATCCTTTTTCTCCCAATTGTCTCGTCAATTTTCTGCCAAAATGTTTTATTGAAGTGGAGATAAAGATTCCAGTCTACTGCATTCCAGTCCTTTATCTCTTCAATCGTTTCTTGAGATAAGTGCTCCTTTGTGGCATTGCTTCTGATGTTGAGTTTGAAGAAAACCACATCATCAAACTCCCAGCAAAGGGCTTCTTTCAGAAGAATAATTGATTCGTCAAAATATTCAGTGACCAGAATCAGATTAAACTGTGTCTCTATTGTACTGATAATAGAAGCCATGTATTTTTCAGAGTAGTTTGCATTGTTATCAAATCCAAAGTCAAAGGACAAAAGATTCCTAGCATAGTGGTTATTAGCGGCATTGTTATAATATACCCAGGGATCCTTTACAAACTCAGTGAGTGAACTAGCTTTGTAGAAGGCTGGAGCAGAATGTTTGTAATATGTGAAAGATGACTCCATCAGAGTGGTTGGATTTCGCACAATTGAAAAGTAAAACGTCTCTTCAGGCATAACCTTCTTCACCTGTGGGAAGGGAAATCGTATTGAGACAATCAATTTCCAAACCGTGCTCTTCTATTTCGTGAAAATGTTAGTGAGGCTAATAATGGAATCTAGCTTTCTCAGACAACATTGTCATAATTAACAAATGATCAGTCGGGATGAGACTAGATGGAGACTTGTGGAGTCCTGTAGCTCAGTGGTTAGAGCACACGCTTTGCAAGCGAGAGACCTGAGTTAAATTCCAGGCAGAGGGCGAAACCTTGGGCAAGTTTCCTTACTCCACACGCCTGATAATAATCCCTCCAAAAACAATAATAAATTGGTCATTTTCAATCTACGACTGTTTGTGAGACATTGCTGTGCGCAATTGGCTGCCGCGTTCGCCACAAATATACAGTCAATTCACTTTACAGTGTGTTCTGTGAAGCGCTTTGGGATGTCCTCCCGACGTGAAAAGCGCTATATCAAATGCAAGGATTATTATTATTATTATTAGATATTTACACAGGTAACAATAACAACTTGCATTTATATAACTCCCCTCACGCAGGGTAGCATCCCAGAGCACTTAACATTCATGCAAAGGTCCTATGCATAACTATGTTGGTGAATAGCATTCAGTTGAATAGTTTGGGACCCAGTGATGTTTGGTTATTTGTGTGGTGAACATTCAGCGTATGTGATTGAATTTAATGTTAGGGCGAGTGCGTGCATGTGTGTGCATATTGGAGAGGGGGTGCGCCATACTGAGCATTCAGTGTTTAGCATTCAGTTTGTGAGAGACGGGCATGAATATTCATCATCTTCACTTTACACAGGTGAGTATTAAATTAAATCCAGTCGAATTACCAATTATACAAAATCTAGTCATACTTTCAATATATTATTACGACTAAGATTGAAAACTACTTCTGGAGAAGGCAGATGCTTGACAAGTGAGGTATGATGTGAACATATTAGGGTGAAGCAGGAAGCAACTGTTCCATGTTAGTGATTTTGAGGATCCAAAACACCTTGGGATAGTGATTCCCTTTCTTTACATTGACACCAATTTAGAGGGAGATGAAGAGCAATAACTTGACACTTCTGCATTGATGAGGGTTTTGATTTCAAGACAAAAGTTCAGATTCAGCATTAACTTGATCAGGGTTTTGTGTGGCAACCAGACTAAGAGCTTTACTATAACTTTTAAAACTACATATACAGTAAAACTTGCATAAATCTGATCTGTATAAATTGTATAATCGGCTAAGTCGTATATCTGCCCAAGTCCCGTTGAATTCCCTATTATTAATAAATTTCACATAACTCATAGTTTTCATAAATCATATTAAATGTATGGTCCCAACTGATACTACTTATGCGAGGTTTACTGTATAGTATATTTGAAAAAAAAGACAAATTAATAAAAAATCTCAAACCAATGAACTTTGTGAAAAAGGACTGTTTCAGTGGAACAACTGAGATCAGAAACTACACAGCTGTTCACCGGAGAGGGTCTCAGATCCTGAATTTAGTTACTTGGTCAAAGTGAAATTACTTTATTTTGATTATACTTATTATTTATATATTGATTACCAGGTTTGCCTGCCCTTGGGTGCAAGTATACCTGTATTAGAAATACATGTTGGTTCATGGTCTTACCTCTGGCAGATAGAATCTCAAGTGATTACACATGATATTGTACTGATTCCATTTTGTGGGGAAGCCTGCGACCTGCTTTGCTGAGAAGAATTTAGGGTAGCCCAGTTGGAAAGATGGCCTGCGAGGAAGCGCCAAAACCAGACCATTGGCTTCTCCAAAACGGTAAAGTATGTTCAGGATGGTACTGCTAGCCGATTTATGCGTTTTTAAGAACATGATGTGAGTCTTCGGACTACAGGAAGCCTGTGCATAAGCTGGTGCTTCTTCACGTCTACCTGTCTTTTTCAGGTCATTATGCTTTGATGGGACGCTGACAAATGTTGGCACTGCAAATAGTTCTTTGGTCATCTTTCGTTTTACATTGGCCGACCACGATTCTTGGTTTGGAGGGATTACGTATTGTAGACCCTGAATGTGCTTTCCCTCTACCAGTCCTTGTTGATTTGATACTGCTTGAATGTCCTGAATTAGCTGCTTTAGGGCTTTTAGTCCTGAAGATATAAGGCTCTCCTTTCCTGTATATTTTACTATTCTATCATGGAACTCACTGTGATGACTTTCCTGGATTCCTACTTCTGAAGCCCTGCCATCTGATGGATTGTTTAGATTAAATTTCTTGTCGTGCATTTCCTTACTTGCTTCCAAATTATTGATACCGGTTTTCATTGCCATTTTCCCTTCTTTTTGAAATAATTGCAAATTTGCTGATTTCTTTGTTTCATTTTCAAGGAAATCTTTTGGCATAAAGGCTTCCTGTCTACTTTTATTCTCCAAAATCTTTAGAAGTATGGCTGGAAGATACTCTTTAGTTTGCTTCTCATAAAAGTTCTGATCAAGCGTATATTTGAACATTGGGTTCTCCTGAATATCCATAGATTGGTGGACTCCGGCCTTCTGAGCTGAAAGTAGTGACTCTAATGGGTTTACTTGATGTAGTTGTAAATTGTGATCATATTCTTGTAGCGGCTCGACTATCTGCTTTTGATACTTAACATCTTTCCTAAAAATAAGAACCGGACATTAAAAAAAACATATCAACCATCTCAGAAACGGAGGAAACAAAAACAACAGCTTGCATTTGTATAGCACCCCTCACATAGGGTAGCGTCCCAGAGCGAAACAAGTTAAAATGGTTGTTTGATGAATAGAGAATGAAAATATCAAATCAATTTAACAACTTGTATTTATATAGCTTCACTTCAACCTTCTTGACACTGTTTCAGTGAACAGAGAATGCAAAATTGATGCCTGGTGTTGCTAACCATTGTCTTTCCTGAGCCAGTACAGGTGCAGTAAGACACCACAGATCAATGCTCTTTAGAATAGTGCTAAGAGTGAGAACATATAATACATAATAATACTCTTGCATTTGTTTTAGAGCCGATAATGTTGAAACATCTCAAAATGCTTCACATGTAATCGCTGTCAAGTGTAGTCACTTTACAATTGTAGGCAAACTCAACAGCCAAGTTGCAAACCTTAATGTCTCACAAACCGGCATGAAGTGAAGGACCAATTTATCGGAAGGATTGTTGGAAAATCTCTATGCTAGAGACAATGCCCAAGATCTAACCCTAATCCTATGTTTTTGCTAGGGAAACTTTTCTATATTTATACCGTGTTATGTTTGGTGGAAGGGTAAATTCCTTAAATCCCTGATCCAACTTGAGGTTTGTAAATGTTGTAATTATATCCTCCAATTCAGTGATTACATCTTGCACCTTATTGACTCCTGTCATTCTCCCTTCATACTAATCAATTGCCCACAAGATGTAGTGTCATTAGCTGATTCTTTAATAGATAAAGAAATTCATACTTATTTGAATAATGTGTTGGGCTGCGTGATCTATTCCAATGAAAAGGAATAATTTACCTATATTTGGATAATCCAATCATCTGGATGGTGAACGAGATGACAGTGAAGATAGCCAGAATCAACCATATTCGTTCCCTTTGAAGCTTTGGCTTATGCTTTGAGTTTCTGTAAAAAAAAAGGGCAATGCCAATCAAAGTGGCTGTCAGTCCATGTACAATCACACACAATCCAAACAAAATCTCCTTTTCACGGAAATTGTAGGAAATAAGGAATTTGCACAGTTTTAAGTTTCTGGCAAAGAGTGAGTTAATAATAATAATCTTTGCATTTGATCTAGAGCCTAATCACGTCTTCGAGGCATCTCAAAGCAATTTACAGAATATACTGTAAAGTGAATTTAGCTGCATATTTTGTGGGCAAGTTAGAACAAAATTGCAGTGAATTTTGGTTTCAAAGTCATATGGAGAAAAAACACGTCCACTGGCATATATAATTTGTGTATAATATTTATATATGTGTATAAGATTTATATAATTAAAATGTTTCCATCCCTATGATCAATCAAGTCCAAAGAGATTATTCTTTGGAATTGAATGATCACAGCGATGGAAAATGATTCTTCTTACATGAGGCTCTAAGTTTACACTGACATTTCACAGCAACAGAAAGGAGGGTAGTTGTGAGGAGAGTTACACTAAAGTGTTTAATTCCAAGTGGCTTATTCCTGCATTCTTCACCGCCAGCAAGGACTCTCAGTCTCCCAATCCCTGCAACCTCCTGAGCGTTCTGAGACTCCAGTTCCAATCTGAACTTTTATATCAAGTGAGCATTTCGAACAGCTCCAAATAGAGAATATTAAGAGTATATTGAACCACAACAACTTGCACTTACATAGATAGCCCCTTTCACACGGGGCAGGGTCTCGGAACATATTCAAACACAATGTCAACTTTGCATTGTGGAAGGAGAAAGCTTTGCTATGTGAAAGCAAATAGAATTATATAGAATATACACCACAGAAACAGACCATTTGGCCCAACTTGACTATGTCGGCGTCTATGCTCACCATGTGCTATTCCTTCTCATTTACCTCGGCGGAAGCTTGACATTATTTAACTAGCACAGCCTCCCTCAGTGAGGGACGTAGTTGGTTTTGAAAGGAGGTAGATAAGCATCAAGTTGTTTCCAATTCCCAGGAATATCAAGCATTTCAAACCAATAGCACTGTCTCGCGTGCAGAACTTGGGCTTGCAATTAGCAGGTCAATTTGATATGTAGGAGTCCTGTTCCTATCATGCAACGCACGGTATCTTCTCTGTTGAAATGCAAATCAGTACAAAACAGCCACAAGAATAACCATAACATCAATAATTTCACTACCAAATTGTTAATAAACTAATAGGTAATAATTTAATAGTATCTAATTTTTCTATACATTTTCCGATGCAGTTCAAATTCTCATATAAGACTTCTGGTGCAGCATTCAAAGGATTATGTATTTCTAACAAAAATTCATAAAGGATAGTGCTTAATTTTTTTGCCCATTTTCTCACCTCCTCTCCTGATGGTACTCACACACAATGGGTTACAGTTTCATTAGCAGCTTCATCCTCTATTATTATACATATACCTATAATATATATATTATATCTGGTATCTACCCAAGTGGGAGCTTCATGTGTGAATCTGGGCAGCAGGTCTCAGTGGATTATTTAACCATGGGGATGAGAGGCTATCGCCGCTAAGTCCATTCCTCTCCTTATTCAGTGTTCACACACTGTATATGTATGTGGCAGGAGGGGTCTAACAGCTACACAGACTGGTCTGCTTTGCAGCAAAGAGAAAGTCTCAGTCAAGATAATTATCACTTTAATGCAACTTGCTATGACAACCAAGGTGCAAATTATTGTGTTTCAAAAGCCGATTTTCACAATGATTACAAGCATGCACAAGTCAAGCCTTTGACATATGGGACTGATGTCCTGTGGCAATCATTTCAGCAATCACAAATTATATCAGCTGAACATTATAATTTAATTCAATTTAATGACTCCTGGTTATTACCTGTACTGACATCAAGCTTAAATTCCAAAACATTGTATATACTTTGATTTGGAAGAATTCACCAAAGTTCCCTTCCATTGACAAGGGCTCATTCTTCATTGTGTGAATCTTATCAAGCGAGCAATCCAATTAACTTTTGGTCTCTGGCTTGCTTTTCAATTTGTAATAATTCATGCAAAACCCTATATTCTGATACTCCAAGGCAGCAGGATATGAGGGTACAGGCTCAAGCTTGTGAAGAGCAATTTAAATCCAGACAAATAATAATCCTTGCATTTGATATAACATCTTATCACATCTTTGAGACTTCTCAAACGCTTCCCAGAATATACCGTAAAGTGAATTGACTGTGTATTTTGTAGGACATATTTCTTTTCATCGAAGCTAATCGAGAACTGGAATAGGTTAGCAGAAAGGCTGGCAAAGCCCAGACACTGGTCATTTAAGAAACAGTTTAATGCTGTGGTGGGAGTTTGGGAGAGTATTCTGAAAGGATATGATGAAAAGGACCAAAGGATCTTCTTCATCCAAACCTCTCTTGTGATACCCAAATTCCTGAACCATTTTGTCCAACAGATTTTGAAAAAGTGTGTTGAGAGTTGTGCCATTATGAAACTTTAATAATAATAAACCTTGCATTTGATGTAGCAGCTTATAATGTCGTCGAGCAGTCTCAAAGTGCTTCAGAGGATATACTGTGAAGTGGATTGACTGTATTTTCTGGGCGAAACTTTAACGATCTTTTACAGTTCATTTAAGATTTCACAGAGGGTAGACTAACAAGAATTTAAAAACAGCACTGTCCCTGAAAGAATCTTATTAAGAGGTAATCTTGTTTTTTTATGAACAGTTAAACTTTTTTCAATTAAAACTTATGATGTATGCAACCTGCTTCTAGTGTACCCAAATTTATTTTCTTTGGATTAATACAAAATAACTTCTTATAAATTATATAGTAGTACACCTTCCATAGACAAAATGCAAAACTATATGTAATCATCAATAGTTTTTTCAAAATCAGGCCTACAGAATAACTGCTACGTATTTGCTATGTGTAGCCAAAGTTTTTCAGTTGCCCTTGGATATTTAGTTCAGGAAATATCATATCTCTGCCTGGCATTTCATCACACAGAGAGGAGTAGATTGTGTTACTGACATCAATGTGAAACACAATGGCAAATGAGTATCCTCAAAATTTCAACCTTTCCAAGAAAAGATTAGCGGACCACATTTATTTCTCTATGTGATGATGTCTTCCATTTACAAAACAATTATTGTGTCCTGAAAGTATGCTGTGCACATTTTAAACTTCAAATTGTTTAGTATCTATGTGCTGCGTAGGAGTCATTTTTTAATTCATTTTTTAAACACGGAGGACTATTTGTTTCAGCGATTCAGGCAATTGGAGGAAAAATCTACACTGAGACCTTCCATGTTGAATCTCTTAGACATTAAGTCCTTGATGGGAACTAACTTTCTACAGTTGGATGTCAACAAGACCGAGGCCCTCCTGTTTGGATCCTGTCGGTGCCTCCACACCTCGGGCACTGGCAGCATCATCATCCACTCCACCTCACTTGGCCAGTCCGGAATCCTGGCATCTTATTTGACCTTCAACTGCCTTTTCTATGCTATATCCGTGCCAGGACCTGCTCTGCCTTCCCCCATCTCCGCAATATTACTCAACTCCGCCACAGCCTCAACCCTCAGGCCACTGAAACCCTCATCCAAGCATTCATCTCATGTTCCTGCCTTCAGCCTCTCTGCCCCCACATTCCCTTCACCTCGTTCACTCCTTTGCCTCTTTCAAGGCACGTCTCAAGACCCTCCTCTTCGACCAAGCTTTCAGGCATCCTCCTACCCTCCCTGCTCTCCACCCTCCCTGAGCCCAATATTCTTGCTCGGGTCCAAATCCCTGACTGTCCAGTGCCTTGGGATGTCTTTCTGATGTGACAGGCGTTGTACAAATGTAATTATTCTAAGTGACCATGTGTGAGTCTTGGCAGTAAGGTTTGGCATACTCTGCAACCTTACAACAACACCAACTTGCATTTATATGGCGCCCTTCACGTGGGGTAACATCACGGAGAGTTTGACAGTAGTGGAGTCTGATGCTGAGCCAGGGGAAGAGGGAATGGGGACTGTATGCACAATCAAAACGAACGAGAGCATCTTGAAATCAATCCGTTCAGTGGTTGGGAGCTGGTGGAGCCTGGCAAGGACTGGTAGGATGGGGGTACGGAATTTTGTGCAGGTGATTATCCGGGCAGTGAACTTTTGGATTAATTTACTTTTGTCCATGGTGTAGTTGGGGAGACCAGCGAGGAAGGCATTGGAATAGTCCAGCCGGGACGTGTCGAAGACATGGGCGAGGGTTTCGGCTGCGTTGGTTAAGGTTTGTTATAGCTGAGCCTAATCCTGATTTCTTCTCAGATCCTGATGTGCAAGTTCTCTTGTGAGGACACTTGCTGATTTATTTTCCTCTCTAACTTAGGGATACTGAGGTCAACTTTAATGCTTTCCCTGGATATGAGCTAGCTCACCACAAAGAGGGATCGAATCTGGACTTTCCTGATCTATTTATTTGCTCAGCTTTATACCCGACAGAGTCTTTACCAACTATTGAGGGAACTTTGCACAAACATTTGTGAATATGCATTTTAAAAACGTTATAAACAAAACACTTTCATTATTTTCTTTCCACTTTTACAAAAGTTATATATTAGGGCTAGAGTTCACCACATATGAGGTTCGTAAAAAAGAAAGCAAGAAACAACTTGTAGTTCCATAGTGGCTTATAAATCCAGTGCTTCAAAGCATTTCACAAATAACTACTGTCAAATATAATAACTGTTTTTGTAGGCAAACACAGCAGACTTTTTACCAGCAATGTCCACTAACAGCTATGAAGTGAAAAACCTATTAATCCAGAAGATTTTGACCAAAACTATGTACTGGACAAATAATTGTACAAAAAAGAAAAGTAACATAACAGGTAGTAGCACTTCTATCTAAAGTTAAGCAACTGAGAAAGAAAACATCAAGTGTGACAAACTCTGAGCCAGGATTCTCGCCACTTACCTCATTGTGAGTCTTCACTTTTCCCACAGTTTATTGGTCTTTCTTCTTAAATCTGTCTCTGGTGGACCCCACTTCACTGCGTTTCTCTCAGAAGTTACGTTTTGCTGGTCTCTAGCCCTTTTTTCTTTAGAATTTTCGGTTAGGAACTTTCCTCTTTTCCTACCTTCTGTGTCTGTCAAGGCAAATCAGTTAATCAAATTGTCCTCTTGGCAATCTTTCTTGTGACTATGCAAACTCCCTACTTGTTGGCTTCCTCAACTCCTCCCTCCTTAGGCTACATATCATACAGAACTCCGCAGTCCATTTCCTCTCCCGCACCAGGCTCTGTGACACTATCAGCCCCATCACACAGAGAATACAGTTCAAGATCCTGGTTCTCACCTTCAAAGCCCTCCATGGCCTCACTCCCCCCTAGCTCTGCGAGATTCTGCAGGGGCTTCGTATATAATAGCTTCACGTTCTGTACGTCTACCCTTCTCAATACAAACCCCAGAGGGCAACATTTGTCTACCAAATGCTTCTTCAAAAAAATCTAATCAGTGGGATTCTAATCTTAGACTAGAAACCTTTCTCTCATGAGTACATTCTCTGTCTCTTTCCATCGTCTTTGACTCAGATAGTTATGTTCATTCGTAACAGTCTATCATCACTTATTATCAGGGATCACTCATGAAGAATGTTGGCTTGGCCAAGATACAGAAAACCAACATACATAGAGATCCTTTTGGAAGAGAAGGTGAGAAAGGGCTACTTACTTAATTGTCTTCACATATGGAGAACTGTTAAATAGATCTGTCTGTCCAGGTGAATGTTAAAGATTCAATAGTCCAATTCGAGGAGAGTTTATCCTGGTGTCCTGGCCAACAATCCCCAAATACCAAAACAAGTCACTCATTCCATGGTTGTTTGTGGCTCACTGCTTTTGGCAAATTGACTGATGTGCTTGTCCACAAAATACACATTGTCACATTACTTACAGTATATCCTGTGAAATCCTTTGAGAAGTGTCAATTATGTGATAGGTGTTGTATCAACTGCAAGGATCATTATATTATATGATTATTGCCGCAATAACTGGATCGCAGATTACTGAATTGGAAAGGAAAGCATTTGTCTCTGTATCCAGGTGGGAGGAAGGCTCCAGATATCAGCTACTGCAATGTGTTGTAACTACTGTAGAAATAATTGTTGGTTTACTCCCCACAAAGGATTGACAGCTGAACTCAGTCCATAACTGTACATACTTGTATGCCATTGTACGAACAGAAATTGTAATATGAATGAAAAATCCATGTATCTCCATGGAGAATTCCTGATGTTAAAAATAGATAAAATTGGTTAAACGTAGTACTAAAAGCAAATCCTCATATCCTAGATCTAAACGCTGTATATTTTCAATCCTCAGCCCTTGCAGAAGTTTGCCCCCAGGACTACCAATTAATAATAATAATCCTTGCATTTGGTATAGTGCCTTATCACATCATTGAGACATCTCAAAGCAAAGCACTTCACATACTGCAAAGTGACCTGACTGTATTTTGTTGGCAAATCTGATTTTATAATAGCATCACTGACACTGATAGTCTTCAAATGACAGAAACCACACTGCAGATCAGTTTACAAACTATAGTAACTTTTAGTTTTATTTACAAGCCAAATTGCAACAGGACAAATGTAACACAAATATTACGCAGATGTTACAAAGCACTAAAATAAAACAATAAAGTCATTTCTAAATTAATTTATCTTTATAGTCAAGTGTCTCAGCTTTGAGTTGATAAATCTCAGAAATGATAAATATCATTCATTTTGAATGAGTGAAGTCAGATCTTCGTGAAGTTTTTTTTTCTCTCAAATGGAGTTTACTCTTTGTGAGTTCTTTGGAATATTAAAATGAAAGCTTTTGTATGTTTCTGCTATTGAAGAAACAGGATATGAAAGTAACTAATTCCGGTTGGAATGTCTCTGCCTTACAATGTCAAATCCCATAACTCTGGAAAATCGTAGAGGTGGATGCTTCTTTGGGTTCCTAACAATAGTCTTTCCTGCATGGACAAGTTAACACAGAGCGGAGGTTAAGACCTTTAAATCAACAGCTATTCTTCTCACTGAATATACAAACAAATGCAGGGAACAAACATGTCAGTCTGTTACTCAATAGGAACAATGGATCAGACACATTTGTTCATTTCATTTCAAGAACTACAGATTTATATACAAAGAGACCAGTCAAGAAAACGGTGATAAATACCTCCTCCAATATCAGTATTGAGAACAAAGTCACACCATTAATCTGCGTAAACCATTAATCAGAGAAATTGTGTTTAAAAGTTGCAGAGGTAACTTTAGCTACTTTCTTTTTCTTCTCATACGTCCTTAACATGAATAAAAGGAGGGATATACAGATTCATGGAGAGACGAGTACTGATGGATAGGGTCACACCACAATTCTTCTTTCTAGCAAGGTGACTTCAAAAAAGTTCATAGTCCTATATGAAATGAGTTTGGTCAGTTCCAACCTAAGTATCAAGTGAGGAAACTTTCACAGTAGAAAACTAGGATTGGCGCATAAATGTGGGGACATATAATGGAAAACACAGATCATGAGTTATGAATTATTTTGACACAAATCAGCTTCAGCTTCAGGGTCGGGTGTTACATTTCTTTCTGCTGTGATGCCTGGAGGTACAATGGCTTATTTGGTTAAGTCTCCAGTTGGGTAAAGTCTGAAGTGTTTATTGAAGGGACTTTAGATTTGTCAGTTTTTTTCTCCCTTTCTCCTCTGCTTCTCACCTGTTGCTCTTATTCTTTATTGCGACTTTTTTTTCCAACATCTTTGTGTCTCTGGTTCAGTTTTGCTCAACTCTGTCCCAATCATACAATTTCTAAGCAAAAGGTCACGCAGGAAAAAAATAACATATTTTCATTCAGATACGTACGGACCTGCTTCACAGGGTAAGAATCCTTGACTGCCCAGCGCCTTGGGACTTCCTCCCGACGTGAAAATGACAAATGTAATTTTGTATTGCATTGCATTGCATTACATGGTTAGCAGTCTTTGCGATTATAAACCAGGGGTGTGTTTCTAAAACTCACATGCAGGTCTCGGTGACTTCAATGCCACTGAATGCAAAGAAGCATATGTTTTGGTAGAGGATACAGTTTCCAGTGTCTGAATACTGATATAGATAAGTGTAGGGAGACTGTAAAACACACTGCTCGAGGGATCTAAACACAGGTGACTTTACACCACACCACACACTGCTCACAGACCCTGGACCCTGTGATGGAGAGGTTGCATGTGGATGGCTGTGCTCCCAGGTGGCTGAATGCTGTCATAAATGGGACAAAACTGCGATGGCCCTTTGATTGCCAGCACCAGTGTGTCTGTTGGATGTCATCGGTTTAATTATAAACTGCCTGAGCCAACACGATCGGGTTTCAGCACTGAATATTACAATTCATTGCATAGCCTTCATGTCATCACCGCCGACCGTCGAACGCATGTTCTTTGGCGTAAAAATGCACAGCTTAATCAACGTGCAGTGTGCAAGTTACATATACATATATATATATATAGATAAAATGCAATATGTATGCACGTGTGTAAGGAGATATTTGACGCCAGGAGACACGGTGCCAATTCACACTCTCGGTGGATTACTGCTCTTTCTATTTTCTGCCACAGTTTAAAATAGACGCCCATTTCATCGGAAACCCGTGTACTATAATAGTCAGTAACTTCACGTATCGGTCGGGCTGGGCCACAGACTGGTCAGTTGGGCTGTGCACTGAATTTTCTTTGCATTGCATTTCTTTGCATTGCTGTGTGGGCTATGGAAGGGCAGGAGGCGAAGAGAGTCAGAGGTGCAGCGGAGTCGGGGGAGTGGGAAGGGGAGACAGAGAGAGGAGAGGCGAAGGCTGCATCCGAAAAAGTGTCCATGGAGCTTCTCGGCCACAGGGTAGACAGGTACGATGCACACTGGAACTTTGCTGAGTTACAGGAGAGGTACCGAGAATGCGATCCATCTTATGCGTTTTCGGATCGTGCGTCGAGGTCCTGATCCAAATGCGCGCACTGTGTGGAACAGATAACTCCACGACTGCATCACCGTACAATACAATTCCTCCAAAGGAGTTGCTTTTCCTCCTCTGCTGTTCTGAACCCCTGGGCAGGAGCTGCAATCCGATTCCTCCTCCCAGTGACAGCTCGAACTGTCCTGAGAGATCTCATACCTGGAGGGAACAGGTTTAGGAACACAGAGCATCTCTCACTCACTCACCCACTCACTCACTCACTCTCCTCCTGAACACTCAGCAGTGGAAGTAATATGGCAATACCTTGGTGCATCAGCAGAGCTGGCAGAGGGGTAAGGAACCAGGCATCCATCGAAGTTTTGCAACCAGATACACTCATCAATGAGGTTGATATCTCTTTGTATGTGTGTGTGTGTGTGTGTGGGGGGGGGGGGGGGGGTGGGGGGGTTACTCTGTTTTATTTCATACACAAAATTTGTTGAAAGTAGCTTCACAACACTTCTACGTGTAACATCATTAAGAGGTTTTTTTTTAATGGTCAGAACTGTAAACATCAACAAAACGTGATACATGTAATGTAATTAATTAATTAAGCGCTTTGGGACGTCCTCCCGACGTGAAAAGCGCTATATCAAATGCAAGGATTATTATTATTATTCTTATTATGTAATACACGAAGCAATCCTTTAATAAACCTATGGGTCAGGTGCTGGCACACTGTAGATCTCGCTGCCTATTAATAGGATTCTTCCATGTTTTAATCCTCGGTCTTCTTGTTCCCTTCATTACCCTCTTTTTACGAGTTCTCCTTTTCAGGTCCATCCTGCAATTTTGAAAAAAAAAACCCGACAAATTGAGAAAATAATTTTTCACATTTTTCGAAAAACAAAACACATGGAGTTGAAATGTGAGACCGAGCATCAGCCTGTTTTTTGTTGTTATTATTATGTTAGGGACGTTGTTATTCTTAGGAACCCTACTCCTCTGGTGATCACACATACAGCATCTGAGAGGTGGTTGTATGACCCATTGCAGCCACTGATAAGCAGTGCTTGATGGGTTCAAACAGTGCACACAATTTACTAATAGTCTCTCAAGATAGTCTTAAGAGTCACTGTTGCTCCACCATCCCCAGATGCGAGTGTGGTGTATTCACGCCGTGAACTTGTTATCCTCGTGCTGAGTGTATAGCGTGTAGATCTTTTTTACCATCTTGAACCTGAGGGATGCTCGAGGATCAAGCTGCCAACAAACCTGGATTTCTTTCGCTCGTGTATTCGGGCCTGCAGTTTCCCTTCGGTTAAACATTTCTAAACGCTGGTGAACTATATAATGCGCATCCATTAACAGGCTATCCTCACAAAACATTGTACTACTGTTCCTATCCCAACTTGAACTCTCCCAACTACTGTACCTATCCTGACAGGACCTATCCTGTCTTATTGTACCCATCCTCCTGTAACCTTAGTCACATCCTACTGTTTCCATTGTGAGAGCAGCTGCACTTATCTTACTTGCCCTGACATGACTGGTACCTTCTTTGCTCACTCCTTATCTTACTTGCCCTGACATGACTGGTACCTTCTTTGCTCACTCCTTATCTTACTTGCCCTGACATGACTGGTACCTTCTTCGCTCACTCCTTCCCATTAGAGATGATGAAACAATCTTACTGAAGTGATGTCACAATACTGAAAGGCTAAAGTCACTGTATGATTTGGATAGATTTGCAACCTGCGGTTACACCTACGCAGCCCTATTAGAGAATGGAGGTGTTCAAGAAGAACATCAATAAGTATTACGCCGGCATTTTGTCTGAAACGAGCTCCTACAGAAAAAAGATTCAAGGCATTGAGAACAGGTGGGCAGCAACGGTATCAACGACACAATCGTCCGTTTGCTTTCTGGCAGAAAGAGTGAGCTACCGACGTGCACTATCAATGAGTAGGATCTGCTGAGATATTAGCCCAGTAAGGTGTTGGATATTAGTAACCCGTGAATTTGATATAACGCTTCGTAGCAACTGAGCTGGACAGCTTTCTGCACATTTCATCTATTTGCAACATGGTAACATCAACGGTGACATAATGATTCAGAAGTGCTGATCACCAGCTTCACTTTAACATGACTCATTGGAACACAGGACCTTGTTTTATTGATCCAAATCAGCACATTATAATGAGATCTAACAACACTATACCTGGCACTCTGCTCTTCTCTCCCCATATGCCTCTGCTTCACTCCTATCCTTAAACAACTTTCCCTGGACCCATCCCTGCTCTCAAACTTCTGCCCCATCTCCAACCTCCCTTTCCTTTCTGAGGTCCTGGAATGAGTCATTGCTTTCCAACTTAGCTCCTTCCTCTCTGGCCGCTCCCTTCACGAATGCCTCCAATCGGGTTTCTGTGCCACCCATAGCACAGAAACAGCTTTGGTCAAAGTGACAACTGACATTTAATATAATAATAATAATCCTTGCATTTGATATAGCTCTTTTCACGTCGGGAGGACGTCCCAAAGCGCTTCACAGAACACACTGTAAAGTGAATTGACTGTATATTTGTGGGCGAACGCGGCAGCCAATTGCACACAGCAATGTCCCACAAACAGTCGTAGATTGAAAATGACCAATTTATTATTGTTTTTGGTTTTGGAGGGATTATTATTAGGCTCTGTGTGGAGTAAGGAAACTTGCCCAAGGTTTCGCCCTCTGCCTGGAATTGAACTCAGGTCTCTCGCTTGCAAAGTGAGTGCTCTAACTACTGAGCTACAGGACTCCACAATGTTTTGTGGAGTCCGTCTGCGACCAGGGTTCCCTCTGCCTCCTCGGTCTCCTTGATTTCTCTGCTGCCTTTGAAACCACTGACCACTCTATTCTCCTCCATGGTGTCCCACACTATCTTTGTAGAAGGTGCTATATAAGTACAAGTTGTTGTTATGATGTGCAATCTCTGAATGAGATATTCTGTTTCCATGACTGCAATTCTTGTGTTTCACACGTAGGCTGGAGAAGAAAATAGACGATTTGGTTGTTGAATATAAGCAACTGGACATCATTGCAAAAGAACTCATTCAGCGCTTTCAACCCTATTGTCAAAACCTTGCAAGTGAAGCTGGAGAGGATGAGATGTGGTCATCACTGCTGGAGGACAGGTAACTGGACCAATGTGTACAAGGCATTTGGGGGATGATTGGAGCTATTGAGGTACATTTTCCTGCCAACCTACATTTTTTCACTTCATTGATAAAAACTAAACATGAGGAAGTAACACATTGTTGCAAAACATTGTTACCTCTGTCCATGGCCTCCTCCGCTGTTCGAACAAAGCACAACGCGAGCTTGAAACACAGCACTTGATCTGGCTCCCGGGTACCTTACAGCCCTCTGGCCTCAACATTGATTTTAACCACTTCAGATCTTAAACACAGCTCCCATCTTCTCTCAGCCTTGCCTCCCCCCTCCCCTCTTCTATAACCATTCACACGTCCTCTGGGTCTTAGATGCATCTTTTCTTTCTATAATCTCCCACTATTGTCCCCTCCGCCACGGCTCCTGCCACTACCCTTTCTTAGACTCCTTTGCCCCATTTCTCCCTCCTGGATGAAGTTCACCACCTGCTGCCTCGACCCCCTCCCCACCCAGCTGCTGGTCACTCAACTCCCCCTCCTCTCCCCATTGCTGGCAGAGCTGGTCAACCAGTCTCTTCCTCAGGCTCTGTTCCACTCCCACTGAAAACCGTTGTTGTCACACCCCTCCTCATAAAACTTACCCTCAATCCCTCTAATCTCTCATTCTACTATCCCCTTTGCAACCTAATCTTCCTTGCCAAAGTTCTGAAACTCATTGTTGCAGGTCAATTTAGGTCACACCTCTCTCTCCAATCCCTCATCAAGTCCCTGCAATCTGGATTTCACCCTGCTCACAGCACAGAGACAGAGCTTGTCATAGTCACCAACGACGTCCTCTCTATCTGTGACCAGGGTTCCCTCTGCCACATTAGACACAGTCGACCACACATCCTCCTCCACCACCTTTCCTCCCTCATCTACCTTAGTGGGACTGCACTCACATGGTTCGAGTCCTACTTAGCCAACCGCCTCCAATTCATCTTGGCAAATCATTTCCCCTCCCGCACCCGCCCGGTCACCCCCAGGATACCTCAGGGTTCCATCCTTAGCGCTCTTCTTTTCCTTATCTATATGCTCCCTCTGGGTGATGTCATCCACAGACATGGGGATAAACTTCCACATGTATGCCGATGACCCACAAATCTACTTTGCCTCTTCCAGCACCAACTCCAGATCCACTGATGTTCTATCAGTTTGTCTGGCAGACATCAGAGCCTGGATGAGTGCAAACTTCCTGCAGCTGAATGTGAACAAGAAGGAAGCCATACTCCTTGGCTCACGTCAATGTCTTCACTTCTGCGGATCTGAACTCCTCAACCTCCCTGGGCTCTCCCTCAGACTCACTGAACCAGTGTGCAATCTAGGTGTCCGGTTCATCCCCCAGCTGTCCTTCCTCCGCCACATCCGGTCCCTGACCAGGACCACCTTCTTTGATCTCTGCCACATGGCCCGCCTCCAACCGTACCTTACCTCAAATGCAGCGAAACCCTCGTGCATGCGTTTGCCACCTCCCGCCTGGATTACTCAAACGCCCGTCTCCCCAGCTCCACTATTCAAAAGATCCCGCTTATTCAGAACTCTGCCACCTGCATACTTACTCGGACCAAACTCCATACCCACATCTCACCAGTTCTGGCCAAGCTCCATTGGCTCCCCATCACCGAACGGTTTGACATCAAAATTCTCTCACTCGTATTCAAATCCCTTCACTCTCTGGCACCTCCCTACCTCTCCGACTTCCTCACTCCCGAATCCATCACCCAGCGCCTCCGCTCGACCGGCATCAGCCTCCTGTTCGTCCCTCGCACCCTCCATCAGAGATCACTCTTTCATCCACTAGGCCCTGAAACCCTGGACCACTCTCCCTCAATCCCTCCGCCTCACCCCCCCTCTCCCCTTTTTCAAGTCCCGCCTGAAAACCTTCCTCTTCGACCGTGCTTTTGACCACCTCCCACTCCCCCCGGCTTGGAGTCAGGCTCCGCCAACTTTTAAGCGCTCTGAGATGCTACCCTGCATAGAGGGCACTACATAACTGCAAGTTGGTGTTGTTCTTTTGTCTTGCACCATCAACACCTCGGATCTCATCATCTTCTATCCTTCACCTAAATTTTTCCTTTGTTTTTCTTTCCCCATCCCCTTCTCTGCTTGTCCTTATAATCGGCTCCCTTCCAACATCCCCCAGTTCTGACGAAAGGTTATCGACCTGAAATGTTAATTAATTTTCCCCTAGCCATAGTTTCTGCCTGACCTGCTGGATATTCCCAGTGACTTCTGTTTTTATTTCAGATTTCCAGCATTTGCAGTATTTTGTCAGAAACTACTTCTTTAGCGGGTTAATAGCGGAGGATGCTGTTTATAGCAGATTCTGCAGAAAAATTGCAAAAGCACTTTTCTATTGGCCCAGCGTATGAGGAGAAGGAAATAAACCTAAAAAATTTAAATTAATAAAAAAAATAATAAAAATTGGTAACTCATTCCAAGGCTGTTTGTGAGACATTGCTATGCACAAATTAGTTGCCGCATTTCGCCAACAAAATACATGGCCAATCCACTTTACAGTATATCCTGTGAAGGACTTTGAGACGTCTTGATGATGTGATAAGGCATTATATCAAATGCAAGCATTATTATTGTTACTATAAAGAGAAACAAAACAAGACAAAAATTAAATTGCTTGAATAACAATGCCATAAAATGAACTAAAGGCTCAATAAAAGTATTTTAAAAGATACAGCTGGGCAGAAATTACTCTTTCATCTTTTAGGTTCTTGCCAGTAGAAGTCAACTTGTTCTTCAGTTATATTGTGGATGCACTTCGACGTTTACATTCTTGTGTATTGGAGAAACTGCCAGAATCTGCCAGTGAACTGCCAACACTGACCTCCATCTTGAAACAGAAAGCCTTGAACCCAACGCTTGAAGCTGTGTGGGTAAATGTGCTTCAGGACCAGGGTCTGACGGAAAATGATGTAAAACTTCTGTGTTCATTCTTCGTGACTTACTGCCATGAAGCTCACTATTACCCGGCCATAGAAAGAGAGAATTACGTGCAGAACGTCCAAGAGTTAATAAAGAAGATAGTACACAGCCGCGTTTTAAACAAGGTTCTCCTCCATGTTGTGCAGCAGACAGAGAAGAAGAAAACGGTTAAACTTGTGGATAAGAAAGTCCTTGCAAGAAAGAAATTCAAGGCAACTAAATCAAAATGAAGGGGATTCAGGGTTCATTTACAGCTCGACTGGGCATTGACTCCACTTTCCTCATTGTAATGTTATCCTTTCTGATTTATCAATAAATTCTGTTGTTGGATCTTTGTAAAAGACAAGAGGAAGCTGTAAAACAAGTATACCAGTGCCCTTTCTTCTCGGATCCCATTAATAGAATTTGAAAAGTGGACCACAACCACTTACTTAAGTATTAACATAGGTGAACCAAACAAAAACAAAATTCCACATGTCATCATTCTAGTTTTGATTTCATGGGGACATTGAAGCTTCCTGGATGAAATGTAGTTTTCTTTCTCTCTAGTGTTGGTGCACATTTTACTCTTGTGCGTATTTGCTACATGTAGAGATGGCATGCAGGGCACAGACATAATATAAATATATCTGATTTTAACACCAAAAGAAACCACATATCCTGTGGAGTTTGTGTGTGTAAAAATGTAGTATCAGCCACAATCTCTGCTGTTACTCTCTGCATCGCTGCACATTCTCAAGCACATCTCATCAGGCCCCATTTTGTTTAGTTTAAGATATCAGAGACAGGAATAGCACCACAGCATCTAATTATAGCGCACACCGTGTAATTGGGGCTTGACCAATTTGGTTTTAATTGACTTGTCCCTCCTGACAATAGGTATTTGCTGGAGAGGCGAATCCATTAGACTACATTTCCACTGTTGGGGAAAAAAGAGTAAATTTATTTATATAATAAAGTTAAAACTATTAAATAACAGTAAAAAAAGAGATAAAAAATAACAGAAAGCAAATGATAAAATAGAAACAAGGGATAATAAGAAAAAACAGGAAAAAAGACAGAATTAATGCAATGGTAATAATGATAAATGGAGGTAACAGTATAATAATGTTTTGGGTCATTATTTGCATTTAGTGTTTTAAACAAGTGTGCGATTCGTTAATATTTACCCTAATAAAAATGCTTCTAAATCTCAACAGTGTCGTTAGTGTAAAGTTTACTAAAAGTAAAGCCCAATAAACAATCCCTCCAAAAAAACCAATGATAAATGGGTCGTGTTCGACCCACGGCCGTTTGGGGGGGACGGACCCACGGCTGTTTGGGGGGGACGGACCCACGGCTGTTTGGGGGGACGGACCCACGGCTGTTTGGGGGGACGGACCCACGGCGGTTTGGGGGGACGGACCCACGGCGGTTTGGGGGGACGGACCCACGGCGGTTTGGGGGGACGGACCCACGGCGGTTTGGGGGGACGGACCCACGGCTGTTTGGGGGGACGGACCCACGGCTGTTTGGGGGGACGGACCCACGGCGGTTTGGGGGGGACGGTGCCGCGCGCGATCGGCCGCCGCGTTCCGCCCGCGAGTGTACGGTCAGTTCCCTTCACCGTCCGTTCCGTGAAGCGCTTCGAGACGTCTCGAGGAGACGCGAACAGCTCCGCCTCAAATGCGAGGATCACTATCACTGTTACTGTTATCATTAAAGTTAAATCGCTGAGACACCGAAAACGTGAGGTGGAAATGCCCCCAAAACGCCCACAAACACAAACACAAACGGCCCCAAAGAACACAGGGTTCCCCGAGAGCGGTTTACATTCGCGGCCGCTTCCGGTAATCAAAGGTAAGCAGTTTGCGCGTCCGGTCAACTGCGGTGCAGTCGGCGGTGTTTCGGTTGAATTCGGTTTCCCACCAAAAGAAAACACCACATCCCCAACAAAAACCACCATCGCCTTCTGGGCAAAGTGCGCACGCGCAGTGGGAGCGGGCAGGGGAGGGGGGCGGTGGGAAGAAGGGGGGGGGGCGGAGTAGGAACGCGCGTGCGCAGTGTGAGCGCGGGGTTGCGTGGGCGCGCGGGAGAAGGGGCGGGAGTAGGAACGCGCGTGCGCAGTGGGAGCGCGGGGTTGCGTGGGCGCGCGGGAGAGGGGGGGAGTAGGAACGCGCAGGCGCAGCGCGAGCGCGGGTGGGTGCGCGCGCGGTGTGTGGGGGGGGGGTAGGAACGCGCAGGCGCAGCGCGAGCCCGGGTGGGTGCGCGCGCGGGGAGGGTGTAGGAACGCGCAGGCGCAGGACGAGCGCGGGGGGGTGTGTGTGGGGGAGTAGGAACGCGCAGGCGCAGGACAAGCGCGGGGGGTGTGTGTGGGGGGAGTAGGAACGCGCAGGCGCAGAGGCGACTAACTGGAAAGCGGGAGAGCGTTGTTTGGTGGTGGAGGGGGGGACGGACTCGTCGACAAATGGCGGACGTTCCCCCGAGTCGAGCCGTTACCATGAGGCGGAGCAGGTCGCGGACCAAACGTAGCGGCCCATCCAGTCCCGCGGCCTCACCGGTCGGGGCTCCGGAGCCGCCGCCCCTCACCCGGTCCGAGTGCCTGTGCCCGGTATGTCAGGAGCTGCTGCTGGAGCCCGTGACCCCGCCGTGCGGCCACTCGCTGTGCCTCGACTGCTTCCAGAAGACGGTGCAGATCAGTAACCTGACCTGCCCGCTCTGCCGCCGCCGCCTCTCCAACTGGGCGCGGCGCCAGGCCCGCTCCGGGGGCCTGGTCAACACCGCGCTGGGCAAGCGCATCCGAGAGCAGTTCAGGGGCGAGAGTCACGGAGCCGCCGAGGAGTCCAGAGACAGTGAGTAAAGCCCCAGTGACCCCCCCCCCACACACACACACAGAGTGGTCACCCGGCAGCGGGACAGTCACAAGCATCGTCAAGCCCGAGGCCATAATAATAATAATAATAATCCTTAATAATAACAAGTACGGCCTAATTCTGTCAGGTGTTGTCAAGTGCAGGTCGGTAAGAGCCAAGGCTTGTGGGGTGTACTTTGGGGGTACCGCTGGTTAAAACCAGTTAACAGCTCGTCCAACTCGGGCCACTCTATTCCTTTGGAGTTTGGCTTGAAGGGTCAACAGGGGCTGAGTCAGAAGATTCCCTGCCAACCCTCCCAGGGACCGGACTGCCTCTCCCGGGTCCTGCCCACCTGCCAGGCTGGATCAGTGCACTGGCTCCTCAGGAACCGGGTTATTGAGATGGCCGTTGAGGATTGACTTGCTCTGTGGCCGAGCATATCACCTTGGATCTTGCTCAGCTTCAAAGAAATCCCTCTCCCACTTTAACTCGTTCAATGCAATCTTTCAGTAGGATGGATATGTGGATCAGGTGATCACTTCATTAAATCTCTTAATAAGGAGCTTCACCCTCGGGGCTAGTGCAATATGCAGAAAACTAAATATTTAAAACGTTGATATAATTTTGTAAGTTGACAGATCGTGGCCAACAACACATCTAAGCAAACCTGGTGAAGTTCGACAGGAGTATGAAGACCAGATTCTTAAGGTAGGAAGGAATATATTATGCAGATTATGTACAAGAGACTCGTTCTACATACACAAATAGTTCTATATACATATGCAATTGATAGGATGTGAAATAGCCCTGTTAAGTCTCTATTGTAGAACAATGTAGATTTTAATGATAAAATAATATTCTTGAGCTCTTTGCCTTATCATCTCTAACTAAGGTGTTGTTAAGGTTCCTCCATTAGAATGATTACTGCAACCTACCTGCTAAACCTTTTAGCATAAAAACAGGCCATTAAGCCCAACCAATCCTTGATAGTATTTATATATATATACTATATATATATAGACAATATATGTACAGCAATATATGTAATGATTTTATGTAAATAGCTAGCTTGCAGATAGTTTGAAAAGCCAAAGATGATGTAAAACATTGTGGAATAACTTCACAGTTCAAAGCTGAGCGTGTTGCTCGTGAAGAGGAGGAATTCCGAGCTAGTGAAAACTTAATTCAGAAACTAATGGCCGAGGAGCAGCAGGAAAAAGTGCTTTTGGAACAACGCAGGAAAGAAGTGGAGGAACAGTTGAAAAAAGATGAAGAACTTGCTAAGAAGTTGAGTGACAAAATGGTAAGCAACTCTCAGGTGAGGAATTTGTGCCTCCATGCTTCCAGAGGATGAGCCTAAAGATTTCTTCACATTTTGTTCTGAAAATAACAAGAAGTTACATTTGTATAGCGCCTTTCAAATCAGGAGGATGTTCCAAAGCCCTAAAAACCTTGGTGGGTTGAGTATAATTGTTTCAAATTGATTAGCATAGCATAATTGTGTGGCTTATCTATCGAGCAACTGATTTAGAAGTACTCCGTAAAATACTTTCTGTTTTGAGTTTCTGTTCAGGATGTTGGACTGAGTTTTCCTGTATCCCAGTGTAGAATGCAGGTTGAGATTTGTTGTTTACACTGTTTTGTTCTAATTTGTTCAAAGAATCTGTAGAAAGGAAGGGGGAACCTCTTAGAGGAATAACAGTTGGGAGGATACAAGAGTATTATTTTGCAATTCATTAACAACAACTTGCAGTTAGATAGGGTGCTTCACATGGGTGCATCCCAGAGTGCTTCACAGTGAGAGTGACAACGAGCCAAGGGGATTGGGAGGGGGGAGGTGACAGTAAGCACGATCAAAAAAAGGTCTTTAAGTGGGATTTGAAGGTGGGGAGGGAGGGGGCAAGACAGAGGGATTGAGGGAGAGAGTCTCGGGGCATAATAGCTGACGGCACGGCCACCGATGGTGGAACAGAGGGCTCGAGGGACAAAAAGGAGGCCAGAGCCAGCTGAGCAGAGGGAGTGGGTGGTGGAATGGGGGATAAGCAGGTTGGATAGCTGGGGAGCTGAGAGGGGATTAAGTGATTTGAAAACGAGTGAGAGGATCCTGAAGTCGATCCGTTCGGCGATTGGGAGGCAGTGGACCCTGGCAAGGACTGGTGTGATGGGGGTACTGAGTTTCATGAGGGTGAATATCTGGGCGGCGCAGTTTTGAATTAATTGGATTAATTAATTCAATGTTTTGTATATATAGCCTCATTTTAGGAATGTATCTGTTAATAAATATATATATAATAAATATATAATGTCTCCCATCCACCACCATCCATAAAATCCAAATCATCCAAAACTCTGCCGCCCGCATTCTCACCCGCACCAAACTACGTTCCCCGATTACCCCAGTCCTTGCCAGACTGCACTAGCTGCCTATCCCAGAGAGGATCGATTTCAAGGTCCTCACCCTTGTATTCAAATCCCTCCACTCCCCTGCACCCCCCCTACCTCTCTGACCTCTCTCCTCAAAACAGTACTCGTTGCCTTCATTCCTCCAGGTCTGGCCTCTTCCGAGTCCTCCGCTCCACCCTCGGTGGCCGTGCCTTTAGCCACTATGCCCCAAGGCTCTGGAATTCCCTTTCTCACTCCCTCTGCCTCGCCCCTCTCTTCCTACTTTCAGGTCCCTACTGAAGACCTTTCTTTTCGACCGTGCCTTTGGTCACCTTCCTCCCCCTCCCCCTGGCTCGACCCCAGGATTCATTACTGTGAAGCACTCTGATACACCGTCCAGCGTGGAGGGCGATATATAAATCCAAGTTGTTGTTGTAACAATGTAATCTTGTTGTATCTGAACTCTTTTTTCTCCTCTTGTGTGTGGCCGTTCATTGGTGAAGATAAAGAGGGATATATTATGTTCTTATATTTCTCACTGCTGCCCTAAATCTCAATAATGACATGTATGGCCAGAATTGTATACAGTAGAAACTGGTCTTGTAATTTCACATTTCTGTTCTACATTGATTTGTTTTGTATTTCTGTAGAATTCTGCATCTGTGAGGCCACCAGAACGTACGAATATTGATACAAGTTTGACTGGCTCAAAATCCACCTCCTCAAAAGTCACCAAGGGAAGCAATTCTACTGTGCACAACTCTGGCCATGTGGGAGATATACATAGGTAAATGCAGGCACACCAAGCTCAGAACCTCAATGCACCTTGATGCAAGGCGTATAGTTTTTTATTTCTTAAATTCGCAATTCTGAATACCAGAATCGGAATGTTTTCATTTGAGTTGTGATTTTATTTTATTTTTAGATACTTCTCTCCCACAACATATTCTGAATGTCCAGAGACCAGGAGGCAGAAGAGCAATGCATCTGCTGTCGTAAGTGCTTTTTGAAATAACTAATTTAACATTTTGCATTTTTAAACAGCGAGGCCTCCCGCCCTATCCTGTGACTGGTCTGGGCGCTCAGCGTGCATGCTCAATAGCATCGCAGAGCCCTCTGGTCAATTGGAGGGTGTCAACCTTGTCCCCTTCCTTCCGAAGGGCTTACACTTTCGATGCTGAACAACAGGTGTACTCAAAACATAAGAGTATTAACATCAAGGTTTATTACTAAGTATACACAATTGTAAGGATAGCATCAGGATGACTTCTGCTCTCATCAGATTTGCCTCTTGATTGTTTGCTCTCACATTCTCAGACTGTTCTGCTCCCATCATCTCCCAATGGTTACTGGAAAAACCTCTTTGTTATATCCTAAACTTCTTTTCTATAGAGCCCTGAGAACCTCATGATTTGATTCCTACGAGGCGCAGTTATCAATGTTGGCTTTTTGCCAAGGAGCTCTTTATCTTTTTCCTTGAGCTTCCACAATTAAGTCTTTCTACAATCTCTTTCACACAGTCCTCTGGGTGCCTTGTATGAATGTTATGGTCAACAAGCATGGCCTTTCTCTGTGCCTATTGTGGTTAACTGTTGCAGTGCCGATACATCTGAGGGAGGGCAGCACCTTGGCCTCCCGCCGTATCCTGTTATGCGAGTTTTACTCTTATGTTGAAAGAACGACAGCAGCAAAATTAAATTGGAAGATCCTATATTGCTTTGCTGACATTGAAATCCAAAAACATTGTTTTAAACTAATGCAAATTTAAGGCATTTGAATCATAACTTGTGTATAATTGAGAAAAATTATTTAAGAAATTATCATTTTATAACCTTTTTCCTCCCTTACAGTTTTATGTAAGGAAGATAATAACATGTTTTAAGACATTTAGAATGCCCTGTAGATATAATTTCATTTGTTTTTTTCATCCAGAAAACATGTGACGACTTGAACAGTGTAACTTGGTTTAAAGAGCAAAGTGATGAATACAAATTGCAAAAGTTGCCTCTCCAGTGTTCGTTTCAATGTGAAGATTCTGAAAATACAAATGAGACAACAGAGGTTCAAATTAGTGAAATTAAAGAAAGAGTGAGGTTCTCAGAAGATGCACTACTTACAGGAACAAGTATAAATTCCACTACTAGCAATGGTGAAAATGGAAGTCTATTGGATTCTGTAAGCACCCCAACTTTAAAAAGTGAAGTTAATAATTACTATGGTTCACAGACTGCAAAGGACAAAACAGTAAGCAATCATACAGTTACAGCATTGAAAGAACAGCCTATCCAAGTTGAAGGTATAGAGAATCAAACTTTGAAGCGACCTTCCATTAAATTGAAAGAGGTGTTGAAAAGAAAAACCTTCAATTCCTCAGAAATACCCGAGGAAACTACGTTCACACCTAAAAAGAAGAGAATCTATCCTTGTTCTGACAACAATGAGTTTAATGAAGATCTACAAGTTGCTAATGAAATTTCCTACATGGAGCAACATGCAGAGTGGGAGAAAGAAAAGTGTAGACTTGAAGAACAGGACAGAGAATTAGCATTGCAACTACAGAGAAAGTTTGATCGGGAGACGACAACTATTAACAGACAGAGAGGATCACCTGATGAATATCAACTACGGGTGAAAAACCCATATCCAATTAATTCTATGGGCAGACCTAATCAGCATCAATCTAATAGCTTGAGGAATTCAAACCCAAATTCATCACAATTCGGTAAAAAGCAAAAAAATGCCAAAAATTCAAAAAATGTCGCCTCCAGGTTAAGCAGACCAAAAAGGAAACCTCGAGCCACAGCAAGCCAAGTTTCGACTCAAAGGTCCCGACATCAGAAACCACTTAAATGCCTGGATGGGAATTCTGCAAAATTGGGTCACGTCAATAGACTTAAAAACAAACAACAGACTTTGATTGAAATGATTCAGAAAATGAATTGACAGGAATAATCTACTCACCGTTTGTATTCAGGCGAGAAAAAACTTGTCAGTGTTCAATACAATACTATATATGTTTGGTTGAGTTTCATTACCAACCTCAATTATTATTCAACAACTAACCAGTTCTTGTTTGATTTGAGTTGAAATTCACAGGCATCTATTTTTGAAGCTTTCTTGTCATATATAATTGAAATTTCCACGTGTAAATTTGTTAAAAGCTCTTTATTTTGCATGCAGAATATTTGGACAAAATGATGTAATGGATAAGACTGGGTGAAATAGACTGAGGTAATTTGTATTCCTTCAACTTGAGAGGTCAGTATTTCGAGAGTATTTGCGAGGTCAGTATAGCGCCCCCCCCGCATGGCGGGCACTATATAAGTGCAAGTTGTTGTTGCACTAGCAATGAGAATGTGCAGAAATAGTCATGATGCATTCATTTCCAGAATTAAATTCAGCTTTAACATATTTGTAGTTTAGCTTAAATTGAAATACAAAGATAAAAACTTTTCAAAAAAAACTAAATTTTGTGATTTATTGTGGTACAATATTACATTCTGCCTGACAGCATTTTGGGGATTTAATGTAATTATTCATATATATCACTAAAAAATTGTACGAGTTAAATGGCAATAAATATCAGTTGCTTTAAGATGTAGTGTTTTTTTTTCTTTGGGTATGTATCAAAAAAAATAATAAGACTGATGGATAGCAATCTATAATTTGAAATACTGTGCTCTGCTTGCATTCCTTTCCTTTCAACTGAAATCTCATTGATCCACTTTACCAGCACATGATATTGGGCATATAGGTGTTGAAGTGTCCTGGACTGATTTTATGCAGACCAAACCAAAATAAAATCTTTGAATTCCTCAGAAATACCAGTGGAAACTATGTTCACATCTGAAAAGAGTCCAAAGAAGATCTATAAGTTCCTAATTGAATTTCCTACATGGACGAACTTGTGGAGCGGGAGAAAGAAAAGTGTAGACTGGAAGAACAGGACAGAGCAATAGCGTAACTGCTGAGAAGCTTGATTGGGAGATGAAAATTGTTAACCGAATGAGAGGATTACCTGATGAATATTTACTGCAGTCTTGTCGGTGTTCCCCAATGAGCCAAACCAGGCCAAATGGGCCTGAACTAAGCGCTTTGAGAAGCTACCCCCTTTGTAGTGCGCTATATAAGTCCAAGTGTTGTTATTTGTTGTTAAATTAAATTTGTGGGGCTTGATCTATGTAACTATTGCCTCCTATGCTTTGTATAAGTTTGTGGACCGTTCTGTAAGGGGCACAATGACACCCAATGAGTTATATTACTGAATAAAAATTTAATTCTGCACCTGCAACTTCTCCTGTTTCAATCTCAATACCATTGTAACTGGAGGCCACCAGGAAAGGAACATGCTGATAAATGCAAGTTTTGTTGTATTCATAGTAGTTTGCAAATATCATTGAGTTTGACCTTGACGCATTGACTAAATAGACACTGGCTCCACTCAGCTCAGGCAACTAAGAAAGAGCCCCATAATAATATCCAAATGGTTAATCTGCACTGTAATCGTCAATCTACTTTGATGTCAAGACCTCAACCAGATGTTCAACACTTAACTGGTAACCAAGCAACATCAACAAAATTACATTTGTATAGCGACTTTCACATTGGGAAGACGTCCCGAGGTGCTGGACAATCAAATGTTTCGGACCATTCTGGATTGGCAAGGCTCCCTTGCATAAAGTGGTGCTGAGCAAAACCAATATTCTCACTGAGTTAGTACTGCTTGGTACCAACTATTATTAGAATTAGTAAAGAGGAAGAGCAGTATAAAAGAGTAGTGTCCTACTTTGTTAGAGATGCTAATTTTCAGGTGATGCATCAAAATAAGGTCCTGCCTTTATGTTCTGACCTTGAGAAATCCCATGGCACTATTCAAAAAAATTCTTCCAGAGAAATTGGCCATTCGCCTCTGGACCATTTGTGGTACCTTATGGGGCAAGCTTATTATGTTTGCCTACAAAAAAAAGTCACGTCACTATTTGGCAGTTATCTGTCAAGTGCACTAATTAAAAAGTTCTTTATTTGTGTTAGTTGCTTGAGCTGAAATGACTTGGGAGTCTCCAAAAGTTGGGAGTGGTATAACTAGTTGCATTTCAGACTCCTCAAATGTTCCTGTCACTCAGGCTGTCAGAGTACTGAGATCAAGTTTCCCTGGCAACATTGGTGAGTCTGAAAACTCCCAAGGAAGACGCTCCCGATGTTTGCGTCTTTTTTGGGGAGGAAAACCACTGAATTGCCTTGTGCAACGTATCCCAATCTATCAAGGTTTAAAAGTCGTGCTTCAGGAAAAATACACACAAGAAGTCATTGGCGAGACCATTACTGTGCACGGTTCCGGTTGCCGCAGTACAAAAAAGGATATCGGAGAAATCGAGAAGATATAGAGGGCAACCCAAATGATTATTGAGGGAATGGAAGGACTGGACTATGAGGAGCGATTAAGTAAACTGGGTTTGTTCACGCTGGAAAAGAGAAGAGTGAGAGGCAACATTGATCGCTGCCTTTAAGATTCTAAAGGCGGCGGAGACGACATAGATCACGACAGACTGCTTCAACGTGGCCGAAATAGTAAAACTAAAGGACACGGCTTGCGATTAAAGGAGAGGTCAAGTCAGAAGGAATCTACGCAAACGTTATTTATTTCCCAGTGAGCGAACAGCGAAACCTGTGGAACAGACTCCCGAGGGAGACGGGTTGAAGCAGGAAGTGTTGATCCTTTCAAACACGGGATTAGTTTTCTGTCAGGAAATAACATTACGGGGTACACAGTACAGTACGTGGGTCGGTTCGGGACACATATATATATATATAAATGCGCGTATTCTTAGGCTCTCAATAACGGATTTTGCAAGTGCGCGATTCGGGAATCTGAACAAACGCACTGTTAAAAACACAATGAAGACCGAGTAAAATGGCTGCGCCTCAACCAAAGGTTCTCGCCCTTCACATCAACGGTTAGTTCCCCACTTCTCCCCCCCACACACACACTCCCCCCCACCCCAACAGCCCAAAAAAAAAAACCCCCCACCCTATTTCACAAAGTGATCAGTGATTAGGGGCCGCGAGGTGAGGTGAGGCCGATCGATTCCCGGCCCCGCGGTGGTGTCGCGGCGGCCGTGGCCCCCACCAGGAGCTGGGAAGTAGGCGCAATATATGTCGGTGGTTTGCGAACGATGTGGAGGATGTGGGGGAGGGTGTGGGGGGGGGGAGGGTGTGGGGGCGGCCCCTTCACTGGAATTAGCCTTTTCTTTCGTTGTTTTTTTTAGAAGAAACCCCAGAAATACCTGACAAAAAGATGGCGCTCTCCGGAGGCGCTCGGGTGGCCGAGGCGCACGCGCGAGAGGGTCCTGGCACACGCCCCCCTCCCCCCCTCCGAAGCGCACGCGCGACACCGTCCTGGCACAAGGTCCGCCGAGGCGCAGGCGCGAGCGGCTCCCCCCCTCGGACGGAGGACCGAGTCATGCCCGCTGCCGAGGTGAAAGGTTGCGCTTGCCGGAACGAGTGCGCCTGCGCCTGCGCGGGCGCTCAGTGTAAGATGGCGGCGGTTGGTGATGGAGCGGGGTCGGCCGGGTCGGCGCTGCAGGGGTTAATCCGGCAATTTACAGCCATTACAGGTAAATAAATAGCCCACGAAAGGGCGGGCGGGCGGCGGCGGCGTGTGCGCGCGTGTGTGTCCGGAGTCTGGGCGAAGGTGTACTGGGGAGTAGAGAGAGAGAGAGAAAGGAAGGAAGAAAGAAAGCGGGACAGTGAGTGATGGGAGGGGAGATGGAGAGAGATGGGGTGAGTGCCTGGTCAGGGGATGGGGAGAGCAGGCCCGGGGGTGGGGTGGGGGGGGATAGCAATACCGGGCCCAGCGCAGCTCCCACCTGCCCTGAAAGCTCTGCTGCTTTACCGGGGGAGGGAGGGAGGAGGGAGGAGAGTTGTCTAACGGCAATCGGAGTGACCCGAGGAAAACAACCTGGCCTTGCGGGGGGGGGAGCCCTGTGTGGGTGTAGTGAAGCCCCTCCCTGCTTCATAGCACCGAATCGACCCCCTCCCCCCCACCCTCCCCAGCAAGAGTTAGCGCAGCCTTCACCTGAGACCTTCCCCTTCAGTCGAGAAGTAATGCAGCCCCCACCCCCCCCCTCCTCCTCCTCCTCCTCCACCCACCCACCCACCTCAATCTGGTCGTTTCCTTCTTTCTCAGCGTAGTCTCCTCCACCTGATTGCTTCCCCTTCCCCAGTGGAGGGTTTTAGTGCATTCCCTTCCATCCACCTGACAGCGTTTTCTCTTCTCCATTGTAAGTTGCCTTTATCCTCCCCCTTCCCTCCACTTGACAACTGCCCTCGCTTCAGTGGGATGGTGATGCAGGTCCACGACCTGGCAGTTATTTTTCCACGGTGGTTTGTCGAATTTATTTATGATGCACGGATGTTTTGCGGACTCCATGGTTCAGTGTTACTCAGATAACTTGCATACACTTAGTGATGGGTTTGTGCATACACCAGACAATAATTGTTAAATAATTCTCGCATTTTGATATAGTAGGTTTTGTGCCAGGAGGAAAATGATATTTATTTATGCATACTTTCATACAGCATCTAGTTTGGAAATGTGTGTGGATCTAAGGATTGATTTGTACTGGGTCGCACAAAGAAACTTTTTCACAATATATGGTGAATGCAACCTTTCAATTGTATACAGAACATAACAATTTAAAATTATAAACAGAAACAGTTATATGGAGTTGTGCTACTTATTCATGTAGATTTACTTTGTATATTTAATAGATAATCTGTGGCTATACATAAATTGCCATCCATTGATAGTATATGGCCTGGGCTAGTATAAGGAATATATGCTTACTGAATTTCTAAATTCACAAATTCTGTGTGGCAGTCATGTTTGTATATGTGCGTGTGCACATATGCATGCAACTGGTGTGTGTGTGTGTGAAAACCAGGAGTGTGTTCATCTCTTATGAGTCTCTAGTTTCCTGTTTAGTTTCCTGTAATGACATGAAAGCAAGAGGAAAAATCTGCATCCAGATCATCTCGGACAGTTCGCTCTCATTTAGCATAACTATTTATTCACACAGATGTCTGTCTTGCCATCTGTCAGTTCACACAGATCTAGAGATGGTGAAGATAATCATGAAGTGGGACTGCTTTTAAAATTAAGGTTATGTTTATCCAACATGAAAACTTAAGCCCTTTATACTTTTAATCTATTAAGGCAATTTTAGATGGTAGTTAATTTGCTGGATACTTAAAGTTCTGTAATACTTTTTGTTGTGATTTAGGTGCCAGTGAAAGTGTGGGGAAGCACATATTAGAAGCATGCAACAACAATTTGGAGATGGCTGTCACAATGTACCTGGATGGTGGTGGAATAGCTGAAGAGCCTAGTACCAGCACTGCAGGAACATCAGCGAGCAGACCACCTGCACAGTATGTTTTGAAATCTTCATTGTGCAATTGTACTACTGCATCTGTTCGGTTTATCTAACGTTTTAGATTTCTACATCTGGAGAACAGAATTATTTGTTTCTTGCAATCTACTTGTTCAGCCCCGGGGCCATAATCAATGAAACAATTGACTTTTTGGTAAAGTTTCCCAGCTAGGTTAATGATATGAGTTTTAAACATATCCAGTATACCAGTTAAAGCAGGACCTTATTTCACAAATTTTAATGTTACCACTTTAAGTACCGCCAACAAAACTCCCTCTCCGAAACAAAACCATTGATATTCAGGGTCCATGGGTCAATCTTGTCAAGATCCCAGTGTGTTGGCTTGCCATTGATAGGCTGCTGTCAGCCTCCACTGAATGCAATGCTTCACTTGCAATCATTGAGGAATATCTTCTTGTTATTTAGATTTTTATTACTATAAACTAAGAAGATTCCTTCCTGTTTTCTGTTAAAACGAGGAGAAACTGGGGGAATGTTATCCTTATGGTGATTAAAGACATTTGATGCTCTTACATTCAAGCTATTCTGTAGAAAATGTTTTGATATTTATGTACATCAAATTGATATTTATGTATATCAAATGCAAGGATTATTATTAGAAAATTCTTACTTTCAACTGTAGGGTGTTTGAGCTTTTTTTTAATTAAGCCTGCTTTCTAGGTCAACAGTCTCTGCTAAGGGCAGAATTTCAGTTATTGTGCATTTGATTACAGAGCATAATACAATACAGCACAAATTTACATTTGTATAGCACTTTTATAATGTCCCAAGCTGGAGGTGGACTACGTATGTGTACGTTTTAAGGCTCTGGACACCATACGATCACCTTCAGTTTTCAGTCGCATGTTTCACAACCATAAGAGCGGAAATGAGATGACAATTGGTACTGGTAGACTTCTGGTTTGTGTTTGAACTTGATGTCGCACTGGTGTCATGCTTGTTTCCTAAGTTAGCCAAAGATGTTGGTAACTTTGAGGATTGTGCTTCCCAGAAAGATAGCTTCTGAGCCGCATTTAATTGGCTACATATTTAATAAAGAAAATTATTGTTTTGAGTGCAGGTTATTATGTGACAGAAATTATTTTCAAGCAAATAAGCGAGCATTATACAGCTGTTGCAAATCGGTGTCTGTGAAGATCTTTAGATGATCCTCTATATAAACAAGCAGTATTCATCAGTGAAGAGTAACTTAAACAAATAATTTATTCCTTGGTCCTTGCTAGTCTTCAATGAATGAAGACTTTGCCATAGGTTCTGAACTGGATGTACATTCCAATACCTGGATTTATAGTAGCGCCTGCTGTATTGACTGTAAAGAAGAGGCTAAAGAGATCTTGGGCAAGAACATTTTTGGGCTAAAGAATGGGCAAACTAAGACTGAGTGTATACATGTCATCCATAATGTTTCATATCTCAATCCTGAGTTGAGAAAATTAATGTAGCCTTTTCATTGTCTGTCAAGTCAAATGACATTGTTCCTAGATTTTATTTTATTTAAGAGTTGATGGACTTTGTCATTAGAGCTGTCTATATCATGGCACCAGAGTTTCACAGAAGTCCAGAGACTTTTGTTTCTTCCTTCTATCTTGTATTTTTTTGTTGATAAAAGTTTTGTGCTAAATGTGATGACTAGAGGTCCCCTCTCTTATATGTGAATCTTATCAAGAAGTCTTCATATTTATTCTATGGAGACAACTCAGGTTGATGGGGATTGTTGTCCTGCATCGCCAGCTGAAAGCTCACAGATCTGCTTGCTACCAGATTTATAAAGTAGGGTAGAGATTTGCTGCCATTACCCACAGTCACTTGTCTGATGCTAAATGTATTGGTCACAGATCTGCAGAGTAGTGTGAATCAAAAGCTTATGAAGAGAAGGCCAGAAGTTTCTCCCTAGCTGACGTTTCTTCATTTCATGTAATTTTAGGGACGAAGTCCGAGCACCAATTCCACAAAAGCAAGATATCCTAGTAGAACCTGAGCCTTTGTTTGGGGGTAAGACACTTTCAATATCATTGTCTTGATCTTTTTTCTTTGCGTAACTGTCTTGTTCTTATCGGAATATTTACTAAAAGAGACCTATATGTGAAAACTTTTAAAAGGTCTGAAGTATCCATTGAAGGATTTTGATATGGCAATGAACGAGTTGTTTGAAAGCAAACTGATTTGTTTTAATGCAATGGCTGCACTGTTCACTATGAACCAGTCAGTGCTCATCCTCTTGATCTGATTTTCTTCCATTACCTTACAGCAGTGTTTGTCTCTGACGTAAGGGCCACAGCCCCAAACTTCTTGTTCGAGGGCTATGGTGCCCAATGCTGAAATATAAATTCCTGGGGTGTTGGCCTGGTCTATGATCACAATTCTCTTCCTCACCACAGCGAGCTCCTGTTGTCAATTATTCTATCATGAGCAATTACAAAGTAGGCACCAGTCATTTCCTACAGAGAAAGGGGGAAAAAAAATTACAGAACCTATCATTCTATTAAAACTAATTGTTTTATAGAGCCTTTGGACTTGCTTTCACATGATGCAAAGCAAAGTCATAACACAATAACAGTAGGAACAGAATAAAAGCCACAATTAGTCCAATGACTGTGAAGAGGAGGTGGGAAGAAAAAAATATCTCCAGGCTTCAGAGGCTACAAGGCCTTAATAAGGTAATATTATCTGTTGGGAAAGAGTTGCTAGTTTTATCCTGAATAATTGCAGTTCTGTTTTCCACAGCTCCAAAACGACGGAGACCTGCACGTTCTATATTTGATGGGTTTCGAGACTTCCAGACCGAAACGAGTGAGTATTGCTGTTGTAAGTGTATCTACTTTAACTTTTACAAAATTAAGAGAACTGTGAACGCTGTTGCAACTTACTCTCTAAAAGTGAGACAGGTTTACCTTCCATGTACTATACGACTGCCAAAGTGGCACCAGCAGCACTGGTTGCACAGAAAGTGTTGCAACACTCGCTCTGCATGCGCCCATAGCCGTTTAACAAGAATTGATGGTGGAAGTGGGCCATGTTTTAGTGCTGGAAGCTGCTTATCTAGCGTTGGAAGCTGGGTGTACTGCATGTTTGGTTTGCAGAGATCGACAGGACACCAGCACTGTCAGCAAGTCCACACTAAGAAGGGGTGTTATAATGGGGCTTGCCTTTGGAAGCTTTGTAACCCAATAAGGATTTTTGGGAAAGCACGCAAAAATTGGATAGGATTTGTTGAACGGGGACTAGAGGAAAGTAGAACTACAATGCATATGAATTCTCAAGATTAATGTTGAAATGATAGAATACATAACTGGAAAAAAGTTGTAAAAAAAAATAATAATTTGCTTTGTTTATGATGACATTAAAAAGTGTGGACATGTTGCACTTTCAAACTCCACAGATACCTGTTCTCTATATAAAAGTATCATCCATTATGTATGTATTAACATGCTATTGTGATGTGTTTACAGTTAGACAGGAGCAGGAGCTACGGAATGGTGGTCCAGTGGACAAGAAGCTGACCACATTGGCAGATCTCTTCAGACCACCCATAGACCTTATGCACAAAGGCAGCTTTGAAACGGTGAGAGCTTAAGAACCGAGCTGCAAACACTGAGTAACAATTGCAAGAATGGACATGGCTAACATTCATGGGTAGTGTCATTTCCCTCTGTTGACGGATGCGTAGTTCCTGCAAATGCATTAGTCAGCTGTTTGATTTCTGTTCATTTATTTGGTTGATTCAATTTCTCTCTCAAATTTATTATCTACTCTTGTAGGACCCCTGCATTATTCTCAACCCGAGAGGGTGAATGACTTATTTCCAGTGTTGCCAAGGAATGTGTGTAAATAGCAGTAGAGAGTTTGTCTTGGTATTTATTTATTTAGTAGCTGTACCCATTGCAGCTACGCTTGCAACCAGAGGATCCAATATGGAATGTAGATTGACACTCAGACAGACATTTCATCTTTATCTAGACTCCTGGGGGAGGACTCCTGCAGGAGTGCTCACCCTTTAAAAATGTAATTTTGTTGTTGTTGCCCCGGGTTAGCTTCATCTGTGTTCTTTATTTTGTTGAAATGTAATTGATAATACTGGATTATTGTTCAATGTCAATGCACAAAATCAAAACCTGGAAAAAATAATTTGGGTGAAAACTGCACATTTGTGGAGTGATTTCAGTGGTGAGATGGAAACAACCTATATATCCCAATATAGAATTTAGTAAATGAATCTATGATAACTATGGGCAAATTCAAAAAAGACTGGATACATGGTTGAGGGAGAATAAATTGAGTAATACGTGGAAAAGGTTGGAATATGGAGCTAAGGGTAGGATCTATGCTGGGCACTGATGTGGCACTAGTTGGGCTGAATGGCCTGTTTCTGGCTATACTTTCTATGAATCTATGAAATGTAAGGTAAATGCATGCATACACTAACTAAAGCATGCAGATTCTTTCAAATATCCCATATTTAGGGTACCAAACTCAGTTTGTAAATACTTTATATTTTTATTTATAATGTTTTTCTACATAAATCATTCTGATAGAGTTTAAGACATCATGGTAATTTAGTGCAAATAAGTGAAATAGACTGTTGCCCAGAATAGCTTAATTAAGAATTGGAAGTTTAAGGCTGGCAGAGAGTCTTTCATTCCGACCATCTGGGCTGAATTCACCTCCACGATCCAAATGAAAGGGCTAGTGTGCTGATTGACTATAACACCCCCAGTGAAAATTTTTATTTATTTTTTTAAAAAACTTCACCGACTCCCCATCCCTAAGAGGATCGAGTTCAAGATTCTTGTCCTCACTTTTAAAGCGCTCCACAGTCCCACTAAAAATTTACCAATCTGCCCACTCCCTCTGCTTGGCAGGCACTGGCCTGCTCCAGGTCTCCATTCTGCCTGTTCCACCATTGGCAGTCAGGCCTTCAGCCTTTCTTCCCCCTTTGGGTCGCACCCTCCCTTGCCTCCTTGAAGGCCTGTCTCAAGACCTTTGTCTTTGACTGTGCCTTTGGTCATCCTTCCATTTCCACCTCCTTTCCCTCCATCCCTTTTAACTCCAACCCACAGCTCGGTTGCAAATACTTGACTGTCCGCTGCCTTGGGACTTCCTCCTAACATGAAAAGCGCTATATGAATGCAATTTTCTGTTGTTGTTTTATTGGAAAACAAATTCTAGTGTTCTAAGTAGTTGTCGATTTTTTAAAAAAATACAATATCATTGTCTTTCAATTATTTTGATGGTCAAAAAATTGCTTAAATTGAAGTGCTGAAGGAAGATTCTTTTAAGTTTCAACTTGCTACTTAATATTTGCAAGGCAGGATTGGAGCAGAACAAATACGTTTACAATTCATCACTTTGGTAAAGTGCACTTCCCTTTAAAGTATTTCCCATTAACAGTACAATCTGCTGTCTTGCACTCAACTCACCTGATGAAGTAACAACATTGTAATTTAATTCTTCCCTCTGGACAGGCAAAGGAGTCTGGACAGCTGCAGAACAAATGGTTGATGGTGAACATTCAGAATGTGCAGGATTTTGCCTGTCAGTGCCTGAACCGTGATGTTTGGAGCAATGAAGCAGTGAAAACCGTTATTCGTGAGCACTTCATCTTTTGGCAGGTAAAGGACTTGGGGTATTGGAGCTCTAGACTTCTGCTGAACGTTAATGTCAATGAAATTAAAAGTTCTACTCAATAGTCCATGACTCCAGTTAGTCCTGCTTTTGACATGTGGTTTTATATTACCATGGGACTGTAAATTCAAACAAGCTTACTACTATTACTTTTCTGTGGCATTTGCCCTTCAAATGTGTTGCTTTTTATTCCCCTTTAGCTCCCCCCTCCCCAAAATCTTAGTATTTATTTGCAGTTCTTACATAACAACTTGCACTTAAATAGCATTTTTCACAAGGGGAGTGCTGGAATAACCAATATAGTCCATTGGATGAGGCCACTTTTTGCCTGTTCGGGTGGATGTTAAAGATGCCATGGCACTATTCCTATGACATCTTGAAGGAAGTTTTTCCCCCGTGTTCTGGCCAACAATCCCCCAAATAAAATTGGTCACTTATTCCATGTCTATTTGATAACATTGCTGTGCACAAATGGCTGCCGTGTTCCACCCACAAAATGCACAGTCACTCCACTTTGCAGTATATTCTATGAAGCACTTTGAGATGTCTCGACGATGTGATAGTTGCTATATCAAATACAAAGATTATTATTTTATAAAAAAGCTCTATTCTGTTTTCCAGGTTTATCATGATAGTGAGGAAGGACAAAGATACGTGCAATTCTATCAGCTCTCAGACTTCCCCTATGTTTCCATACTAGATCCTCGTACGGGTGAGAATTTGTTTTCATTTTAACCTTGTCTGGTTTGAATGTCCTTAAACATGGTGATGTGCTTTCATGAGTGTCAGATACCCAACTGACAAAATAAATGATTATGACTGGTTTTGATGACTTGACTCATCCATTCATTCTTAATTATGTCAAATCCTCCCACTTGTGGGACTTCTAAATCATCTACCAAGCTCAGGAATGTTAATATAATTCGCAGAAGGAATCAAATCTCACTTCCCAGACATTCACAAAGGCTGATGTCTTGAAGGGGAGAATTCATTTAAAGAATAAACTAACTTCACGATATTAATTTGAAATTTAAAGCAACTCCAAATATTGAAAGGAATTGTATAGCTTCATTTTTTTCTGCTGCCCAGCAAATTATTCAGAATTGGAATAGGCATTTGAAATTAAGGATGGAATATGAGGTGTTCTTGTTTTCTCATGACAGGTCAGAAACTGGTTGAGTGGCGTAACTTAGATGTAAGTTCCTTCCTGGAGCAGGTGACGGGGTTTTTAACAGAGCATGGCCTGTTGGATGGACTCTCCTGCAGCCCACCAAAGAAACGTCAACGTTCAGTAAGTGCAAGGATGGTTAATGCTAATATCAACAAATTTATATATCACTTTAAATGTCGGGAGGATGGGCCAAGGTGTTGGACAGTGAAGGGGTTTTGCACCTGAACTCGGGTTTGGAGTCAAGAGGGGTGGTGGGCAAGTGGGAGGATGACAAAAGGCACGGTCAAAGAGGAAGGTCTTGAGACAGGTCTCAAAGCAGGCAGGGGAAGGGCTCTGGCCTGGAGTTCCAGAGGGTGGGGGCAGAAATAGAATACATGCTGAAGTTGATGCGGTATTAGTTTGGGGGAGGAGGGAAATGGCAACTGATACAAGCTTGAGGAAGGTGGTGGTGGTTGGAGGATATCAGTTTGAAGTTCATGTAGTTTAAAATGGTTTGGGTTATTTTGTACTTTATGGTCTAACTGCCTTGATTTAATAAGTATTCTGTTTCTGATAGGAGAGTTTGATTGACGCCAGTGAGGACAGTCAGCTGGAAGCAGCGATCAAGGCATCTCTACAAGAGACGCACTACGAATCGTCTAGCCCTGAAAACGAGGACCAGTCAGATGAGGAATCGGAGGCAGAAGCTTTCTCAGACAGTGAGGGCTTCATTTCCATCAATGGATCAGATGACGAGAGGGAAGAGGAGACGAATACAAAAAAGAAAACTCCACCTCACAAGGATCTAAGCTGTAAACAGACGTGTGTAGAATTACCTGAAAGGACTGAGACAGGAAAAGATACTGGTTTGGAATTTTCCTGCAAGGACAGTTCTGAGAGAATACAGTCAGTGGCAGATGCAGAAGCCTCAATGATGCAACAAGAGATAGAAGATGAGACAGAGTTTTTTGATACCAGTGGTAAGGGCTTCTTTCTGTATTTTTATAAAGATTTTTTTCTCCGTGAAAATATTCTTGAATATCATGCCAATCAAGAGCATATTGTGGAACAAATTACTGTTAACAATTTCAATCTGTGTTTACTATTTTACCCTGTTAGATGTACATTGGTATATGTTACTTTGCTCCTGCTGGAAAGACTTATGCGTTCTTGGAATGATGAGCTTTGTCTGAAAGTTTTAAATGGAGAATAATTTCTATTCCAAAAAAGGAGACAAACTAACATTTTTGGGGTATTTATTTGATATGTAGATGAAAAGAATTACAAAAAAATCTAGGCCTACCAATGTACCATTAAACTAATTTCAAGGCAGGTGTTACTGTGAGAACTTACCAAAACTTGCCATTTCCTTTGTACTACCTGTGACTTACTGCTATTGGCACTTTTGCTGTTTGATTTGTATAAAATAAGCAGGTTTTTGCCTTTTCTTATAAGGTTGAATCTTGTTAAGACACTTTCCAGATGTGAATACCGTGGAGGTCTAAATCAAAATTGTGTTATATGATCTTACCTTACACAGGACCAAAGGCAAGTCTGATGTTGCGATACCCAAATGGACAAAGGGAACAGATTGCACTCCCAGCTCAAGCAAAGTTATTGGTCAGTTATTTCTTTACATTTTGCATATTTGCTCTGAGGAGATTACTGTAGCTTCTAAAAGGAAATAGTGCATTTTAACTGCAGTTGATAATAGAGCTATTCTGAATGATAAACTTCCTCAGAAAATAAGGAACACTATATCAAAATGAACATTGCTCCCAAGACAAGATGATCCCTGTAGTAAATCCACATAGTAAATCCAGAAAGATGTTAATTTAATTTTGGTAGACTATGAAGTGGTTTATTTCCAAGAAATTAACTCCTGCAGCATTTATATTAGTTCTAAGTTCATTCCAGGGACCTTAGTATTGGTACAGGGTGTGTGGATATCAGTGCACTAATTACTTCACCATGCAGGCCCTTGCAGTAACGAATTACACTTGATGATTTTCCTACTGCTGCTGCATGGCGAGTTAAAAGTTCCTAATGCAAAATGCCTGATTTGTATATCAAATGTGGGAAGTTGCGATACCAATATTCATTGTGGAGTAAAATGCAGGAATTGATTTATACATGAAACATAGTCCAATTTGGATCAGAGATGTGTGGAACAGCAAAAAATTACATTTGTGTTGTGCCTTTCACGTCAGGAGGACATTCTAAGACACTGGACGGTCACGGATTTGCACCTGAACTGAGGGTTGGGCTCAGGAGGGGTGGAGGGCAGGGAGGGTTGGGGTAGATCAAAGAGAAGGGTCTTGAGATGGGACTTGAAGGAGAAAAGGAAGCGGGTGAGGCGAGGGGACTAACGGATTATATCCTATTATTAATCTCTTTATTATGCCTTGTTTTTCCCTCAGGCACTGGTAAAACACATCCAGTCGAAAGGATACCCCAATGAACGATTTGAACTGGTCACCAACTTTCCACGCAGAAAGCTTTCCCACTTGGACTATGAAATTACACTACAGGAAGCTGGGTTGTGTCCTCAGGAAACTGTATTTGTTCAGGAAAGAAATTAATGTGGGATTGAAAAGATTTTATACAAGTGTTGGAAGATCGGACATGTTGGAAACAGCAATCAGCTGACTTCAGTCCAAACAAAAATAAAAAGTCACCCTTTTACTGGACCTACTGAGGCCACTGACACACAAATCGCAAAAGGAAGATTCAAATCCGTGTTCACCTCTTAAAACTTTTTGATTCCAAAAAAAAACATTTTTACTGGACCAGAGAAGACTGTATGTGATTTTTTTGGTTAATAAATACCCATCATTCTATGCTTGTGCTGTTACCTTTGGCTCAATCAGGCAATGGTACGGTTTTTTTTTCAATCTACATCTGGCTTTGGCAATACTGAAGTGCCATAACCAAAATTCAGAAGAGCCTTGTATGAAGCTGGAGTATTTTGCATTTGTTCTGTTGCTCTCTGTAACTGCCAGGCGGAAGCAGTTCCCCCCACAAAAGCCAGATGATAAATGTTTTGACACCAAAAGCTGGAGAAACCACGGGGAATGGTTTGGGTAGACCAACTGTCATCTGATCAGATTTGACTTTTTTGTCTCTTGGTAGTGTTACTTGTTTAGGCTGTAAGTATGTGGTAGGAATTTACTGTTGTTCTCTGTGATGTATCTTCAATTGCCCTAATGTCATCCTACAACAGAGTTGCGGGCCTGTGTTGAAACTCATCAGCTCATTACTGTGGGTGAAAGGTTTGCAGCAATCCTTGGTTCTTTGATGCTGACCTGGAGTTCAGGTAGGTCTCCTTTTCCAGAGTCTGCACAATGGGACAAACTGCTGTAAAGTGCAAGTAATGGCTTATGTACACATTTCCAGGATCTTTTGCAGTAAAATCATTTAGAGAATTATAAACAAAATCCCTAGTTGCCTAACACAATCTCTGAGGGAATCAAAACTCAACCCAAGGCCCCCAACAGTAAAGAGTCTAGGGGTCTACAGTCAAGAGGGTTCTAGTCAGTAAACTGAGAAAATAAGATCAGTTCTGAGGGAATCTACACAGTCATACAATCGATGATAGAAGAAAACCTGGTATGGATTCTACACACAATCTCTAACAGTTTAAAAAAATGAAGGATTCTACTTCAGTCTGTTTTGCTGACAGACTGGCTATCTGTGACAGATTCTACAACTTTCTGACATTGAGAGCTCTTAGCGATTTGACACATCATCTTTTTGAAGCCCTGTCATAAGAGGCATGGTATTCTACACACAGGTCTAGGGTCCCAAGGGTAAGATCTGTAGTATCAAGATCCTTAAGGCAAGACCAGTTCAGATTGCAGATCTGTATGGTGGTCATCTCGCTCACAGTATTGACAACTGAGGAGTGCAATTGCTTCGTCTGGATCCAAGGACTCTTAACCGTAAGAGTTTAGGGTTTTAGACCGGCTCATTTCCCCAACTATAAAGGTGGGATTCTGCATAAAGTGCTGGAGTTCATGACTAAGAACAGCGCTATGGGATTTGACATACAAGCCCAATGATCCATGTTTTGGACAGTGAAACTAGATGAGAGACGGAACTTTTTATTGGAAAAAAAAGTTTACGTTTCAGATGTGACCCTTCGTCAGAACAGGTTGATTTCACATTTATAGATTTAATCTCCACTCAGATGCTGCACAGATCTGGGATCCCGTATATTGTTTGGTGGTGAGAAGTGGTATGCTTTATCACGTTAAAATGGGCCCTGTGAGTGCATGTGCACTAACGCCATGCGCACACATTTGTCATGCTGGAAAGGAGCTCTGTAATGTTTGACTTGAAAATGGGCTTGTGTATACATTTGTCATGTTTGAAATGAGCTTTCCATGTTTTGTCATGTTGGAAATGGGAAGTGTTTACAGTTGTGACCATTCTACCAATTTTGTTGAAATGAGGGCATCTGCTCTCCATCTCGTCACCAGACAGGAGAATGTAGCAGGACAGCCCATTGACATTCCACTGAGAAAAGCAATTCTATATTTTGTTGGCAGTGGTGTAGTTTGTCCGTATCCATTCCATTGCTAACAGCTCCACCAAGGACAGACGACCCACATTAAACAGGACAAATTGAGGAAAATAAGGGACAAAACAATACCCATTTTTAAATCTATACATGGTATAATAAAATGTAGAAAATGGTAGTTCTTATATAAAAGCTACTTTGGTAATATTTTGTGAATGTAGAGACAAGAGAGGATGTAATGTGTTGGGCAGCCACCAAATGTCTTGTGTCTACAGACTGCCTACTTTGCAAGCCTCCCCTAACCTCTGTTCTGGTTACAACTGCACCAAATGATGAGAATAAGCCTGTTCTGAATCTTGTTCCTGTAATTATTTTGTGAAACTAGAACAAAGGGTTACATAAGCAGCATTGTGAAACACTGCTTCACCAAGATCTGGGCGTTAATTCTTCATTGAATTTCTAAAAAAAAATTAAAATCATGTCATACAATATCACTGATGCTGCTCAGTTAATACTGCTTCAGTTATTAATGTGTTTGGAATGTGAGATTGTGCCCATATATAGATTCTGTAGATGAGCTGGGTATTTCTCTTCGGAGATTGATCAGTCGCATACGTTTGACCTTTTTTGACTGAGCGAGTCAGTAAACTGCTGGATAAAATTTGGGAAGAACATTGCAGGATTACATGAACTAGTGTCACATTTTGTAAACCTCAATCAATAAAATTTATAGTTTGCTTTTTAACAATAGTTGAAGGTGTACTTTATTGTGAAAACTCCTAAATGGACTAAACTTTTTTTGGGGGGCGTCAATTAATTAGTCACTGATGCCTTACGAACTAGATTCAATATAAACTTTATTTTTGCCAAACTGATCCAGCTTACTTAAAGAAAATCTATGGAATAAGAAAAAACGACTTTTATATTCAACTCTCCACAAATAATAATTTGTCTAGGGGAGATGAGTATAGATGTGACTCCAGTGCATTATTTGACCGCCCTTATTTTTTAAATTGATCCAATGTCTCCTGTATTTCTCTGGTTATCAAATCCCCCATTGTGTGCTCCAGCTCTTGTGTTTTGACCATTCTTGGTTGAATCTGAGATCAAATTATTGGCACTGATTGGAGCACTGATCCAATCAAATGTATTTTGATATCTCTATGTCTGACTCGTGAGTTAATGAGCTTTGACTACAGATGCAATGGATCCGCACCTGGTGTTTGATAGTTTCGGTTTAGCTATTTTGTCTGATGTAGTTATAGACTAGATGGAACTTTTATTGCTGGAGGAGAAAGCCAGTTTGCAATGATATTTCATGTCGGGTCTTGATTTAACATCTCATCCAAAGGACAGCATCAGACTCTGACTCCAGCCTGAGTGTGGGGCTCAAATCTTGAGCCAGAGCCAAGAATGTTACCAATTCACCTAGCTTGAATGATCAATCGATATCCTAGTTCTTAATATAATCCTTGCATTTGTATCTCCACAAATTTGTCTTGGGCGTGTGTAACCAATAGACATTCTTGAGGAATACATTAGATCAGGGAATACATCACCTGGTATCAAGATTCATAAAGGGTGTGAGCAAGCATTACTAATTTCCCCCACCTTCATCAATGTCCTGTTATGGAGTTCTGTAGCACTCCCCACGCAAGTGAGAGGACTTGGGTTCAATTCCCAGGCAGGGCGAAAAATTAGGCAAGTTTCCTTACTCCACACTCTTGTTTACCTAGCTTTAAGTAGGAACCTGGTTGTTAGTCGATTAGAGGATCGTTTTCCAGGGTAATNAAAAAAATTGGTCACTCAATTCCCCAACTGTTTGGGACACTGCTGTGCGCAATTGGCTGTTGCATTCCGCCCACAAAATATACAGTCAATTCACTTTACAATATATTCTGTGAAGCATGTTGAGACGTCTCAAAGTCGTGATAAGGGGGTATATCAAATGCAAGGATTATTATTATGTCAAGGTGGGGTTCTCTTTCTCTGCATTATATATTTCAAGAAGTTACTTCAACCTCATGCTTCAGATCCCAAAATAACTTGTCTAATTCCACTGTCAACAAAAGTACATCAGTGATTTCAATTGGTTCAGAAGTCATTGATGTGGAGGAGGCTGATACGGGGGAAGCGAGGAAGAGGAAGGAATGAGTTTGAACAACCAGTGTAGATTCTCCTTGGCCCCTGCAGAGATGTGTGTCGGTTGCTGTGCTCGTTGTATAGGCATCGCCCTCATCTCTCTGGCTCTGACTGCCATAGTCACCAACCTCATGCTCCTCTTCCCCAATGGAAAAACAAAACATATCCTGGAAAAGCATATCGCATGGGAAGCCAGGATTCTGCCCGGGGGGTGGGGCGGAGGAATACCGGTAAGAACTTTTTTTTTAGCCCGTTTAACACGAAGTACAGGCACAAAAGTGTGCTTCAGGGAATAAATAGTTTTAACACCACTTGCAAACTATTCGCTATTAGGTTGAGGTCGTTTCTAAAGCAGCAATGGTATAGATGCATTGTGTTCCTTGTATGACCACAAAGGTAAATAAGTCAGTGAGGGTATTCTTTGGCTAGAATGGCAGTCCAGTAATTTGTGTGTGTGGGGATGGGGAAAAGATGAGTACAATGCCTCCATTTAATAATAATAATCCTTGCATTTGATATAGTGCCTTATCACGTCGTTGAGACTTCTCAAAGCATCCCACAGATTAGATTGTAAAGTGGGATTGATTATTTTGTGGGTGAAACGCAGCAGCCACTTGATCACAGCAATGCCCCACACAGTGGACACCGCTGAGAGCGATTGGCTGCCGCATTTCACCCACAAAATATACAATCAATTCAAAGTATATAACATTGAAGTGCTTTGAGACAGATGTCTTGAAGACGTGATAAGGCACTATATCAAATGCAAGGATTATTATGGGCTTCAGACATGCAGACATATTCTGATTCCCATCTTTTGTGGGTCAGAAATTGAAGTGTTGGTCAGTTATGAGGTAGAACAGGTATTATACACTGGATGGTGTACATTGATTGCACAGCAAGACAATGATCTCCTCAGCCTCCCTTAGTCATCAATCCTGCCAAAAAATATAACCCCAAACTCATTTTCATGTGACCATCATACGAAATAGGAAGTCTACACGAACTATGATTCACCAGTCAGATTCAGACCCTCTTCCCCCGTTTCTGCTTCTCAGAAATAGTTCCATTTACGTGTGTTACTTCGCAATGCTCGCCCAGAGAAAATCAAGCCGACTATTCCAACAATATGAAACATTCTTAACAGGCAAAATCCCTGCTCCCCCATCCCAATGATGCCAGGCATGCAACTCACAGGCTTTATTGCTTATTTACTTTTCAGGTGCTTCTGGCTGGTCTTTATATTAAAGCAGCTGCCCATAAAGGTCACTTCGGTTTGTGCATCCAATCAAGGATGAAGGTAAGCCTCCAAACAGTCTAACCCTTCCTGAACCGTCCAGAAAAGACATTAGAGTTGGAAGTGTTCCTCAGGCAACCAAAGTGGGATCTGCTACATATTACAATTCTGTTCTAGAATGTACCACATGTGGTGCAATTTATAATCCAGGAGTTTGAGTGATTTAGAGGCAAATAGAATGTCACGTCTTGTGTAAATTGAAACGGGGGAATAAAATTTAAGTCGACCCGAATTCTGTGGACTAAAGGTATGTTTGAAAAACTGAGTAATACTATTTCTATCCATAGATGCTCGTGTCCATTCTTTATTCCTTCGTGGCTGGAGCTTGCTCCTTTGCTTGTCTTTGTATATCTGGTCTTGGACTCGCAAACGGACCCCTTTGTCTATTCAATGAAACTTTGCCTAATGGAACGCAAGTAAGAGTGTGGGAATACCCCTTTCACACCGAAAGCACATTAATCATTAGGTAAGGTGTGTGAATGTGCAGCTTGTTTTGTTATCAATTGCAAATTATCATACCTTTTAATTTGTTTTTATTTTAAAAAACACATATTTTAAAAGAATTCCCTCAAATCCTTCGCTCCAGCCGCTACACCCTGAAGCTATAGAACTCCCTCCCTCAATCCCTTCGCCTTGCTCCCTCTTTCCCCATTTTCAGGTTGCGCCTGAAGACCTTCCTCCTCGACTGTGCCTATTGTCACCTTTCCCCTACCCCTGGCTCGGCATCGAGCTCCACCACTGTTAAGCGCTCCCGGGACAGAGCCTGGCTTGGAGGGCGCTGTACAATAACAGCATTTGACATAGCGCCTTATCGTGTCTTCAAGACGTCTCAAAGCGCTTCACAGAATATACCGTAAGGTGAATTGACTGTATATTTTTGTATAAATTCAAGTTGTTGTTGTACAGTCTGCTCTAGTATTTTACACCTACCCACCGTGATTCAAATTATTTAAGTATTTCATTTCTTTTTGTGTGCAGTACTGAAAACTACCTGTACCATCACTCACTCTGGAGAGTCTGTGAACACCCGAGGGACATTGTGCTGTGGAACGTGGTTCTCTTTTCCATTCTCATGGGGACAAGTGCGATTGAAACTATTCTGTGTTCCCTGCAAATGATGAACGGACTGTTGGGCTGTATGTTTGGAGCATGTTAGCAGGAACTAAATGATGTGAAATTTCTAACTCACAACAAATGTCAAAACCCAACCTACATGTTATGGCACACGGTTCGTTCCCTCCGGATTATGTTATTGCTTTAACTGCACTTTTTTTTAAAAAAAATCTGAAGCCAAATAAATAATAGTTGGACTTTTAACATCCGATGGTTTGTTCGTCTGTTTGTTGACTTATTGATGGAAGAAATAACTTTATTCACGCACACAGTAATTGGAAGGTGGAAACCCAGAGTGATCAAAAAAAGTGGCAGTAGAAATCATGTGATGGCCCAGGTTAATGTTGACCTCGTTATAGCCCTCGATAGTAGGACTAGTCTGAGCTCTCTAAAATAAAGTTAACAGTAGAACGTCCAACCGTGTTCATAGCTCACAGCTACAGAAGTTCGATTCCTACCAATTTAGACGCTTTATTCCTGTTGCGGATTTTCTTCCAAGGATGGACTGTGTGCGTCGAAACCTGGAGTGCAATCAAACCAGAAGAAAGGGATAACTCCAGAGAGCTCATGTTGAAGCAGAAGTCAATCACTGTGAGCTTCATGTGATGATGTGAGGACGTCTGGAAGATGTGAAAAGCGCTATATCAAATGCAAGGATTATTATTATTTTATTATTATTATGAGGATGATAGACGCCCTTTAATGCTGATGCCCATCAGCTGTCTGCAGCCTCACTTCAACGTTTGGCTGAGTTTCACTTGATTCACTTCAGAAATCACACCGTTAAATTAATTGCAATCCACTTACAACGTTTGGGGTTCATTTTTTTTATGTAAAAAAAATTGCAATTTCGAATTCGCAAAAACCCACTTCTGTTTGTACAGCACAGAACAGACCCACAGTCAATAATTATCCCGAACGGTGCAAAAGCGGCAGAAAGTTTCTTAATTCGAGGGAGGGGAGGGAGGGGGAGGGAGAGGGGGGGAAAAAAATGCTCAATGCGTTGGATTTGACTGTTTTCCCCTCGTTAACAATAACGCTGTTCTGCTGATGCGCGACGTGCAAACAATTGCGCCGCTGCTGCTTCAGTGAGATTTCCGGGTCACTGCGGTGATGGACAGAATGTGACAGATAGACACACACACACACACACACACACACACAGAGAGTGAAAGAAAAAGAGAGAAAAAAGCGCGAGGTGTTGACCCATCTCAGGTGGACGCTCAGCAAACCCCCACCCCAACGAATGCAATTCTGCACGAGGCGAGTGTTTTAAGTTGTGATTGCAAAATAATTTATAAAAATAATTGGTGGATTTAATTACGCCAATAACATGTGGCTCGTGAGTGTGAGAGAGTGAGTGAGTGAGAGAGTGAGTGTGTGAGAGTGAGTGTGTGAGAGTGAGTGAGTGAGAGTGTGAGAGTGAGTGAGTGTGAGAGTGAGTGTGAGAGTGAGTGAGTGAGTGTGAGAGTGAGTATATATATATATATAATCTCGAGCTGATTCCCTCTGCAATTGATAGGTACCCACGACTCGCTATTGCTTTTATTCCCTCTCTCTCTCTCTCCTCTTCTCTCCTCTCTCTCTCTCTCTCCTCTCCTCTCTCTCTCTCCCCAGGGATGTGCTCTCGGTACCTACCGGCTAAGACCGTCCTGTTCGAGCAGGACAGGCGCGGGGTCACTTACCGGATCCCCGCTCTGCTGTACTTACCGACCACCGGGACGCTGTTGGCTTTTGCGGAGGAGAGGTTCACTCCCAACGACGCGGACGCGAACCTGTTGGTGCTGCGCAGAGGACATCTCTCCGGATCCTATGTCGAGGTGAGGCTGAACCCCAATTGCACACACCGTCCATATTCATCATAATTAATAATAATAATAATAATAATAATCACAATCCCGTTCAGAAAAAACCGTCTCTTTCTGTCTCTCTTTTAGAAATTTCTTTTTATTTTTAATTTTTAATTAAAAAAAAAGAGAAACACACCCACACACACACACAAGGTTTTTTTTTTATTGGGGGGAAAGCAACATTTACCATTCATTTGGCTGTTGTCTCCGCAATAACGCTTTAATTTTAATAATTTAATTTTAATTATTAAAACTATCAATTGTTATTAATATTATTATAATAATATTTTTAATATAATAATAACAATAATATAATATAAATAATAATAATAATGAATAGTTTGACATGAACGGGTATTTAGGTAATTTCAGGAAGAGTGGAACTTTTAAGCTGAGTTCCAACCATTGCATCTTAGAGAGAGAGAGACCGATGAGAGAGTGAGTGAGTGAGAGAGAGAGAGTGAGTGAGTGAGACCAATGAGAGAGAGAGTGAAGAGTGAGTGAGTGAGTGAGAGAGAGAGTGAGAGTGAGAGAGAGACCAATGAGAGAGAGAGTGAGAGTGAGTGAGTGAGAGAGAGTGAGTGAGAGTGAGACTGAGAGAGAGAGTGAGTGAGTGAGAGAGACCAATGAGAGAGAGTGAGAGTGAGTGAGTGAGTGAGAGTAAGAGAGAGACCAATGAGAGAGAGAGTGAGAGTGAGTGAATGAGTGAGTGAGAGAGACCAATGAGAGAGAGAGTGAGAATGAGTGAGTGAGAGAGAGAGTGAGTGAGAGTGAGTGAGTGAGAGAGAGAGACCAATGAGAGAGTGAGTGAGAGAGAGAGTGAGAGAGTGAGAGAGAGACCAGTGAGAGTGAGAGAGTGAGTGAGAGTGAGTGTGAGAGTGAGTGAGTGAGTGAGAGAGACCAATGAGAGAGAGTGAGAGTGAGTGAGTGAGTGAGTGAGAGAGTGAGTGAGACCAATGAGAGAGAGAGTGAGTGAGTGAGTGAGAGTGAGTGTGAGTGAGACCAATGAGAGAGTGAGTGAGTGTGAGTGAGTGAGTGAGAGAGAGTGAGTGAGTGAGAGACCAATGAGAGTGAGAGTGAGTGAGAGAGTGAGTGAGTGAGAGAGACCAATGAGAGAGAGAGTGAGTGAGAGTGAGTGAGTGAGTGAGAGACCAATGAGAGAGAGAGTGAGTGAGTGAGAGAGACCAATGAGAGTGAGTGAGAGTGAGAGAGAGTGAGTGAGTGAGTGAGAGAGAGAGACCAATGAGAGAGAGAGTGAGTGAGTGAGAGTGAGTGTGAGTGAGACCAATGAGAGAGTGAGAGTGAGTGAGAGGGAGTGAGTGAGTGAGAGTGAGACCAATGAGAGAGAGAGTGAGTGAGTGAGTGAGTGAGTGAGACCAATGAGAGTGAGTGAGTGTGAGTGAGTGAGTGAGTGAGACCAATGTGAGTGAGTGAGTGAGTGAGTGAGTGAGTGAGTGAGTGAGTGAGTGAGTGAGGGGAGTGAGTGAGTGAGTGGAGTGAGTGGAGTGAGTGGAGTGAGTGGAGTGAGTGAGTGAGTGAGTGAGTGAGTGAGTGAGTGAGTGAGTGAGTGAGTGAGTGAGTGAGTGAGTGAGTGAGTGAGTGAGTGAGTGAGTGAGTGAGTGAGTGAGTGAGTGAGTGAGTGAGTGAGTGAGTGAGTGAGTGAGTGTGAGTGAGTGAGTGGAGTGGAGTGAGTGAGTGAGTGGAGTGGAGTGAGTGAGTGAGTGAGTGAGTGAGTGAGTGAGTGAGTGAGTGAGTGAGTGAGTGAGTGAGTGAGTGAGTGAGTGAGTGAGTGAGTGAGGTGAGTGAGTGAGTGAGTGAGTGAGTGAGTGAGTGAGTGAGAGTGAGTGGAGTGAGTGAGTGAGTGAGTGAGTGGAGTGAGTGAGTGAGTGAGTGAGTGAGTGAGTGAGAGAGAGAGAGACCCCGTTATTTGGAGCAGTTTGGTGTTTGCCCGCCAGTGGGGGGACATGAGAGCCGTACAGTCCGCGCACCTGACAGGCCACCGGTCCATGAACCCGTGTCCGGTGCACGACCGCCACACGGACACCCTCTTCCTCTTCTTCATCGCCGTGGAGGGGCGCGTGTCCGAGTCCCATCAGCTCACCACCGGCCGCAACGCGGCGCGGCTCTGCTGCGTGAGGAGCGCCGACCGGGGCCGGAGTTGGGGCGCTCCGACCGACCTGACCGACCCGACCATCGGGCGCCGCCTCGGGCAGTGGGCGACGTTCGCCTTGGGCCCGGGCCACGGGGTCCAGCTCCGGGGCGGGCGGCTGGTGGTGGGGGCCTACGCCTACCGGATCGACCGGAGCGAGGGCCTCGGGGGGGTTGGCCGGAGCCGCCCGCACTCCTTCGGCTTCTACAGCGACGACCACGGGCGGACGTGGCGGGTCGGGGAGGCGGTGCCCAACCTGCGGACCGGGGAGTGTCAGATGGTGTCGGTGGAGGAGGCGAACGGCAGCCGCGTCCTGTACTGCAACGCCCGGTCCCCGCTGGGCTGCCGAGTCCAGGCCCTCAGCCCCGACGGCGGCGCCGCCTTCCTGTCCGGTCGCCTGGTCCGGAGGTTAGCGGAACCCGCCCGCGGCTGCCACGGCAGTGTGGTGGGCTTCCCCGCCCCCACCGGCTCCCGGGGCGCCCCCTCCCCCACACCCCCGCACCCGCACCCGCCCCCGCAACCGCACCCGCCCCCGCAACCGCCCCCGCCCCCGACCTGGGTCGCCTTCTCTCACCCCACCAGCCCCGCCTCCCGGGCCGACTTGGGGGTCTACCTGAGCACTTGTCCCCGGGACCCCGACAGCTGGACGGAGCCGTGGGTTATTAGCGAAGGTCCCAGCGCGTACTCGGACCTGGCGTACCTGGAGGCGCCCTCCGGCGAGGCGGGGGCTCCCGCCGCGGCCATCGGCTGTCTGTACGAGTGCGGGGACCGGGCGGCCCACGAGCGGATCGCCTTCAGCCTCTTCACGGTGCGGGAACTCCTTCGCAACGTTTCCGACGCGGCTCAGCGGTCGCCATCGCCGCCTTCTCCGAGTCGGTCCGCGAAGGGGGAGCGCAGCTGCTGCGGAGTCGCGTGACCACTTGACCCCCCGCCGATGGCAACGCCGGACCGCGACCACCGGCGGACGCTTTTTTTTTTTGGCCGTGAACTTCGCGCAAGTCGTGTCGGTCGTTTTGATTACGACTTGTGCGAAGTTTGCGAGTCGCCGTCAAAGGTGCGTTTAAGGGGTTTAAATTAAGCACTGAATAATAATAATAATAATAATAATAATAATAATAATAATCCTCGCATTTGATATAGCGCTTTTCACGTCGTGGAGGACGTCCCGAAGCGCTTCACAGAACACACTGTGAAGTGAATTGACTGTGTATTTGTGGGCGAACGCGGCGGCCAATGGCGCACAGCGATGTCCCGCAAACAGTCGTAGATTGAAAATGACCAATTTATTATTGTTTGGGGTTTTGGAACGGGACTCGGGCCCCGGTGTGTTGCTGCGGTGCGATGAGGATTACGCACCGACCGTGCGGCAGATTGGCCGCTCTCACTCGCTCAGCTCGTGTCCCGCACAATAACTGCTGTTCGAAAAGCTATTTATTAATGACGGAGGATGTTTTGTGCAGAATAGAGCTGGTGATACCGACTGGATAGTGTCGGGAGAGCCATGTTGGTGCGGTCCAAACCCTTAAGTTTGCATAAACCATATAATCCCTCCAAAAACAATAATTAAATTGGTCATTTTCAATCCACGACTGTTTGTGGGACATTGCTGTGCGCAATTGGCGGCCGCGTTCGCCCACAAATATACAGTCACTTCACTTTACAGTGTGTTCTGTGAAGCGCTTTGGGACGTCCTCCCGACGTGAAAAGCGCTATATCAAATGCAAGGATTATTATTATTATAATTCACTCTTGTGGATGGAGCAGCGCTGTGCTATATATATATATTTTTTGCCTCGATGGATGCTGAGTAGGATGTATATCCTGATCGCTTAAACTGGGAATACAAACTCTCAAAGGAGTGGCTGTGTGCGAATCTAGAGTTAGCAATAAAAATGTGTTAAATGCGGCCAATAAAAATAATAGTTTTCAGTGATTCCGAGGAAAAGGCCCAATAAGACCCACCGATGATCATTTCACTTGCCCCCATGGCATCCAAAATTAGCGAATATGTGTTTATTTTCTCCTGGCAGGTCTTCTTCCAAATATTTATCAGAGTTTTAAAACCAAACTTGCCATTTTCAAAGCTGTTCACCAGTTAAAATTGAGGTTTTCATATTAATGGGTCAGTAATGCAGCTGTTTTGGTCAACTGGATTTCTGATGCACGGAAATACATCACCATACTGACTTCTCCAAACCAAATTACTGAGACTTCCATCTGTTCTTTCCTCACCCCTCCACCACATCACTTTTTTTCTGGATGAGGTCAAACTTTTCTAATCCTAATTGCGATTCTTTCTATTCTGGGATACAGTTCTAGGGATGGCCCAGTGGCCATAATTCATGTGGTAGACCTGACCATGAGAGTTGGAAGGCTATTTTTGAGCCCAATCTTTACTCTCGTCTGACCTGATACTTGACTGTCCTTCCATCGGGGTTAGGTGGATAGCGACTAAGAGAAGAAACCTTTTTTTTTTCTGTTCCTGGGGCTTCCAGTGCCAGGAAATGTGAACTAACTTAACACAGATCAAGTTTTGCCTACACATTCTGATAAATTCACTTTGTTATTCAGCAAAACAGCTGCATCTTTTACAGTTAAACACAATGGATGTTTGTATTGCCCTTCCCATGTTCTCCAAGCTTTTTTTTGTTATTCGTAAGTTGTTTGATCGCTAGTACTTAATTCCTATCTTGGGCTGACTAGTTTTTAATGGCAAAAGATTCAGCATGTTTGCATTTTTAATTGCTTGTTTGATTTATGCAAGTCAAATTTCCTGATTGTGAAGATGTAGTTTGGGAAATTAATGAGTTTGAAGAATTGATTGGTAAAGCCAAAAATATTCAATGTGTCTGCGACAGTAATCTGAGTACACTTCAGTGACTCATCACATGCAGTTTCTCAATGCAAACCAGTTGATGCACAGCTGGTTGTGAAATTTAAGCTAATTATTACCCATTTGTCCAGTTCTAGTGATTTTTTTCGTGCGTCTGGCGAGGAGCATGAAATCAGTGTAATGCAACAAATGTTTGCTTTTCTTTCCCTTTACATACATTGGTTTAAGATTAAATGTTGCTCAGAACCAGCTTCTCCAGGTTGACGTCCACACTAATTAGACAGAGGTCCAAATTAGTGCGAGTACTTTAGGTTAATCAATGAATTTGGGTCATTGTAACTGAATATAAGCATAAGTGCTCCAATGAGGCATTCTGTAAAAGCTGTTCAGGTGTATTTCACACAAAGGTACGCTGGGACATTTTAGAGCTTTTCTTCTTCAAGTTTACATTTATTGACCTTGGTGTTTGCTTTTAATGGGAATCACTGATGGTGTTTTTCACAATGTCACAATGAAGTTTTTTTAAAAAAATTCAATAATTTGACACCTGTAAATGCTTGGAAATGGAGTATTTGTTGGGTGACTTTGAAAAGTGGTACTAGTGACAGCATGTTTGGATGTGATGACTGGTTGTTGGGATAAGTCTTTCTTTCAGTCTTTCTCAACCTGCTCTGTAACGATTCCTGAAAGAAGGGTTACAAATTGATTGTCCTCGTTTCCATATGTGTCAAGACACCCGGCTGATCAAAAAAATGTAGTCGGGAAAGACTTGACCTTTTTTGTGTAACCTTTGTGAATGGCTTTGGTTAGATGGTGTCTAATTGGCTTTGCCAACACTCCCTACAGTATTTAGCTGTTCTAGGGTGAATGGGATGCTTCCCTGTACTATAACTCAAGAGTTCCCAAACTTATCAGGATATAATCATTTGCTTGGCTGATGGACTTGCCAGTCAGGCAATGGGGTAGCTTTTGCATTTCTTGCTGCCCCCAATGTGTCTCCTGGTCCCCCAGTGGTCTGTGGACCCTAATTTGGGAAGCAGTGCTCTAACCTGCTTGATCAGTCCTGCTGCTGAGGGATTATTCCAGGTAACAAAGAAAGCAAGCATTCCTTGCCACAAGTTGACTAAATTGCTTGGGATTTTTTTTTAATGCTCACACTAAGTATAATTAGTTATACAACGTGCTGCTCTGAAATTCCCCCCACTTCCCCCACAACCTGTGAGCTGCCTGTTAGTCACTGAGCTGTCTGGCTATGTCATAGGAAGCAACCATCTTGCAGGGACGACCGCCTGTCTGAGAGTTTGATAATCTCAGCCAGGGAGCTTCAGTACCCCGGAATTAGTAAAGTTTCCACGTGTGTTTATGTGCAGAAATGAGGGGGAATCTACCTGCCTTCTGATCATTATTGCACCATCCACCTCACTTGAGGGGAGGGTAAAGTTGGAGGAATAAAATGTATTTAATTTTACCATTCAATCTTAATGTAATGTGGAAGAGTGTACTACTGCCACCAGACCAGCCTGGAGATGCTTTCTCAAAATAAAGTGAGAGATTCCCAGTGGCCCATTCTCAGTTTATTTTCTCTCGTACACGGTATATAAAACGCACCTGGCTAGCTTGCTACAAGTGCATCATTGCTCCTTCACCATAAATAACTACAACCAAACTTAAGTGGGACTTTAAAATAGGTAATAAGCGGGAAGCGTGGGCCAATGTGTGCACTGTACACTGTTAATACGCTCAGTATTACAAACACTGGACATACAGGAATACAATCCTGAGTTTCACTGATAAGGCTGTAGATTAAAAACTACAGCTCTTTACGCTCACTCCATTCATTTCAAACAACCCATCCAGTTAAATACGAACAGGGCACACCAATGGGTAAGTTACCTTTAACTCCTAGGCAGTTTTTATCTAAACAAGGAAAGGGATCTAGCATATGGAACAGCTGGGCATTGGCCAATAACCTCCAAAAGAGGGTTTCTTGTCCAAAGCTGTGCTTAAGAAATTATTTTCCATCACTTTGTGTTAAGTGAATAGACCAAAACCTACTTTTTTTTAAAAAAAACTTTACATTTTGACACTTGTCAGTTCTATGTATGATTATACAAACTGAAATTGTTACAACAGTACCTCTAAAAATCCGGTGTGCAAGGATTCCCTTATTGTACAATGGATCACAGACAATTCCATTCTTCACTAATGCTGGGTAAGAGGCCTCTAACATCGTCTGTGGCACAAGACTTTTTCTCAGGTTCCTACATCAATTGTTTCTTTGGTCTCTGCTCTTCCCACTGCACCAATTCACATTCTGGTTATTATAGAATCTGTACCAGGATTGCACTGAATAGTTTAGTGTATGTGCAAACATCACTGCTCATAATAGTTCATAGCAGCATTATATGTGGACTTTTGCATGGTGCAGATCTGGGTTAGGTAGTTTTATAGCATTACCATTACTTGTTTCCCTTCGCAATACGAGGTAGGAAAGAGAAAAAGCCATGTGGCACATGTACATCAGACGCCAAGACAAACCACAAACCCCACAGTGCAGAAATCCAACTCCAATGGTAGGAAATTAAGTGGCACCGTCCTCTTTGCACAATAACTTTTCTGCCTAACAATGTACTTACCCAAAATAAACTAAATATGAAACATAATGGGATTTATACACCAGATATTATGATGCTTAGTGTGTGATAGGAAGTGATGCAAAGAAACTTCCTGGGATAAAGTTCTGAGCTTGACTGATTAAAAAGGCAACACCAGGGAATCTGAAAGACCAGGTGATGCAGTCAATATTATTGAACATCCTGCTCTGCTTGGGGTATTTGTTATGCAGTGGGAATGGTTGCGTTGATGCAGGAAAAGCATAGTTGCGTTGATTCTCTGAAGAACATCTTCTGTTCTGGGGAAACTGTTGACCAACAATGAGTGAGTCACCCAAACAGTTCTTAGAATCCTCTGGGTCTCAAAGAGCTTCCTGGAAAAACAACAAGTCCAAGTACAATACATGAGTATTGCCTCCCATGTCAGTAGTTCCCTTTACAGTTGGTCCTGAATAGTCTTGTGGGAAGGGGAAAGAACAGAAGGGAAGGATCTTGAGGAAATTATACCAGTCAGTTCTGAACATTGGGAGATACAGAATCCATTCTAGTTGCCATTAGAACGGACCTTTAGAAAGCGAAAGACTGAAGTCTGGCAAGAGCAACGTCGGGATTTAGTGCACAGGTACTACCCCGGTTCCATCTGCCTTTTACAACTACAGATGCTGTTGAACATGTGGATTCTCAACAACAGTAAATATATATTTTTAAATCTCTTCGGCCGAGTGGAGCAACAGCAAATGGGCCTCTTTGTAATTTCTCCATCGTACAAGTCGAAACCCCACTAAGAGTGTCTTTTCAGCTAACCCACAGTTTCTGCAGGTTGGATTTTGAAAGCGACAGAATCACTTTTGCAGGTTGCAACAGGTTGGATTCTAAATCAGGACAACCTCCAGTACCTTTAACCTCTTATTTAAAATCTTAAAAACCAGAAGATCTGAAAGGGTGGTGGAAGCAGATTTGATAATAACTTTCAAAAGGGAATTCAAAAGATGCTTAAAAAGGAAACATTGGCTGGGTTATGGGATAAAAGTGGGGGAGTGCGACTAATTGGATAGCTCTTTCAAAGAGCTGGCACAGGCAAGATGGGCCGAATGACCTCCTTCTGTGCTGAAAGATTCTATAAGTCTGATTTTTTTTGAAAAATTCCAATAAAACCAACCTGTTCAACCTCTCCTAAGTTAAGAGGATCTTGACTTTTCTGTTAAGATGTTTGTTTGTTTGGGTGGGGAGAGAATCCCCTGACTGCAGCTGGACAGGGTATATCTGTGGGGCTGGGTCACAAGGTGCTTGGGAAGCCCCTGGAGGTGTCAGAATCCTCACCAAAATTTAAGGGCAGGGTTGAATGTTTAGTGTTGGATTACATTGTAACCAGGTATCCAAAAATACCGGTGTTACCAAAGCAGGATAAATTTGTATTTTTTTTTAGAGAAAAAAAAACTTTTCTGGGCCGCTCGCCTCACATCCTCCCTCCTGTCAATTAAATGCTGGAAAATTATTTGGGGTCAATTATTGTCATGAATTCCCACAATGGCATTTTACCAGCAAGAGATGCTATTCAAGTTCACCTTGCTTCAGTTCAGCAAGCCAGCCTGAGAACACGGAAGCTCATTTGACAAAGGCAGGCACAATTTCAATGATAATTCTATGAGGAGCCCTGTGACTTGAAACGCCTTTTGGGTCAGACGGCAAGCAACTGCTCTACTGCTTGTGCCCTGGACGAACCCAGAGCAGGGAGAATCTTCAAATAAGGGTGACTTGATGCATCTAAAAATCAAGAAAAAACCACTGCATCATTTAACTAGCAGCAGAATCTGGTCACATCTCCGTGGGATAGGAGAAAGCATATCTACCTGCTCCCAGCCATTTAGGAACAATTATAAAGGTGTGTACTCCATTAACATGTAGCCTTATAGTTTTTTTTGTGTTTGATTTGAATTTTGAAAATAGAACCTTGGCAGGCAAGCAAGAGAGAGACTGTCTCCTTCCACACAGTATGCGTCTACGGATATAGTTTGATATATACCATCAATTAACTTTCTCTGTATATAAAGAAATTGTAAAAATATTAATTATAACTTCTAAGTAAAACAAAAGATATCAACCCCTCTATTTGATGCCACCCCTCATGGCGTTCATGTTAAAATAAAACGGTTTGAGTTTGGATCTAATGGCGCGATCGAGCCTCGTTTCGTTTGACCATGAATCGCTGGCATCAGCAGGACATCCCCTGACTGCTGCAGGACGGGGTATATCTGTGGGTGCTGGGTCACGGGGTGCTTGGGAAGCCCCTGAAGGTGCTAGAATCCTCACCGAGCTGAATTTTTACTGGATCCACGTAACGAATACCTAGTAAGAGGCAAACGGAAAGGAGTCAATCAAAATTGAGGCATTAGCTAATGTGTAGCTGTTGAAACTTGTAAATGTCTTTCTTCCTAAAGGCAGCAACTTTCCCAACATTGTGGAGTCCTGTAGCTCAGTGGTTAGAGCACTTGCGTCACAGGCGAGAGACCTGGGTTCGATTCCCAGCAGGGCAAAACCCTGGGCAAGTTTCCTTACTCCACAGGCCTGATAATAATCCCTCAAGAAAAAAATAAAAACAATAATAATTTGGTCACTCAATCCATGACTGTGTGGGCCCCTGCTGTGCCCAATTGGCTTCTGCATTTCACCCACAAAATATACAGTCAATTCACTTTACAGTATATTCTGTGAAGCGCTTTGAGACTTCTAGAAGACATGAAAAGCGCTATATCAAATGCAAAGATTATTATCAAAACAGTTTTTAAAAACAATTTTTAAACCGAACTATAATGACTTTATACAGATCTACCACTAGGTAATGCTGTTGTATACAAATCATAAAATGTGAATCATAATACTTGTATTTATGCATCAGTAACCTTTTCTGGCATTATTCCCTGATTCAGAACAGTCACCTTGCAATAATTTTCAGATGATCAACTATACATTAATATTTATTATACTTGTAAAAATACTTCCATTTATCATAATGAATAGGCTGCTGGGAGGGGGAACTGTTTATGAAATCCATAACATAAAAAGAATGTAAAAATTAAGCTTTCACTAATGCCTCAGTTTTTCATCACTAAGGGCAGTAGAGTTGAACCTTGGTGATCCTGGGCTGAAGGAGAAAAAAAGGTAATGTTTTATTGTCTGATGGCCCCTGCGGGAAAGTGTGCATATTACAATGGATTTGGTTCCATAGCCTGACCACTCACTATTTTGGTTCTGTCATTAAGACTGATCACTTGGTTGAAGTACCATCTAGTTATTGTAAAGCCAGCATCAGCTGCTGGTTCAAATCAAAAAGGAAGAAAGTTGCACTGGGCAAATTGTTTAAAAAGAGAAAAAATAAGCTGTTTAGCACAACTATTTCAATGGTAAAAGCTTTGAGCATGATCCAAAACAAACTCAACTTTGAATATTAAGTAAATGGTAATTGATTTTTATTTAGGTTGGGAATATATCTCATCCTCTCCAGGAAGAGGGAGGAGGTCAACAGTTAATTTGTTAATTAAATCCACATGCAGTGCATTGCACATTTACTGATGGCATCCCAGGCCAACTTCAGCCAGTTTGAGGAAATAGGTTTCCGAGTGTATTAAGACACTCAGCTGATTGGAAAAAATGACAGATTGTATGAGAAATAGAGATCTCACACTATAGAAGCAGTGTGGTGAGCTTTCCTCTACATTTGACTTCATGCTGTACTTGACCTGGAATTGCTTAATCTAACAGAATGCTTTGCTCTTCACCTAAACTGTGCCTACCAACCTGGCTTCCAATCTTTTTGTAGATCATATGTTATTGCCTACTCCTCATAATCCTGTAAACAGACTTCATACACATACATCCATGCACACATACGCTGGGCATTTTTCACTCACCTTCGTACCCGCTCCACCATTTGTGCTACTAGTTTATCTGAAATGCCCGGACACGACTCTTCTGCCAGGTTAAACGCATTCTCCAGTTCTTCGATGGCTCCCAAATTCCCACCACTTACTTTGTGCTTCTCTCGTAGCTTCAAAGAAACAAAAATGAATGAGAAGTCCCAATTACTCAAGTGTGAAAATAGTTTTTTATTCTTCAATCCTTTGTGAGAGGAAGCCTCAATCTCTCTTTGTACCCTAATAATAAATTGGTCACTTCAATCCACAACTGTTTGTGGGACACTGCTGTGCACAATTGGCTACCGTGTTTCACCCACAAACTATACAGTCAATTCATTTTACATTCTATTCTGTTAAGTGGCTTGAGATGCCTTGAAGGTGTGATAAGGCGTTATTCCAAATGTAAGTATTATTACCCAAGCAAAATAAAAACCCAGGGAAGGGGAAGAAATAAACCTGAATTTTCTCATTGTGTCTTTGATTGATTGAGAACTCATGAGGCAGGTTCTTTAGTGAATTATCAAAATAAGCTCAACAATGAATAGAAACTTAAGAGCTGGGTGACAGAAAATCTTTCCGTTTGCTATCCAAACATCATGTTGGGAATGCTTATAGATAGAAGCCCCCCCTCCCCCACCCCATTAATTAACCCCACTGCAGGCCAATTTAAGTACTTTCAACAACAACTTGCATTTATACAGCATGAGTTGCCAGGGAGAGAGATAGATACAGGGATTGACATTACCTCTCTGAACATTGGATTGACAAGCGTCGTCAAGCACTTTGATTTCGGCTGTCGTTTGGTGGACTCCTGGGGCTGTGGATCAAGGAGTCAAATAGTAGTAAGCCTTCTCACAGGAGCATAAACCAACTGAACAGTCTTCACAAACCAGGTTCATTGTACCATTAAAGTAATTAACCCATGGAATAAAAATAAAGTATCTACCAATGGAACCTGCCCATTCAAGTGTAGTCTGGGAGATTATTCAATTACATACAGTATTTCCATATTAGAACCATAGAAATTTAAAGCACATTGTGGACATTCAGTCTCTCATATCTGTGCTGGTTCATTTAAAGAGCGAAGAGCCCTTTCCACTACATTTACCTGCCTTTACCCTCTAAACCTATAGATGCCTATCTAGTTCTCTTTTAAAAGCTAATATGGATTCTGTTCCAACCACAACACTTCGCATTGTGCAAGGGTTATTATTCTATCCCATATTATTAGTGGGAATGTGGAAGATCCAGTAATACACATTACATAGCAGATTAATTACTCTGTCTTCGTGCCTTAATCCAAATATGATTTAATCATCAAGATTATATTACTAGAAATAAACATTGCAAGTGGAAGGGCACTGATATTCAGAACGAACCTTGGGTGAACTCTGCATGGCGGCTCCATTCTGAAGCTTACTCAGCGTGCTGGGACGCACCGTAGGAAACGTCCAGACTGGGCACTGATCACGATCATCGGAATCCGCTTCCCTGGAAAACATGCTCTGTGTTAGACAAATATGTGGCTCTTCAGTCATTTTTTTAAAATATAAAAACAGTTAAGATTCATACACTCTGCTGCAGCCTCCAACTCATAATAAAAGAAACCTAGAGACTCCTACCATAAATCCCGATGTGGTGTGAGCCTGGACTTAATAGAAGTTAGCCTGCTATTCAAAATTCCTGGTTGTCAAAAGGGACCACCCTAAAGTTTTTGAACACAGATTCCCACCTTTCCTCCCTCCAAATTGGAGTCCTGTAGCTCAGTGGTTAGAGCACTTGCCTCGCAAGCGAGAGACCTGGGTTCAGTTCCTGGTAGGGCGAAATGTTGGGCAAGTTTCCTTACCCCACACACCTCTTTTTACCTAACAGGAAGTCGGAACCTGGTTGTTAGTCGACTGGCAGATCGCTTTTCGGGGAGCAATAATTCCTAAAAAGAATAATAAATTGGTCACTTCAATCCACTACTGTTTGCAGGACACTGCTGTGCGCAAATGGCTGCTGCGTTTTGCCCATTAAATATACACTTTACAATATATTCTGTGAAGCACTTTGAGACATCTAAGACACAATAAGGCACTATATCAAATTAAAGGATTATTTATTATTACTCCTCTGCACACTTGGTCTGTCACAACCAAACTTACAGATCAGAGTCCTCGGAGCTGGACTCCTCGCCATGACCCTCGGATTTCCAGCGTTTGTAGCGATCGATCAGCTCAGTCAGGTAGGAGGTTTTCTTTGTGTAGCGCTGGATATACTTGTGCTTTAGCAGCTCCTTTGCTGTTGGCCTCTATGATTGAGAAATTGATTACAGTATAGCAATATACAGCAAAACATTAATTAGCTACCAGTGGGGACCTCAGATCGCTAACATGCCCTACACACCATGGGATTAGGCCTCTCTTTCCAGTTTACTCCTCCATTTTTCCAGTTTTCTCCATAAGGCCTAACAATGTTTGTTAATGTTATTGTACCCTCTGTTCCAGCTCATACTGCTAGCTGACCATTCTTATTGGTGTTCTCCAACCAACAGATATTCCCTGAAAATCTACAGATCTTTAAAACCAACACATCGCCCAACATCCACTTCCCAATTTATCTCATCTGTCAACTATTCTTTTCAGCTTTGGTGGTGTCCTGTGCCACAAGTTGTATTCCGTATATTCTGAAAGTGTGGAATCTGTTCTTAGTGCTGCAAACTAATGTTCAAAAAAGCTACCCTGACAAGCCCATTTCCATGCAAACTTTTCATTCGTACTAGTTATAGGAGGCACCAATTCCCATTTACTTACAAATTTGGGATCCTTGTTGAGACAGGCCTCCACAAATTCTTTGAAAGGTTTACTGTGGTTTCCTTCCAGAGTTGGAGGGTTGTTTTTAGGAATCAGAAAAAGAACTCGCATAGGATGCAGTTCTGAGTTGGGGGGTTCTCCTTTTGCTAACTCAATTGCTGTTATTCCAAGGGACCAGATATCAGCCTAAAAACAAATAAAACAATCTGAGAAAGAGAAATAACAATTCTTTACAAGCAAACAGATTTTCAATGTCACTATCATATCTACCTGAGATTATAAACCAATCTCTTCAGTACCTGCAAAGTAATAATCCTTATAGCTCACTATAGTTACAAAGACCATGATAGCTCTGTGTATAGCTACAAAGGTCGAAGGTTGAATTCCTGCTCTATGCTGAGTTAGCTGTTCTCAGTTTGTTGCTTATGGCAATTAGAGTGGTACAATTTGTTTTAGCACCTCTAGGCTAGGGAGGTGGTGGGGAGGAGAGAAAGTTTAAAAATATCAAGCAGAGTTCCTGCTCCCAGTTATTGTCGCGTGATCCCCGCCGGAAGCATGGGTTTGGATAAAAACAGAAAGGAACTAAATTGCTCAATTTCAGCTGCCAGTCGAAACTGTCAACAATCACTATCTCGCCTCATACATGAATAAAGACAAGAATGCTCCTCGTGTTCATACCCCAGTAAGAACCAGTGCCTTTAGAAAGGAAAATAAATCAGCCAAAAAATATTCAGTCCTGAACGCAAGGAAACACAGAGGCACTAGACTCAGCAGGTAAATTGTTCAAATCTTGGAAGGATGTGTGTCAAGTTGAATTCACTCCCTCCACAAACTCAGATGAATTTATTCAGTTCTCACCCTGGTCCCTAAATAATATTGACTCATGAAAGTACAACAACTTGTATTTATGTAGACCCTTCACGCAGGTAGTGCCTCTACCTTTAAGTAGCGCAGCCTGAAGAGAGTAACGTGAGAAAGGGAGACCTGACATTTCCCAAATGCTCTCATCAATCCATCACAAGCCAGCAGACATTGGTCACAAAAGAGGTTGGAGTCTGGAATGCGGTGTCCCACCCCACTCTCTACACAAACTATGTGCGAACAGATTGAGCAACAACATTATGGGAAGAAAATCTGGAGAAACTACTCACTTTAAAGTCATACGCAGACTGCTTGATGACTTCTGGCGCCATCCAGAAGGGTGTCCCAACAAAAGTGTTTCTCTTTATCTGTGTGTCTGTTAGCTGGCCGGCAACCCCAAAGTCGGCTAGCTTCACATCACCTTGTTCTGAGAGTAATACATTAGCAGCTGCAGGTAAATATTACAAAAGAAAATTAAGAAAAGTTTGTAAGGATATGAACCCAGATTGTACAGGTGACTGGATAAATTGTAACTCGTATATCAAGGTAGGTAGTGTCGAAGAAGTGTAAGTTATTTCACTTTTTGTCCCACTCAGTATCGAGCATTCATGAGTCAGATATATCACACTGATGTGGTGCAGAACAAGGCTTCTTCTATTTCTGTCCCAATTAAATAGATCTCACCCACAAAATATACAGTCAATTCACTTTACAGTATATTTGTGAAGCGCTTTGAGACATCTCAAAGACGTGATAAGCCGCTATGTCAAATGCAAGGATTATCATTATTATCATCTCAAATGTTATACATAGCCTGCCCCACACAAGAATGGTCACTTGAGCAAGGTAGCTAGAACATATGGAATCATCCTCCAAACAAAGTCAGCCCCACAGAAGCTCTTCTTCGGAAATCAAACTATAATAATTTTAAATTATCTGAAATGAATGGGGTTACCATGTTGCTATTCGAATTGCTCAACTCATCCTTTTCCGACTTACCCTTAATATCTCGATGGATTTTGCGTTCAGAGTGTAGATAGTCTAAACCTTTGAGAATTTCCCGGAGGATTGTTGCAATGTATGTCTCCTCCAGGGGCCCTGGTTTGAGCTGCAAGAGCAAAACAGTGAGTTAAGAAAAAGTCACATCGACTGCCCCAGGTTCTGATGTGGTACCCAAGTTAGTACACCCTTAAAAGTACTGCATTATTGTATCAAAATCAAAAGCAAGACTTACCAAATCTAACGCAGATCCTCCACCCAAATATTCCATGATTATCCACAATTTTGTGCCCTAGGTTTTAAAAAAGATACTAATTTCAAACTTCTGCAACATTAATCCTTTGCATTCTGGGCTCATACCAGTATATAAAAACTGACCTGCTATATTGATCCACATGTAACAAAAGGCAAAATACTGCAGATGCTGGAAATCTGAAATAAAAACAGAAGTCGCTGGGAACACTCAGCAGGTCAGACAGCATTTATGGAAAGAGGAGTTAACGTTTCCGGTCCATGACCTTTCTTCAGAACTGACTAAAGGTCATTGACCTGAAACGTGAGCACACTTTCCTCTCCATAGATGCTTCCTGACCTGCTGAGTGTTCCCAGCGACTTCTGATCCACTGATATAAACCATTTTCACCTGAACATCTATCATTGGAATCCAATAAGCAGTCCAAATTAGGAAAAATAAATTGTGTCTCTTTAAAATTGGCACAAATAAGATTTATTTACAGATTATAATGTTTTACAATTGTTTCATTGACAGAAAATGGATTTTGCAAGAGCCAGTGAACAATCCATATTCGCAGTTTAAGGCAACCAGGGAACCTGAACCCGCAATAAGCAGAAGTTAAACAGTTAGCACTGGAGTGATACAAGTAGCTGAGTTAACCATTCCTCCAATCTCCTTACCTACCTTTAAGTAAGAGCCATAATACTTGGTGACATACGGGCTGTCGCACTGGCTTAACACAGTGATCTCCTGTTGAATGTCCTCGATCTCATCCTCTGCCTCCTCTAGGTCAATGATTTTAATTGCTACCACCTCCTTTGTCCGATTCTCAATTCCTTTGTACACTTCGCCAAACGAGCCTTTCCCAATTCTCTCCTGTTTTGTAAAAAGCTCCTCAGGGTCCATGCGGGCATTCTGAAAGAACAAAAAGAAAGAACCAGGATTAGGTTTCCCAAGCATTTGATAAAGGCCCCCACAGGCACAGGTAAAATCTGGTTATCATGTGACCCAATGTTGACAAAGCAGCAAAGTTTGTTTGTTTCCATACAACAGATCAGAATTTGAAATTTACATTAGATGTTACGCTAAACTTCACCAGCTCACAATATACAGCTGAGTTGTTCCCTTAAAAAAAATGCTCATTCAGTTTTTTTTTAAGTGGGGGGATGATACATTGGACGGTATTCCTTTTTTGTGAGTATGCAAAGGAAATGAGGGACAGTGAGGAATGTGCTGTTATCCTCAATTGGCTGGAAGATATGTAATACAATTGCTGAAACAACCCAGTCTCAGTAACTTCTCCAAACCAGTCCCCTTGCCAACGCGAGCAGCAACTGTTGAAACAAAACGACTGAAATAACCATATAGGCTAACCATACCTTTAAAACACTGGAGTGGTTGGTGAAATTCTCTCTTTAGGAATCTCCTGAACTCATTAGACTTAGAAGAGGCTTCAATTTAACTTCCCACCTAACTGGGTCACTTAACCAACTGAAACATTCCATTCATCGGGACAGGCGACTTTGTTATACTAGTCAGCTAGTAACATTGCTTGACAGGATTCAACCCAAGCTGAAATTCTCACCTACAAATGGAAATCCCAGCGATAGATTGTTGGAATGGAATGCGCACTCTCTTGCTGGAGGGACACATCCTGCTCCCCTAATTCCAGAAAGTATTGCCATTGATATTGATGTCCGGCATGCTTTCCCACTGCCTGTTCAGCTAGGACCCCCCTACCCATTAGGGATTTGGCTTGCAGTGTTAGTGGGAGCTGAGTAGGCTGCCCCCAGTGACTGGTCTGCCCTTCCAGGTCCTGCCGATGAGCCAGACTGGCTGTGCTGTCATCAGCAGTGCCTTGGAATATTGCGGATCTGCCTGGCTCAGGAATCGGACTACCGAGACCACCACAGAGGGCTGGCTCGATTCCGCCATTCTATTGCCAGGCATGTCACCTTGGTGCCAGTTCAGCTCCAAAGAAACCTCACTTACCTCCTCCCAATCCCACCCAGCCCCCACCGGAGCTAAGCAGGGTCTCCTTGGAAGCCTACCATACATTATGGTCATTCACGACAAAATTCTGCTTTATTTTGATAACTGGAGTCTCAAAACAGAGACTTAATGGCAAAACAACTTGCTGAGCAAGTTCAACCCTTCTTAACACATCTCACTGCATATTCAGTGTCAAATCCAACTCACATGCAAATTAAAATACTGCTGAGGAAACATTTCCAATAGCAGCATGGTTCATTAATCGGTGGTAGAGGACAAAGATAGCAGATGGAAGCCACTCAATAATGTGAGCCGGCAAGTCGGTGGATTTTCTTTTCAAATACAGTAATACATTTAGGTGAGAGAGATAAGTTAACAGATACAAGGCCAAAGTGCAGTACATTTAAAACCTATTGTAGCAGAAAGCACAATGGCATTCAACCTGCAGCAATGGTATCCAGGACAATGGTGCACAGAATGTCTCTGAAATGCAATTTCTCACTTAAAGTAAGAATCAATGGCACCGTGGAATACTCTAATAAATTATCCCTTGATCTCTCAATACAGTCAAACTAACTTAGGTCCCTTATTTCCAGAAGTAGAGATCACATTTCCAGAAGCCGACCCTTGCAGAAGTGACTGCTGGCAACTCACTATTCCAGCCACTGAAGTACATGGCTCAGCACTGGGAATTTTGCTATCAACCTTTGAATGACTGGAATTGGCAGGTAGAATTTCAATCACAGGCGTTAGGCAAGTAAACAGCTGAGCCGTCAATTTCCCTCTATAATATCAGCATACAATCCGTGCAGGACATAGAGGGATTAATTTTCAGTTCAAGCACTAAATTAAAGGGGAGTTAAACTCGTATAAATTATATATTGAATCGTGAATGTCTGGGAATCAACAAGACTCTAATTGAGAGCTTTAAGAGGCCACAAGAGTGAAAATTTCTGAACCAAGAGATTAAATTACACTTCATTCCTCACTCATTTTTCATCAATTTTTAAAAATGTATTAAAAAAATTCTCAGGAATCAACTGCAAGTTATCTTGTTCAAAGTGGAGCAATTGCATTAGAAGCAATAATAAGCCTTCAGTGTGACATAGTGATATGGTGATGCGCGCAACAGAATAGACACTGTCTTACACTATAGCTTGAATAATTCTCCTCAAACTACTTTTAGTTCTTAAATGTGCCTGTGCTTGGAGCCATGCAATTTGATGGAGGTAGAACAGAATCATTAGCAAAAGAGATGATAGGGCTGGATGATACGTAGAGATCATTAATGTGGAGAAGGAAAGTGGGGAACAGGCTCAACAAGAGAATTAAAGTTGTTGAGGGAATGGATGTGCTTCAAATGAAGAATCATTCCTGGAGGCCTAAATAATTACAGAGGAAATGTTAATATTGTATCTTAGATTAGAGGAGATAGTGAGACCATGAAAGCCAATAATATAGATGAAGAATTGCTGTGGATAGGGCCATCCAAGGGAAGAGATGGTAGCTGTTGTTTTGATATGTGAGAGTCAGGTCTTTGAAGAATTGAAAAAAATAAAAATTTTACTGTTGCATTGAAGGGCACAGAGGAGACCAAAGTTTAGTGATTCATCCATTGCACTGCAAGAATAATGAAGGTTATGTGCGCTGAGGCCATGCGATTTGAAGAAAGGTGATGGAATATAATCATTAGCAAAAGATGTGTTAACAGTTGGATTATGCAGAGAGATCATTGATGTGGAGAGAGACAAATCATGTTTCCAGTTAGTGCGGATCCACTGTAGATTCACACTCTAAGCAGAGTTATATTGAAGGATGTTATAATGGAGCTCCTCTGTATTAAAACAGGAAAAGGATTTCATCATTCAGTCCATTGATCTTCTTACCCACTTCATTAGATGACAACCAATCTTTTAATCCCATTTCCCCACATTTTAATACCTTTACTTTCAAGTATCATAGTTTTACACGGCCCTACTTAGTTCTACAAAGAATATTTCAAACTAGAATTTATTTTTGTGACCAACAATAAATAATTAAATCTAAAATTCTTAAAGACCAGTATACAGCTGAATAAAGCCACATTCTAAACTATTGACAGAATAAAGCATAACAAAAACTTCATGACTTATTGGACCTCAGGTGGCTAGAATGAAGTTAGTCAGGTTTGACGTTGGTACAGAGGGTCACAAGGTAATTAAAACACATTTTACTGCATTTACCTTTGGACTCATTCCTAAATCTTAAAGGATCATTCATTGGCACCTCATATTCAGATCTCACCTAATTCTGCAATAAAATTTCTATTCCCTGTTGCAGTATAAAACCTGCTGCACTGCTCACCATAGTCTCATAGATGCAATAAGATTATTGAAACCACCAATTTTACTGTGACCCCTTATACGTCATGACATTCAGACTGAACACAACACAGATGTCCTCTTTCTCAACCAAAATAGATGAGGAGATCGATTTCTGTGCAAAGCCCTAATGTGAAAAACACTCTGTCATCTTCCTGCCAGAGGTTAAAAAGAGTGTACTTGGCATCACTTTGTTTCTCATCTTCATCAACCACCTAACAGAAGCATTCAAGAATCATGCACTGATTCTTGAGACTACAACACTCCACGGCATGATTAATTCACCATCAGAACAAGCAATGAATGAATCCTTACAAAGTCAGAAATGTAGTGGACAGAAGAATAGTATTACCTTCATTATTGAGTCAATAACTGTTAAGAAGATTGACCATGATAATGTACACCAATATCTCTTCAGAAAGGAACTCTCCTCAGTTTAAAAAGTAACTATTTCTACTAACAAGGAATTACATTGGAGCTACAGTGAGTGAACATGGTTGCAAAAGTTTGTAGCATTAATGGACATACTCAAGAAAACTCAGAAGGACTTTCAACAATCAAGTATTTCAGTCCTGGAAGTGGGATGCAACATCCACCTCTAGTTCCTAGACTCAGAATAATCCCGAATAATTCGAAATGTCTCAAAGCGCTTCACAGAATATACTGTAAAATGAATTGACTGTATATTTTGTGGGCGAAGGTAACAGACCAGAGTATCATATGTAGTAAGAATCACACACTTAGTACAAAACATACAGAACTGAAATGAGGAATTCCTAATTTCTGATATAGTTTTGCCAAACAATGGCTAAAAAATGTCAGACTGCCATTTGGCAAGACTACGTATCAACATATGTCGTTCTGAAACAGACAATATCAGAGTTGTGATTGTACATTACTGATTCTTTAATTTAGGAATGTGATCAGAAATCAACTATAAAAGTCATTGATGTGAATAACTTGTTCTTTCTTTTTCTGGATATGATATTCTTTGTGTTTTGTTTCTGGTTTGTGTTCCCCCTTCCATCTTCCTGTATTCTGATCAACAGGATTTTATGTGTAATTGCAGCCAAATTCTGCTATTTGAATGGTAATGAAGCAGAACTGAATGTTTCACACAACAGTGGCAACGGTGGAGTGTGTTATAGGCTGAAGTGTAATCAAGGGTTCAATTTGGTATATTTCAGCATATCTTTCTCCACGTTCCTACTTTGGACACACACACACCACTGCTATTAGATTGCTGTGACATCACTGAGAATCACTACCATCCACCCATGCAATAAATGCAAGCAGCCATGTTTTTTTAGCCAAATAACCCAACTCGCTCTTCTTAAGATACCCGATCTACATGTTCCGGGGCAGGTAATAAATGACATAAAACCTTAACACAAGGAAACAGAACATTTAGCCCAACTAGGCCATACCAGTTGATACTCCACATGAGCCTCCAAACCTCCAATTTACCTCTCCTATAGTTCTCAATTCCTTTTTCCCTTGTGTATGCTTCAGGGTTCCTCTTAAATATGTTTACTGCTTTTGACTTCAAGATCCTCACCCTTACTTACAACTTTCTTCACACCCTCCCACCACTCCCTCTCTATCTGTCTTTAAACCTCACCTTAAAACCTAGCTCTCTGACTACACCTATAGTCACCTCCCCTCTCTCCTTTCGCTTACTTGACATCTGACTCCGTCATTGTGAAGCACTCCAAGACATTATCGTATGTGAAGAATGCTAATTATATATATATATAAACACACACACATAAGTTGTTGTTCCTTTAAATGGTTCATTTTCTCATACAGGAGTGCTGCTGCTAGGTGCAGCGACTTCTAACCACTAAAAAAAACAAAGGACAGATTTTTAAAAAAGCACAATGACTCTCTGTTGATATTAGAGGGTTTAAAATAGAAGTACTGGCTGAATTAATTTCATACTAACATTCTGAGGAAAACTAGCCATTATTACCTATTCACACTAACATCTGCCCAACCATTAGAGCCCGGGGCATATTCTCTGTAATCACATCATTAGGTCTATTTAGCATTATAACACCAATATGCAATTTGGAAAAAAAACATACTTGAGCCAATATCCTTCTCATCCAACACCTTGAATTAATTCCCTCAAATTGCTGAAGCACTTCTAAACAGACCTAACACAACTAGTGCTTCAACCAAGTGTTACATACATCAACGTGTTCTGTCCAGTCACGGGTTTGGAAAGACAAAATCTATAATTTTACAAATGAGTGTTTTTCTCAGTTCAAGTTAACATAGTACGGAGATTTCACATGCCTCCAATATTCTTCACTGAAATCCTAGTGACAACACTGCTGTTTGTCTTCATCCGTGAAGACTAGCCAGAGATGCACTTACTTTTCATCCACAAACATTAAGATACAGTTGCAACAAGCAACTGCTGAGCTATTTCTTATCCCTTCAAGTAATAGATCACATTAGAAATGAACAACTGATCAAAGTTGTAAGAACATATTACAGGAACTTCTGACGAATTAAGTGTTGTTCACTTTCAACAGATAGCAAGCAACACGATGCAAATGTTCAACAACCAAAAGAATGAGCATATCTTTGCTCATAAGTGTATGGTACGTACTCAGCCTGTGGACTTTGCAATGACATTTTGATTTGCTGAAAATGGTATACAATTATTTCGCAAAACAGCTTCAGATAATTAAAGGCCTTATTCGTAAACATTCTTCGGGAAGTGTAATCGCCCAAAAAGAGTTCAAACGATTCGCAGCTGAACTGCACTTGCAATGGTTAAAATTCTTGATCTGGAAGATGGGATCTACTATCAAATGACTGTTATGGGGGATATCTTTTTTTTAAAACAAAAACAAGCGCCCCAGGTGTGACAGAGGCATCTAGTTAACTGTGTTTATTACATTGGATTGGCAAATCAGACTGGAAATGTCAACAAATAACCAAAGGAGCAAGAGGTAGCCCACCTGAGGACCAATCGAGCAGTACTGATAAGATTATTCAAGGGTGAGGATGGCGATGATGTGGGTAAAGGGCAATGGGAGTGGTACAGGTACAGGAATACGAGTCCAGATGTCAGGCCACATCTGGAAGGTGTGTTTACAGGTCACGGTGTGAAGGGGCTGTGAAGGCTCGTCCCCGAATTTACTCCATGAACAATAAGGATAACTCGGTGACAGGAGGGGCGAAGCCCCGAATAGGCGAACAAACCTGAGGGAGTCACATCAGGGATTAGTCGGTGCATCGTGTGTGTGTGTGGGAGTGGGGGGGGGAGTGAGTGGGCATTTTTATTTCTGTGGTGATGATGATGATGGAGGGGGGAGGAGGAGGAGGGGAATAGAAGAGAAAATAAGGGCCACTGAAGATAAAATGCCAACAGCCCCCCCTCCCTCTCTCCCCACTCCCCCCCTCTCTCTCCCCCCCCCTCTCTCCTCTCTCTCCCCCTCCTCTCTCCCCACCTCCCGCCCCCTCTGTCCCCCTCTCTCTCTCCCTCTTTCTCCCCTCTCCCCCCCCCCCACTCCCCCTCCCTCCCCCCTCTCTCCCCTCTCTCCCCCCTCCCCCCCCCCCTCTCCTCTCTCCCCCCCTATCCCTCTCTCTCTCCCCTCTCCCCCCACCTCCCCCCCTCTCTCTCCCCACCTCCCTCTCTCCCCACCTCTCTCTCTCCTCTCCTCTCCCCCTCCCCCCTCTCTCCCCACCTCTCTCCCTCCCCCCCTCCCCTCCCCCCCCTCTCCCCCCCTCCCCTTACCTGTAAGCTGAAGTCTCGAATGTGAGCCATTTCCATAAGTCAGGCCGGCGGTAACCGAGAGGGCCCTGAGAGTGTCGGGGTGGGGGGGGGGGACACCGCACCGCACCGCCGCCGCGTCTAGGAGGAGGGCCAGGGCCGCATCGCCGCCGCCGCCGCCGCTCTCGGTCAGCCTCTCGCAGACAGACACACAGAAAATCCCCCGTGAACTCTCAAGTGTTTGGGCTCTCCTCCTCCTCCCCCCTCCCCCCCTCCTCCTCTCTCTCTCTCTCTCGCTCGACTCAACTCACTCACTGCGCAGGCGCCGCCGCCGCCGCGCGGGGCAGGCCGGGAGCTGTAGTTCCCGCGCCGCTTCCGCCCCCCCCCCCGCGCGCGAGAACTACAGGCTTTCCCGGCGTGCACGGCGCTCGCACCACCCGGCGGGGCGGTTGGGGGAGGAGGAGGGGGGGGTTTCGCGGCCTCGGTCGGGTCGCCTCTGCTGGAGTCTCCCCCCCCACTCCCCACTCCCCAACCCTCGCCCCCTCGCCCCACTCCCCCACCCCCTTCCCTCCCTCCTCCTCCCCCACTCCCCCACTCCTCCCCACCGCTGTGCCACTCCGCAACGGCCTCACTGCGCCGCGGCCCTGTCAATCCACCGAGAAGAAACAGCGCCGCCCCCTGGACAGAGAGAGACGAAAAGAGGATCCAACACAGAGGGAGAGAGGGGGAGAGTGTGAGAATCCGCACAGAGAGAGAGGGGGAGAGAGAGTGTGAGAATCCAGCAGAGAGAGAGAGAGAGAGTGTGAGAATCCAGCAGAGAGAGAGAGAGAGAGTGTGAGAATCCAGCAGAGAGAGAGAGAGAGAGTGTGAGAATCCAGCAGAGAGAGAGAGAGAGAGTGTGAGAATCCAGCAGAGAGAGAGAGTGTGAGAATCCAGCAGAGAGAGAGAGTGTGAGAATCCAGCAGAGAGAGAGAGTGTGAGAATCCAGCAGAGAGAGAGAGTGTGAGAATCCAGCAGAGAGAGAGAGAGAGTGTGAGAATCCAGCAGAGAGAGAGAGAGAGAGTGTGAGAATCCAGCAGAGAGAGAGAGAGAGTGTGAGAATCCAGCAGAGAGAGAGAGAGAGAGTGTGAGAATCCAGCAGAGAGAGAGAGAGAGAGTGTGAGAATCCAGCAGAGAGAGAGAGAGAGGAGAGTGTGAGAATCCAGCAGAGAGAGAGAGAGAGAGAGTGTGAGAATCCAGCAGAGAGAGAGAGAGAGTGTGAGAATCCAGCAGAGAGAGAGAGAGTGTGAGAATCCAGCGAGAGAGAGAGAGAGAGAGAGTGTGAGAATCCAGCAGAGAGAGAGAGAGAGAGAGTGTGAGAATCCAGCAGAGAGAGAGAGAGTGTGAGAATCCAGCAGAGAGAGAATGTGAGAATCCAGCAGAGAGAGAGAGAGAGAGTGAGAATCCAGCAGAGAGAGAGAGTGTGAGAATCCAGCAGAGAGAGAGTGTGAGAATCCAGCAGAGAGAGAGAGAGAGTGTGAGAATCCAGCAGAGAGAGAGAGAGTGTGAGAATCCAACACACACAGAGAGAGAGAGTGAGAATCCAATAGAATCTGAGAGACATTATTCAAAAGAGAGTGTGTGTTTCGCCCACAAAATATACAGACAATTCACCTTACAGTATGTTCTGTGAAGCGCTTTGAGACGTCTCGAAGACGAGATAAGGCTCTATATCAAACGCAAGGATTATTATTATTAACGGTTCAAATCCGCACTACCTGACACTTCTGACACTTTGTATGACATTATCAAACTTCTTTAATAGTAATTATTATTATCCTTGCGTTTGATATTGCGCCTCATCGCATCATTGAATGTTACATCCCTTGTTGTACACTACTTAGATGTTTCACTTGTCAGCCAGGCTTAGCTGTTAACACTCTCCGTCAAAACATTGGACTCAAGTAATGTAGGCTGACACTCTAGAGCAGTGCCCCGGTAGCACATTGTTGGAGGTGCTGACCTTCGAATGAGACATTAAAGCGAGGTACCGTCTGTTCAAGTTGACGTCTCTCCCGTGGCGCTATTCAGAAAGAGAGAGGAGTTTCTCCTGATGCCCTGGTCAACAATCCCTCAAATCAATTCGTCAAAGCTGACCCAATTCTCTTGGCCAAACCTTGATTCGGGGGTGAGTGAATAAACTTCGTGTTAGCTCCCAGGACACGGTGAGCTTCCAGGGTTGAATGGAACTGTCAACCTGAAACCTGCAGCTGGTTTCGAACGATGGAAGGAATGAGCTGTTTTAAATGGGGAAATTACCTGTTAAAAACATTGATTCTGTAAAAGCTTGTGTAGGTAGTATTATTGGTTTTGATATTTTTATATGTATGTAACATTTTATATGTTAAACTTAATATCTTTCAGTGACACGGAAAGCTCTGGTCTGTAGTAATATTCCATGAGAGTTTGGTAGAATGGCATGTAACCACAACACAGAATAATTAGTTTTGAGTAACCCCTTTTGGTACATTCAGCAAACTTGCAGATTAAAGATTCCACTTGCAGGAGCGGTTGCTATCATGTTACAAGAGGTCACAGTAATTAAAAACCTGAACATTGATAGATATTAGGTATTAACATATCGTTTTGGTTGAATTATTGATGATGATCCTTGGTTCTCTATCAGCTAGAATTCAAAGAATACAATAACAAGATGGGAGCGATGTGATAACATGGTGATACATAGATGAACTGGTAATAACATACAGATGTGCAAAACATGTTGCAACATGCAGATTATTGCATGCAGAGGATGGCATATCATGTAAAAGTTACAGCACATAAAGCTCCCCAAATGGCTCAGCAAATTCATCTAGTACATCTATCCTCTTTGGGGCTGGGGAGGTGGTAAGTAAGTGGGATCTCTTTGCAGCTGAGCTGTCTCCAAGGTGATGTGCCTGGCAATAAAACATTAGAATCAAGTCAACCCTTTGCAGAGGTTTTGGTAGTCCGGTTCATGAACCGGGTGAGTACAGAGTATTCCAAGGCCCTGCTGATGACAGACTACCCAGCCTGACTAATCTAATCTCTGTCCTAAACACTGTCCTGAAACCTTGTGTGGAGTACTGTACTATGCTATGCACACTTGTCCCTGAAATTTCAGGGAGTTGTGGACCTTGGCTGAAGCTGTCCAAGGGAGCTGGCAAGAAGATTTTCTCCTAAAGGGAGTTCAAGGAGATTGGGGTCCAAGCCACACTGGACTTCCCTTTTGCATATGTCAGGTAATATTTCAGAGGCATGAGAGGAGGTTGCTTGCCTGATATTTCAAATGGGCACTCGTGTGTGCGGAAATGCTGGGACTTTGCCCCAAAAATGAAGACAACGTCAAAAGAAAAAGAGAGAGAATTTTGAGAAGTTTGTACATATATTTTATGAAACCACTACGTGAGTTTTATCTCTGCATTTTGAACTGCAGCATAACTCTCCCCTGCTGTGATAATACGCAGGCCAGAAATTCCACCTAGTTAGTCCTTGCCTTTAAACTAATTTTGTCTACAATTTAGGACAACGGTTTTCCATATATAATTGTTTAAAACATCCCCAATTTACTCTTAATTTGAAAGCCCGTGCTCTTCTAAGTAGAACTCTGTACTTACAAGCTATAATTTGCTACTGCTGTTGCTTGTGGCTTCAAGTGTTTTACTGCATAGGACTCTGAGCCCAAGAGAGTTTTCCGAGATAAGACTCAGAACTCTGTAGCATCTGCAGAAGACGGGACACACAAGATAAAACAAAAAATGTCACCAAGACATGTCAGGGTGTTTTTATAACTATCCTCCAACCTCCTCCCACTATAAACGCACCCAAAACATCGAAGTTATTTATTAAATCACCAGCTACCATTGTGCTGGGTTAGTCAGAAGCATCGTCAGGTTGCTCAACAACAGAATGTACAGCTAATGGCATTCAGGCTGCTCATTCCTTCACTGTAACTGGGATTCAAACTGGGTCACAGCGGTTTGAGACAAACACTGGTCTGACTGGTCTGGAGTGCTGTTTGTATGTGATACGATCTTGAAAACTCTCTCTTCACTGCTGAAGGCTTCCATGCTTCAAAAGGCACGTAATCTGAAGTGTTACAGAAACTCAAAAACTTCAATAAAGCGATTGTCATTTAATTTTATACATTTGCAGATCGGATGTACCTTGGGAATAGACATGTTGTGGAAATATGACTTTGATAACGTGATAGGGTGTCATATATTTGCACAGAACATAGCATGGTGAGCCTGGTTAAAGATATCTTAAATTCAGCACTGGAATCTATGCTTCTTCCATCAAATTGTGCAGGTTCAGTGTCTGCTTTATTTTCTCTTCAGATACTGTGTATTTTCGAATTGGGGATCATTGCCATTATTGATCATTATCATAATTTTAATAATTAGTTTTGAACACAGTTTACATCAGAGACAATCTGATTTACAGCTAATCTCAAAGACATTGGACAATACGCACACATAGACACACAAATACTGTATTTATGTACATTGATACAAACATACAAACATGTGCATATATAGAAAATTGCCCAAACACATCCACACACTTGTGCACACATACACAGAGACACACACACATGTTCATACAGATAAGCACACACATGATAAAAAGTTGTAAATTATGGAAATCTGAAATAAAGATAGAATTGAAATTCCAATGAAAGGTTGTGCCTGAAACATTGATCCATGTTCTCTTCGGATATCAATCATTGTACGTATTGCACATTTTCCAAATATTCTGGTTTCTATTACTGTCCAGAAAGCCTGTTGCCAGACTATTTAACATTGGAGGACATCACAACTGAGCCAATATTGTTCTCAGTTTCAAATCAAGGTCAGTAGATAGCAATTAGAGAAACTGTCAGGATTTGTAGCATTCCTACTGCCACTCCTGTTGTGAGATAACAACTTGGATTTATATAGCGCCTTCCACAGCGGACGGTGTCTCAGAGCGCTTCACAGTAACGGATCCCGGGGCCGAGCCAGGGGGAGAGGGAGGAAGGTAACCAAAGGCGCGGTCGAAAAGAAAGGTCTTCAGCCGAGACCTGAAAATAGGAAGAGAGGGCAGAGGCGAAGGGAGTGAGGAAGGGAGCTCCAGAACCTCGGGGCGTAGTGGCTGAAGGCACGGCCGCCAATGGTGGAGCGGAAGATTCGGGAGACGAGGAGGAGACCAGCTAACTCAGCACAAACTCAAGTTTGAACCGGGTACTTTCCTGGCTGGTGGGGCTGAGTATTATTTTACAGCTAATCTCAAAGACAATAGGCAATTTCGTCCATCAAGGCTGGTAGATTTGGCGAGAGATTCCATCTCTCACGTTCAGTCATTGAAATTGACGTGAGAGCCGCCTACTGGACATGGAGAAGATTTTAACCTTACAGACTTGATCGAAATCTACAACTTGCCTCTCTCTCTGTTTGCCAAAATACAAGTAACAAGGTTCAGAAATGGAGGTCACACACTTTCAAGCAGTTTCATATAAAACCAATCGTCATCATTTTGACCAGGCGAAAAAAAAAAACACATTAATGCACAAGCTCACGAAAGCCAATGTCTTGGCGGAAAAGTCACAACAAAACCAATTCCCGGCACAACCCACAGTTTTCAGCAAGATAGTTTTGAAATCATGCAAAAGGCAATTCCTGGCATTAACTAATCTCGAAGCAGATGTCTGGCACCTTGCTCACTTAGAAACTGACATCTAGTCTCATACATCAAAGGCTCAAAGCCATGATTCATATAGAAACACCAGTTTACATCTGACACAGGCCATTCCCTTGCAAATCAAGGTGACTCGCTGTCACCCTGACCATTTCCCCCCCAATGCTCGGGTCCTGACCCGACTGTACAGCGCCTCGGGACGTCCCCCCGACGCGAAAGGCGCTCTCTAAATGGAATCTTGTCGTCGTCGTCGTCACATAACCCAACTCAAAAGTCAACCTTGGAATACAAATCACATCAACAGTAAGAACAACATCACATTTGCAAAGCCCCTTTCAGGTGGGGAGGACTTCCCAAGGTCAAGAGCAATTCTTGAGCCAATTTCCAATCATGAAAAAAAAACAGAAGTGAAAATAAAATGACTGACTGCTTGATGAGTTAATTCTACCTCTGGCTATTATTTCACAGAGTTTCGACTAACATCTTGATTTCAGACGGCTGAGCACTATTCATAAATCAGCCATAGGGGGGACTTTGCGGTCTCACCGTTTGTGAGCTGACATTTCAAAAAAAAACACACATTGGCTCAGAAGGGGCTGTAAAACGATTGCAAAACAGTTTCAGGAAGAGTGAGAGTTAATCAGATGTGTGGGCGTCTTCCCTCAAAAACAAAGCACAGAATGCTAAATAAGGACAATAATAAATAGATTTTATTCTTGCATTGCTGATTGCATTCTGGCTATTATATATCACATCGTATGTGTGTTTGTGTGCATGCGTGTGTGTGTGTGTGTGTGTGTGTGTGTGTATATGTGTGTGTGTGTGTGTGTTTGTGCATAAACCACAGCAGATCTGACAGTGTCTGAAGGAAGTTTAACATTGCAGAATGGGATCGTTCATCATCGGAGTGCAGGAGTCACAGCTCCAAAGGTTAAACTCTTTCAGATGCTGATTAATCAATTTCCATAATAATAATAATATTATTATTAATAATCAATTGCCAGCATTTCCTGTATATATTTCAGCAATTCACGTTTTTATTTGTCACATTTCTGTGTGTGTCTGTGTGTGTGACGTACAGTAGGTGTGTCTGTGTGTGTGTGTACAGTACGTGTGTCTCTGTGTGTGTGTGTACAGTACGTGTGTCTGTGTGTGCACAGTGTGTGTGTGTGTACAGTACGTGTGTCTCTGTCTGTCTGTGTGTGTGTGTGTGCACAGTGTGTGTGTATGTGTATTTATTTACTGGGCAGCAAACGGTTGCGTTCAGTCGTGTAACTGTACCAGATATTTGCAGAGGAACTAAAGCAGAAGCTGAGGATAAGACGGTTAAAATGCTTCAAATGTTAACTGCAAATGCAAATTCTCTCACCTGAACAGCAAACCCAACACTCATTTGGGAGCATCGAGAACCACCAGAGAGGGGGCAGTGTGTGTGTGTGTGTGTGTGTGTGTGTTTAAAGAGAGTTGGTGTGTGTTGTGTGTGTGTTTGGACCAGTGGAGGTGTCAGAGAGGGCGCAGTGCGACTTTACGCAGCGCTGTGTGTTGAGAAACAAGACTTTTGGAGTCAATTTCAGTGTCTGGGAAGTGAGTGAGTGAGTGAGTGAGTGAGTGTTTTCTCTGCCTCCAGACAGGGGTTGTCCTGCCCCCTTCCTTCCCTTACATGGATTGCTGGTGAATGCTATTGGCGAGGCTCAGGCATTTTAATAAGAAACACATGGGAGACCCCCAAAAAAAAATCACCATAAAAGGGACCAAAGAGAAGAGGAAGAACGAGAGAGTGAGTGAGTGTGAGAGAGAGAGAGAGAGAGAGAGTACTGAGAGCACTGAGAGCACAACACTAATTTAATTTGGGAGCGATCGCCAACACGAAAAAACTGCCCTAAAGAAGAAGAAGAAGAAAAAAAAGAAGGAGAAGAAGGAGAAGAGAAGAAGAAGAAGAAGAAGAAGAAGAAGGAGAAGAAGAAGAAGAAAAAGAAGAAGAAGAAGAAGAAGAGAAGAAGAAGAAGAAGAGAGAAGAAGAAGAAGGAGAAGGAGAAGAAGAAGAAGAAGGAGAAGAAGAAGAAGAAGAAGAAGAAGAAGAAGAAGAAGAAGAAGAAGAAGAAGAAGAAGAAGAAGAAGAAAAAACACAGTAAGACTTCTTCAGAGCAACGCAGGGAATTGCATTGCAAAAGGGGATCTCAGAGGGACAGAGATCCCACGATCTGTGGCTTTGGGGTTTGGTTGGAGTTGGGGCTGTGATCCGCTCCGGAGGGTTTCCTGCAAAATCCACTCTGACACATCCCAAAGCATCGCCGATCCTCTGACTCGGAGCCACTCATCACCACTCTCCGCAGATGTGAGATTATTTCTGGGTGTCATTTTCTTCGGCTGCGTTTCTTTTGTGAGAGTGAGTGTGTGTGTGTGAGTGTGAGTGTGAGAGTGTGTGTGTGAGTGTGAGAGTCTGTGTGTGAGTGTGTGTGTGAGAGTGTGTGTGTGAGAGTGTGAATGAGTGTGTGAGTGTGTGTGTGTGAATGAGTGAGTGTGTGAATGAGTGTGTGTGTGAGAGAGTGTGTGTGAGTGTATGTGTGTGAGTGTGAGTGTGTGAGTGTGAGAGTGTGTGTGTGTGAATGAGTGTGTGTGTGAGTGTATGTGTGTGAGTGTGAGTGAGTGAGTATGTGAGTGTGAGTGAGTGAGTGAGTGTGTGAGTGTGAGTGAGTGTGTGAGTGAGTGAGTGTGTGAGTGTGTGTGTGAGTGTGAGTGAGTGTGTGAGTGCTGGAAAACATTTGAGCACCGAGTCTCAGTCACTGACTTGCACACAGTGACTGTGGGATAATAATTGCCAATGAACCTGGAGGTTTTTTTCTTGTGCTTCACTATAGTTGGGCGGGGGTGGGTGTTTATCTTAAATTAAAGTGTTTATTTCCTCTCATTGTGTGTGTGTGTGTGTGTGAGAAAGAAAATATGTGTGTGTGAGAGAGAGTGTGTGTGTCTATGTGTGTGTATATATATATATATAAGGCAATGCATTCCTTGCTCCTTTGACTGGAAAACTTCCAGATTGTATGTTTAGCAACTGTTATCTCACAGACAATTTTTTAAAAAAAAATTAAAAACAACCTAAGTGATAGATAGGCCAAGGTTCATAGTCTACGATACAGTCAAGGCTGAAAAAGGTTAGCAGAGAAATCAGACGTGTCTATAAAAATGCAGAGACATTTGTTAGTTCATCATAGAGAGAAAGACGGGAAATAATAATAATAATAATAATCCTTGCATTTGATATAGCGCTTTTCACGTCTTCTAGACGTCCCAAAGCGCTTCACAGAACACACTGTAAAGTGAATTGACTATATATTTGTGGGCGAACGCGGCAGCCAATTGCGCACAACAACGTCCCACAAACAGTCATATGGATTGAAAATGACCAATTTATTATTGTTTTGTTTTTGGAGGGATTATTATTAAATGGGCGAGAGTTTCACGAACGTAAGGCTCTGGCAAAGAACAAGTGAGTTGAGAGGATCAAGTGAATGGGGGAGTTTAAATTCCAACAGTTAGGATGCAAGGAAAAAAGAGAGAGAGAGGGAGAGAAGAGTGAGCATTTAATGATGCATTTGGGAGGAACAAAGGAACTTAGTTTGGAGGAACAACGATTATTGTGGTACTGTATTAAAAAAAGACCTTGAAGATATTGTGTGGGCAAATGAGAGAGCGAGAGAGGGTACAGTAGAGACGCAAAAGGGAAAGATGTATCAGAGGACAATATTCTTCTACTTCTGTCCCACATTGTAAGAGAGGGGCTGGAAGACTTACCCCCAGTATTTGAGAGGAATGTTCACTTGTACTTAGAGAGAGCTAAAAGTCACCGAAGGAGAAAATAAATGCTGGTCATGAAAGAGGATTACTTTTTGGAGGTCATTTTTTCCAGGAGATTGGAGAATTTCATTTGTTACGAGGGGAGATAATGACGTCTAGAATGTGAATAGATTGCAGTTAAAGAATGGAGTTATCAAGGACAAGAAGCGATAGCTCTGGCTTGAACATAACTGTTTAAATACTGTAATGTGTCAATTTATTCAGAATTGCGTGGTATCAGACATCTGGTCAATGACTTTGGAGATATCCAATCAATGACACATGAGTTATAAGTGCCCAGGGGTAGAGGTTGCAGAGGTAGGTAACAGCTGGCAAGAAAATTACTAGTGGAGTTTACTGATGATCATAGATTAGAGCATATTTTTAAGATGATTGATGATTTGAGTGTTGGCAGCAGTTGCTATCATGTTAGAAATATAGATCTGAAGGTAAAAAGAGCCAGAGTCTGCGGGGTAAGAGGTAACAGGGATTCCCATTTTCGGGGAAAGATGAAAGCTGATGTTACAAGGAGAAGCAGGGATATGCTGGCAACATAAAAGGTGGAGTGCTGTAGCTCAGTGGTTAGAGCACTCGCATTGCAAGTGAGAGACCTGAGTTCAATTCCAGGCAGAGGGCGAAACCTTGGGCAAGTTTCCTTACTCCACACACCTAATAATAATCCCTCCAAAACCAAAACCAATAATAAATTGATCATTTTCAATCCACGACTGTTTGTGGGACATTGCTGTGCGCAATTGGCTGCCGCGTTCGCCCACAAATATATACAGTCAATTCACTTTACATTATATTCTGTGAAGCGCTTTGGGACAACGAGAAGACGTGAAAAAGCGCAATATCAAATGCAAGGATTATTATTATTATATATTATAAGGTGGTGACAGATTCACCCAGGTTTTTTAACATAAACTCTTTACGCAATTATTGCACCAAACAAGCTGTGACTTGTTTGCTGTGGGTGGTTTGTTGGAATATAACATGCAAGATGCAGATATGAGACAGTGAGCCATAGAATCCAGAAGTGAGGAAGGAAACAGATACAGTTTAGGAGGCACAATCATATCTCAATGCTGTATCTGATTTATTTCACTTTCCACATGAAGAAGGGGTTTCATTACAATTATAATGTTGACATCGTGTAAAAAAAAGAAACAGCTGTTATTCCAGTTTTGTTTGTAATGTGTTTGTTGGGATGACGATTTATTTTTACACTTGCTGAATTTTTCTCCCAGTTTCCTGATTTTGTTTTGCTACTTTGCTTTTCCGATTAACTCCCCCCTCCCCTATTCTCCCCCGCCTCCTCTTCCCTGGAGAAACTGACTCATTCTGGCTGCTTGCATATTCCTGGTTGCCCTCAAGCATCTGATCTAAATCGTCATTCTTCATGCGTGAGTCACTACAGTCATTAAGGACAGAACAAAGACACCTCAACAATATCTCATCAATATGCCATCAATATTCCCATCAAATCCACTCCTGCTTCATCCCATATCCACAAACATAAGTTTTCCATCAGCAATCACTGGAGAGGGACAGGGAGTCTAAATCCTGGCTGAATTCTGAAATTAACATAGAACAGGATTCAAACCTAGGAACATGAGGAGATGTTGCTGGTGCGAAACTGGTTATTTTCACATTTTACAAGTTCATTGTTTTTCCTCCAGTACATTTACTGCAGCATTTTTTTTTTTAGTAAATTGCTGACATATTCCGTCTGTTTGTTCTAGTTTTCATGCTAATTTGGTGCATTTTAACAGTTGCTGGCCTACCATTGATGTTTTTAGGTTGTTACATTTTGTTTTCCCCCAAAGTATATTTGTTGCATGTCTGATCTTGCAGGTTTAATGCTGAGTATCTTTGGTGTACCTGTCACAGGTTTGATCATTTTGATCTCTCATTTACTATCTTCTCAGATGGACATGTTACGGCGCTCCTCGGTCTTTGCTGCTGAGGTGATGGAGGTGTTTGAACGTTCTCCCCCTGACAAGGAGCTTGTTTCTCAGGCTAAAGCCCTCTGTCGGGATTACATCCACTCCCGGCTGATCCGAGCAGGCATAGTCTGGAGCAAACCTGAGTGTGCAGCAGCCAGCCCAGCCAGCAAACTCACTGAGGTGTCAGCTGCACTCCTCCGCCTGGGTGAGTCAAACAGCTGCAAGGATACAGAATCATGGAATCCTACAGAACAGAAGGATACAGAGAAGTTAAAAGCGGGGGCGTTAGGAAGAGGGGGAGAGCGAGCAGAGGGTTAGAGAAAAGAAAGTGGGGGGATGGACAGAAACAGAGCGAGTGCAAACAGCGGTGAGAAAGGGGAGAGGAAAAGAGATTGAAAATAATTCAGAGAGAGATAGAGATGCAAATGAACAGAAGAAAAAGCAAATGTGTTTGCTTCGTTCTATTCTTATTGGGCAAGGCAGTGTCCCACAAACCGTCGTGGACTGAGTGACCAAATTCTTCTTCTTATATTGTTATCTGTTTGTTTTTCTCCTGTACTTTTCACGGTATGTCTCTTTTAGATCATCGCTGCTTAATGATGATCACAAATGATTACTTTAAACATATATGATCCAATAATTCCTCCATAATCTTTCCCCCGTCTGAACCTCAGACTGTGAACCCACTCATTTTTGGATTTCCAAAGAATATTCTCTAATAACTGACCTAAATATAACAGTTTCCACACCACAAAGCCCAGAGGCATTGATTGAGGTTTTAGGCTGAATCCAGTTTGTACTTAAATATTGGCAGATTATACAATACAGTTGTATTGTTCATGATTTTGATATGTATAATATGTATTAATTCTACAAAGTTAAGTATAGATGCTGGTTATTTAATATCACCTGGCTTTTGATTTCATGTCTTCATATTGTGAGGACTGCAGAACATTACAGCTGGATTATAAATCAGGGAATCTGTCCAAATGCAGTCTTTTGGGCCAAATCTGGAAATTCTCAGGAATGTGAATGTTTATTTTGCAATACCCAGCCAGCTGCCTTCGTAAGTTGAAATCTCAAGAGAGACAAGAGGAAGAGAGAGAGACAGAGGAAAAGAGAGCAAGTAATTCTACAAGTAGAGTTCACTGCTCTTAAGAGAAAGCCTGTGGAAGTTCTTAAATTATTCATCTTTTATTTGCATATCAATAGATCATAGAATCATAGAATTATACAGCACAGAAAGAGTCCATTCGACCCATCGTGTCTGTGCACGCTCTTTTAAATGAGCGAGAAACTCATTGTTCTTGTTGACTGTTTGAAGTTTCATTGAGATGCCTTGATGACGTGAAAAGGCGCTATATCAAATGCAAGGATTACTATTATTCATAAAGAACAATATAGAAAAGCTGTAGCTCTGATTTCCTTTCTCCCTCCTAAGGTGATGAATTAGAGTACATCAGGCCGAACATGTACAGGAATGTCGCCAAACAGTTGAATATCACCGTCAGTTCCGAAAGCATCGTATCGGATGCATTTCTCGCTGTGGCCACTGAGATCTTCTCTGCAGGTAAAACTCAGGTGAAAGTGTGAGTCACTTGGGAGGGCTCCTGTTTCTTCCCAGTGTTCAGGTAAATTCACTGCATGGATTGAGCCCATAAAACCTTGTGGTTTTATATTGTGTCAAAGAATGCTTGTAATAATAAAACAGGCATTAGTGTTAAATGATGCTATCCACACTCACGCAGGTTTATCATCACTAATACAGGTTTATGCCAAACCTTTAACATTGCTGTTGAGGTGGAGGTAATGTATAGGAAATATTGCATTTGATTTCTTGATAAATGAAACTTGATAGATTGCATACACTCAACTCTGAAGTGTGTACCTGGATTGGTTTATAAACAGTAGAGAACATAATCCACAGTGAGAGGTGCGTACTGTGCGGGTAGAGCTTTGAAAGGTCAATGTGTCGCAAGACTTGCCAGACCTGCAAATGTCTTACTCTCTTTTAAGGATTTATAGTTTAGGAAGGAGACAGGCGTTAGCTGTCAAGATAGCTTCGGCTATGGAGATTCTGTTAAATGGCTATAAACACAAAATGAATTGCAGTGTGAAATATGAACTTTTTCAGAGACTTGTTGTGATGATCAATATTTTACTCAAAAATTGTCACCTTATCAGTCTCAAACCTGGGGTGAAACGCATGCGTAAGCACTCAAACCACATGTTTCTATTCCTGGAAAGGTTTATCTCAGCAAAAAATAAAATACTGGAAAGTGTGTTATAAAACGGGCTTTTTCAGGGAAAAAAAGAAAAAGAACTTACATTTTACAGCAACGTTTCACATTTAAATGTCTAAAAATGCTTCACAGGTAATTACTGTTAGTGACTGTTATTTGCACTAGCAGGGTCCCAGAGATAAGCAGGAGGTGAATGAACAATTAATCCGGAATAAGCATGGATGAGGTGGTTCAACATGTTACCTATTCATGCAGTATCTTGTAGATGAATGAAAACATGTTTTGACTGCGAAATAGCTTCCTGTTGCTTCAGATGATGCTACTGTAAAGAACAAGTTCAGTTTGGCTACATTTCTAGCACCTCACATAAACGGAGGCTAAGGCACTGAATATCTTTGAGTTCAATTTCAGTGTTGTGTTCAGATGCCTTACTCTGTTCTAAAGTTTGATTGTTCGCTGTTCAGATACCTTTCCAGCTCCATAGGATAAAGATTCCTAACAAGTGCAGTTGTCTATAGATGCTGGGCTAACTCTACAGAGACTGATGAAAAAACAAGTTAGTCATCTTCAGCCATTTTTGGATATATTTGTCTCCGTACTGCCGTAGAGAGAATGCTGGGAAAAGCGTGTGCGCCTGTCCTTCAGAAGTGAAACATCATGTGCACAGGGTTAGCATCTTTACGGCGTCTATTTCAGAAACTATACTAACCTCAGTGATGTGAATGAATTGGATCTGAAAATCAGATTAAATTCTAGACTGTTACTGAAATAGCTGTCACTCAAATAATGCCTGTTCATTACCCTCTCATCCGAAAAAATAAGTTAGAAGTGTAGATGAGGTATCTCACAGGAACTGAAGCAAAATGTTTTGAGTGAAAATCCTCCTTATTTGGTGCTTTCAAACCACATCCTGATGTGGTTATTTAATCGAACAGGATAGGAAACTCTTCATCATAACCCCAGCAGCTTCACAAAAGGCCATCAGTGAAAGACAGTTCCTTTGCTGTTCCTCAGATATTTTACCTAAATAGTAATGTAACTTGTTATAATGATTCTCATTAGGGTTTTATAACATAATCCAGCTTTGCTGCAGTGGTGACATTTAAGTCACCAAATAATAATAGTCATCTCTTCCAGTTCTGTTTATTGAAAAGGGAAGTAGAATATATTTTACAGAATGAATCCACAATCGTAAATTAAAAAGTGATATGTCTATATACCGACTAGGTGTATCTCGGTTACTTACTGTTTTTCTATTTTATTCTTTAGGACGACTGGTTAGAGATAGTCTGAAAATATGTTTTAAATACAGCTCCTGCTCCTGTCCCATGATAGCATTCCTCATTTACAATACTATTGAAACACAATTTGATGACATTATGGTTAGCACAAAACAGGCAACAACTGTGACCTGAACGATGCTGATAGGTGCACAGAGATAGCACCGTGACATTCAGTATTAGAGGACAATTCAGTAAAGGAAAAAAACACTTTTTTTTATGACAGCTTAGCATGCTGAAAAACTTTACGTCCCCTTAAAATCTTACTGCTACAGGAAAAATAAACCCAGACTAAACCTTCAACAAACAAAGTTCCCCTGATTCTGTGTTGAGTGCGGTTCTGTGTTTGCTACACAGGTATAACTTGGGGGAAGGTGGTAGCCTTGTATGCTGTTGCCGGTGGACTTGCCATTGACTGTGTGAAACAAGGGCAACCTGCCATGGTGCACACAATAGTTGACTGCCTGGGAGAATTTGTGCGGAAGACACTGGTGACTTGGCTCCGGAGACGGGGAGGATGGGTATGTGGAAGCCTATTTAACTACTTTCAGTATTTAGAAGGGAATTATAAAGTAATAACAATAATCCTTGCATTTGATATGGCATCTTTTACATTGGGAGGACGTCTCAAAGCACTCGACTGCAAAGCGTAATGACTGTATTTTTGAAGGTCCAACAGTCTTTAGAGTTATTATTTTAATTCGACACCTGTAAAAGATATTTAGGAGCCCTCAAATATCTGATTCCCATTGTGCAACATTAACATGTTGCAATTTTCTAACTGGTTTTCACAATAAGGAATTCATTGGGTAAGGATGTCACACTGACCCACGGGCACTTTGCTCCAAAAATAGATTGTGTCAGAGCATAAATTGCTTTATTACAGAATCCATATATTATACCCAATTGGGGTGATGTTAAGAAATCTTTGGTTTATGGCGATGATATTAAATACACCGCATATCCAGACTTTTAGCTGTCCCAAGTTCCATTATATTTTAATAGACCGGGTTGGTCTTCATCTTCCTCAGTCCTATCTCTTGTGAGATTTTTTTTATGACTATAACAACAGCAATTGATAACTTTACATGATATGTGATTACTGCTTTTTGGCAACTTGATATTAGGGAATGGTAAGGCAACAAAAGAACAAAATATGAGAAATTTGCCAACTTCCTTAATAAAATCACACACAAAGACAAGATCTCCCACATATGCGTGGGATATAATTTGCCTTCCCAGAAGAATTGCTTTATGCTCCTCCTGTTCCTCCGGTTCTTCAGCAAACAATCTGCTCTTTTTTTCATCAACACTCACTGAGAGCAGCAAAACAATCTGGAGTTCAGAGGGTTTTTATTTTTTATACAAGTGTGAAGATACTTTAATAAAGGAACATTTTTTTCCATTTTACAACTTAAACTGTCCCCAAAAGAATATGTATCTATGAAATAATTACTGCACTTCGTATTGCAAACATTTGTACAGCTTCAATGCTTACCATAGTTTGTAAGTTTACTTATATTTGTTGCCATTTGTATTTCTTTGTTTGCTTACAAAATACACAATGATTACACTTTACATTATATCTTTCCTGTGAAGAGATTTGGGATGTCCTCCCAACATGAAAGGTGCTCTATGAAATGTAAGGATTTTTTTGATGTGTCACACTTATGCAAATCTATACAATACCAGCTTGTACCTTCTAACTCAGTGGTCAGAGTATAATGAATTGAGCCAACCTCACACAAGTATAAATTTATTGATATGTTCTATGAATCGTGAACCACTGGCCATCTCAATTATGAGTGATTCACTTTTCAGAACACTTTTTTAGTCTAATATTACATTCAGGTGTTGATTAGTTTGTTGAAATTCTGTAGCAATCAGCTATTGGTTCATCCACATTGAAATTTCTATGATTTTAGTTATGTGCGTTCCAGTCCTTCTCAGTTTATTGTGCTTTAGTGTATCATTAATATCAGCTAATTTACATTTCTGATGCAGTTTGTATTTATCATGTGTTGTAGTTCCTCTTGGTCTATTTACCATTTTAAGTTGTGTTAGTTCATTGAAGTGTGTGACAAGTCAGTTATAGTTTGCTGATACTTCAAAGTTTAGAGTCTTTCATTGCTATTTTTGTTATGATTTACATTCAATATTGACTGAGTTTACAATTCATATCAGTGTTTTACCATTTCTGTTACAGTTTGTATTAGTTCATTGATGTGTGAGTTACAGTTTGTACAGTATGTTTTGATCTGCGTCATAGTTTTCTTTAGCTTAGTAATGTGTGCACTGCAGTTTATAAATTTACTGATATATCTTTACATCTGTACTAGCTTGTTGGTGTACATTGTTTAGCTTACAGAAGTGCATTCTATATTTGTTGATGTGCTTTACTGTTTGTATCAGTATATTGACATACAGGTTACAGAGTGTTTCCGATTTAAATGATACACATTTAAAAAAGACAACTCTACAAGAAAGCAGAAACTTGCAGGGTAGAGAATTAACGTTACTTCACAGCTAACGGTATAGAGGGATCAGCTGCTTTAGAAAGCAGAATAAAGAATCAATAAATGTAAAGGAGTTCAGCTGTTTGCTGAGAAACTTGACCTGGAGGCCGACTGTGTAGAAAAATGTGAATGTTTTTAACAATTTTCAACTCTAACCCTAGGCTGACATTACAAAATCCGTGGTGAACAACGATCCTAGCATTCGTGATCACTGGCTCGTCTCTGCCGTCTGCACGTTTGGACACTTTGTGAAAGCGGTCTTCTTCTTTCTGCTGCGAGAACGGTGAATTCAGCTGGAAGCCGTGGCTACCAATCACTGTCCTTTTCTGACTAAAACAGAGGACCCTCAGCACGGTTCAAATATACAGTTCTGAGTCGAAGCACATTTTAAACTCCACAGATTGCAATGAACGGTATCAGTGCTATCAGCTGGAAAAGCAAAACGAACCTGAAAATCCAGTGGACAATGGCAAGCCATTGAAATTGTTCCTGCCTTTTTACTCCAGTAGGTCAAGAATTCTCATTAGAGATGCAAGAGTATGATTGTTGGGACAATACAACAATTATTTTAAGGAGCCTTGTTAACAGTTTCCAGCTTTCAAGCAACAAAATTCTAGGGTGTGCAGAGCAGCCGGTTTGAAAAATCGTGGACGATTGCGCAAAGGGATTTCTGTAATAAAAAATGTTTTTAAAAAAAACTTCTAATTTCTGTCTCCAGATTTAATTGTTTGAACTACCTGCAAGCAAGAGAGTTATCACCCAGGGAATCGCTGGCTGGCAAGAAATCCAGGAAAACACAAAGTATAAAAAATAATAGCCAACAGAACAACAATCTGGAGGCTAAAATAAATTTGGTGAAACCTGCTGTTTTTCAGGAAGGTGACATCATTCTGCTGAAACTTGGATTCAATCATTACTCCCTTCTATTGTTCAGTTGTTGCATTAGCTCAGGTTTTCCAATTCATTCTGTCGCGTTCAGTGAAGAAAATTGTTTTTTTGGTGGGAGTTTGATTATGAGCAATAATTTCATATTTATATAGAGCCATTCACGTTCGGAGGACACCTCAAACCCGTTCACAGAGCCAACTGGTTGTTCAAGCCGGGGCGTTGGGAGTCAAAGCTGGAGAGAGCACTGATCAGAGTGCTGTGAAGTAATTGTTTGGTTCATTAACCCACTTCATTTAAATTGCCTTATATACTATTTTAGTCCCTTTGCGGCCTCCATGGCCACTCACCCTAAACTCTGGCTGAAAGGACCAATATATTTCGTATCAGATAAAATAACCTCCCCTCCTCCCCAATCTGTTCATTACATTGAATATCAGAATCTCACCATACGCAAGAGGCTATTAACAGCACAAAATGGAAATGGCATTTATGAAATGCAGTGAAACAAACCAAGGAATGTACATTAACTGTGTCTGCCTTACCTAAATCCTAGATTTTTGTGTGTATGTTTTTTTTGGGGGGTGGGGAAAGAAAGAGAATTCTTTAGTCTGTTAATGTGCCCTTGCCACAGCATAGCGTCTTTTCGTAGACATGTGTCAATGGTGAAAACGTGGCCCATGGAATACCTAAAAACGTCTTGAGAATTTTATTCATACGTACTTCACAAGTTCCGAATATACCTGCCTCCAGATTTAGTCTATTGTTGTAAAATCTGACTAATGTCACAAATTCTTTCCTCGTATTTTCCTGCCTCAATCTAAATCAGACATTGAGATCAGCAACAGGAAAGAGTCACACATTTAAAAGCAATGTTGTGCTTATTGATGCAAAGTTTTACAAAAGGAATCTAGTTTACTTTTACGTGAAAACCCATTATCTTTTACTTTCATCACTCACAATCCAGGAGATCAGATCGGCGTTAAGTGTCTAATAGTTTGTACAAAGAGTGATGAGTTCACTGATGTTTAAATCAACAAGAAACATATTGCTCCGTCGAAAAACACACCGTCAAGTAACTTCCAGTCCATTATTTGGAGCAACCTGTTTAACCGGCCCATAGGCAATTAAGCTCTTAAAGGTAGTCAACATATCAGATTCCACCCTCACTCCACCCAAGAGCCCATGACAGTCACCAGAAGATCCATCGTACACTAAAGGAGTTTGTGTGCATTTTATGTAAATTCTTCTGCACGCCAATGAAACATGGAAAATACTGGCATTAATATTAAGCACCTTTGTCAATTCTATTGTTAATAATTAGTAATAATTCTCATATTTCCAGCTATATAATTTTTTTATTATAAAATAATAAAATACAACGTGCAATGTGGAAATCCTGCTGAGAGTTCAGACCACAAACATTGAAAATGTCAACTAAAATATGCTGAGCAAACCTACAGTGTGAGGATAAAGACTCCCCAAATGCTAGTATATTCAGTCAATTGAAGCTTGCCTCACGTAAATTTCACCCACGAAATAACAATCAATCCATTTTAGAATATATTCTGTGAAGTGCTTTGAGAGATCTCAATGACATGATAAAGTACTGTATAAAATGCAAGGATTATTATGTTTAAGCAAAAAATGAAATGCCAAAGATATTACCTCTGAATCATTTGCAATTTCTGACCCTGTGCAATGGTAACTCCTACAGATGTAAGACATCTTGAGGAAACTTGAAATTAATATTGTTCAAAGAATCGCCATCGACATTTTCACAACAGCCAGTAACATGGAAACAGCAGCAGCTATGCAAAACATCTGCTGCATAAACAGACTTTGCAGCCATCTTCAACGGCAGGAGCCAAATGGGTCGTCATAGTCTAAACTGACTTGATAGCATATGGGAAAGTCTCGTAAGGAGGTTATCCAATTATCAGTTTGATTGATACCAGTGCGGAGACCAAAGAAAAAGGAAAAAGGGGAAGCTAAGAAAATATCTTTTTAAAAAGGGAGCTTTCCTTGGAGGGTTGGGGGGGAGGGGGGGGGAGAGAAAGAGCGAAAGGCAGAAAAAAATGATCTGAAATTAAAAGGATAACTGGCAGGCACTGACACGAGATGAGCTCATCTTTCTTTTGAAGTGTCTTTTTTTCCACTGAGTTCTTAACTGCTGAAAAACATACAACACGTACTTTGAATTTTCTGGCAGACTTAATGGAAACTTTTAAGTTCTTTAAAAGGGCTCAAGTCCTGTAACAGTTTCATTGGTATCCAGACACCATACAGTCAGTGTAATTTCACTGCCGAAGCAGTTCAATGGAAACTCACCAGGTGCCTAGTTTTAATAAGCAAAGCCACAACATTGTGATATGTTACAACAAAATCTTACAGCAGATTATAAACTTGAAAATTAAGATCTTGGACTGCAAGAAACTGTCTTCATCTGTCTTGAACTGTCAAATGACCAGCTGGCCTCTGCTCAGGGTGGTGTTGTAATAATAATGATAATCCTGCAATTTAATATAGCGCCTTATTATGTCATCAAGATGTCTCAAAGCACTTCACAGGATATACTGCAAAGTGGACTGTGTATTTTGGGGGCGAAAAGTAATCTGCAATAATGAGATGGAGCTAAATCTCTGCAGAACTCACATCCTCAGTTTCAGCTCACGGGGACAGCTTGATAGGAACAACATTTATACGAGGTGTTGCATTACGGCTTAAAATCCACATCTTAAAGAAATGCTGCTGTAGGGTTTGCCAGTGTATGTTAAATTAACATACTGCTTTAGGGACTGCGTGTGTATGTTATGTGAAGGTGCTGTGTCAATGGCTGTTGATCAGTTGCCATAAAAACAGTTTGCTCCAACTTCCCTTCTGCTGTGAGCCTGAATGTCCGTGTAATCTGCAAAGAAAGAAACATATCATATAGAAATAGTCAAGGATGCTGATACATTTTGAAAACATGGGCTAAACTCATAACACTATCCTTGGAATCTATGTGTGTGGACAGAAGTGAATGTCCCACTATGGAATATTACAAAAAAAACATGTCTGGGCAAAAAAAAACCCCAGCAACATTGAAGGAGTGAAGTCATCTCCACATACTACTGAACCGTTTAAGTTGTCGATTGGGAGAAAATTATTGCAAGTTATCTTTCAAGATATTTTATACTCCGTACATCCTAGTATTTCCTTTTCCACACTGTCCTTCCTTGGGATACTCGTGCAACTGGAAAACCTGCAAAGTCTCAAATGGAAGATTTGAGATTTAGGTAGTAAAAGAATAATAATTTCAGCCCTGACATGGCAGGTATTAGACAAGACCTGCCTGGCCTGAGAAAACTTGGCTTCAAAACACAAACCATTTCCAAAACTTCAGAATTACATCAAAAGTAATCTCTGTCAGAATAAAGATAATCTTTTCTAGAGCTAAAGTGCTGCAAAGTAATTTGAGCCATGATCTCAGGAATGGAGCTTCTGTTTGAAGAGTGACACATTTCTTATCTACATGCAGCAATTCAGCATCTCTTACGCATTCAGCCAAGGAACATCTTTACACTGGGCAACCAGCCAACAGTCCACCCAAGTTCATATGGAATGGAGAACTGCATCATATGCTGGCAGCATTCAATATTTATCGCCAGAAAGGCTGGAGCTGTTTATACTCCTCGAAGGTAAGGCATGTTAATAACTCCTTATAAAAGTAGGGTAGATGATGGAAGACCATTTCATACTGAGCGATTTATCCCAACTTCCACACGTCAGAGTAATAGTAACCAACAAACAATTACTTGAATAAATAATTTGAAAACATAACCATTCAAAACAGATAACTACGCCTTGACAGGATATTCAGGTCAATACTTGAATCAGTCAAAATTAAGATACATTCTAAGTAATTACGTACAGCACTAAATAGAACTTTTATCAACATAGCAGTTTGCCATTCAAAACCAATATCACATCTCATGTAAAACTGAAATTACTACTCGCTGAGCATATGTATATTTGCAATCGCTGCAATTGTGCAATATAAGCAGTGTAATGGAGTTTTCCGCCTTTTATCTGTGATAAGATCTCAATCTCAAACACAGTGGGAGGGCCAACACTGTGACTCATTTCAGATGATACACAATTTCTGCAGAAAAGCAGTTACACACAAGACCAGAACAGAACCTTCTCTTTATTCAACCCACCCACCCACAGAAAAACCCTGAACATTTTCCACTTATTGCTCGAAATAAATTTTTTCCATGATTGCATGGATAGACTGAATAACAACTTTAATTTAGTAGCGTGACTTTTACGTAGAATAACATCACGGAGATCTCATCTGACAGTTCAGACAAGGAAGTTGATCTTATTGCAGGAGGGAGGTTCAAAGCACCACTGAAGAGTGATACTGCCACAAGAGTCAAACATAATGTGTTCCACCTGACAGGAAGCTGTATGCTTCATGCAGCCACTTTGGATTCCCTTTCTTATCAATTATGACATCTCGCTAACTTGTCTTCAGCTCATGGTTGAAAATACTATAAACATATGCAAAAAATGATGTTTACCTTTAGGAATGCACTTTCCCCAATTTGGAGAAAATTGGAAAAACTCGAATATGATTGAAAATGAATGGCAAACAATCAACAGATCTTTAAAAATGATAAGCCTTCAGGGAAATGATGTTACAATCCCAGCCTAGTGCACTGCAGACCTTTCAGAGGATAAAAAACGGACTGCATTCCTATCATGCTTCTGTTGAAACCCTTCGAGAAGCCAGAGTACAAAGCTTCAATATCCATCTGTTTAGATCAGACAACACAGAAAAACTGGATGATGCAATTTCTAGAAGTGAAAGGGCAATGTCTGTTCACTCAAAAATAGAGACTTTCCTCCCATCATTCTATGGCTAGAGATTAGTTTAGAGATCAAAAGGATGGTGTGTTATCCCAGGTCTTCTCCCGCTAACCTCACTCCTAAAACAAATCTGTGTAAACGTACTGAGGGAATCAATGTTGCATCCAAACCATTACAGCATCTGTGCAGGCTGTTTGTTTCCAAATGTGTTTGATCAACCAGATTACCTGATTCTGTGGAAAGTAATGAAATATAGACTTCAACCACTGAAAACCATTATATTGGCATCACCAGCCTTCAGCACACCTAAACTGTCCATGTTAAATGAATTATTGATGTCCTGGTGCACTGCCAAAGATCATCTAAAGGCCATTCTGGCAAATTACTTGTACTTTCCCACCTTTAGCGATCATTTTCTCTGCAAAATTACTTGTACTTTCCCACCTTTAGCGATCATTTTCTCTGCAAAATTAAAATCTGCTAACCTATGGGAGAAATGTTTTATACAACTCCAGTTACGCTCTGGGAAGGTATCATGTTCCGTTGGTTGGAGGTGCTAACTGTCGCTCAACTGATGTCTGAAAAGGTGAGTCAGGAAGTAGTAGTTGTATTTGGATATAAAATAGAGAAAAGGTAAGTCATTATTGGCCAATTTTACAATCAGATAACTCTTCTCAAGGGCAGAACTAATGGGGGAAAGAAGTTTAGTACTTCACTAGTACTTACTGCTGACACCATTAATCTCCTTTTTCCCCAAATCTCAGAAGAACATTACATTTTCTTTGAAGGTTACAGTTACCATGAAATGCTTCTCAGCCTGAAGGGCAGACAAGGACTTTCATTAAAAAATAGGTGACCATTGCCCTCTCTCTTCCCTACCCCTCACTCCACCGCTCCCTGCATATCCAAACACAAGCAGAAAGACTAACTTTCTGTCCAAACTGGATTGAAACCAGAATGCCAGAGCTGGAAGAATGGTCAATAACCTAGCAAGTCTCCCATGATACAGATTGTTGATATTACTTGTTTGTATTATTCCATCACTTGGAGTTACCTGCCTTGAAGCTAAGAAAAGTGGGATTAATGTGGTTATAAACAGTGAAGTCACAAATCAAGGGTCAACATCCATTCTTACCTGCTGGACGTGTGGCTCCTTTGCAAAAGACATTCTATTCACAGACTGAGAGGCTAGAGTCAGCTCCCGATCTTTCACCTCTCCCTCTTCAATCTCTACAACACCTGGATACGAAACAGAAGGAAATACCGTACTGTACAGGTAGCAAAATGCATCTAAATATGTTGCATTTGTAAATACATTTCCAAATAATTTTTGTGATGATAGGGGTTACGGACCAGAAGTGAACATGGCTGTATTTCTACAGCGTTAAATCCTAGCCAAGCCACATGTGAAACTTTGTTGAGTCAAGTGAAAGATGGGCTCACAAGATGTTCTCCAGTATGTGATGGGCATCAAACAATCACAATTAAAGACCGTTTCAACTTCTGTTCTGAACCTTGAAAACTACAAATGCTGCAAAATGTAATGTAAACAGCAGCAAGAACGCTTAATAGAATACATTAGGTTTACTGTGGGAATAGTCTTATGCTCCGATGGCAGTGAGTTCAAATGTGAACTTCTAATTTAAGAGGGAAGTAGATAAATACTTAGGTATTAAGGATATCACAGGGTAATGGAGAAGTGGTCTTTAGTTACAAATCAGCCATGATCTAAGAAAATAGCAGTGCAGACTCGACAGGCCGAATGGCTTACTCTTGTTCTTATTTTTCCTAGATTAGTGTACTGATGAAATGCAGACCAGGAAGGTCACAGGTTGAATCAATGGCTTGTGCTGAGGTGGCTGATCTCAATCAAGATATTGATATAGGGACTGAAATTGACCTGTGTTACGGTTGGGAAAGGGGAAAACCTCTTTGAAAGTGGTCGATGGTTATTCAACCAACTCTAATGTAAAGCAGAAACATAGATCACAGTTTGAGTGGCTTGCACATATTCACTGAGACTCACAATGAAGATTGACCTCTTACATAAGGTATCAAAGAACTCATGTTATCTGCAAGCATGAATTACTGACTTCGGTGATAGAGGAGAGAAAAGAATAGTATTTCTCTCCACTTTCTTCGAATGTAATAATAATCCTTGAATTTGATACTGTGTTCTATCATATCAAAACATCGCAAAGTGCTTCACAAGAATTACTGTTACTATTAATTACTGTGTTTGTTTGTCAGCCACCATAATTCATCACCCATCTCCCTTTAAATAGGTAGTCAATGAAGTTTAAAAAACAATGGAACAGTATCCTTTTAATGATTTAGCACCATGCAGACGGTATTTGATTATAGATATGGTTCTCATACTGTCTGACGTGTGTTTTGGGAGAATGTGATGCTGCTTTGAAAGATAACTGCACAAAACTAGAGTGGCTTGAGGCAATGAGGAAGTTGTAGGTGCACAAAATACAATTAGCAAGCTGACTCAGATTGGACAGATAAGGAAGTGGTTGAAAGGAGGATTTTTTGCATGTAGAGGTTAAACTATATAAACAATGAGGGAAACCTGTAAAGTAGGGAAACAAATGTTCTTCCTTATTTTTTTTCACATCATTTTTTTCACAACCCAGTCCAGTTTTCACTAATATCAACACTCAAGCTGTTCCCTGTCAGTGAGTGAAGTGATAGATAAGAAGGAACCCTGAGTGATTTTCCCTTTTTCCTAATCCTGGGATGTTGAAGTTAATTGTAATCTCCCTCACTGTCACCCCAGCTAAGGGCAAATGCCTCACCACAGATCAGGGATGCAAATGGCGATCTGTGGAGCTTGTTTATTATCCTGGCACCATTTTCACATACACTAATAAATAATCCTTGCATTTGATATAGTGTCTTTAAATTTAGGGATGAACATCTCAAAGCGCTTCACTTGATTGCTGTAAAGTGTAGTGATTGTAGGATAACAAACTGTGACAATTGTAAGATTTCAATAAAGAAATTGTACGAAATAAGTTTGGATCAAATGACATTCGTTTCGACATGTCCGAAACAAAGGCATCCCTAGATAGTAAAGCTGGATCTTGTGAATGATCTTAGATAAGGATAAAGAACAGTTGAAAGGCATGTAAGAGCATATCTGTCTGGTTTTCTGTCCTATGTCTAGTCCAAAAATCAAATGGGAGCAGAGAAGGTTTGGATTATAGTCGTTTGATTATAACTTCCAATCTAAGACTTACTTTACTGGGGGCAATGTTAATTGAAAACTTTAATAACTATTGTTCCACATCAAAAAACAAAAGTGTGGGGGAAAAAAAAACAAAGGACCAAAAAAAAACACCGGTGTCTAATTTGGATTTTACAGAGAATATTGCAGATATAAAGTAAATAGAAAGTATGCAACCATTCTGAAAGCTTCCATAGCTTGCTATCACAGTGCAAAGGGAATTCAGCATTCTCGTTGTTGCATGTTGTATAAATATAGACGTAGAGTGGGTACTTTTAACACAAATCCTTATATAAACTGGGGGACTCCACTGCCAGCTGGCTGGCTCACCTAACATGTTGTTACCAACACAATCAATGTACAGTCTGTTACTCTCACAGCCAGCTTGTCATGCCTCAGCATTCAAAAGGTCAAACAAACCACAAGTTAACAATAGTAAATTATATTTTTGGCACTCTCAAAAAAGTGTCTCTGTGGCTATTGTACTTCTTATGACACAGAGTGACAGATTCCAGTGGAGGTGTGATTTCCAGAGAACGTTAGGGGCAACACTTTTGATGGGAACGATATGTAAAGTTGGGCAAAGTATTGGGGGGGGGGGGCTATCAGAACATGAAACTACACAGAGAGAATATTGAAGCTTAGTTACATTTTCAACTCCAGATAAGTGCATCTTTTCTCCCAAAGTGAAACTTAGCAAGTCTGTACACAGTAGATGTTACCACTTGCCGACTGCTCCTCCCTTAACAGATTTAAATTCAACAGATTGCTTCCGGCAGGGGAAACCATGCTAACACACTGACAAAGAGCTGAAAGGCTTCAAGTGCTGCACCACGTGGCTGTTCATCATGTGTTAGCCTAGACAATGAGTCTTTCCAGACTCTACAAATATAGGGATAGTACAGATTTGTGTATACACCCGACACACATACAGTTCACAGGAATCATTACAGGACAATCAGGAGCATGAACCCTGGCTATTGTGAGCGTGAATGGTGTAGAAGACAGACACTGTGTATTATCCTTGGTCACAGACAAGAATGCTGTAGTAATGGTCCGCATTCTGTTGAATCCAACCAGCTTCCAGTCAGCAGGATTCTTTATCCTTGAAGTGCATGGCTGAGAGAGGGAAAACAATCCAGTACAATACAATCCAGCTGGATAACTGACACACGCAGAAACCCATTGCCGTGCTTACGAGTATCCAAAAAAGGCAGTTTCATTTATGCATGTCACCTAAGCATGGGGATTTCCTTTCCTCTGGAATGCAATGCACACTCCCCAGAGAGATCCACCTGCTCACCTAATTCGAGAAAGGCCATTCACCTACAAGGCCATTCACGGCCTTGCTCCCTCCTACCTCTCCAACCTACTATCCCCCTACCTACCTGCCCGTACCCTCCGTTCCTCTGGCTCCGGTCTGCTCCACGTCCCCCGCCCCAACCGCCCTACTATCGGTGGTCGGGCCTTCAGCCTTCAGCCTCTCAGCCCCGAGGCTCTGGAACTCCATCCCCCAGTGCCTTCGCCTTGCTTCCTCCCTTTCCTCCTTCAAGGCCGGTCTCAAAACCTTTCTCTTTGACCGTGCCTTCAGCTCCCCTCTCGACTCTCTTCCTCCTCCTCGCTCCCTCCCTTCCCTCCCCTCACCCTGACCATTTTTTATTTCCCCCCTGCTCGGGTCATGACCCAACTGTGCAGCGCCTTGGGACGTCCTCCTGACGTGAAAGGCGCTCTATAAATGGAATCTTGTTGTTGTTGTTGTTAATCTCAAGTACTGAGATACTGAACATAGATGGTACAATACAATACAAAATTACAGTTGCACAGCGCCTTTCACATCGGAAGGACGTCCCAAGGCACTGGAAAGTCAGGGGGTCGGGATCGGGGGAGGCTCGAGGGTAGGAGGGTAGCCGAAGGCGCAATCAAAGAGGAGGGTTTTGAGACATGCCTTGAAGAAGGTAAGAGAAGGAGCAAAGGGAAAGGAATGTGGGACAGAGTTCCAAAGGGTGGGGGTAGAAAGGCTCAAGGCCCGACTGCTGATGGTGGGGCGGGCTGGGGGGAGACATGGAGCAGGCCAGTCTGCTGAGCGGAGGAAGAGGACTGGTTGATATGGGTTCAGCAGGTCGCAGAGGTAGGAAGGAGCAAGGCCGTGGTACCTGTATTTTGCGCACTGATGAATGCCACCTTATTAGTGCCAGGCTTGATCCTGATAAATCCAGACTCTCTATGCATTGGCTTCTTTGTGTCAGGGTCGAAGGCATTAAATCTGCAAATAAATGCAGAAAGTTAAATGAGAAGTATTAATGAATAATTTATCTAAGTGGTTTGAAAAGAAAGAGCGAAGGAAGCTGGGTTGTGTGAGAGAGCACCTCACTTTGATGCTGGAACTGATTTTAACTAATCCTGAACACACAGCCCCCACCATTCTCTGACACATCACATAATGACTCTGTACTTCTCTACCTGAAACATTAACATTCCTGAACATTAAACCTGCTGTTTGAACAGGTAATGACAAAGGACAGCTGGATAAATATGATGTGTCGTAAATGAAAATGGGTCAGTATTCTGAGATTTAAGCACACCACGAGTAGCAAATATACCCATCAGCTCGAACATATAGGCATTTAAATGTGGTTGCCACATTTTCAAAAGAAAATTAAAAAAATAATAATTTGGTCACTCAATGCGTGACTGTTTGTGGGACACTGCTGTGTGAATTTCGCCCACAAGATATACAGTCAATTCACTTTAAAATATATTCTGTGAAGCACTTTAACAAGTCTTGAAGACGTAATAAAGTGCTATACCAAATGTAGGATTATTATGCTTATTATTATAATAACGTTTTGCAATCCTCCCTTTCACATGTCGCTGCAAATTTAATTGATGTTCTTCAAAAGAGATTTGTTTCCACCCTTTTCCTTGGAAGCCCATCCCTTACTAATTTACGAAAATAGATGAGATGTGATGCGACTGATCAGACTGGACACTCCACATAATGCCCGTTCAGAAGACAGTGCTTGACAGTTAATATGTATTTCTTGGAAACGACCATTATAAATGTGTTCTATGAAAGAAAGTTAACCACTCGAACTTACGAGAAGTTCAGCATGGGCTGCCCAACATATGTGATCTGCACTTTCTCCAAGTACGTGAAAGGTCTGATGCTTGGGAAGGAGCCTTCACCTGGGGATTCAGAAATCCAGGTTCCTAACATCCACCAGAGCGGCTCAATGGCTGGATGTATATGCACACCTGTAGAACAAAAAAGCAATTTGTCAATAAGGCAACACAGTATTAGAAGGTTGACCAGCACGCAACCCAAGAAAATCACAACCACTAATGACATCCATCTCCTTGAACAAACAACTTAAACAATCATCTGTTCTCCTGGCCATGTGTCATCTCCTCAATAGTTTTGAAAGCTTGATAAACATGCCACTAAACAAATATAGCAATTGGGAGGAAAGCCTCAAATGATGATAATTCACAAACCCAGAGTATTATACTCTGTAAAATCTATATGAAATAAGCCACATATTAATATGTAAAACCATTCTTGAAAAACATTTAGCAATAATTTAAGCAAAATAATTTACCACTCACAAAGAAAACATTTGCTGCTAGAAGCCTGGATATAAAGATGACTCAATGGCTGTGGTATCTCTCTGCTGCCTTCTACTGTGAATTCCTATAATTACACTAAAAGCAGGGTCTGATATATTACTCAATTTCCTTCCTTTGCCAAGAACCCCCCCCCACCTCAAAATCAAAGGAGCAAGGGAAACTCTGAAGAAGTCAGCGCTACTAACATGTCAAGAGATGCATTTAAATGCTGAACAAAGAAGTAATGCCTGGAATTTTCCTTCTTGTGGATACAAGCCCACAGCATTGACTCACCCAAGGCAAGGTGACCCAAACTGATAAAAACATGTAGTCACTTAGGAACTTAATCCATGCAGGAACTATGCTTCACAATGATTGCAATTATACCATGGATATGAAAACCATAAGGGAGTCTCTGACCCTTTGCCTGAATTTGGATTGCAAGCTCCTGAAACTGAAATTATTTTGTGACAATCGATCAATTGAGTGCAAAATTGCAGTATACTGTGCCTGTCTAACCCATGCACTCAACCAGTTGGACAATCTCAATTGGCTGCCGCGTTTCACCCACAAAATACAGTCAATTCACTTTACAGTACATCCTGTGAAGCGCTTTGAGACTTCTCGAAGATGTGATAAGGCACTATATCAAATGCAAGGATTATTATTCACCATTGCAAAGAGGTACTCGTTGTATAGAAATCATACATGACAGAGCAAATAGCGGTACAAGGAGCACTATGATATCCTGGACAATCACATCTGATTTACGGCCCCATGCTCATGTCTGGCCCAGTCTCTGTAAAATACTCTGAGGTGCTCCTCCTCTATGTGGCTTAATGCTCCCCACTCCATATATAAATACAAATCATTGCTAATATTCCGCGACTTATAAAATACTCAGTACTAACCAGGAACTGAGTTAAAGATCATATTACAAATGGGAGAACCCCAGTAGATTGCAAATCTAGATATTCAAATGAACTTGTACGTGAATCTGTACGTTTAAAGTACTGTAAAATGTCACCTTCCTGTAACATAAGCAAAAATACTGCAGTTTTACAGTTCAGTTTGGTTAAAAAAAATCTGATTTTACCCTAAAACGCATTTTCCCACGAAACTCAAATCAGTTAAAAACCATACAGTAACACGTTTATCAACAGCAAGAAGATTATCAACAGCAACCCCAACAGCCTAGGATCACAGTCACCTACATGTCTGAGCTGGCTCACTGGCCATGACTTGAGTACTCTGTACTGTTCCTCCTCATTCACCTGACAGGAAGCACTCACCTGCAAAAGAGAGAGGCATCTTTCACCTAAGGAGCCCTGGGAGCTGTAGATCCCCCCCAAGAAAAACCCACCCGCCTCTCGTTACTGGTTATAATAATAATAAGAATCCTTGCCTTTGATGTCACGCCTTATCATGTCATTGAGAATAATAAGAATGTGACTCTTATGCATAAATGGAGAAGTAGTAAGTGCCTCTGACCCAGCTTGTGTGCTCCTGGCGTAGGGTTTCCACAGCTCATGCTGGGCATTGTAGTTCCTCTGCTTTTCTGCAAGTGCCGTACAGCTTCTCAGGCACTGGAAATAATTGACCCAACGCAAACACGTTGAGGAGGATTGGAAGCATGGATCTTTTCTGAAAGCGGGGCATTTTATAAAATGCAGTCACTGGTCTGGACTTTTGTGGACAGGCAGGCACTGGACACGAATAATCTGGTGCGCCACAAATCAGCACCAAATACGTTACTGACAATTTGGAACCTTACCTCTCCCATACTGCTGACTCAATGCTATGGTAATCCTCTGTTAACTCACTCAAGTGACCATTCTTCATCCCCCCTCCCCACTTTCAAATCCCGCCTAAAGACCTTCCTTTTTGATCGTGCTTATCGTCACCTCCCTCCTACCTCGCTCACTGTCTTGGCGTCAGACTCCGCTACTGTCAAGCGCTCCGGGACGCTACCTCGCACGAAGGGCGCTGTGTAAATGCAAGTTGTTGTTGAACAGTGATTTCTCTGCATGCTGCTTGAACTTCAATTTCCCGCCTGAAGTCCAAAACTGCACTTTTCCTCACTTCCAGTGGCCTCTCTGAATGAGATTGTTAAATTATGGGCAGTTTGTGTTGTGGGATTCCAATCCTTAACATTAATTGCGTGACACCATCCTAAATTCACTTCAGACCTTACACTAAACATTATCGTGTGCTTATTCCCCCTCTCCTTATTTCTCCTTAAAGCACCCAGCTCAATTCGTATCTTAATCGTTTAAGTGCAAAACAAAACACGTCTCATAGTCCAGTGTCTTTTTGGGGTCGGGAAGAGGGATTGCACAGAAAATAAATACTGATATAATACCATATGATAGTAAATTAGACTAATTTGGAATGGAAAAGAACATTTACATTTTGCGCCTATACGTATAGGCGTATAAGCAACATGTTAATTTATCAAACAAGCAACTTTACTCTTCCACCAACGTCACCCATACAAAATGAGTACAACTTCCTGTTAATTGGAACAGTGAATTAAATTAAACTTTTACTAACCGTGCTCCTGAGAAAGAAAGCGTTTCACTAAAATGGAATTGGTTTCTTGCAGTCTACAGATCAACTCCTCCAGTCTCTTCACTCGATTTCCGGCACGACTAGTCTGTTTTCTCAGGATCTTGAGCTCTGCGTTCTTTTTCATAACCTGCTCTTTGATGAAGATGCTGTGTGGTGGAGTCAAGCAATATGAATGCAGAGTGTGGATCAGTTTGCACGCACCGGAGGCAGATGGGATAGCGTCATCAGGAAACAGTATAGCGCTGTCTATCAGCAACCTTTCGTCACCAGTCGCCTGGCTGTCTTTAGACCTTAATCTACACACTTGGTCAGCATTTGTACAGTCGACCAGTTCTCCTGCCACTGAGGAACTGCTACCAGCTACCACAGGGCTTTTCTCATGCACGTGGTTGCCATCAATGGATTCAGCATTGAAGTCAGGGAGTCCATCTGTTTCCATCAACCCTTTGCCATTGAATGGGCCGCTGGTCGTGCACCGACTTGACAATGCCCCTTCCTCGTTAATCAAAGCCAAAGGTATTTTGACTGCACCTTGACAGCTCGTGCGTATCCTGTCTACTTTCTTCTGCCGTTCCACGAAGTGGAATATGGAAGGGACGGCACAGGATTTAAGAAGTTGATGTTGGTCCTCCTGGCGCTTTTCAAAGCAATCTTTGGTGAAATGAGCACTGCACAAGAAGGAAAACTTGGTTGGAATCCAGTTCGTCCGCCCAATAGCGCTGATCCATTTTGCTAACCGATTGGCATCCTTCAAAGGAAATCTGGTGAAAGAGAGAAAAAGCCATAGATCAGAATCAACAATCATACGACGATCTGGTTATCCACATCTGACCTGCATTTCATCTGCTGTTTGTGCAAACCATGAATGTAAACAAACTAAAATTATTTAATAAGGGTAAGTGAGTAGGTGGAGCCTAATTAGAGTATAAATACAGTACTAGCATGGACTAGTTGGGCCAAATGGCCTGTTTTCGTGGTATACAGTCTATATAAATTACGCAATAAGGAATTTTCTGAAGTTGTGAATGGGCAGAAGATTTACATTTAACGTAGGGAGCATGTGTGCCAACATCAACCGCACGCACACCTTTCTCTTTTGACACAAAACTCACCAAAACAATCTGGATACACGATCGTACGGTAGAGAAATAAATAGAACAAACATATATTAATCTTCGCATTTGATGGACGCAGTGCATCATGTCGTTGTGACATCTCAAAAGCGCTCCACAGAATTTACTGTAAGGTCCAGTACTGTAAATCCTTACTATGCGCGTTGGTGGGCGATTGGGGCGGTCGTTTGAGCGCAGCAATGTCCCACAGCCACCAAGTGACCACCCAAATATGGGGGGGGAAGGGGGAGGAGAAGTGGGAGGACAGTGCAGGAGATAGAAAGGTCTCGTACAACACATAAGATAGTAACTATGGATGATTGGAGTATAATAATAATAATCCTTGCATTCGATATAGCGCTTTTCACGTCTTCTCGACGTCTCAAAGCCCTTCGCGGAACGCGCCGCAAAGTGAACCTGACCGTACACTCGCGGGCGAAAGGCGCGGCGGCCAACCGCGGGCGGCAGCGTCCCCGCAAACAGCCGTGGATCCAAAAGCGACCGATTTATTATCGTTTGGTGGGGGGGGGGGTGGGTGGGTGGGATTATTATTATTATTATTATTATTATCGGGCGCGTGCGTGGCCAAGGTTTCGCCCCCCGCCCTGGGACCGCAGCCGGGTTCTTCTCGCTTGAGGGCGGGGAGGTGGGGGAGAGGGGGGAGGGGGGAGGGGGGGGAGAGGGGGGAGGGGGGGTTGACCGAAAAAAAAAGGGGCAACAAAATAAAACAGGGGATTGGTTGGTTGGTTGATGGATTGAGTGCTCCTCCTGCCTGTGACACCCACCTGTGGAATGAGATGGACTTGGCGACTTTGCCCTGTCTGTTCGTACAAGAATGAGCCGAACACGATATCACCATCTCCGAGCGGCGCTCACAGGCGCTAACGGCGCGGTTTGTTTTCGAAATAAGAAAAAAGCGAGTCCGTACAGCAAAATGGCGGAGGCCCAGTCACCTTTCCTTCACCCTTTCGGCGCCGAGAGAGGAAGGTGAACTGCCGTACCCCCGGGGGGGGGCAAGGACAATGGCTCCCTCCTCCCCTTGGCTCGCTCGCTCGCTCGGTCAGCTACGGGAGCAGCTGTCAAGCGTAAACTCACACGACCCTCTCGGTGATACGGTTCACAACCCCCATTCGGGCGTTTCGGTTTCTCGCTGACTTTTACGTGACGGACGACAGTGTTGACGTCAACCGAAGAAGTGGTTGTTTTGCCGTACGGCAAGATGGCGCGGACGGAGCTTCCGGCCACCGACTGACCGCCGCCTCGCCAACACAAACAGACGCTACGGCGCAACCAAACCTGACTTGGGGGTCCAGGCCCCGCCCTCTCCCGCGGCGCGACCGCGGCACTGACGTCCTTCCCGATTGGCCGGCGGCTCCCGTCAATCAGCGTTGCCGGGGCGCCCACCCTGTCATCAGGTTAGGGTGCGCGCGCTCAGTGACAGTGCTTTTGCGCCATGGATGCGGGTAAGTGGTCGCGGCCCCGCGCTCCCGTGGCGGTGATTTTTCGGTTTGGTTTCTGAAGCAAAAGGTTGCAATCGGGTCGCCGCTTCCCTGTCAAACCATTCCCTGTCAAACCATTCCCTGTCAAACCATTCCCTGTCAAACCATTCCCTGTCAAACCATTCCCTGTCAAACCATTCCCTGTCAAACCATTCCCTGTCTCAAACCATTCCCTGTCTCAAACCATTCCCTGTCTCAAACCATTCCCTGTCTCAAACCATTCCCTGTCTCAAACCATTCCCTGTCTCAAACCATTCCCTGTCTCAAACCATTCCCTGGCAAACCATTCCCTGTCTCAAACCATTCCCTCTCAAACCATTCCCTGTCTCAAACCATTCCCTCTCAAACCATTCCCTGTCTCAAACCATTCCCTGGCAAACCATTCCCTGTCAAACCATTCCCTGGCAAACCATTCCCTGGCAAACCAGGCCGAGTGTCGGGGGAGGCGGGGACCCGCTGCTCTTGCGGGTCTGGTTCTCCTCTGTTGTTTTCCTGGTGGAGGATGTTCTTTCTCTTTGTGTTATTGTTATTGCCCCTCCCCTGCCCTGCCCCCTGCCCTGCCCCCTGCCCCTACCCCCTGCCCTGCCCCTCCCCTGCCCCAGCCCTGCCCCTACCCCCTGCCCCGCCCCAGCCCTGCCCCTCCCCTGCCCCTACCCCCTGCCCCTCCCCTGCCCCTACCCCCTGCCCTGCCCCAGCTCTGCCCCTACCCCCTGCCCTGCCCCAGCTCTAACCCACCCCCTGCCCCAGCCTCTGTGCCCTACCCCCTGCCCCTACGCCCTACCCTGCCCCCAGCCCCTGCCCCCAGCCCTGCCCTGCCTCTGTGCCCTGCCCCGGCTCCGTCCCAGCTCAGCCCCTGCCATTGTTGCAGGCTCAGCCCCTGCCCTGCCCCCAGCCCCTACCCCCTGCCCCTGCCCCCGCTCAGCCCCTGCCCCCGCTCAGCCCCTGCCCCCGCTCAGCCCCAGCCGTTGCTCCTCCCCCCAGCCCCTGCCCAGCCTTTCAAAAACCTGAACATCGATTCTCTTCTCTGTAACGCCAACTGGGACTAACAGCTGGGGTTTGGAGGAAGGGCTGTCTTCGCCTTCACAGTAGCATTTCTTTTGTCTCCTGGTGTTTTGAGTCCAGTCAAGGAGCACCGATGCAGTCTCACAATCTGTGCACTGCTCACTCCTGAGGCTTTGTGAATTGACATCTTGGCGATCGCATCTTGCTTGTCCTGTCAGGTGTTGTGACGCAGAAGACTGTCCTGCAGTGACACTAATATTTAGAGTGATAAGCAATGTTAACTTTATGGAAAGCTTGTCCCATTCCTGCCCCTTTCCCTGCGATGCTTTTATCTGTTTTGTACTTGGCTCACATTAGAACAGGCGTTTGAGCTGAGATCATTTCTGATTGCTAACTATCCTATAAATCCTTTCCGACTCTCCCATTCTTTCAAAATTGCCTCAGTTGTTTCTTATTGCTGATTGATTTTTTTAAAAAAAAGACATATCAATTTAATCTCTGTGATCATTGTTGTAAATGTGCTGCGTAATTTGCACCTGTTTGCAATATGTTAAATGACCCCTTCATTACAAAAGAGTGACTTCTGAAAGAGGACGATTTATAGCGGCGTTTGTACTTGAGTGATAATCATGAAATGAATTGTGTCTACATCAGGATATCAGTGGTGAAGCTTTATACTCAGCTCTGCTCCTTCTGGAACTCTCACAGGCTGTGTTATTGCCTACAATGCAGAAGATTCAACCTTAGTTATCCATCAATTGCTGGAGTGTGCATTAGTCTATGAGATATCAATGACTTTCTTGTTGGTATCTTAGGACAAATTCTCCAAGGTCTAATTTTTCTTCTGCACTATGCATCTGGTAGGTTCAATTTGCAAGATGTCTTGCCAACTAGTGACTATCCTCCTTGGGTGGGCGGGGGGAAGAAGGGAAGGTTAGTCCCCTTGTAGCTGAGCTGACTCCCAGATGATGTGCTTGGCAATGTAATGTTGGAATCACATCATCGTTGTGGCAGTCTTGGTAGTCCAGTTCCTGAACCAGATAGGTCCGTAATACTCCAGGGCACTGATGATAACAGACCAGCCAACCTGGCTCATCAACAACAACAAAATTACATTTGTAAAGCGTCTTTCTTGGGGGAAGGACGTCCCAAGGCTGAACAGCCAGGGATAAGGACCCAAGGGTGGGGGGGTTAGGATGAGGGAGGGCAGAGAAGTAGGAGGGCGGCTGAAAGCACGTCGATAAGGAGGGTCTTGAATCGTGCCTTGAAGAAGGGAGGGAGGGAAGGTGAATGGATTGTGAGTTCCAAAGGGTGGGGTCAGAGAGGCTGAAAGCCCGGCCGCCGATGGTAGGGCTGTAGAGCAGGAGATAAGGAGCAGGCCGGAGCCCACTGATCAAAGGAAGCAGACAGGTTGATAGGTCAGAGAGGTAGGAGGGGTTAAGGCCATGGAGGATCAACAGAACTTGCAGAGCCAGATTAGTCACTGGGAGCAGGAGTTCTTCCCACTCAGCTCCTTGCTAACCCCACAAGCCACAGCTCTAACAGGTAGAGTGGTCCTAACTGGACAAGTATCAGGAAGCTTGCCCTCGCACCTCCCTACCTATCCGATCTGCTTAGCACCCACTCCAACACTCGCTGCTTCCACTCGGCTGGCTCAGGTCTCATGATTGTCCTTGGTCCCCTCTGCTCCCACCATCGGTGGCCAGGCCATCAGTCACTACGCCATAAAACTCTGGAACTCTCTCCCTCAATCCCTCCACCTTCCCCCCTCCCCACTTTCAAATCCCCCTAAAGATCTTCCTTTTTATTGTTCTTTCAGTCTCCTCCCCATCCCTCCAGCTCTAGCTCGGGGTCAGACTCCGCTACTGTCAAGCACTCTACCCCACATGAACGATGCTATATTAGCTATGTTAATTGGCTGCAGCGTTTGCCCACAAAATACACAGTCACTACACTTTACAGTATATTCTGTAAAGCGCTTTGTGACATCTCGAAAATGTGGTGAGGCGCTGTATCAAGTGCAAGGATTATTATATAAATGTAAGTTTTTGTTGTTAACTGTTTTTGTAATCGGTAGAGAAAGGTTGGCTGTAATCAGTGCTCAGCTCTTAAATGGGTTACTATAATTTCTGCCTTCAATTTATAAACTGACTTAATAATAGTGAGCGCTAATTAGTATGTTTGTTAAACAATCTATCATCAAGGCTGTCTTAATAGAGAAAATAATGGCACATGCAAAACCTATAATCTAACAATGAGTTAGATGTGAAAACTAGCAAACACTGTTGACCTTTTTGGGAACTTGGAATCCTTTAAATCACTTATACTTTATCGCTTCTCTCGTCTTGGCATATTGTACACAGATGAATCAACTATACTGTATTTTGAACTGGCATTGTGCTCTCTTGGACTGATTTTACTTGCCAGCAATTTAGATGGCCTGTTATCAGTGTCACACTCCACAATTCAATCATTGAAATGTTACAGCAAATTTGCCTCCAAATTGTTTTTCCCCCTGATGTTTACATAGAATATACAGCACAGAAACAGACATTCGGCCCAACTGATCTATGCTGGCATTTATGCTCCACATGAGCCTCCTCCTGCCCTTCCTCAACTAAGCCTTCAAGCATAACCTTCTATTCCTTTCTCCCTCATGTACTTATCTAGCTTCCCCTTATGTATGAACTGAAAGTCGACTCTTTTTTAAAAAAAAACACACATCTTGGCTCCATTGTTGGCTTATTAACTGTGTATTTGGAGAGTTTTTAAGTTGCACAGATCGACAAGGACCTGAGTTTGATTCCTTGTCTGCTGATTTTAGCTTACGTCAGCTGAGGCAACCATAGGAATGCTAAAATTGACCTTGGCTTCCCGGTTAAAAATGGGGAAATCAGAAAGCATTCTTGCACCATCCAGGAATCAACGTGTAAATGTTGCTTGAGGACAAGGTGTGGTTTGGTTGCAGTGTCCCCCTATGCACCAATAGTCCCTAGACACTCACTGCCAAAGGTTCTCAATTGAAAAATGGCCACTTAGGCTAGATGTTTCTAGTCGGCAGGCATATTTATAGGTCTTTATCACAGTAAGTTTAGGAAATACTATTTCCCTGTAACATGCAGTAAAATAAAATTGAATGTCACATAGCATAATGGACAAAATGGTACTTGAGTTCCAGTCATATGATTCTCTTGTGAAAGCTTGTATTCTGCATGAAATTCATTGCTGGTAAAGAATAAGGATGCACCAAAATAGATTTATCACCCAACCCCTGTCATCAGAAGCATGAACTCGACCTGTACCTGTTATATACAGGCTGGCTTTTCTTAAGAGTGTAATGCGTTTCTGGATTGATATTCTGCTGATCACCAGGTTAAGCTTTGCTGTTGCTGTTTATAGAATAACACCAATGCCTCAATGTGCTTTTCTAGTAACTTCCTGAAGCTGTCTGTTTTGAAGATATTCCTGTGTTTGCAACTGCTACCAATTTTTATTAACACAAATGAAGATATTACACATAGCATGTGTTGAATGCATCTGATATTCATCTGTATGTTGAATAATGTTTGTTTGGAAAAAGTTACTGTGAGGATCCAGAGCTTGAATTAAACTGGTCATTGCAATATGAGGCTGAGTTGCAGAACTTTATATTTTATATCTTAATTGACTTTATCAAATTACTTATGTAATTCTCCATCTTGTGTACATTCATATTTACTGTTGATGCAGCAAACATGGAGTGGATTGGAAATGGAATTTCTGATCTGCAGCGCTTTGTCGTTTAATGACAATATTGTTATTAAACAGGAAGTAACTGCAATCAAACTAAACAAAATGCAAGCAGTAATTTATTTTGCAGATTGTTTGTATAGGATTTTTGCGAACACACTTATATATTTATATACATTTTGTGCTTCATAATATGCTTTTTTCTTTGCCTTGCCGCGGAGCACAATCTACTGTTATTTTAGTTCACTGATGCAAAAGTGAATTTTAAATGATCTACTTTGCATTTCTGACACACAATATTGTGCTTTTAAGTTGTTTCTAAACCTGCTTTTCTCTTTGCCATTCCCATGGTGCCAATATGCTGTTAATTTATTTATTGTTCAGGGCTACTTTATTAGCTGTACCAACCAATGTTTTTCCTGGTGCTGGTAATTACAGCACTTATCTATTTTCATTCAGGTAAATGAAATATATTTGTACAGTGCCTTTTACGTCGGGAGGACGTCCCAAGGTGCTGAAAACATGATGGTTATAAGGGTTCTAGCTTTGCTCTCTCTCCAACTCCTCTCTAACATGGCTTAGTGCAGTGGATAACTGACATAATACTAAACGGTGTAGGGGTGACCAAAGGAATGGCGTTAGTGTAGAAAGATCTCTTCAACACTACAGAAGGGTGAGCCGAATGGCCTCCAGTCGTTCTATGATTATATTCCGTTGTTGCCACAATGCTATTTAAAAAGTTCCAAATGTATTGGATTCTTGAAAAAAAATCTCCCTTTACACGCCATCCTTGTGTGAAACTGTCTTGAGCTTTGCATCTGCCTTGTTCGTAGCGCCAATGCAGAAGGATTATTGGGAACAGATGTGAGAGTGCATGTGTGTGACTAACAGGAAGCAGACCAGGAATAACATTTTGTTTCAAGCAGCCTATCTACTACTGTAGTGAGAGCTAGATTCCTGGATAAGCAGTGCTGCTTTCATATCATCTAAATTGTTTTTAATAGGCTATATTTTAATAGTGATATAAGGTGATCACGTATATTTCCTGATATACTGCTAACTTGAATTTTACAGCAGTGAGAACAAAGACTTGCACTTTACAGTTTGATATGTTGTAGATTGTCGCTGTGATTAAAAATGATTTAATTACCTTTCCAGCTACTCTAACTTACGACACCTTGAGGTTTGCGGATTTTGAAGACTTTCCAGAAACAGCAGAACCAGTTTGGATTTTGGGAACAGAGTACAGTGCACTCACAGGTACTGAGAGAAAGCGAGAGAGAGGCTGGGGAGCTTTCTCATAGGGACGTAGTGGGAGATGAGGTTATATTGCTAGCATACTAGTATTGGGGGGACCCAGTACATTTACACGCACAGTATTTGGGGACACAGCAGGGAATCACTTCTAAGCTCCCTACTGCCACCTGCCTACAAAATACACTGTCAATTCACTTTACAGTATATTTTGTGAAGTGCTTTGAGATGTCTCGAAGACGTGATAAAGCGCTATATCAAATGTAAGGATTATTATTACTGCAGTCAGTCTTGAGAGACAGTGGCTTTCAGAATTCAATAATCTATTCCATATCCAGCCAAGTCACTTCTTACCCATAATCATTTTTTATTGGTCTGAAACAAATCATGTCACAGCTAGACAGTAGCACCAACTGTGCCAATAATGAGTGATACCATTTTTACACCAAGGTGAATACATGCTCTTTGTTCCTCCAGATAAAGATGAGATCTTTGCAGACGTCACTTCACGACTTTGGTTTACATACAGGAGGAATTTCTCTCCTATTGGTATGTATTTATTGTTCCCTGACTTGAACCTATTTGTGACTGAATTCCACTGTAAGGTTTTTAAATGGGTCTGGATTTCTTTTCTAACTGGTATCTCCAGCTATGTTTAACTGATGTCTATGAAGGATGACGTCTAGAAAATGACTCTTTACTTCAACAAATTATTATGCAAAGTGACCAAACAACATCAAGCCAATAACCTTTCAACAAATTGAAGTTGCTTGGGAGCATAATGGTTCCCCTGGAGCAATTTACAGGCTGAAATCTAATCTAGGGGCTTGAATGTTAATTTGCTCAATATTCTCATTATTTGATGTTCACGTTAAATATTGCAACATCGTTTTTCAGGTTATTTAACACCATAATCCAGGCTGATACTTTTCAGTTTAGTAATGAAGAAGGGCAATTCTGGAGCTACACGAGTATGTAAAACAGTCAGAATGTATACAGAGGAGAGTTGTCAATCTTCGCCAGCTCGACTAATTGGAATAACCTCTTCAGGCCTGATTAAGAAAGCAAGCCCAGCCAGTAAATGAGCAGCGCCATCAGGGCAGGTCATGGCAAAAGGCAAGCAGCAGCCAACCTTGTTCTGGATGGAGAGCAGGGGTGGGTCTGGCGTGTCTCACAAAAGGGAAATAGAGAAGATTGCAAAATTTCACAATGAATGGTGGTAGATGCTTGTTAAATCTGCATGTAAACATACACGTGTAGTAATTGTGTGAGTGTATGTAAGATATTTGTTTCTAAAATTAGTGCATATGGCTAAAATAGTGTCGCCATAGCCACAGTGATGTAGAGAAAGGCAAATGGACTGTTATACTGGCACACCAGCCTGTAAACATTATCTGTATGTTTTAAGACTTGTGTTAGTGATTGCTCTGTATGTCTTGTTTGGACAGGAGGCACGGGACCTACTTCAGACAATGGCTGGGGTTGTATGTTGCGGTGTGGACAGATGATCTTCGCCCAGGCACTTATCTGCAGACATTTGGGCCGTGGTGAGTTTGGAGTGTGGATTCTTTAGATTTGTTCATCCTGTGGGCAGGGAATTAACTGGTGCTTTCTTTAAAGCAAACCATACACACAGTTGTGTGACATTAAGAGGCTGAGTTTCAGCATTTTCTGTCTTTAAGTAAATTAGTTAAACACAGTAGGGGCTCCAGGTGGGAACCTATCCTCCACTCCTGGATCAACAGCACGGAGAGTAAGATCACATTTAAATTTTTTTGTTTACTTTGTTTTGATTGCAACTTTGCTTAATAATAGTCACTATCCTTTACAGTAAATTGTTTGAAGTGCTTTGAGATTTTCGACATCACAAGGCACTTTATCGAATGCAAGCATTATTATTATGATTTCCATTATATTTATTTAGAGTGGAGATGGGTGAATCGGAAACAACAGAGGGACGAATATTACAACATTCTGAATGCATTCCTTGATAAAAAAGACAGTTACTACTCTATTCATCAAATAGGTGAGCTACTCGGCACTTTATTTTATCAAATGGAGGTGCTATCTATAACAGATCACCCTTGAACAGTAACCGGTTCATTCTCCAGTATGTGAATAATCAAGTGAGTGATAAAATATCATGCAGTCTAGAGCTGGGATTGTTTTGTGTGAAGACATGACATGTATAAAGAAACTGTAATAAGTGTGGGAACGTAAAGCAGTGCAGCAGTGGATAGGTGTGGTGGAGATTTGTTCACATAATTAAGGTGTTTATATCTTTTAATGGAAGGCTTTTAGCACAGTGAAGTAAGACCTGGGAAGAAAGATGGGTGGAAATATCATAAGGTAAAAGCACTTCAATGAATTGGGGTAATGCTGCAACTGAGAATCCTTCTCTCGCATCAAAATCGAGTACTGAGTGAATTTAAGTGCCTGTTTTTATATGATGCAATATTACTTCCAGCAGTAATGCGACTTGAAGCCACAAACCAGATTTACATTTGCTGCTTCCAGTCGTTCTCCCCAGGAATTCAGGAGAGCTCTATTTCGTGTTCTTCGGGTTGGTGCGGAAGCATAAGTTCACAGAGACTGAATTGATTTGATGTGAGAGAAGTCGCACTAGAAAGAATCTGTAATTTTAATTTTTTTTTATTTAAGGCTATCTTTATGAAAGCATTTTGTTTGTAATTCTGTTCTCCTTCACTTTATCCCAGCTCAAATGGGAGTGGGAGAAGGCAAGTCAATCGGACAGTGGTATGGGCCAAACACTGTAGCACAAGTACTGAAGTAAGTTTAAATTGAAGGCATTCCATTGAAAGTGATTTGAATTGTTAGTATCCAGAGAGATTACAAACCATGTTGCCATTACCTGGATGTATTCTTTCCATACTGTGTGTTAAGAAATCCTCAATTTTATTTGTAATGAATATACTGAATTTTATATTTTATTGTATATTTGTTTCTTGCATTACAATGTTTTCTCTCTCACACTTTAACCCTATGCTATTCGTCAGCGAGGAAGATTTTTTTTACTTCCTCAGTCAAATAAATAACCTTGATAGTAATTGTCCGTGAGCTATTACTATGTGGGAAAAACACACCTTGCAGTGTGGCACTGCACCATAATATGATGTTGAGCCCAATTGTAGTCCTTCAGCTGTGAACAGCTAACTCAGCACAAACCAGTCAGTGAATATGGAGCGGCTCATTACAGTATCACGCAGTGTATTCATGCATCTTGGGCTTTGTGCAGATCCTTATAGATGAAAAAGCAGGGAATCACTTCTAAACCCCTATTGCAACCTGCCCACAAAATACACTGTCAATTCGCTTTACAGTATATTCTCTTTGCTTTCAGAAAACTGACGTTCTTTGACAACTGGAGCATGCTCGCGGTACATGTGGCAATGGACAACACTGTAATAATTGATGACATTAGTAAGTACCATATTAGCCATAGAGAGCCTCTGTATATTTCAGGATAGCACATATCTGACATTCTGCTCCCCTTCCACCCAGGAGGTTGTCTGCTATATTCCGCTGACCTGTTTTGTAATTAAATTCAGTTGATATGATTAAAGAAATTACAGATCATGAGCCCAGGGGGACTCTGCTCTAGATCTCAGGGCAGACAGATGAAGATTGGAGAATGAAATACAAAAGAGGGAGGGAATTGTACTTTTTTTTAAACAAAAAAGATTAAATAATGTATGGCAATAGTCCTGGTAACCACAAGTTATTACTGTTCAATTCGAATGATAATGCTAATAGCTGCCACTGGTCAGCAAATGTGTGATGTAAATAATATGTTGAATATTTACCATCAATGTGGCTTCCCTGATGCCTTAATGGGTAAAGGCACACTCAGTGAAACATAGATCTTTACAGAACAGAGGTTCACAGGTTCAAATTGAGGTTTGTGCTGTATCAGTTGATTGAAGCCAAGGTAGCACTGGAATGTTTCAGTTGACCTCATTGCATCTGGGAAGGAAAAATCACTTTCTAGCCTTATGTGTGTGAAGCAGCTCGTGAGTGCACACAAGCAGTCTTGGAATGGCTGTTGAGGGAAGTGACCAAACCTGAGTCTCGATAAGCTGTATTACCAGTTTTGTGTTTTCATCTTGTTTTATGCCAGAGATGTTGTGTAAGTCCGAAGCTCCATGTGCTGGAGCAGCAGCAGCAGCGGAAGCCTTCCCCAATATGGATTTCCAGAGACCGTTCAACGGGTACCCATCGGGGGCAAATTCTTCGGATGACATGTTACCATGGAAACCACTGGTGCTACTAATACCCCTAAGGCTGGGGCTCAGCGAGATAAATGAAGCATATATCAAAACATTAAAGGTACAGGGCATTTTTTCTTCCCTTCATTTTCTCCCCTCCTCTTCTAAAGGTATTGGTCATACAGTACTGGGGTATGAGGGTAACATTCCAAGTGTGTAGTCTGCTTTGGGTACCTCGCACAGTTCTCTATTCTTAGTATGTGATGCGAAATGTGGCAGTGGGCTATTCAACTTAAGTTCTTTTTGAAATGGAAAGGTGAAAAGTCTATGTTCTTTGGCATTCAACAAGAGTCTTGCCTTTTTTTATCAGTACTACTTTTCAGCCATTATATATGCTCTGAGCTATTGAAATATCAGCATCATCCTGTGGCAGACGAGCAGTACTGCAGCATCCCAATTCTAAATACAAAAAAAAGCTCAGGTCCCATCTTTGTTATCTGAGAGTGCAACTTTTCATTAGTGACAAGAATTTGTTTCTTTACAGCACTGTTTTATGTTGCCACAATCCCTGGGAGTCATCGGTGGAAAACCCAACAGTGCCCATTACTTCATTGGATACATAGGTCAGTACTCAAGTGAAACATACTCAAGTGAAAATACCACTGGCCCTGAAATTCCCCTGATCTTAGCCAATAAGACTATTTTGCCTTAAATGTTAGGATTGTATAGAATTGTTGACAGTTCTTAAATTCAGGCTGAATTTGAAAGCGAATTATTTTTAAGAACAGCAGAAAAAAAGAGCTTCCTTCCATATGAAGACTGAATTTAAGAATTTTTGCATTTTTGTCTGATTACACGAATTTAAAGCAAAATGGTCCTACTGGCGAGGACTAGGTCAAATTTCAGGGCCCACAGTTCTAAACGTACCCCGCGTGTGCTGAATATCAGCTGTACCCTCGAGGGCACTGATGCTGTGTAAACCGAGCAGATAGGAATTTTAAGTCTTTGGCGGTAAAAAAGTGAAATGAAGATGTGCAATATTATAAGATTATAATCTTGTATTGAAATCCTCACTCATTATACAAAATTGTTAATTCTGGGGGAAGGGAGGGGGAGAAGCTTTAAATGTTGATGGCATGGAACAATTATTGAGCCTGTCTGTGAGGCAGTTGAAGTAGGTTTATCTGCATCCTCCTAATGTAGCAAAAAGATTTAACAAAATGTATTCCTTTTCAGTGAATTGGATGAGATGCTAAATTTTGCAGCAAATGTGTTTATAAAAAGTACTCGTATGAAAGTAACTCTCAGCTTTGCCAAGTGGCCTAATGAGTAAAAGCTTTGTGTTGTACCCAAACCAGAAATATTGCTGGAGAAGTACTTTAGAAGTTTGTGTAATGCTTGATTTTGTGAACCCGTAGCATTTAACAGCAGCCAGGAAAAACAGTCTCTTGCTTCCTTTCCTCCTAGGAGAAGAACTGATCTACCTCGACCCACACACCACACAGCCTGTTGTAGAGCCACTTGAGGACTTCTTGATACAAGATGAGAGTTTCCATTGCCAGCACCCTCCCTGTAGAATGAGGATATCTGATCTGGATCCCTCCATTGCAGTGGTATGTGTACCAGCTTCATGGTGTCGGTCTGATTTGGGCAGTAATTGAGGCCCATAATGACATCTTTAAAGTGCTGCAATTAGCACCAATGTTAATGCAGGAGCTAGGATTCCCTCTTCTGTCTGGACTTGAACTTATCCATAGTACTTCTATCGCTCTCATGCTATTTTTGTTTGGTTTTCTCTTGCGTTTATTGAATCATTATTAGAACTTTAAACAAGTGCCCAATGATGTATGAAAATGTTGCAGTACTGCGCTTGCCTCTGAGTACATGTCGTCTGGCTGCTTCTGTACAATAACTCTTTGGTTTGACCTCTTGCAGGGTTTTTTCTGCAGCACTGAGGAAGATTTTAATGATTGGTGTAATAGAATGCGAAAGGTACGTGTTGGGAATTTGTACCTGTGGGAAGCAACTATGACTATATTTAATGCTCTTGGGTTCTCTGATAGTTGATTATTTACCTCTTCTTTTAAAGTGGGGCTCACTTTAAAAGAAACACATACTGTAAGATTAACAAATGTGCCATTATTGGAATACATACGCAAAAACACTTGGCTCTAACTACAGTATACCTCTACAATGATAATGGTTTCAGAGTGTGAGGGAGCTGTTTATTGCTTTTTCCAGTTATTGAAATCCCAGGATGCTTGATGTATTGTCCCACATAGCACCACATACTTATAGCAACCAATTTTAATGGAAAGAAAAATAATACTATTCCTTTGGGCATGTAAAACTGGACCACCAAAACTAATTGCGCTATGGTTCTTTGGTTTCATCATAATTTTTAACAGTGGTAGAATTGAGAGGTTATTAGCTCCCAATTCTCCCAATCAAGTTTGTTTCTTTTTTTACTTCTCATTTATGTGAGTGGTTACTTTTCTAGTTTCTGCAATTGGCCATGCATTGCACCTTACTTTGGGGATGAACTTATGGATCCTCATCTCTCACTCAGATTTCACAGGATAAAGATGCCCTCCTAATGTTTGAACTGATGGAACATCAGACCTCTCGCTTCCCTGACGTTCATTGTCTCACCCCAGGTAACTACATGCTGTTCAAAAGCAATTTAGCACTCGGATGCTGCCGAGTCTCACCTCTCATGTTCGAATTGTAAAATAACTGATGTTCATTTTTCCTAGACTTTACAGATTCGGAAAGACTGGAACGATTCTTTGACTCTGAAGACGAAGACTTTGAGATCCTCTCATTCTAATAAGAGACATTTTAAGTTCAGATTTTCAAGAGCGAAGTGTTTGGTGATTCTCGTGCTGTTTAGCATTCTTAAGGGATGGCGTTTCAGCACGAAGTTCATAAATTCACATTATTGCCATCAGTCTCAGCAGGCACGACAGTACATTGAAAGCTAAAGATGTTGCTCACACTTTGTTCTGATTCCACTGAAAAAAGGACACTTCTTTCTTCGACCAAGCCTAGATGATCCTCGAAACTCGGCAGTAAACAGTCCGAACTGCTCGTTGCTTTATGAACACATTATATTTATCGTCATCTTTTTGTTTTGAACTTTAACTCTAGTGCCATGTTTTGCGTATTGAAAAGTATGCTGGAGTTTTAATGCACTAGGCCCACTGTTAGTGGGTGCAGAGCAATGGAACAGTAGGCCCATTTGAGCCAACAACAGCATCGGATATAAAAAGGGAAATAGATGAGAATATAGACAAATTCTCCCCTCTGAGCCAAAAAACCTGTTCAACCATCTCTCTCCAGAATGAATGGAATCAACATATTAATCCAGGTTTAATCCTAACTTGTGTGTGGTGTGACAGAATATTGTCAGTACAAGTAAAATTTAGAGTTTTTTCCTTAAAGAGGATATGATGAGACTGCTTTCCAAGTTATTGCAATGAATTTATGCTGTTTAAAGATACTGACACTCGAGGGATTCAGACTTTATTTGGATCCAGAATTTGGATAAGTAAGTCTAAATTCTATGGAAACCAAGGGATGCACTACATACATATCGGACTGTCAGCACTGCTGCAGATAATTCAACATATGGCTACATTGCTAACTCTGGGCGGCATGGGTTACTGAGCGTATGAACCCTGGCCTTACCACTAATAGTTTCACCATGGGTTCCCATAGCCATCAAGGAGAAATGATGCATATGATGATAGGACCAGTCTAATCTTTGTACAGATATCACTACTCTGCTTTAGGAAGGACACTGTCAATGCTTGGGTGGAGAAGGGGGTCAGTGGAGGGACAGAGAAAATCTTCATTCCAATACATTAGATCCATTTTCAAGAAGTTGTCTTCTATAGTTTTTTTCCCCCCTGCCTTAACAACTGACTTGGCAAACAAACTACTCTGCAATAGTTCATAAATCCCTTATCAAAAATGTACATTTTAGGTTAAGTTTCATGCAATTGATCACTTTATGTAAACTCAAACAATATCAGTTGTCGTTCCAACTTGATGTGAATCAGCTTATTTAAATACTTCATATTGATAAATATTTAAGAAAATAACTGTTACGTATTTGACGTTGAGTGTTGAGGGGATAGTGGTTGGTTAGCAGATTGAATTGGATTATGTCCCAATAAATGTCTGGATGGATGGAAAGGTGGTTTAGTACAAGTAATGCTTCAGAGGTCTGGTTACATTCTTGTTGAATTGAAAATGAAATAAAACTTGTATGGTTGTAGAGTCAGCTTTACCAGTTAGTTAATGGCAACCCTTTGTTTAAAATTGCGCCTTTTTATAAAGCAGTTGTTAAATGAGCTGCTGAAATTGTGTGAATAAATATTCAAGGACAAAACTACAAAACAGATTTCATTTTGCTTTTACTAGATGCACAGACTATTCCCAAATAAATCCGTAATTTTTTTTCCCAGATACTGAAGTCTCCTGTTTTTTTCCCCCAATATTTTCTATTTTTATTTAAAATTTCCAGAATTTGCTGTTTTTATATCAGAGACTACATTCATCCAACGCGTTTCCAACTCTTTTTTTCGAATCGAGGCAGATTGCAATTCAATCGATAATGAAATTGATGAGTATCAGTCTTCTAACCTATCAAAAGCAGAGATATAATAGCGTCTGGTTCCTGTGTTCTTTGACTCTTTTGAGAAAAGTTTAACATAGAAGATGGAGCACATTAAATAAGGGACAGTTGACAGGTAGGATAGCCCTAGCTGACAAGCAGCAGACAGTTTACCAAATGATGCTTTCAATAGCACGCTATCCAATGATGGTGGTAAGAGTCTTGATGTTAGCATGTGACTATTTATATCTTTAATGTTTCATGGAGAAATTTACCTAAATTAAAACCAGGATTCCACGTATGCAACCTATTCCAGGCAGAGGGCGAAACCTTGGGCAAGTTTCCTTACTCCACACAGAGCCTAATAATAATCCCTCCAAAAACAAAACAATAATAAATTGGTCATTTTCAATCTACGACTGTTTGTGGGACATTGCTGTGCGCAATTGGCTGCCACATTCGCCCACAAATATACAGTCAATTCACTTTACAGTGTATTCTGTGAAGCACTCTGGGACGTCCTCCCGACGTGAAAAGCGCTATATCAAATGCAAGGATTATTATTATTATATACATGGAAATTACCGACTGGAACAGAATCCACATTCTCTCCTTGCCTAATTCTGGAGAATATTAGGTAGGTTGGCAAAAGCCAAGGGGACCCCAGAGTGTGGGTTGGGGTACTGTTGGAGTTCGACCAGTTAAAATTGGATAGCGTGCCACTGAAAGCATCATCTGGCAAACTGTCTGCTGCTTGTCTAGCTAGGGCTATCCTACCTGTCAACTGTCCCTTATCTAATGTGTTCCATATTCTACGTTAAACTTTTCTCACATGTCACCCCAATCCTCACCAGCCTCCACTTGTTCCATTTCCCAGCAGGTTAGCTTTCTTGTTGCATTACGCTACCAGTTGAGTCCCACAGGCAATCCTGTTGTCATCATTCCTGACAGAAGCAATAAGTCTTCCTCACTGAGCATTAGTTTAAAGTGGAATGTGTTAAGATGTATTCAATTCCTGACCTTGGTAATCTTTTTCCTAGCCAGGTAACAATTACTACTCACAACTCATTTTTGACACTTTTGATTTGTAATTGTAAATACAGAATTTATTTCAGCATTTTATAAAAAATGGTAGTTACTTAACTCAAATAGTTAACACTGAAATACTAACCTACATGTTTGAGTGTTACAATCTCATACAAAATGTAACAGATCCCAGTGACATGAGTACACTGATGACCACAATCTTTGCACCCGAGCACCAAAAATAATTGAAACATGTTAGTAATTAATAGGATCTGCTTATCTGGAAAACAAGAGACATCTTTTACAAATGTTGGACCAATGTTAGAATTCTAATACATTGTTGACTTTGAGAGCTTTCATAGAGATGTTACTCAAGACATTTCATGGCTGTTATTTCTCACACCAGAAAACTTCATGTGAGTATTTAAAAAAAAGTTAAAATAAAAAAAAACAAAAGCAAATGTTCTCTCTCCTGATATTTCATCATTGATCTTATTTCAGATTTCTGACAGTGGATCAGGGCAACCTATTCTGGTTGAATTACCTTTAACATTCAGAGTTGCCAATGTGGCTGAATGTGATCCACCCCTGAAAGCTGCTTCTTAGGTTCAATTTCCAGCTTTCATGGTTTGAATTCTTGGTCGATAAAAATGATTTTTACAACATAAATAATAAATGTCTCCTGTCTTTTGAAAGTAAATTTAGGGAATGGTAAAAGAGTTGAACTAATTTTGTCATGAGATACTTTGCCCTCTGTCAAAGAGAGAACGCTTATCGCCATAGGTCTCTGATTGGATTGTCTCCAACTTGTTCCATCACTTTCTCTGTGTGAGACTTTATCTCTTGATGTAAATCATCAATACATTGGGAAGCATCCATCACCTGATTGCAAAGGGGAAAAGAAATTGTATTAGTGAAAAGGCTCATCTCTATCACTCAGAGAACGGGAAGATGAGTCGGGCTCATTTGGTGATGCCTTTTTCCATACCTTCCAGTTTAAGTTCTCATCTTGCATCAGTTCATTGAATTGTCTCAGCACCTGTTCCTGGAAGTGGCGATTCTCATACCGCTCGTTTCCAAAGTCCCCTCGCTTCATGGCATCTGAAGGGCTCAGCTGAAGGAACAGGATTAAGTCTGGCTTTGGGATACCAACGTCTGGCTGTTTGCACCATGTCAATGTAAATTCCTGTTTTGGGAAGTTCATTGAAAGAAAGGCAATTACATTAAGAACCGATGCATTTAGTTTTAAAAAAATCTCTGCTTGAACTGAGGCAGGTGATGGCCATTTATATTTCTAGGATTTTGGATCAGCCTGAAGGATTCCCTGGCCCCAAACAGGTTAAGGAACTCACCAACCAAACCAAAGGTTTGCTCTTAAAGCTTCCTGTAATGGACCTGCAAATGATGTGGCACACTACTTGCAAATGATGACCTGGTTGGTAACATCACCATTTGGTAGTGCTAAGCCATATAGGAAAGAAAGTCACAAGTTTGTTTCTCCCCTTTGTCATGTGCAGTAGATACAGGATAAGTCCTGCTAGTAGAACTACACCGAAAAAGATAAACAAATTTAAAGGAAGAAATTTGGCAAAACGGGAAATAAAAAGTTCCATACCTTTATTTGAATCAGCCATTCCAGGCATTCAATCAAATTGTGCAACCACTTTCCTTCCCCCTTCTCCACCCCTTTGCTCCAAATGTTTGTACTCACCGGTTTGGCACTTGTGAAAGCGACGCCGGAAAAGGCATACCTGTCCACGATCAGCGTTATACCTTGCTGCAGTTTCTCTTTAATCAGTGGCCTGTAACAGTGACAGGGTTCACATTAACTAAAGAGGCAATAAGGAGTACTAACTGTGCCTTAAAATCCTATTCTCTATTCTCCAATCTCTGTGGTGTTACTCAAACAATTGCCCAATTTAATTTCCTGCTTCAAAATTGATTTAACTTTTTTGCTTCAAGTTTTTGGAATACTTACCGCACAGAATCAAACGTAACAAGATTTAAGAATAAGGTGAATGAACACAGATGAGCTTTTTTCATTGGTACGGATGCCATCGTTACATTTGACAAAGGCTTTCTGTAACTCCAGTTAATCAGCTCTCTTAAGCAGACCACGAAGTAGACCTTCACACTCGCTCGATTGATACAACCTTCCTGGTGATTATAACCACCACCTTTTAAAAATTAATACGATAGTGTCAGCCTTCAATAGCACCGCCTCTTTGCATAAGTGGTATTACTTTATTAGCACAGGTGAAAACTAACTGAATCAAAACTGATTTGTTTTAATAGACAGATTTAAATAACTTAGCTAATAGCTAAGCACAGAATCAAAGTACAACAGTAGATTGATATTAATAGAGCAGCAGCCTGCGTAAGAACCTTAGGAGTGTCTGAATATGATAGAAGAATTAACAGTTCTTGAAAATTTGTGCTCAGCAGTGTTTTTTGGGGGTGGGGGAAGAGAGTGAAGACCACGATTTGGCATAGAGGAGGAATTGTGCTGCAGGCAAAATTGCACCTAATGCACAGTGATCCAAGCCCTTGGCTCTACTTAAAAGTGAAACAAAGAATTAAAATAATAAAATTGAGAATAACAAGGGTAAATCGTGTGTGTCATAGTACTTCATGTACTAGATAGCAATGTGTTCCATGTTCACATCCTATTTACTGCCAACCACAATGATGCCAATTAAAGAACCAATGTACCTGATCCAGAAACATAAACACGACTTACACTCGTTCCCATCTATTTGCTGCAAAAAGCAGATGTACAGTGTGATCCTCTAGGTTGCTCTTCTTCTCTAGGTACGAGTTGATCAGCTGCCCAATTGCAGTGCCTCGGTCTAACAGAGAATGAGAGACGATCACAAATTATAATCACTACTACCCTATTCGAACATCCTCACATGGTGTTATTTTTCAATGTTTCCACTGAATCAATCAACAATAGTGCTGAAACTTGCCTTCAGTTCCTGCTGCAAAGAAGTAAATTCAGCAAAAGTTATGGAATTTTTGATGCTGCATTCAAATTAATAATCCTTACATTTGATATAGCACATTATCGCCTCAAAACATTTCCAAACAATTCACAAAGTATTCTTTTCAGTGTAATGAAGGTATATTTGTAGGCAAACATAATGACTAATTTGCACAGCGTACTGTCCCACAAACAGCCATAAAGTAAATAACCTTCTTTAAAACAATAATCAAAGCGATTGTTGGCTCGGAAACCAGGAGAAAATCCCTTCCCACTTCACATAATGTCATGAGATCCTTAACATTCACCTGAACACGCAGACGGGACCTCAATCTTCTATAATTGCAGCAGTAACTTTTTTCAACTACAATATTATTTTTATATAGCGCCTTTCACGTCGGATGTTCCAAGGCGCTGGACAGTAGGTGTTTTGTACCCAAGCTGGGGATCAGGATTGGAGAAGGTGAAGGGCAGTGGGAGGAGGGTGATTGAAAGCACAGTCAAAGAGGAGGGTCTTGAGATGGGTCTTGAAGAAGGGAGGGGGCGAGGTGGAAGGACTGTGGAATAATAATCCTTGCATTTGATATAGCGCTTTTCACGTCTTCTAGATGTCCCATAGCACTTCACGGAATATACTATAAAGTAAATTGACTGCATATTTGTGGGCGAACGCGGCAGCCAATTGCGCACAGCAATGTCTCACAAACAGTCGTGGATTGAAAATGACCAATTTATTATTGTTTTTGGAGGGATTATTATTAGGCTCTGTGTGGAGTAAGGAAACTTGCCCAAGGTTTCGCCCTCTGCCTGGAATTGAACTTAGGTCTCTCACTTGCAAAGCGAGTGCTCTAACCACTGAGCTACAGGACTCCACAATGGAGTGGAGTTCCAGAGGGTGGGGGCAGAGTGGTTGAAGGCCCACCTACCAATGGTGGGGCGGGCAAGGCTGGGGACGTGAAGCAGGCAACATTGTTGTGGAGGTGGGGGAAGGCAGAGCGGGTCAAGGCACGGATGTGGGGTAGAAAGAATAGTTGAGGGTCAAACAAGATGCCAAGGTTCTGGTCTGGCTTAGTAAGGTGGAGTGTACATCCTTGGATGGTGATGCTGTCAGCACCATCACACAGTAACTTATGGGAGTTTGTGCCAGCAGTCAGCTCCTATAGAGTAGAATTACTCAGAGTAAATGGCTGACATCCTCCTTTGTTGATATCTACATATTTACTTTTCTATTTCGCAAAGAATATTTTTCTTCAGAACATTTGTGCTGCTTGCTGCCAAATGCAGCTGTAAACGCACTGTTTTAGTCAGGCTGTTTCCTGATTTAAAATAAACCTCTCTATATCATTTATTAAGAATTTACATGCATGATCACAAATGTGCAATTTGATGGATGATCTCATTGTGCAATCCTTGCATATCTGTGAACCCATTCATGGAATGGCAAAATAGTGCCAGATATTTTCAAATGTTGCTACCCATCCCTCCAAGCAGGAATGTGCACAGAATATGCAAGGATTGCACAATGAGATCATCCATCAGTGTTCTATTAAGTGGAGTTGATGAGCATTCAGATTAAGGTATAGTTTGTACTTCATACTTTGCAGTTGATTCCAGATTAGAAACAGACATTTTCTGCAAAGGGAATCGTTTGGTCCAGCATGTGGCTGTACTACCTGTTTTCCTAAATCGCCCTTTATTTTCTGGGAACAAGTTGTCCTTGGATGAGCACTGTAATCCATTGAACAATAAATATTGGAAAATTGGGTATGTGTTTTTTCCGTACTCTAAAATGAATGGGAAATGGCTTGGTTCATTGGAATTCAATGAGGGAATAGGATTTAGTTGGGTCCTTTGGAATTAAATTCAATGGAAATGAATGGGAAACAATTGGTACCTATACAGTGGGAGTTAACGGCAAATGTTTTTGTTCATTGGAATTCTATTCATTGGAAGTAAATGAAAAGTTAGAAAAATTAGGTTTGGATGAGGTCCAGCCACCAATGTCGCTTCTATTCTGCCAGTTATACTATAACTCGTTTAGTACTGAATCATGTCAGACGTGCCGAAGTCTTGTCAGAATAAATCCAGCTGGGGATTTTTATGACCGCTTCCTGCATTATTCACTTACTGCTGTTATTGAGCACCAAAGGGCATCGAATTTTCTGCTATCCTTCTATATGACTTGTTTTCAGAATGACGAGCTAATTGAAATACATTCTTACCCACTGTACTAAGAGTTGGTAGCCTTGCAACATAGTCCAGGCTTCCAAGTCAGAGACTAGGAGATGTAGCCGATGAGTCACCATCGTGTATGAAAATTCATGTTATCATGTCTTCCCAAGACACAGTCTGATTGAAGGAGATTTTGAAGTGACCATTCACACAAGAAAATTTTTAAAAATATCAAGTTTGAGCAATGGTTATATTTTTAAATAAATTGGTATATAGAGGAGAAAAGTTATTATTTATTTCTGCTTTTACCTCTGTAATTTTAAAATGTTAATTTTCTTTCAAAACTTCCTATTTATCTGTTTTCTTTTATAAAATGTCTTTTGACTCAATATTTTAAGAGGTCTGTTCAGCTGATAATATTTACAACTTTGCATGCTGTGCTTATTAAATCTATATCTTTTGTGGGGCTGGCTTTTTAAAAGTATTCCTGCACAATATTTGCATTTCGCCCATAAAATACAGTCAATCCACTTTACAATATATTCTGTGAAGCGCTTGAAGACAGCTCAACGATGTGTTATGGTGCTACATCAAATCAAGGATTATTATTACAATATTTGCAGGTCTACGATCACGCACAAAATATTCAGTTTGTGCCTGAAGACTTTCCTCTTCAACTGTGCCTACGGTCACCTCCCCCTGGCTCGGCGTTCTGCTCTGCCACTGTCAAGCCTCTGGGACGCTACCCTGCATAAGGGGACTGTATAAATGTGAGTTATTATAATTAAATGAGTTAGAAAAATCTGTCCAGATCCTACAATTTTCCACAATTTGTTACAAATTGTCAATGATCATCAATATCACTTGACAGGTCACTCAGGTGGCTGGTGTGACATGGATCTGCCGCAGTAGGGGAGGGGGGGGGTCCTTCACAGAGATTAAAATTATGGAGCATTATTGTGGCAGAGTAGGAGTTCTCCTTTCTGTTACTTTCTAAGTGCTGAATTACGCACAAGAAAGTAGCAGAGTTTCAAGCATCCTATATCCTTTATCAGCAAGATGCGTGGAAATCTTTCTGACACAGTAAAATGGCAAAGTATTCGGGCCTTTAGCTATTGCTAAATTATGGGATCGATAAATCGATCAACACAAAAAAACACCCAAAGATTATAAAGATATAAATTTCCACTGGACCCATAATTTGCAGTGATCTGCTTACAGTCATTGTTCTGAATTAAAAATGAACTGAAAAAGCAGTCAGTAGTTTTGATGGTGAATACTAAGCACTCAGAGTGAAGGGCACTAAATAAACACAAGTTGTTGCTGGTCCTGTCCACTTACTAATAAACTCACTGCTATTATTAATAATAATCCTTGCATTTGAAATGGCACGTTTCATATCGGGACAGCATCTCAAGAGGCTTCATTTAATTTACTGTAAAGTATCGTGATTGTGTATTTTGTAGGCAAATGTATCTCCGACAAATGAGTATTTGACTCCTCGTAATGGCACATAATGGAGGGGTGCAGCCGACAAACCAATCTGCTTGAGGAATGAGCACACAGAACTGCAGGCAAGCAATAAAGGTGGTTTGCCAACTGCTGGTGAGATGAATGCGATGGTGAGAGGAAGGAGCTAGAGACGCTCTTAAACTTTTTGGCACGAAAGAAAAATGATCTGAAATGAGAGGTCTTCTCCACAAATGGTTATCTGCGAGTTTGAATAAAGTTAAAAGTTTAGTTTGCAGATCATTATATGCCTTCAATCACAATCACCGAATACCCCGACACTGACTCCAATGCACCTTAAAATCTAATGTATTAAGTGTTTTCAACAACAACTTGGATTTATACAGCACCCTCCACCCCGAATGGCGTCCCAGAGCGCTTTACAGTTTAGGATCCCAGGACCGAGCCGAGGGGAGGGGGGGGGGAAGGTGACCAAAGCCGCGGTCGAAAAGAAAGGTCTTCAGCAGAGACCTGAAAATGGGAAGGGAGGGAGCGAGACGAAGGGAGTGAGGAAGGCAGTTCCAGAGCCTCGGGGCGCAGTGGCTGAAGGCTTATTAAACCCTCTTGTGCAGTTATGAGCTGATCGGCTGTCTTCGTCGGTCTAACGATTGGCAAAAAAACAGGCGCTGTGATGGATAAGTCGATGACTGCAAATTGCTTTGAACCGTCAACGCGCCGCCTCTCTAAACTATGCCAGTTCTTTCCCGCGCGCCAACCGACAAGAGAAAGGCGTCGTCTCCCTCCGGGCGCGCGGGCGGCCTGGCCGGCAATAATTTGCTTAGTGCCGCGGACGCTTGTGGGAGACTGGCGTGAAGGGAGTGGGGGGTGGGGGGGTGGGGAGGGGAAGGTTCTCCCGTGTGGCGAAAAAAGGGGGGTTCATACCAAATGCAAAAGATTATTATTATTATTATCATTATATCATTATTATTATTGTTTCTTCTCGCTCTCATTTGGAAGGAATTACAAGAGGAAGACACGAGAACCGAGTGAGAAAATGTGAGGGTTGAGGCTATCGGGGAAAGATGTCTCTTCCAAGGAGGAGTGGGGGGAGGGGAGTGGGGGGAGGGGGGACCTTCATCTTCCCTCCAGAACTGCGCCCCCTCCCCCACTCCCTCGGCCCCTACTCCGTACCGGGGAACCGCAGGAGCTCAGCCCTGTGGCCTTCCCTCTGCAGCGCGTCCAGCAGCTTCCTGCACTGCGTCGTCTTCCCGGCCCGGTCCACCCCCTCCAGCACGATCAGAGCCCCTCTCCTGCCCGACATGTTCACCCGCGCGGCGAGACGAGAGGCGGCAAAAAGCAGAGCAAAGCGCCACCGGAGGAGGAGAGGAGAAACATGTGTACACACCAAGTCACAGCGCCACCCACCGTCCGGCTGATGCAATCGCCATTTTTTTTTCGAAACCACCGCCTTCTTCTCTGAACTCGAGAGCTTCAGAGTTCGTGTGTGTGTGTGTGTGTGGACACCGTCTGTGGCCATCCCGTCTTTTTTTTTTGCACTCCCCTTTTATGTGCCGACTCAACCCGACTCGCCCCTGTCGGGTTATTGTATTTCTTGCCGTCTCCGGTTTCCGTCCTCGGCATTTTTTGGGGGACGAGGGCTCGGGATCGCACGTCTTTTTTTTTTTCTTTTTTTTTCAATAAAAAAGCCGCCAAAGAGCTTCACGAGAATTTTTTTTTGAGTGCGAATGGTCGGCGATTGCGCACTTTCGGCGCTGGACTCGGCAGCGAATTTGAACCCCCGTGAATAGTCCGCGAACAGCAGCGTTAGTCCAAGATGGCACTCCAATGCAGGGCGGGGGTGGGGGGGCGCGGTGGGCGCGGTGGGTTTGCATTGACGGGAGGAGCTGTCTGTCCTTCGGATGAGAGGTTAAAGCCGAGGTCCCGAGTGCCCCTTCAGATGGATATTAAAAGTCACTTAAAAAAAAAAGATTGGTCTCCACATATAGGGCCCAACATTTGAAGGAAGATTAGAACCTGGGTGGTGGGTAGCAAAACCAACCCCCTCCTAACATTTCTTCCGTCGGTCGTGACGGAACGCAAGTGCCGCTTGGCAGCCCCACTGACCCGAAGCTTGTGTCCGGCGTTACCTACCCCCTCAAGGCGAAGCGAAGCCCTCGCGGGATGGTCTCGTTGTACCGTTGCCGGTCGATGAGGCCGCCGAGGATTTGAATTTGGCGCGTCTTCCAACCGCTCCGCTCCGCGCATGCTCAGTGGCGCGGCGGGGGCTTCAGGATGACAAGATGGCGACCGCGATGTACCTGGAGCACTACCTGGACAGTGAGTGCGCTGCGCGCGCTGCCCGGTCGGCCCGGCCCGGCTCGGCGGGTCCGACAGCTCCCGCCCGCGCGGGGCATAACCAACTCGCTCTCTCCGTTCAGTTTGACTGTCTCTCTTTCTCTCTCTCTCTGGACTTGGGAGCTGCAATTTAATTCCCTCCCCCCCCGCTCGCTCGCTCCGTGAACCGCGCGTTAACTCGTCGGAAACGCGTCAATCGCCAGTTGAGTGGTGTCACGGCGCTGTGTGTGTTGTGTATGTCCGGGGTTGGGGGAGAGGGGGGGGGGTTAGCGGGTGAACGCGGAGGAGTGGGGGGGGAGATCCGGTCAGCGTGTGTCGGCTCAGACCCCCTCTGAGTTACTTCAGGAAGAAACCGAGCGCGTCCCTCCTCCCCCTCTCCCTCTCCCCTCCTCCTCGGAAGTTCACGAGTTGTTTTTTTTCTCTCTCTCTGGAAGGTTCGAGGTTTCCGGCCGCCGCGCGGGGTGGGGGGGGGGGGGGGGCGCTGGTTGCGCACGCGCATGCGCGAGCGGCCGTCGCCGCCGTGCGGCGCGTCAGAAAAAAAACGTCGGTCCCCGCGGAGAGTGCGAAGACCCGGAGCCACACACACACACACACACACACAGGTCCCCCGACGCGGATTGGGATCGGTGTTGTTTTTTTTATAATAATGATAATAATATATTAAAAAAATTAACAGTGAATCCCCAATGGGTTTCGACCCCTTGCGAAGGCACAGTGACGTAACGATGCGGTTGGCGCGGCCGCTTTCGCCGATTGGGTTCAGGCGGAGATTCGGGCAGAGCCGCGGTCCCAATTGAAATCGTCGACGACGACGACGACGACAACTTGGATTTATAACAATAATAATCCTTGCATTTGATATAGCGTTTTTCACGTCGTGGAGGACGTCCCAAAGCGCTTCACAGAACACACTGTAAAGTGAATTGACTGTATATTTGTGGGCGAACGCGGCAGCCAATGGCGCACAGCAATGTCCCACAAACAGTCGTGGATTGAAAATGACCAATTTATTATTGTTTTTGGTTTTGGAGGGATTATTATTAGGCGTGTGGAGTAAGGAAACTTGCCCAAGGTTTCGCCCTCTGCCTGGAATTGAACTCGGGTCTCTCAGTTGCAAAGCGAGTGCTCTAACCACTGAGCTGCAGGACTCCACGAATATATAGCGCCCTCCGCGCCGGACGGCGTCTCAGAGCGCTTTGAATGAAACGCATACGGACGTATAAAAAAAAAGCGTTTGAGCGCTTTGGGACGTCCAGAAGACGTGAAAAGCGCTTTATCAAATGCAAGAATTAATAAAATGACGTGGGGGAACTAACGAGGCAGAGAGCGGGGGAGGCGCGGGAGTGGAAATACAGTGATAAATTTGGCAGAGCAGGTGAACGGCGATCTGGTGGTTTACAGGCAGAGAGGCACTAAATAGGAATCTGACAGATGCGTGTTTGTGTGTGTATGTGTGGGTGTGTATGTGTGTGTGTGGTGGGGTGGGGGAGGGAGGAATGCTTTAGTCTGAAAGGGTGAATTGCAACAGGTATGTGAGTGTGCTGCAGTGCGATCCAAGGACATTTAAACAGCGAGGGAATATACCAGATTCTGTTCATGGCACTCCTTTATCATCAGCAGTAACTGTTTCATGCTAATTTCATGTTGCCTTTGATAGTGTGTCGCTCTCTCCACCCCCCTCCCCCCAAAAAAAAATCTTCTTGGTTTTCAATCCATGTTAATCTTGTTGTTTAAATGTTACTCCCAACATTTCCGCAATAATGATAAAGGCACATGTAATCAGCACACGAGAGCTGCAAAGTGGGAGATTTATTTCAAAATGTGGCCAAGTGTAACTCAAGTGAGTGAGATTCCATATGTCAAATCAGCATTTCCATTGAAAATAACAGATCTTTGAATATGAAATACCGTGTCTCACCTTTCATGTTAGGAAGATGTGAAAAGTGTAGTGAATGTATTTCGTAGGTGAACTTGGCAACCAATTTGGGCACAGCAGCATCCACCAAACAGCCGTTGTTGGTTGTTTTTTCTGGGGATTGTTGGCCAGGACAAAATAGGGAAAAAATGAAATATTAAGCCACTTCTACGCTACTTTGACAGGTATTGAAAACCTTCCTTGTGAGCTCCAACGGATTTTCCATCTGATGCGAGACTTGGACCAAAGAACTGAAGGTGTGTACAGCAGAAATAAGTCCTTAGTATTGCAGAACAGAAATATGTGGCAAACCCTTGAATTTGATAGTTATATGGCCGGTAACCTAGTGTGTTAATGAAAGCATGACGTGTCAGGTGGTTAAAAATTGAGATTAACCCTGTAATTTCCCATGCATTGAGGTTAGCAATTTGGGGAAATCTTGTTAAAAAGTATGTTCTAACTTAGTGTTCTGATTCCTTTGTAATGTATCACACGGTCCCGGCTTTCTGTGGACAAGTTTCCCCCCTTTTTTTGTGCTTATAGAGAATGCCTAATGTTGGTACAATTTGATGGTACCAACAATCTTCAGTATCTCATGCAAATAGTCATTCTTTATTTGAGCCTAGATAGTGTGTGGTAACAGATTATTTGACCGTTCGGGATAGGGTACGAGGAAGTATTCATAATGAGCCGTATCTGCTGATTGTGAGTCTTGTTTGAATACCTTATTCACTGTTTGCAGATAAAAAGGTGGAGATTGACAAATTAGCATCCGAATACGTCTCAAATGTGAAGGACCTGTCTCCAGAACAGCGGGTGGAGCATCTGAAGAAGATTCAGGGTGCTTACAATAAATGCAAAGAATACAGTGATGACAAAGTGCAGCTCGCTATGCAGACGTATGAAATGGTGGGCCATCTGTTTGCTTGTCCCTCACAAAGAGGTTTAGTCCAAATATATGTAACATTAAATATATGGACTTAATGGTTCATTTGAATTTACCTTGGAAATTATTCTCAAGAAACACTTACAATTTCTATTATTAAACATATTACTTCAGCTTGATTATTTTTATTCCTTAAGAAGGAGATAAAGGTTTCATAATAACATAGCTTGAGAACTATGTTGTTATCTTAGAAATTGCTGAAACACTATGAGTGTTGAGAGTGCAACAGTTTTCAGTGGAGTGAGACTGTTGACTTAATATTGGTGTGAAAATTGCTGTGCTTTCAGGTATCTTTTAATTAATGTTTCAATTGAACTGTACATACTCTAGATGCTTCTACATCTTCAGTTTAATTGAGACATTCCTGAAAGATATGTTTCATGCCAAATTCTTTGGACCACCTAATGTATTTCTTTGGATCTTATCACAGTGATGTAGAGCTGAAGGTTTAATAAGCACCTTTAATTTAGTGTCAAATTGTCTCATTGATGGGTTATGTGCGTGGCAGGTGGATAAGCATATCAGGCGACTGGATGCTGACTTAGCAAGGTTTGAAGCTGATCTGAAGGAAAAACTGGAATCCAGTGACTATGACAGCTCAGGAGGGAGGGGCAATAAGAGTAAGTAATTACTATTTGGTCTATTTTTCAACATTTTGCTCCTGAATATCTCCGTGTCTCCCAGTTGAGATTTAAATTTGTCTGAATCTGCTCATCCCAGCTTCATTCCAATTAATACATCAACCCCAGTGGTATTGTTGGAACTGTATTGGAAGTCAAAATCTGGTTGACTGCATCAGTGTGCTGAACACTATGAGTGTTGAGAGTGAAAGCAGTTTTCAGTGAAGTGAGACTGTTGACTTAATATTGGTGTCAAATATGCAATCCACTGAATTCTGTTTTGTAGAAAGTCTTTGAAGCAGGATTTCCTTTTTAGACCCTCATCTAAATTTGTTTGAATGTGGAATGTTTTACCATAAATGGCTTAATTCATAACGATATTTAAAAGGGATTTGTATAAAATATGAAGAAATGAATGAAAGAGGTCAAGTCATGTGTATTCTGTAACCACGCCAAAATCACTCATTTGTTTTACCTTTGAGAAGCCAGAAACCAAAAAGACAAGAGGGGGTCACGAGGTCGTGGAAGGAAAGGATCAGATGATGACACGCCAAAGAAGAAGAAGCAGAAAGCTGGGTAAGAAAGACATTTAACTTCTCAAAGTCAGTTCCAAGGATAAGAACAATACGGCAAAATGTTATGCTTTGTAAAAATGATGGGCTTAGAGCATCTGAAACAAGGGAATATCATACCACGAAAGACAGCTGTTCTAAGTAAAGTTTGCCTTGTGGAGTTCTGCTTGATTTACATTTGGGCCATTGAAAATTATGTCAGATTATACAACATCCTATGAGATGAGTTTTCTTCCATTTCACCCATTGTAAAGATTGAGAGGAAAGTATTTTATATTGAAATTACTTTCTTTTCCTACATTCTTACTTTTAAGCTTTATCCTTGTATGTGTTTTGGGAGAAGCGGAGAGTGGAGTTGACTGTGAGCTGCAAGGTAATTGTGTTTATTTTTAGTAACACTATGCAGTACTTTTCTTAAGCTTGTTGATACAAATTGTGCTTGCATATAAGGGCATATACATTTTACTTCCAGAATAATATAAATTAGCATAATATGAATTTTTTACTCGTATAGAGGCAGTGCCTAGAAAAGCAATGAAAAAGATCCCCAGTGATCCCCACTGACTTCATTGCACTTACGTCATAATCACTTCTTATTAGCAAAAGTTGGAGAATGGTACCATCACTGTGGGAATGTGAATTTCCTCAATAATGGAATAGGCTGTGGGGTTTGAGTTTCGCTTATGCAGATGGACAGTTGTATTTCTAAATTCAGGCTTACTTTCTTTAATGTGATTTTTGTATGATTTTGTTTCTTTTCTTTCTTTAGGTCTGATTATTCTGATTCTGTATTGAAAATGCATCCGTCCGATGTCTTGGACATGCCAGTTGACCCCAATGAACCCACCTACTGTCTGTGTCACCAAGTTTCATATGGGGAAATGATTGGCTGTGACAACCCTGATGTAAGTTCCTGGTAGTTTGGGCAATCTGAATTAAATGAAATGTTTCCACAGTTTGAGTTTATTTTCTTTTACCATTTTACAGAGCTTGGTAGAGTAGATTGAAGCTCTGTACATTCTAGTAGAAGTTTAAATGGAGAGGTATTCATCACTTTGCTGGCATTATTATAGTATGAGAAATCTAATACTTCTTAGTACCCTAATTAGTACCCTAAGGGGTGACCTGATAGAGGTCTTTAAAATGATGAAAGGTTTTGATGGGGTAGACATAGGGAAGATGTTTCCTCTTGTGGGGGAGATCAAAACTAGGGACCATCAATATAAAATGGTCACAAATAGATCAAATAGGGAAGTTAGAAGAAATCTCTTCACACAGAGAGTGGTGGGAATGTGGAACATGCTACCACAAGGAGTTGTTGAGGTAAATAGAATAGATATCTTTAAGGGAAAGCTAGATAGATACATGAGGGAGAAAGGAATAGAAGGTTATGCTTGAAAGCTTAGTTGAGAAAGAGCAGGAGGAGGCTCATGTGGAGCATAAACACCGGCGTAGACCAGTTGGGCCGAATGGCCTTTTTCTGTCTGTATATTCTAATGCATTCTTAGTACACCTCTTTGAGACTCACAAAAGAAGAATGAAATTGGGTGAGGTGCCGTAGGGCAAGCAGAAATCAGGAAACCCTGGTGTACCTGAGTCAAAACACTTACCAGGAGAAAGAAGGGAAGAAACTTGGAGATAAATTGACGGGAAAAGGATAATCATTGCCTTATTGTTATATTAGTTAATTAATCTGCTGCTTTCTTTTCCTTTCTGGTTGTTTACCGACAGTGCCCAATTGAATGGTTTCATTTTGCTTGTGTGGATCTTGCAACAAAACCAAAAGGAAAATGGTAAGTATTAATGGCTATGGTAGGGGCACACTGTAGACTGGTTTGTACATCCATAAATTGGAACATTCAGGGATGTAAATACTTTTTAGTTTCAAGCACAGAAATTAGGTAGGAACTTGTGGATTTATTTTTGTTTACAAGAGACCCTGCTGGTGACAGACCCTGTTGGTGTGGACCGGCTTGAAATGTTACGGTTGACTTGATTCTGATATCACCTTGCAGCCAGATCAACTCCAAAGAGCTGTTTACCTCCTCAATCACCTATCAAGGAAGATAGTCACTAGTTGGACAGTTTTCACTTATGGGACCTGTATTCAATGCAACATTATCAGAGGGAACGATGGTGGAGGAAAGAATGTAATACTATATATGGCATTGCTTGTTTATTTATTTTTCACTTTTGTTTGTACATAGGTTTTGCCCGCGGTGTATCCAGGAAAGGAAAAAGAAGTGAAGCAAACTTTTATTTTTTTCTTACACAATATATTTTATAGTATTTTGTCTCTGTCTTGTTGCAATTTTATTCAGCCTTTCACAATTTGTGTCTCTTTTTTCTCCTTTAACATCCTGTTTGAATGGTGATCATTTAAGGTCTATGACAGTTTACTTGCAGATAACAGGCCAGTGATGGACATTGATGGCTTCAGCCATTAACTAGAATGGAACGCAACGATCCACCTGAGATTTTTAAACCAGGAGTTAAAACTTATTCTGTCTCCAATTTAGCAGGAAATGGGAATGTCTTTAAATGGGGGATTGTCGTGATATGGAAAATGTACACGGTTTCTGCTGAAATTTTAGATTTGGAGGTTGTTGTGGAAAAGTTGAAGCCTTTTGGAAGTAACCATATAAAAACTACAGCAATAATCATCTGTTTTAAGAACTGGTTGATTTCAAACTCGTGGTCACTAAGCCATGGAGATAATAATAATCCTTGCATTTGATATAGAGCCTTACCACGACTTCGAGACGTCTCAATGGGCTTCACAGAATATACTGTATAGTGAATTGATTGCATATTTTGTGGGTGAAACTGACATATATACTGAGATATCAGTATAGTGGAGGTGTGCTAAAATTTAATTTTCTATTGCCAAAAGGACAATATATGGAACTCATTGGCTATTAAAGATGCTGTTTACTGTCGCAAACACTGCCGTCCAAAGTCCTAGCAGCAGATTTCTGTCCCAATTGTAGTTATATAGCGAATGAGTTGGCAGAAATTTGATGTTGTCAGAAACTAAACTGCTTTAGGGGCAAGAAATTGCAGCCTTTCTGAAGTTGCTATTAACAATAATTTTACCATATTTAAATTGAGGTACACTGTATTGTCATATGCAAATTATAGTTTTTTTTCAAAACTACTTGTATTTGATTGTGATAGTGAGGAAATGTTAAAACTTGGACAAAAAACTATGTTTTAAGAAAAAATGTCTATTTGTGTTATTGTGCAATATTTTGACTTATTGATACATTGATATACTTTTATATAGAATTTCCTATAAAATTAAATGTGCTGCAGAGCTGCAGACTCTGGAAATTATCCCACTGAAGTTAAACATTTAAACGCATGGGGCCTACATGCTATGAATGTGAGATTATTTTAAACCACTACTTGTTGGTGTGTACTCTTTATTACCATCTGTGTCTTTGAGAAAGGTCAGCCTTTTCAGTGCTGCAGCAGGATTTCAAGCCAAAATGTGTATAGATATTTTTTTCTTGAAGAATAATGTGAAGAATAAATTCTACCGTGACAAATAAAACCAAGAACTCAAAGTGACTGGAATGACAGTACAGTGACCAGAGCTTCAAGGGTCTAAAAAATGTCTATGTACTTCTCTAGTATTGTGAATTCACAGGAAATTGTTTTTGCAGATGTTACAAAATTTGAAAATGTGTCATTCAATCTATATTCCAGGATGATCCTTCATATGTTCCCTGTTCTCAAAATATGGTCAATAAGTTGCATGGTTAAGTACAGTAGGAGCTTATTTAATGATTACCATTCCCCACTTAAAGAAAGGAAGAATCATTTTTAAAAAGTTAAATCCATCACCCGAGTGAAAATGGGTTACTTGAAGCAGTTGGTTCTTTGAAAGGGTTTTAAAGGCACAAATTCCAAGGGAAAGTTGTAATAGTTTTTTTCATTCTGTGCACTATGTCTGCTCTGCCACAGTCCACCTTGAATAACAAGGAATTGATGATCAAGAACAACACAAACCAAGGTTACGTGCATACCGTACATTTTGGGGATTGGGAACCTTGAAAAATCTTTTAAACTGGAGAGATCGGTCACTGATCCTTTAGTAATAAATAGGTAACACTGCAAAACTAATTTCTGCCATGAATAGTTTATGGGGAAGTCACTTCCTTCTATATCTTTGGACAACTTGGATGTTCCCTTTGTAAATCTGAAAAAATATTGTACATTTTTTCTAAAAAAAATTATAGTAATGTATATCTGTATTTTTGGATGATGTAATAGTAATAGTTATATTGTCAAAATAAAGTATTTTTTGGACAGTATTGCCTTCTGAATAAATGTAATTGTTATTTCCCAGAACTGCAATGGCAAAATCCTCTGCTGAGGGGGATTCCTGTTGAGTGTTGTATCATTCCAACAAGGGACTACATTTTCATTTGATAACTCTCTACTCATATTCCATAGGAGATAAGATTCTCTAACTGTCCGGAGTAGCAATGATAGCCGGCTTGCTTGTCGGATGGCGTTTCTGCATGTGTCGCCCTTTCCCTATGAATAGTTTATGGAGAAGTCGCTTATCAGTGAGGCATCATCCGGTAGTCATTTGTAAAGCAACAGATCACACCGACTAAAAACAAAATGCTGCAGATGCTGGAAATCTGAAACAAAAACAAATCGCTGGGAACGCTCTGCAGGTCAGGTAGCATCTATGGAGAAAGGAAAATGGGTCAACATTTCGGGTCCATGACCCTGTTCCCAGAGATCACGCCAACGTTTGGTTGAGTGCCATTAAAAGGTAACACTACCAGTGGGTAAACGTACACGATTTTCACTTCATTACAAGAAAAGCAAAAGGAATTTTGCCATCCCGGTTAAAAAAAATATATAACCGCCTTAAGAAAGATCCAGTGTTTAAAATTCTGTTAGGAGCTCACTGTTAAGAGCACGAATCCTCCGAAGCACAGAATAGCAGTTTGCGCTATTTCCCCACGGGTTTATATATCAGCCGTATCAATCGAGGGGCCGGGGGGGTGAAGCAAATAATAATGATAATCCTTGCATTTGATACGGCGCCTTATCACGTCTTCCAGACGTCCCAAAGCCCTTCGCGGAGCACCCGGTGCGGTGAATCGACCGCGTGTCGTGAGCGAACCGCGGCGGCCGATCGCGATGGGATTTTTTTTCTTCTTCTGAAGGGAAGCGGCGGTTAATTATTTACGTTTTGTGTTTATTTTTCGGGGGAGGGGGGGGGGGGTGAAAAAATTTGGAATGCCACATTCAAAGATATAAAATGGGTGTAGCTTTTGCATTATTATTTTTTTTTGGTGGGGTGTGTGTGTGTGTGGGGGGGGGAAGCAAGAGATCGAACCGTATATTATTGTTGAGCTGATGAATAACTCCACAGTTTTGGAGGAGGACCTTAAATTGCTGATGATGTGAAGCTCCGCCTGAGCACTGCCTGAGGCTGAGTCGCTTCCCACTAAGCCACTCGGCTGCGGAAGCGTTGCCTGGATCAGGCTTGAGAGTAAGTCCAGCAGCAGCAGCACTTGTGTCCCAGGCTCAGGGAGGGAGGGAGGGAGGGAGAGGCCTCTGCCAACTGCTGAGTGTGCCCTGGGCTACAAGGACACTGCACCCACTCACTCACTGCTCCCACTCACTCACTGCACCCACTCACTCACTCACTGCAGCCACTCACTCACTCACTCACTGCACCCACTCACTGCACCCACTCACTCACTGCAGCCACTCACTCACTCACTCACTCACTCACTCACTGCAGCCACTCACTCACTCACTCACTGCAGCCACTCACTCACTCACTCACTCACTGCACTCACTCACTCACTGCACCCACTCACTCACTCACTCAGTCACTGCAGCCACTCACTCACTCACTGCACTCACTCACTGCAGCCACACACTCACTGCACCCACTCACTCACTGCACTCACTCACTCACTGCAGCCACTCACTCACTCACTCACTGCAGCCACTCACTCACTCACTCACTGCAGCCACTCACTCACTCACTCACTGCAGCCACTCACTCACTCACTCACTGCAGCCACTCACTCACTGCACTCACTCACTCACTCACTGTACTCACCCACTCACTCACTGCAGCCACTCACTCACTGCACTCACTCACTCACTCACTGCACCCACTCACTCACTGCACTCACTGCAGCCACTCACTCACTGCACTCACTCACTCACTCACTGCACTCACTCACTCACTGCACCCACTCACTCACTGCAGCCACTCACTCACTGCACTCACTGCACTCACTGTACTCACTCACTCACTGCACCCACCCACTCACTCACTGTACTCACTCACTCACTGCAGCCACTCACTCACTGCAGTCACTCACTGCACCCACTCACTCACTGCAGCCACTCACTCACTCACTCACTGCACCCACTCACTCACACAGACAGACACAGACAGACAGACAGACAGACAGACCGACAGACCTTGAAGGGATACAACAATGTAGCGGCCCTTTGCTACAGTATTCACCAGTCGGTGGTAACTCACCTTTCTTTTAGTGATTTAATCCTCTGTACGATGGTGAGATCGTAAGAAAAAGAAACAAAACAGAAACAAAGAAAAAACACCCCCTCAAAAGAAAGAGATAGGTTTGTGCACACAAGCGATTGCAAACCTTGGGGGGGAGTGGGGGGGTTATTAAGGTACATGCACGTTTGCTGACCCACCCACCGCACAGGGGGTGAATGAGGTGAGTTTCTGGGTTACTGTTGCTGCTGAGAGCTGATCAGTTGTGAGTGGTATTGTGGTGGTGGTGTTGTTGTTGTTTGCAGAGTCGTGAGAGAAAGTACAAGTAGGAAACGTGTGTGCACTTTTAATCACCAGCTCTGCTGTTTATGTAGAAGGGAATGTCATTTTTGCCTCTTTATACTACTTGCAGGTACAGTGCAGAAGGACATTTATGCCAATCAATCCATACAGAACAAGACGTGAATTGGGAGTGCTCCTGTATGGTACTGTATAGGAGGCTTCACTATACATTTGACTCAACTGCTGTCTGACCTTTAAGTGATTTCTGCTGAAAATGCAAAAAAAAAACAGAGAAAAAAATTCTCTTCCCTCAACACTGACCTTCTTCACCTTCTCGAACACCATTAATAATACTCAGTGTCTTTTATGAGCTTTATTTAAATATAAAATTAGGAACTTCAGTGCTTTTACCAATGGCATATTTGTCCCCAGTCTATGCTGAGTTAGCTGGTCAGTAGTACAGTCTCAATGCTTCTGGGCTTGCTCTTACCTGGTGTTGCTTGTGTACCTGTATGGGTGTCGTATTAAGACAAAATCAGATTTGCTGTGACGTTCCCAGCATTAAATATATGTGTGGTTAATTGTGACATAGGTTCAAGCCTGGCGAAGTACAGGGCGAAACCCTGGGCAAGTTTCCTTACTCCACACCCTAATAATAATCCTTCCAAAAAACAAAACAATAATAAATTGGTCATTTTCAATCCACGACTGTTTGTGGGACGCTGCTGTGCGCAATTGGCTGCCACGTTTCGCCCACAAATATACAGTCAATTCACTTTACAGTGTGTTCTGTGAAGCGCTTTGGGACGTCCTCCCGACGTGAAAAGCGCTATATTAAATGCAAGGATTATTATTATTATTATTCTGTGAACCGCTTTGAGATGTCTAGAAGACGTGAAAAGCGCTATATCAAATGCACAGATTCTTATTATTATAGCGAGCACCTGGGGAACCGTACTCCAGCCTAAGTCACTCACATTAGGATAAATAGGGAGAAAATTGAATGGAGGAACAAAAGAGAAAACAGGTGTGACTGATGCCCTGTAATTTTTGCATTTCAGGTGCCATGGCTTCTCTCTCTTCGTTCCTGTGCAGAGCAACACAGTGTCACAAAACCTTTGTGAAAAGGTGGCTGCTTGTCCAAGCCAGCGGACAAAATGTAGCGTCTTCAGCAAACTTCTGTCAATCAGCAGCACTCGCTGAGCATAGCCTGCAAACTCTTACCTCTCACTCCGAGTGCAGTTGTCATGTTCAGTGGCAACCCAGGACGAGGCATTTCCATTCATCCTCCCGTCACCTTAGCCGTGAAGTAGAGTTTACCGACGTGCGTTATGGAGTCCGGAGGTTAGCGTTTTCAACAGTAACGAAGGAGGACTTAAAGTTTTTGGAAAGCTTGCTCCCTGACCGTGCGGTGACAGACCCTGACCTGCTGGAAGCGAGCAACGTGGACTGGCTGCGGACTGTGCGAGGTAAAGTGGATCTCCTGTATTTGGTCAAAGTGTAAACTATCACAGAGTAGGCTTTGCTGTGCTTTGCTGTGATTTTTTTCCCCTCTCTTCCCCCTCTCCCTCTTGATGAAATTATGGGACAGAGTAAATGCACCACAGTTATCTTGTTATCATTTATCACCCATGAAAGACGGGTTAATATTTCCTTTGTGACCCGTCATCAGAATTGAAATGTTGGGTGGGGGGGAACCCTGTAGAAACAGAGATTTTCCATTCAGATGAAGGCCAATAGATCTATTATGTTGGTGCCGGTGTGCTATGAAACTTAGAATAATAATAATAATAATCCTTGCATTTGATACAGCGCTTTTCACGTCGGGAGGACGTCCCAAAGCGCTTCACAAAACACACTGTAAAGTGAATTGACTGTATATTTGTGGGCGAACGCGGCAGCCAATTGCGCACAGCAATGTCCCACAAACAGTCGTAGATTGAAAATGACCAATTTATTATTGTTTTTGGTTTTTGGAGGGATTATTATTAGGCTCTGTGTGGAGTAAGGAAACTTGCCCAAGGTTTCGCCCTCTGCCTGGAATTGAATAGAAGGATGAATCTTTTTTAAAAAAAGGCTTCAGGAATAAGTTAAGATATACTGCATTAAAAAGGCATTACTTGCTTTCGGCAGGTTGCGAAATGTGGTTTCTTATTCTGATTGTTATCGATTATCAATTGTTAGGATTGAAAATCTGTTTTAAACTGCCTTTCCATTGTATTGAAGGTCGCAGCCAGTTATTACTGAGACCTCGGAATACAGAAGAAGTCTCTCAGATACTCAGGTATTGTAGGCTCAAAGTTTCTTGGATACGATTTATTTTACATGATATCTCTTGTTACTTGCAGATGAGTGTTGGAAGTGCAGTGAATTTCAGACAGTACTGAGCTGTATGTGCTTTTCTTACTCAGTGTATGATTGATGTTGACCAACACCCTGTGATCGACTCTGATGCATGAGGTTGTCGCTAACTTTCACAGTGGGGTTGGCTTTGCCTGTGTGGAATTTTCTCTGACTCTCTACCTCTTTGATTTTTTAGGTACTGTAATGATCGGAACTTGGCGGTGAATCCTCAGGGTGGGAACACGGGGTTGGTGGGAGGCAGTGTGCCTGTGTTTGATGAGATCATCATATCAACAGCACAGATGAACAGCATCATCGATTTCAACCCAAACTCTGGTGCGGACACGTTTCTTTACTTTGGCTTCTAGATTGTAACGGCAATGATAACTTATGAGCCTCTTAGAATTACTTGCCAGTCATTTCTGAAGAGTTACAAAGCTTCTGTCCTATCATGAGAGATTGACCGTCTAGGTCACTAGCAACAATGATTCCCTCTGTCACAAATATTTACTGGCAGTGAATCTCGTACGTAAACATTTCAACATTAAATGTTACTAACTGGGTAATTGTTGATCAATAACTGCATGTGTTTCTGTATAAACACAAATAACAGTGGGGATCAGTAACCCACTTCTATTACTGAACAATGTGATTGCAGCATGGCTTCCTGAATCATTCTACTCTGTATTTTTTTTAGGAGTCCTTATCTGCCAATCAGGTTGTATTTTGGAAAATTTGAACGGTTACCTCGAGGCACAGGATTTTATTATGCCCCTCGACTTGGGGGCAAAGGGAAGTTGTCACATCGGAGGCAACTTGGCAACCAATGCTGGTGGGCTGCGACTTCTGAGATACGGTTCTCTGCGTGGGACAGTCCTAGGACTGGAAGCGGTAAGAAATTATTCGGATACATTGGAAGTAATAACCAGAGCACAAGTCATCTGTGATCCAATATCCTGCTTTCTAATCAGAAACAATATGATACTTGTGCTTTACTTTCATTGCCTCAAGGTCTGACATGATAATCCTGCACATTCCTGTACGGGAACACATTATATTAGAACTGTATTAGATTATTTTACTGTAACTTTCCATATGTCAGTCATTCACAGCCCATAATGGCTGGAGCTGTTTTGCCCGCTGCTTTGACTTGATCTGTTGCCTGTGATACTGTTAGTTATTTTAGATCCTGGTTTACACTGTTCCCTGGCATCTTGCAGGTCCTTGCAGATGGAACTGTTTTGAATTGTCTGGCACCACTGCGCAAGGACAACACAGGCTATGACCTTAAGCAGCTTTTTATCGGAGCTGAAGGAACACTTGGGATCATCACAGCTGTGTCCATTTTGTGTCCGAGGAAACCACGCTCAGTCAATTTAGCTCTTCTAGGTAAAAAAGGGGGAAATATGAAGGTATTTATCAAAAATTGTTTGAGAGGTGAGAATTTTTCCTTTCCTGAAGACATCCTGCTGGCTATTCCAAGGCTACTGGCAGTGCTAGTCTATGGTTCTGTGCTATATCGTCTGTTATTGAAGGAGCAGAGAGAGTAGGATTTTATCAGTCTCTATTCCCACACAGCGGGTGACTGTTTTTGCCTTGGCTCCATGCCCTTTCCTCTGCATCTGATTCATTTTTGTGTCATTCCTACTGTATATACCGTTTTTATACTCTTATAATTCTTATATATTTTATCTGGTGTACTACAATACACAAAATGAATACTATATCCCCACTACGATGTGTGTTACTGGGTCGCTTGTGGAACACATACATATTATAATAATAATTCTTGCATTTGATCATGTCAACGTCTCAAAGCAGTTCACAGAATTATTTTATAAATTGCATTGGGTGGTGAACATGGCAGCTGATTTATCATGGTAATGTAATATGCCTTATTGTATTTTCTGTATAATATATGCATTGTTTTATCCCTGTTTCTCCTAAGGTTGTGACAGGTTTGACCAGATCCTGAGTATATTTAATCAGTGCAAAGGAATGCTAGGAGAAATTCTCTCTGCCTTTGAGTTCCTGGATCAAAGTTGCAGAGAGGTAGTCCAGGAGCACTTGAAATTGGCAAACCCATTGCAAGGTAAAATGGACACAGATGTAAGACCAGTTTACCAAGGTACCTGCTTTGTATGTCACAAAATTTAGGTTTTAAATCTAAAGCCTGTAGTTTGCATGAGGCAAGGAGACTAAGGCAGTACCACCTTCTCGAGACTGGGAATCCAACCTGGGACTTCCAAGGTCAGTTTGGCTTAGTTTCACTGAATGGTGAACTTACCACTGAGAAATGATGGAACATTGATACTGTATTATGCGTAACAGCCACGAGGTGGAACTAGCATTCTCACTTTTAATGGCCAATATTTTTTTACCCAAACTTTGATCCCTTTCTTCTGTCTCTAAATGCAACATCTCATTCGTAAAAATGTCAATAATTCATTACCTCAGTCTGGGTGTTTCCTCCCACCCCACCAACAAAAAAACTTGAAAAAGTGTTCCTCAACACTTTTTCATAAAATCAGGGCATTTTTTGTGATAAAAGACCTACAACTCAATCAGCTGACAGTGCCTGCAATTCTCTCATGTTGTGGAATTAGTAAATTTCTCACCTCAATATCATTTGCTGGTGAATTGATCATAGATCATCACCTCACCTTTTGTGGCCTCTGACACAGTGTATGTGTATTTTGTGTGAGTGACACTAGGACGAGGCTAAATTGCCATACGATGACTTATTTTCACTTTCAAACTATTCCAGAGAAACCATTTTACATCCTAGTAGAAACGTCAGGCTCCAATGCTAATCATGATCAGGAGAAACTGAACCAATTCCTGGAAGAAGTCATGACTTCTGGATTAGTGGCTGATGGGACTGTCGCTACTGAGGAGCGCAAAATAAAGGTAAAGTGGAGATTATATATTATATTTCCTCCCAACATGTCTCAGTTCTGACAAATAGTAGTGGACCTGAACCGTTGACTCACTTTCCTTTCTCCATAGATGCTGCCTGACCTGCTGAGTGTTTCCAGTGACACCTGTTTTTGTTGGAGATTATATATTGTTTGATAATGGTCATCTCAACATTTCCTAAGGCTGAACATGTGTTTGTTTAAAGGCACTCTGGGGCTTACGAGAAGGCATCACTGAAGCACTGAGCCACGATGGCTATATATACAAGTATGATATCTCATTACCATTGGAGAAAATTTATGACATTGTTGTCGACATGAGAGAAAGACTTGGGGATAAGGCAAAGCGTGTGGTTGGCTACGGTCACATTGGTAAGATTCATCACATCGCTGCCGTGTTTCGCCTGCAAAGTATACAGTCAATCCACTTTACAGTATATTCTGTGAAGCACTTTGAGACATCTCGAAGATGTGATAAGGCGCTATATCAAATGCAAGCATTATTATTATCATCAGTGTATTGCTCCTACTTTAGGTATCAAGATGGTAACTTACCATGTAAAGCACTTGTTTTATCGCTTCTCTACCTTTAATCTTGCTCTTGATGGAATATGTTTCCATGGGCATCGGCAGCTCTTCATTACCTTGCGCAAATGCTCATTATTTATCAATGAGCCCAGCCACTGAGAGCTGACCGGTTATTCGACCATTGATGCACACAGTTCATCCTGATCCTTCCCTCATCTGACATCCCCAGTTTGCAGCCAGAGTCCAAGAAATTAGAAACAAGGATCTGAAACCCTTAAGGTTCCACCCCACAACCCCAACGCACATACACACACACACTTCTTCTCTCCGCCCCACCCCCAATTGAGACACAGTTGCCTCTGTACAGACCATGGATTGAACCTATCACTTTTCTGAACTTTCCAGGCCAGCACTGCACCACATGTTGTGCATTTGACACTGAGAATCTACTTTCAATGTATGAGGGCAGGGGACATTGCCATCACTTTTTATTTCTTCTCCTTAGGTGACGGGAACTTGCATTTGAATATTGTGTCTCCAGCACATGACCACCAGCTCCTGGCTGCCATAGAGCCATATGTGTATGAATGGACGGCTAAATATTCTGGGAGCATCAGTGCCGAACATGGCCTGGGCTTTAAGAAGAAGGATTTCATTTATTACAGTAAATCCAAGGAGGCGGTGCAGATCATGCAGCAAATGAAACTGATGCTGGATCCAAAGGGTATTTTAAACCCATATAAAACACTGCCATCACCCAGCCAGAATTCTGCTAGTTCTACACAAGAACACCACTGAGTAAAACCGGGTTGGGGATGATTTAGCAGAGAGTTTGGCCATTATGAAATTGGTTATTTAAGTTCTGATTGTTGTGCTGTTATAGATTCAGGAAGTTATATTTTTACAACAGTAACTTTGGACTAATGCTTTGTGAATGAATATCTGTTTCAGACAAATATATACCAAGTGCTTAACTTTTATTTGTTTGATATCTGCTTGTTTACTTGATATCTTTACGATAAAAGATTGAAATAAAAAATGATCTTGATTCTTAAAATCAGTATCCAGCAGGAAATTGTCAATCCTGGTGCCGTTTTTAGTTCTTCCTAATTCATCCAGTTTTGCAGATGCTAAGTTGTGATTCTTTCCTGCTTGCTGGTAACTTCTAACTACACCTCTGTTGTGTATGTGCTCACTTTCTGAAAGAGCCATTCCGTTTATTCCGACTCCTCATCCCTTGTATGAACAGAAGATATAAATCCTGATAATTCAACTTCTCATTCACTACTGGACCACTTCTCAGCAACTTTGTGGGTAGATCTGGCTTAAAAAGTGTTAAAAAGTTTACAATCCCACTGCTGAAGTCCAAACCCTCTGAAATTCCACTTTATTTTAGCCAGTAGGAGTTTTGTTTTTAAATTTTAAAATCGTGCAGACTTGTCAAAACTTCCTCCAAATTTGGAAGTACAGTACCAGATGTTTAAATCCTGTTTTGCAGTATTTTCTTTAAAATTTCTTAATTTAATATCCTTATTTCCTAAATATTGATCTATCCCCATTTCAAACATGAAACGTTCTTTACAGCCCAGGGCATTGCATTATATACAGGAGCCTGCCTTCAAACAAGATACAATGAAAGCAGCCGTCGGTTAGAAAGAAATGATTGCGACTCCCCGATTGATTATAATAATAATCCTTGCATTTGATATAGCGCCTTATCACGTCGTTGAGATGTCTCAAAGCGCTTTACAGGATACACTGTAAAGTGGTTTGACTGTATTTTATGGGCAAAACGCAACAGGTAATTGCGCACAGCAAGTGTCCCGCAGTCGGTCATGGATTGAGTGACCAAATTATTTTTTGAATGGATAACTGCCCCCAGAAAGCAGCAATAATCTCAATTTTGTGCAAATTGTGGTTTGATTGACACTTGAGCTTTGCGGCTGATGCTGCACTGGGTGCCTTGGAGCTGTCACTCGACACCCGATTAGTCGGGTTTTTGTTTTGTAAAGTACTGTGCACGGACTGTTTCATTACACAGTTTCAAGAGCCCTGAACCTAAATTGGCCGCTCATAAGATTGGGCTACTTCTTTTTTTGCGGTTTAATTTAAACCTGTAAAACCTCCTCCCTCTGCGCCCTTTGAAGCCCTTTTCTTACACGGCTTCAAAAGCCATCCACGCAAATTGGCCACTTATAATATCGTAATAATTATAATTATAATCGATAATAATATCGGCCACTTATAATTAAGCCCACGTTGGCCAATCTGCAACAACACCAAGAACGTTCATTGATATCATTCCTTCTGCAATTTAAAAATTCCTTTGTGTGTTTCTTTTTAAAAAAAAAATAATAATAATAATAATAATAATCGGGTCACTTCGATCCACGACCGTTCGTGGGACCCGGCGCGTGGGCCACCGGCTGCCGCGTTCCTCCCACGAAAGGTGACAGTCCGTTCACCTCACAGCGGAGTGCGCAGAGCTTTCCGGACGTCTCGAAGAACGTGATCATACGGCGCGACTTCAAATGCAAAAGCATCATCATCATTATTATTATTATTATTATTATTATTTATATAACGCTCCTGTCTCAGGGTAGCGTCCCGGGGAGCGCTTGGGGTGATGGGTGGGTGGGGTGTGGTGTATGTGTGTGTGTGTGTGGATGGGGGTTGGTGTATCCTACCCACCCCCCACCCCCCAAAAAAAAAAAATAATAATAATAATCATTGCATTAGGACAAACACAGGAGGGGGGGCGGGACACGTGAATCACACGTGGGGCTATTTATTGGGCTACAAACCCGCGCCGCTCGCGGGCGAGGCCCCGCCCTCTTCCCGCCCCACCCGCCCAGCGCCCAGCTCTCCAACCAAGATGGCGGCGGGCAGGCTGCCGGCCCGGGTCCTGGAGCAGCTCCTCTCCTACCTGGAGCTGCCCGACCTGCTGAGCTGCTCGCTGGTCTGCCGCCACTGGCGCCGCTGCCTGGAGGCCGACGAGAACAGCGAGGTGTGGCGGGGCCTGTGCGGCCGGCTGCTGGCCGACGAGGCCGCCGGCTCCGACGTGCTGTGCAGCCTGGGCAGCTACAAGGCCAAGCTGCGGGCCCTGCGCCACGCCTGGAGCCCCGGCGACTGCTCGCGCAACGTCTACATCAAGAAGAACGGCTTCACGCTGCACCGCAACCCCATCGCCCAGAGCACGGACGGGGCCCGGGCCCACATCGGCTTCTCCGAGGGCCGCCACGCCTGGGAGATCTGGTGGGAGGGCCCCCTGGGCACCGTGGCCGTCATCGGCGTGGCCACCAAGCGCGCCCCCATGCAGTGCCAGGGCTACGTGGCGCTGCTGGGCAGCGACGACCAGAGCTGGGGCTGGAACCTGGTGGACAACTACCTGCTGCACAACGGCGAGCTGAGCGGCAACTTCCCGCAGTGCAACAACGCGCCCAAGTACCAGGTCAGAGGCGATGCGGAGGGATGGCAGAGGGATGGGCACACACAGGAGGTAGATATATGACCGGGGGGGGGGGCCTCCCCTCCCCTCCTCACTCCCTCCACTCCCTCCACCACCACCCCTCCTCAGAGGGGGGAGGGGGTGTGGGTGGGGGGGTAGGGGTGGTGGGGAGGGGAGGGGGGCGGCAACAGGGCAGTGATGGGCACAGAGAGTGTGGGTAGGTAGACAGAGTGGGTGGGTGGGGGGGGGACAGAGAAGAGAGATGGGCACAGAGAGTGTGGGTAGGTAGACAGAGTGGGTGGGTGGGGGGGGGACAGAGAAGAGAGATGGGCACAGAGAGTGTGGGTAGATATACAGAGGGGGGGGGGGGGCAGAGCAGAGAGATGGGCACAGAGAGTGTGGGTAGATATACAGAGGGGGGGGGGATAGAGCAGAGAGATGGGCACAGAGAGTGTGGGTAGATATACAGAGGGGGGGGGGATAGAGCAGAGAGATGGGCACAGAGAGTGTGGGTAGATATACAGAGGGGGGGGACAGAGCAGAGAGATGGGCACAGAGAGTGGGTAGATATACAGAGGGGGGGGGGGATAGAGCAGAGAGATGGGCACAGAGAGTGGGTAGATATACAGAGGGGGGGGGATAGAGCAGAGAGATGGGCACAGAGAGTGGGTAGATATACAGAGGGGAGGGGGACAGAGCAGAGAGATGGGCACAGAGAGTGGGTAGATACAGGAGAGAACAGGGCAGAGATGGGCACAGAGAGTAAATAGATATACGGGGGTGGGGGGGGGACATCAGAGAGATAAGGACAGAGAGAGTGTAGGGTGAACTGCAAGGATGTGGGTAGATATACAGAAGAGAACAGGGCAGAGATGGGGCACATATATACAAGGAGAGGGAGGGGGGGAATAGAGCAGAGAAAGGTACAAGTAGAGCGAAAAGGCTTGTGGAAGAGCTGGGATGAGTGGGCATGGAGTTGGCCGAAGGGGAGGCCACACTGTTGAGTTGGGCAACAGTTGGCTTGATTTTGGGAGAATGTACCTCAGGGGGTAGAGAAAGCAGCTGGCCTGGCGCTGGGGAGACTGCTTCCTGTTGCTAGTGTTGCCTTATGTTAGCAATAAGAGGAGGGAAAGCAAACTGAAAGGAACATACAAATAAAAGACGATAGTTAACCAATTTACAAAGGAAATTTTGCGGAGTCCTTATTTGTGCTCTCAGGAGATTGAGCTGTAAATTTCAACAAGTTCAGATTGTTTGGGTCGAACACCGCGCTCCATGAGGTTAGGATCCACTAAAGTTCTCTCATAGTCTTGAAATTTTCCACATATTTCATCGATTTGTCAGATGTTGTTTCCTTTGAACGGCTCAATGACTGGCATGATCCCAGCAATGAATGTCACTGGGTTTTCGAGCTATTTCGGTCTGATCAGACTTGGGCTGAACTCAGACAGAGTATTCTAGAATATACGATTGCCATCAGCATCTCTATTTAGGCAAGGGAAAATTGACCAGGATTCCTGCTCCTGGCTGTTATTCAGAGGTGTTCATATGTATAATTTGTCTCAGTGCTCCAAGATGCTATCCCACATGATAAATGCACCCTTTCACATGAGATAGCAACAATGTTGTTGTTGGGATCAGGTTAGGCTGTAATTCCCCTGAGGTATGATCTGCTGAAAATCTCCATCAAGGCTCGCACACAGCAACAACCTTCATTTGTATAGTGCCCTTCATGTACGATGATATCTCGGAGTGCTGTGCTCTGACACGCAAACAATAGCCAGAGGCATGGTTAAATTAAAACCACAGAATCTGCTTATCCTGAGACAAATGATTAGTGCCAGGAAACTGGCAGTTTCTAAAGAGATCTAGACAAATTGAATGGTTGGGCTAAGGAATATCAGATGGAATTTAACCTGGATAAGCTAGAGCTCAGGATTATTATTGGTTTATACTGGTGGCGGTGCTAATATAAATGAGGCAGTTATATCAAAAGTAGAAAATTGTTTTTAATCAAATAGTTTTTGAAAACTGTTTTGTCCTAATTCTTTGTTTTTTTTTATTTGTTTTCTTTCAGATTGGGGAAAGAATACGTGTCATTCTTGACATGGAAGACAAGACTTTAGCATTTGAACGAGGCTATGAGTTCCTTGGCATAGCGTTTCGAGGTTTGCCAAAGGCATCCCTATATCCAGCGGTTTCGGCGGTGTATGGCAACACCGAAGTGACGATGGTATATCTGGGGAAACCGCTGGATGGCTGATGATAATGATACTGTGCATGAGCTATTTTATTGCTGGAAACTGAATAAACTGCATAGATGGCATGGACAGTCTGGCCATGTTCTGGGTAGTCACAGCAACAGTGTGCAGTGGCGTAAGGAGCGAGGGCTGATGAACAGAAGAGACGCGGCTGGATCTCCATTGTATATATGTCTGGGTAGTGTGTAGTGGTGACCTATCTGTCTTCTTTGTTCAATTGTAATATGCCTCTATACAATTTCAATATTATTGTGGGCGGGGAGTCTGAATGTGATGTGTGAACAATAATTAAGATTATCGTTATAAACCTTTAATTGTATTTTTTTAAGGAACATTCCTCCCAGAGTTGGGAGGGGTGGAGAAAATCATCTTATCTTAATTGAATGGAACAAAGGTTAGATTTTTTTTAAACGTTCTTGATTATTACTGCCGGATGAACCAGAATCGTATTAAATGTCCTTTTTGGAGGATGGCAGCATCATATCAACATCGATTCCAGAGGTGCCGAGGTTGCTCTGTGCAACTCGAGCTGGAGAGAGGTAGAATTGCTGGCTCTGCACATCAGTAAAGTGCTTCCATGAATGAAAGTAGCACAACCAGCAAGTATGCAGTTGTTAATGTTACTTTTGTCCCTTTGTACGCCGGTGTGTGGACTGGGTTTACTGCTGTCAGTTGGCATAGCTGGTTCTCGACAAACAGCGGTGTAGGTTGCCTTGTTATAGTAAAAATGACTTTCTTCCCCCCTTTTTGGTTGCTGCTGTTTCAGGTCAGTTTTACAAAGGCATGTTGTAAGTTTCTGTTCATTTGTGCCAATATCAGTAGTGTAGTCCTGTCCAATCAAGGGCAGATTAACCGCTGATTGAGTTTTTTTTAACTTGTCCAGTGTCACTCAGATTTCCCAGACCACAAGCTGGTGAAGATTGGGGAAAGATTGGGGATGATCTAAACTTTACCATTAAGTTTGCTTGCAAAAATAGCCAATACATCTGATAACTGTAAAGTGCTTTGAGATATTCCAGATAAAGGCATTATAGTTATGCAAGTTCTTTGGAGTTGCATTGCAAAGTGGACTGATGACCACACATCATTGCAATACCAGAATAGTAAAGTTACTGACAGATTTGAAATGTTTTTGATGTTAGCAATGTCAACCTTTTCCTATTTTTTAAAATGGATAATTGTAAAGAACAGAAAATGCTGCAAATCCACAACAGGTCAATCTGTATTTGAAAGAAGATATTGTAATATTTGTTATTATTTGACATTATCATTTGCTGCTATGTTTGTACAAGACTGGATATTTCTGGATAGTATATTTCTGTGTTTCTTTTGTGAAGGAAACTGAAATATTTTGCAAAATGGTTTGCAGCATTAACACCAGACAAATGTGAACCCAGTATTCTGTTGCCTTGGCTGAAATAAGAGAATATAATGATAATAGTCTGGTTAATATATTAGGTGCATACTTCATCAGAATGGAGCTCTTAATGAAACTTTAAGCAGTTGGTCTCTTTTGGATCCTGATTGACCTGCTGCATATTTCCATTGTTTTATTTTCATTTTGGATTTTCACTGTCTGTTTTTCATATACTTGGATATATTTTGTTTCATTGCTGCATGCAATTCAAACATACATTATAAGTGTAATTATCAATTTCCATTTGCAGCTGCAAGCTCGGATTTTTATTAGTGTATGCTGATTAATGATTGCACCAGCCATATCATCAGGCCCAGGGTAGCTTTATCCAGCTCTGTATGAACTCAGCGGTGTCAAATACAGTAATCGAGATCAATTGTTTAATCTGTTCAGCAAGACTGATATTAATAATAATCCTTGAATTTGATATAGCGCTTTTCACCTCTTCTTGACATCTCAAAGCGCTTTATGTAATATACTGTAAAATGAATTGTATATTTTGTGGGCGAAACGCGACAGCCGATTGCGCACAGCAGTGTCCCACAACCAGTCATGGATTGAAGTAACCAAATTATTATTATTTTTTCTTGAGGGATTATTATCAGGCGTGTGGAGTAAGGAAACTTGCCCAAGGTTTCGCCTTGCTGGGGATCGAACCCAGGTCTATCGTTTGTGATGCGAGTGCTCTAACCACTGAGCCTCGGGATTCCACCAAAATATTGTGTGCCACCAGAATCCAGCATTCAAGTGAAATACTGCCTGTCCTTTCACACAAATGGAGCTTAATGTGAAATGTGTTTCAGAAAGTCCTTATAAGAAGAAATATTCAAAATACTCTTGATTCATCTTAATAGTCTGACCCTAAAGAGGTTTTCCAGAGGCACAAGCTAATTTTGCAAGACTATCTCAGAGCTATGACACAATTAAAGTGAGAGAACAAGCTAATTTTGCAGGACGATCTGATGGTTTGCATAAGAGCTATGACACAATTAAGGCCCGGTACTGGAGTTCTTTTTAAAGCATTTGATTTGATGGTGGAGAAAGGTTTTTCCAGTAACAGCTAAGCTAATGGACACTTTTTAAACTACATTTTCAAACTGAACATGGGAAGGTTATTTATTGACATACTTATGAATGTGAAGCCACGGGTTTTTGAGACTTTCTGTCTGGTACAAAGCCTTAAACCCACGATAAAAAGTTCATTGTTGCCGTAATATTGTTTGAATACTTAGTTATTTTTTTTCTTATGTATGTGTTTGTCTGTATGTGTGTTTGTAACATATATATGTATGTTGAGTGTGTGTATATGTCCATATATACACACATCTGATATGTGGTTTGAACATGATTCTCAGCTATTTGCAGCATTTGTTTGTAAAATATCCGTCATTAATTTATTTAATTGCTGTGAATCATTTTAAACTGAATTGTAGGATTTTTGTATGAAAAAAATATTGTCTTGCAAATAAAATGCATAAAGGCTCTGATTTTAACATGCCTCTTGCTAGGGTACGGAAATCTGGAGCGAAGAGTGGCCGAATCCTGTCGAAATAGGTAGCATTTTCCACCAAAGTTATTAAGGAGGAATGAGTGCTTGTACTACGTAAATTCATAGGTATCCTACACCAAGGCAGGAAGTTCAATAGCAAACACTTAGCTTAAATCAATCTGGTTCCAATTTAAGATTAAATTCAAGGACATTACTTGGATATTGGGATTTTTTTTAAAAAGTATATTTTTTTCTTAAGTTACCCACTTATTTTGCTCTTATTGTAAACCCCTCAAGAGCTCTGAGATACTACGCTGTGTGAGGGGTGCAAAATAAATGCAAGTTGTTGGTATGTTGTATTTTTCTCCCCTTCACACCCTGCACTATATGCCACTTGCAGATAGATGGGCGTCACTGAAACCTTAGCAAAAAAAAATGTCTGAGTAGACTTCTGTCTCAGCTATCCTTTTGGTTTTGTCCCTTCTGTTCTGTGAGAGTTAGGGTCTGGCCTCTGCTCAATACATCTGACAATGCAAATTGAGTGATGATTGAAAGCGCTCGGAATACAGTGCTCACAAAATTTATTTGCAATATCACCCTCTATTGGTAGTTAAACAGTACTGTGCACATCACAAAACTCATAATTTACAGCTTAACTCAATTATAGTAGAATGCTCATTAAAGAAACAAGAAATGTAGGGGTTAATGGATTTAGCTGTGTGGAGAGGCTAAATACATTTGGATTATATAATAAATCATGTTTATCGTGCCTTTCACTTAATAACAAAAGTCTCAAAGTGCTTCACAAAACATAATTGCTTAGAAATTACGTGAATATTATAGACGCAGTCATGCAGCTACCCTGTGCCAACAAAGTTGAATTGAGAACAATGAGTTGAGAAGACAATTTGAGGGTAACGTTTGAGAGGATTAAAGTGTAATGTGATTGAGGTGTTTAAAATTATAAAAGGGATTTTGATGAAGATTAGCAAAAAGATTATTTCAAACAATCAATGTAATCTCTAGACTCATACAGCATCCAATAAACTAAACCTCAGGGTGAACCTTTGAAAAGAGGGAGAAATTTGCTAGGTAGACAGTAGCCTTGTCTGCTGCTATTAGTTTCTAAAGTGTTTAGGGATGTGTGGCATGTTTTGCTCCCCTTATGATGAGTGTTTGCTTTGAGGTAAAAGTGACTTTTAAGTTAAAGCGTAAATAGAATTTGACAACATTAAGACATCTAGATTAAATTGACTGGAAATAGGTGAAGTGGGTTTGAGCTGAAATTAGGAATCCACTAGTTGTGCAAATTGGTGTTAAGGGATGTTTACTGAGCTGCAGTCATATACAGAAATCAATTTTAGGATAAGCAAAAGCAGAAGTTTCATTAAGGCTTCAAGTATTTCCAGATTGGGTATAGTGAATGCCAGGTGCAAAGAAAAGTAAGCCACATTATGTTGTACACAGAGTTACAGGTGTATATTGATACAAAGAGTATATTTGTAGAGATGATTTGCTGTAGTTAAATAAAGAAGTATGTGTATACAGAATACATTAATAATATAGTTATATAAGGCATGACAGTACATGTAACTGATTCAAACAGTTTGGATAGCTTATACAGGGGTTATATTTGTAGCTGATAGTGAAACCTTAGCTGTACACAGATTGAAACTATCAAATAGGCTATATCTGTAATTGTATATAGACACGGTAATGTGTATATAGAAACAGTATATTTAATTGTATCTGTGAAATATATTCCCTGTGTATAGTGAGCAATGCACATAAAACCCTTGATTATGTCTACTTTCTGCACATTTCTTTGATCCTGCAACGAGATGTCAAGAGGATGCACTACTTGTGGGAGTGGTTTACCAGCTCCATCCCACAAGCCACCTAACCTGAAAAGCCACGAGTTATAGAGTCACAAAGCGGATTAGAAGTTCATGGTCAGATCCGTAGTAAACCTCGTAACCATCCCCAGACACAGAGTTTATATCAGACGTGAACAACATAGACAAACCACCTGTGCAATGGTTTCTAGAAGATTTGATATTGCTCTGATGGAACTTTGCTCATCTTTAGCCCAGCAGCCATCTGCACCGTGGTGTAAAGGAGCTGTGTGATTTGTTTAGCAGAATAACTGCTTCATATTGTTCCATGGTATGAAGTCACCTCAGCAAATCTGTGTGGGACCAGAGAAGAAGGTTACATTTAAGGGGTTATACTGTTTCTGTAATTTCTGCCCTCTCCTTCTCAATGATCCCTATATAGCTGGTGAATCACCTGATGGGGAGGTGCACTATATTCCATGTTATAGCAGTTCACTAAACTATGACACAGAAGAATGTTATTTGGCCCATTGTGTCTGTGCTGGTATTAACTCCTCTACTGGAACTAACTACTCTAACCTCATTTCCCTGCCATTTCCCATATCCTCTAATGTAAACATCTGTCCTTGTCATGCTCGCCTCTGACTGAATGCACCAAATTACTCAATGAAACCTCCATTAGAAAAACAGGAAACAGACACCAACGAACATCCGAACGATGTTCAAACTGATTTGATTGAAGAGCGTGTGGATACTTTCTTAAAGACAGCATAAAACAAAGATGATCGAAAGGTCTGGCAGGTCTCAATGACAGACTAATAGAAACAGGAGAGGGCTTTACCTCCAACAAACAATGCATGTACCTTGGGACATCCTCCTGATGTGAAAGGTGCTATGCAAATGTAATTTGTTTTTGTTGTACTTTTGATACAAAATTTTGCAAACTGCAAAAGAGGTTTCTCTTTGAAGTCAGAATCTGATTTGCAAATTAATGGCTTCCTCACAATGCACAACTCTTTGCAATTTTCAATGCTCAATTTGAAACTGTGCTGTTACCTACTGATCTGTAATGCCTCCAATCTATGGCATATTTAACTTTCTTATGAATAATAGAGATCCCTTTTCATGAACAACAACAAATCACATTTATATAATGCCTATCGTATCAGAAGGACGCCCAAGGTGCTGATGTTATTTCCCAAGATGTTGCTCGTGGAAGAAAGACCAAGTTTGAACAGTAGGAATGAGAAATGGAAGATGATGCTGCAGATTTGCTTGATTGCCTTTCAGGTTCATACACTCTACACGTGGAGAGCTTTCGTTTAGGAGACGGAGCAGGTGGAGTCCATGATAGGACATGTTCTGTGTGGTAAGGGGGGTGAGCAAGTCTGATGCTTCATGCTTGTTCCAAGTTTTCCTCTCATGATATCTCTATAAGATAGGAGATTTCATCCCAACAACAATATAACTTGCAATCATATAGTATCCTTCATAAGAGTAGCATCTTGGAGCACTTAACAGTGACGGAACTTGATGCCGAGAGGGGAAATGACTATCGGAACAGTCAAAGAGGGAAACAGGTGAAGGGAATAATGCACAAAATTCCAGAGTTTTGGGATGTGGTGGGTGAAAGCATAGCCATTAAAAGTGGATCAACAGTAGACAACATTAGGTAACAGCCAGAGGTTCCAGTGCAGCAATAGTGCATTGTTTGAGGCTCCAATAAATATTTTCCTCTCTCCTTTGTGCTGCTAATCATGGCACAATTTTCTTCTTCTATAATAAATAATAATAATCCTTGCATTTGATATAGCGCCTTATCGTGTCGTCGAGACAACTCAAAACACCTCACAGGATATACTATGAAGTGGTTTGACTCTATTTTGTGGGTGAAACGCGGCAGCCAGTTGTGCAATGTTCCACACACAGCCATGAAGTGTGTGACCGAGTTTATTTGAGTGATTTGTTGGCTGAGACACCGTGAGAAACTCCCTTCTCTTCAAACAGTGCAGTGAGATCTTTGATGCCCACTGAGCAAGAAGACGGGACCTCAGTTTAATGTTTCTTCCAAAGCCAGCACACCCCCAGCTCTGCAGTAGAGTGTCAGCTTTGACGATGTGATTCCAAGTCCTGACATGGGGCTTAAACCCACTGTGCTAACATCGAGTCAGGCTGACGCTAATTTTACTTGACAGCGATTAAATTAGATGAGCTTTGAGATATTCACCTTTAGGTGGATGCAGGGAACATTTTATAAGTGTTGGTTGAGGATAGAGTTTATAGCCAGCCCTTGCGAATGGGATTCAGTGCCTCAGTATCGCAGCTCCAAGTTATAATAATAATAATCCTTGCGCTTTTCACGTCTTCTCGACGTCTCAAATTAATTAACAAATGCAGTGTTCATGAACTGTCTATAATTTTTGTTTGACAGAATGTATTATTAATAACATATAATACTTTCTTGTACAGTGAGCAGTATTAGCACCTGGGTGCCAACTCAGGACAGTACTAGAGCAGCAGCAGGAAGTGCTCCACATACAAAGACTGAGACAAAAGGGGGCTCTCTTTTGTTGTTAATGTATGTTTATTCCCCTCCATTTTTTTATGCCCTGAGAACCATGCAGAATTCAACTGTTTGGCAGATGATGTTCGTGCAAAGTAGGTGTTAGCTTTGGAGAGGCAGATAATCTCTCCAGAACCTCTGAAAAGCAGTCATATGGGAGCTTGATTCAGAGCTCCTTTTCTCACTTCTGCATAATGTTCCCCATATAGCCCATATAGTCCAGTCAGGATCTTATCTACATAGAAACTGCTGCAAGATATAGGAACACTATAGGTAGAGTGATAGCAACATTTGAAGGCTGCTACCCTGAAGATTCTGTGTGAATAGCCATGGTCAACAAGTAAGAAATATACTTACAGAAGCTTTGTGTTGTAAATTCTAAAATGGAAAAAGACTGTCAAACAGACAAAGATCTATTGCTGGACTGGAAACTCAGATGGCAAGATCAGACTGTGATCTACAGCTCCACTGGAGTCTCAGGCCGTGACTTACTGTTGTACTGAAGCTTCAGGCTGGGATTCACTGCTGCGCTGAAGCCCTTATGCAGTGAGCTATAGTTGCACTGGGCCCTTTGGTTGTTACCCAGTGTTGCACTAGAGCCTCAGATTGTGGCCTATTTCTGTACTGGTGTATAGTCCTACAGGAACCTCTGTTTACTCTGTTTTGCTGTACTAGAGTCTCATCTTCCTGTTTATTGCTGAATGTGAGACACGGTAGTTGCCCATTTTTGCACTGGAGCCTTGTGGCTGTAAAGTACTAACAACGGCTTAACCCTGCAATGATAAACCTTTCCTTTTTTCTGGTTACAGACAGACCATGCAGCGGACAGTCAATGAGACATCAGACAGATAGAGAATTGATGAGTCACTCAACTACCCTCTCAAATAGATGTTTTTTTACTGTGATGCTGAGCCATTCAGGCAGATCTCAGGCCCGGTTTCCATTCTGCACTGAGTTGGCTCATCACAGAATTATACAGCGCAGAAAGAGGCCATTTGGCTCATCGTATCTGTGCTGGCTCTTTTAAAAGAGCTAACCAAATCAATTCCACTCCCCCGCTCTTTCCCTATAGCCCTGCAAACTTGTCCTCCCAAAATAATTATCTACTTCTCGCTTTAAAGGATGTTATTAGATCAGCTTCCATTTCCCTTCAGGCAGCATTGGTGGTGGAGCGCTATAATTGGGTAGAGAAAAAAAAATCACCCAACGCTCCCACTCCTGATGACAATCAGATGACCTCAGTTAAACAGCGGACTTGTATGAAGCCTCCTACAGTGGAAATCTACCCACCCTCGCTGTCTGGCATGAAGCGGTAAGAAGGGTTACTTGGGTAAGATGTTAAAGGGCTTCTGAGCATGTAAAACTTTCCTCCAACTTGAATCAGTGTCTTCAGGAGAACAGGGGGAAAATGATGAACAACTCTGAGGTTGCATAGAAGTGGTGCGTGGGGAGTCCTGGTGGGTTCAAAACATTATAGATTAGCGTTGAACAAAGAATATGTGGCTGGGTGCTTATGGGTGCTTATCTGTTTGATTTCAGAGTTTAAAAAAAGAAAATATTTTACCACTGCCACAAGTCACTTTACAAGATTATTTTAAACTTAGCTTCAATTTTTTTTGTCAGCATCAGTTTAAACATAATTTGCTGCTCAGTTGGTGAAACTGTAGTCTATCTCTGGTGTCCGCCCATCCTGTTCAAGATCTTCTCTATGATAGGCAGCCGCGGTTATACTCAAATGAAAATTTCTGTGAAATGTGAGAAAACACAATGCCTTTCTCAGCTCATTTTGCTTTCTTGCTGATAACTGAACACCTCAAGTGTTAATTCCTGTTGAGCCTCGCTTTGTGTACTTTGCTCCACTTGTTGTCTGTTTTTCACACAGGCCTGTTTCAATTAACTCTTTGATATGGCTGTGGTATGAGCAACTTTTAAACTTTCAACTCATTGAATTCAAACTCGCATTATTCTGAGGAGAAAGGAAGCTTTAAATTTATTTTCTTCCTCTTTTTAGACACGTCTCCTGGCATCTTACGCCCTTGTCCTTCCCCTTTCAGTGTTTTTCTTTAAAACTTCCTTTCTCCTCTCAGACGCCTATTCTGTTGTTCCCATGTCTTTATTATCTTGTTCCATCACCCTTCCTCCAAATGCTTCATTCAGTTTGCAAAAGCCTCTGGTATATTATAGCCAATGGCAGAGAGGAAACTAATCATCAGATCCCAAGAGGATTAGACTAAGAAGGCCCATTGCCTCAGTTGATCTCATTCTGCTAGAATACCTGGTCTTGCTATTACAGTAGGTAAAGAAATACTTATTGATGTCCACACTAAACTTGCTCTTCACAATCTTGGATCTATGCCTTTTGTCTAAAGGCAGATCTAAACATGTTTAATTATTCTCCCTTTATACGATCCTCTCTGAGATATCTATTTTTTAGTCTTTGTCATTCTACATAATGTTTCCAAAGTCCTGTTACCCCCAAGTTTTTTTCTTACAATGAATTTTTTTTCTCTCCATTGCAAATGAGTTGAGTGTAACAATCTCTGATACCAGTAACATCACTCCATCCATGTTACAGAAGATGTCTCACTGAACATGGCACGGATCATTATACAACGCACTGACCAACAACTGAATCATGCGGAAGAATGACGATAATTGTATTTAGAAGTACTGAATTGTATTCAGTACAAGTGTTTCGCTGTATTTAGACATCCAGAGGATCCTGTGTGTGAGTGTGAGCCCCATGATTTTCATGGCAGATAATGATCCTTGCCCATGTTAAATGCCACATCTCCCCTAACATGGATGGAATCAGTGACGAGGAAGTTACTAGTATCAGACATTGACTAGTCTGCCACCGAAAATAAAAAATTCATTGCAAGAAAAAACAAGAGGCATAACAGGACTTTGTGAACACCCTGTGCATTAAAGCGCTCCTACACTACAGTATTTTATCAGCACTCCCAGGTCAGACACAGCAAGGGTTAGACCCAGGGTTAGATTCATTTACATTGCACTTAAAACAGTCTGATGATGAGTATAACATGAGTTAGGTTTAACACTCATCTTTCCCCCTCTCTATCTCACTCTGCACCTCACCATGACCAACCGTACTCTAACTTGCCCGTCAAACACTCTCAGCTGAGAAGAGACTTTAGTACAGTACAATTGAAAAATATTCACGTTGGCTTTTACTGTAATTATTGAAGCTTGTGGTTGTGGAACCAACCAATGTCATTGGTTACACTGAGGTGGGGAGGGGAGCATGAGTGTGTGTGTGTGGGGGGGGGAAATGAACAACACCAAAAGACTCGACCCACCCCTTCCCTCAGTCAATCCTATCATCAGGTTGCAGGATCCGCTTTCAACTCAGCCGAGATCTGACCTCTCTGCCAGAGCAGTCATTTGAGGACTTTGCTGATTACCATCTGCGGTTTTGATGTAAAAGAGCCTGAATTTTGTATTTGCGTTGACTTTTTGCAAACCCATCGCCGGCTGCAGAGTAAAAAACAGAAAATGTGAGTTGTGAGTGTGAGTTCTGCCTTTGCTATGTTTGTTTAAATTGTTATCTTCTCTCTCTCTCTCTATATATATATAAGGAAAATGAATGCAACGTTAAATCTATTTAAGACAAGAGTTTTTTTTTGTTTCACTTTTCCCCCCTCCAACCCCTAATCCTGTTTGGTGCTGCAAAGTTCATCTGTAACCAATTCACATTATTATGATTATGATTATTATTATTATTATTTGTGGAGGGGGGGGAGTTAGGGGAAGTGTTCGTAATTTTGCAAAGTTATTTAATGCCTGAATTTATTTGATTTTTATTTTTTTTATTTTTATTTTTTGGTGGGGGCTGGTTTCACAGCAGAGCAGAGACCGACTCCGCTGGTGTGTGTGACTCCGTTTCCGTTACAAACTTTCTTTTTTCTTTTCTTTTTTTATTAACTGGAGCTGCGCCTTTGGAGGGAGTGATGAGCGAGCAGAGATGTTGGAGCTGAGACTCCAGGCAGAGCTCTGGTCCTGCCCCTCCCTACAAATGACTTGAGAGGCTGGTGGGGGTCCCCTCTGACCATCACCCCGACACACACACACACACGCATCACCCCCCCGCCCCTCACCACCACCCCAAACCCCCGGCTCTTCCTGAGCAACACCGACTCGGCAAGTACCCCCTAAATCATTCATTCCCTTCCCCACAAACCCCCTCCCAACTCAGCCCCTGAAATGACCAGTGTATCCAATTTCAGAGGCTGGTGCCCTGTAATCACTAAACACCCCCCACCACCCCACCCTCCGCACCCCAGCTGTCGGCTTGTGACAGCACAACTGTCTTGTGATTCGGTCTTGAGTTTTTGCCCAAGTTTCTTTGTCATCGATTTGCTTCCTTCCCATTCGAGAGGAGTTCAAAGACATTCCCTGCTGCGCCGCAGTTTCAATGTCGACCTGATGTGGTTTCATGCGAGTGCTGGGCTGTCTGTCTGTCTCTGTCTATCTGTCATATGAGCTCTGGGTTGTTGGTGTGTGGTGGCATTTGGAGATAAAGGTTCAAGGGTCCAGGCATCGCCAGGAACTGTGCTGCTGGGCGATTGATTGATTGAAATGATTGAGATTGATTGATTGGTCACTTCAAGGGTTTCCTGTGAGAAGCTGATGGCGTCCAAGCATCGAAGTCGTCCACTGAAGAGGACACAGATCCCTTGCATATTTGGGCGTCTGCTGGACATCTGACAGGAACAATGGGGTGATGTTGGGGAAGGAATAATCAGGATTTTACTTTATATAAACCTAATAATAATAATTATTATTATATAAACCTCCCCCCCGCCCCCACCCATCTAAACTGTGACCTTCCCTCCCATGTCCCAAGATCGTTACAAGTCTTGAACCATACAACAACAACTTTTATATAGCGTCCTTAATAATAATAATACTTGCATTTGATATAGCGCTTTTCACGTCTTCTCGACGTCTCAAAGTACTTCACAGAATATGCTGTAAAATGAATTGACTGTATACTTGTGGGTGAAACGCGGCAGTCAATTGCGCACAGCAGTGTCCCACAAACAGTCGTGGACTGAAGTGACCAATTTATTATTGTTTTGTTTTTGGAGGGATTATTATTAGGCGTGTGGAGTAAGGAAACTTGCCCAAGGTTTCGCCCTGCCTGGAATTGAAGCCAGGTGTCTCGCTTGCAAGGCGAGTGCCGTAACCACTGAGCTACAGTCGTTCACACGGGGTAGGGTGAAGCTCATGAAGACCACCTGATCTCAACTAGCCTGGTTTTGGAAAACAGTGCCTCTCTGAATGTGGGTGGTGGTGGGTGGGTGAGAGAGAGAGAGAGAGAGAAGCAATCAGACGTCAGTCAATGTCTACCCACCTAAATGCGCTTACCGTAGGCTGGCAATAGAACACCGCCAGCAGAAGTTTGAGAGCTGGAGGAGAATGTATGAGGCACGAAACAAGAGAAAAATAACTTGGGAAGAGGAATTCTGCCCCTGTCCCTCTTTGCTACTTTCTTAATTCTCTCTCCTGAAGGCTGATTCCTGCCGAGCTTCTAGTTGCTAAGGTCCTGCAGTACCTCATTTACACGGTTAATCCACTTTTCAGTATATTCTGTGATGCACTTTGGGACGTCTGGAAGAGGTGGTAAGGCACTATATCAAATGCACTGATTATTATTAATAATTCTTCATGTGTGAGCCTATGTAGTGATCTTGCTTAATAACTATCTAACTACAGGCCAATCAAAGGGAACCTTAATCTTATTAACCCACACATTTCCCAACAGCGCACTCCGGATAATAGTCAGAAGTGGAACCATAGTTGATTTTACTGTCTTTTCCCCCCCGATCCTTACTCCTTATCAGTGATATCTTGATATGATTATTCTCTTTGTTGCCTTGTGAATGCTAGTAATGCCATTGCACTTCTTGTTACCTGTGATGCCGTTCATAAGGGAAATGTGACCCAGGCATAAGAAGTGGATTAGGCATGAATAGTAAAAACGAATGAATGTAATGGAATTTGTATTTTGATGGTTTGCTTATGGTTTGGGAGTAACCGTGTAGAATTTTTTCTCAAGAATTAACATAGGGTGATAGAATCCATAATAGGATGGATTGAACAGAACACATTCTTACAGAAAGGGTGAGGCTCACAGGCTAAATAGCTTTCTTATGTTTTTCTGTTCTATCCTGGTAAACATGATTACAAGCTGTGAAAAACTGTCTCATGTGGGCCTGATATATTTGATTGTGTCTGATGTGCATCAATCTTTCATTTCAGGGACTACTTGTGAGAATGGATGTGATGTTGCCATGTCTCTCTTTGACCTTAACTATGTTGGCGATGTTTGCTGTGAAAAGCAAAGTGGAAGCTAGTACTTTGCGACACCAGAGGATTTGCAATCTAGTAAGTACCGAGAACATAGCAGCATAATAAATGACACATCTCACACTTGGAGAAACTGACCTCTACTACCGGCTAGGCTCTACTCTAATATATTTAGACTACTAATATTTGATAGATAGTATGTAAATGAGATTTACAAAGACTGTACAGTATGAAAACAGAGTCTGGCAAGGACTGGTTGGGCCGAGTGGCACAGTCCTTGCCATGAGTCTTAACCTATTCCTTTCTCCCTCTCCTTTCCTTCTATTCCCCTCTTCATCACAGCATATGCCTAGCTTCCTCTTGAAATGCATCTATACTATCTGAAAAGATGTACGCTGCACATTGGAATGATTCAGAGCGGTACTGAATTATTTCTAAAAGTGTACTTGTAAGACCAAACCACAAAAATATATATGATCACCCTTCACAATGAGCTGCGATAGAAACGACTGGCTGTCCAGCTGAAGGTGTTGAATGCTCCAAACTACAAGAGCTGAGCCGCCCTTTCATGATGTGCATTTGCTGCGTTGATAACTGCTAAAGTAAAAGCCACAGAGCATCCTGTTTTGACACACCCAACAATTTTAGAACCTCCTTGTGGTTTTCTTAGAAACCTTCTCACTATGGAGCCAATGCATTGAACATAGGTGTGCAAACTGACGCTTACACATTATGGTCTTGGTTTATGGGTGTAATATTGTGAAAAGTTATGATGCATCATTGCTTGTAAAGCTTCGAATGTCACAGCTCCTAAGAGATATGAAAATTGACATTTTGTTTAGCCACCATAGATTTTATCTCTATGGTTTTGCTTAGGGTAGGCCCAAACAAGCAGTACTGAATCCGCAGAAAATAATCATTTCAATATCAAAATTATAAGGTGCAATAATGCACTATATCAAAGGATGGATTATTATTATAAAAAGTTTTTATGCCTTTTCTTTATTTTGCCTTCTTTTCCTATGATTTATTTTAAACTCCCTTTTTCTATCAATTCCTCCTGCTTTATTTTCTTCTACTGTCATTTTACTTTATTGTTAAAACCTTCAATGTGACAACACACTATACTAAATCTCTTTATTTTCATATACTCTCTGTGGTTTTACAGAAAAGAAACTGCACTGAGCCCTGGGTGCTGGAACCTAGTTAGGGTTTCTGATTTTGTAGTATGTTTACCTAATGAACCATTAGTGGAACACTAAATAGTTTATGATAATGTTATGACCGCTCATCTATTTGCCTGGATAGATTTCCCTCTTTAGAGATAAAGTAAAACATTGGGATCAAAATATTTCACAATTCAGATATTATACAGTTTATGAAGTTTTCATGTTAACTTTTAATTTTATGAAATAATAATTCTGTTGCAGATTTCTACTACCGCACTCTGTCAGGGAAAGAAGCTGCATTGGGTACCAGTGGATCTGCCTACCAAGACTGAAGAGCTTTATCTTAGCGAAAATTTTGTTCAATCGATTACAAATGAATCACTTCTTTCTTACTCAAGGCTCTCCAAACTGAACCTCAGAAACAATCGGATGGAGCTAATTGAGTCTGGAGCCTTTTCTAACAACAGGAATCTACAAGAATTAAATCTAGAAAACAACCAGATGTATAAGCATTATACAGTGACCCATTTGGCACTGAAAACAATCCCAAATTTAAAGAAACTGGATTTATCAAGGAACAGTCTCAGTGAAGATATGGCATCATTCCTTGTCCACAATCTATCCTCACTGGAATATCTATCGCTGACTGGAAATGCCATTATGCGATTGGAGCCTTCCTCATTTGAAGGGCTAGTCCAGCTTCAAGAATTGAACTTAGAGAAAAATTATATCTATGAAATTGAGAGTGGAACATTTGAAGCTTTGAAGTATTTAAAAAAGTTGAACCTAGCTCAGAATCACATTCCTTGTATTGTGGATTTCAGTTTATCCCAAATTGTAGTATTAAATATCAGCCATAACATCATGGAAATGTTTTTAGCCAGAGAAACAGACGATGAGTTTCAACTGAAAATGTTGGATCTGTCCAGTAACAAATTGTTATTTTTCCCTCTTTTGCCTAAACACAACAAACTGAAGTCCCTTTTACTGGCGGACAATGAAATGAGTTTTTATCGTGATCTGATGAACAACTCTGGTTCCAACAAAGTTGAGTTTATTCAGATTGTTGGCAACGTGTCCAACATCACATCTGTGGACCTTTGGGATGAGGCAATTTCTATAAACAGCTCAGCATTAGATGTTCTAGATATGAGCCGGAATTCATTTCGATACCTCCCTTATGGATTCTTTGAAGGAATGACATCCCTATCAACTCTAAACCTCAATCAGAACTGCTTAAAGAAATTTGCTCTAACTGAGGCTGATCCTCTTAATTTTCTTCAGACAATTGATCTCAGTCAAAATCAACTTACTCACATAGATTTTGGTGAGAATGGGATGGAAAAGCTGAATCTTTTAAACCTGAGTTCGAACAGACTGGAATTAGTGCCTTCACACCTCTTTGCTCAAATGCCGCAGATCACAACAGTGGATCTCAGTCGCAACAACATCTTCATTTGTACAGACCCTGTTGAGAAGGAAACCAGGTTTTTAAACAGGAGCTGTGTTGTGTTGGCATATATAAAATCATTGAGATATCTTTATTTATCTAACTGTGGATTGACGTCTCTACCCGCCCATGTTTTTAATGGGTCACCAATAACCCATCTGGATCTATCATACAACACTGCAATACAATTCCACACAGAGACATTTCAAGATGTTGCCAGATCATTGCAATTCTTATCTTTGAGAAACACTAGTCTTACATCCTGCCAGTTAAACAGTGTCCTCTCCTATTTCAGCAACCTCCAGAACTTGGACTTGTCTGAAAATGCTATAGTAAGTCTTCCACCTATACTGAAAAACCTTGCTCTAAAAATGTTGGATTTACGTAAAAACCAGTTAACCACTCTACCACATGATGTGCTGCAGAGACTCTTGAATAGCCTTCAGATTGTTTTTCTAAGTGGCAACTCATTTGACTGTTGCAAACTGAACTGGTGGAGCTCCTTGATCAACGCAAAGTCATTGATTATTGCAGATGGATCAGCTATCACTTGTAATATTTCCTCAAAACTAGAGAGTGTTGATAGGATTTACCCGATCACTAAAATCAAATGTAAAGTGAATAATGTTGCTTTAAGATATTTCTTAATGTTGTTGGTAATAGGCCTGTGTGTCCTCACCATTTGTGTAATGGGTTTTCTTTACTTGCATTCTAAATCATTGCCCAAATATGTAAAAGCAAAATGCATTACTAGTACACAATATTGATTCTGTACAATGTGTAGAATTGACACTGGGATTTGAATCTCATCTCTGTTTGAAAGCTTGATATAAATATTGCACTCACTACCAATGAAAGTTGAATATACAGTGCTGACCTCATTCAAAAGTATTTATGGTATGAATAACTGTGAAACTATATATTCACGTGTACAACATAGAAAATATATAAAAATGAAATGTATATGGGAGAAAAAATATTTTTAAAAGAAAGTCACATCAGAAACATTAAAACTGTTGAAAAGATACTGGCTAATTTGAAGGATTTGTCTGTACTTTAACTGAACAGGGATGGCTGGTGTGAACATTTCAATATTAGAAGGGAAGGGGCACTGTATTGTGATGTGAAACAGGAACCTTGAATCCCCCGCACTAGTTGACCAATTGCTGATCCTGTTGCACACTGCTGCTAAGTCCAACTACTTCAGTACACATCAAGGATTAAATGTAAGACTTTAATAATAATCCTTGCATTTGATAAAGTGCCTTACCACATCATTGAGAGCTTTCAAAGTGCTTTGCATGATTTACTGCAGAATGTAGTGACTGTGTATTTTTCAGCAGCCAATTTGTGTACAGGAATGTCCTACAAATAGCCATTTTACTGGGCTGTACTGTTCAGTCCCCCACCAGACGGTAAATTTGCCCAGTGGGGGAAATCCACCTACACATTAAATTAATTGACAGTTCACTAAGGATATGATTAAATTAATACCCGTTGTTTTGAAGGAGGGATTAGCTGATCTAGTACTAGATCCTTGTGAGTCCTGATAATAAGATAATGATGTCAATATGTCTGGTGCTGGGCCTTAATGAAGACATTCTGAATAGGCCTTGTGGCTATGATACCAAAGCATTTAGTGGAGATTTTCTGTCCTAATGAACTCAGTGATTTACAGGATGGAACTCTGTCTAAAAGCAGCAAAGGAAGTCTTTTGTTTCCTGTTTTTACTGCACATGTGCAGCCAGCTGTATGAGCAATAGATATAAAAATGAAACGCTTTTAAAAAAAACCATAGTTTGAGTGACAGCAGTTAAAAGAATAAGGATGACGGGAAAGGGAAATTCTCAGTTGCACAACCTTTATGCCAAGAGTATATTTATCCAGTCAAGATTACACAGACTTTTGCACTTCTGTGCTCAACAAAGTGGTTGAAAATTGAACACTTTTCTCATTTTGGACACCCAATGTCAGCATCAAACATTTCCAGCAGAGATATAGTATATACAGTTGCTTGAATCATCCTCAACTCTGCATCTAATGTGCTTTAGCTTCAATGCCTAGAGAACATCTCTCACTGCACCAGTGTGAAATATGTCATGTCCCAAATTAAATAGTTAGCTTGTGCCTTGTCTAATTGGACTGCTTAGTGTCAACTGGATGTTGAATTTCAGTCAGTTTGTTCCTCCTGTGCAACATTACAAATCCTGGAATCATCTTTATTGATCTTCCCTGAAGTTACTTTAGAAATAATTGAGTTTCATGTGCACAGTAATCTAAAAACTTGTGAAACTGGACTGAAGAAAAGCAGGGACAGCAGAGGCTCATGTTGCTCATGTTGTCAGCTGCTTACAAAGCCATAAGCAAAGGGAGAAACACATCAAGTGTTTTTTAAGAGAGGATTCCTGCTGAGAAAAAAACATTTATTTATGAAACATTGGATAAAGGCAAGAATTACAGAATTGTTCACTTGCAAGGCCATTAGGCCGGACAGGAGATACCTGCTAAGAACACACATAGAAGCCTACCTCTGTTGCTGCCTATGAAGCAATGGACAGCGCGTGATCAAGTTAGCTCGTGTTGTGGAACTGAATGTGAACATGAAGGGTGTGTGGGGGCTAATAAGAGAAGTATTTTGATATTTCTAGAGAAGTTATTAGGAACTAATATTGGTTTGGAGAAGTTGTCCACCCAAAGGTTGGGCATGAATGACATCAATGAAAAAAATTATTAGGAGGAATCTTAGATAAGAACATAAGAATTGTTAGATGAAAGAAGACCAAGATCCATCTAGTTTGCCTTCCATTATCCTGGCAAGCACATGTACATGTCATGTCCCAAACTATAAACTGTACCACAAGATATTATTAAGAATATAAGAACTGCCAGACAAAAGATAAACCTTGTCTACAATAAAAGACTATGGATGACTTCAGATTTATATGGATAACTTGGAGCAGTGATTTTGGACTAGATGTAGCCACAATACAACATTGGTCATCCATTCTTCACTGCTTTCTATATTGTTTCAAAATGATCCCTTGGGGATTTGCTACTCTGCTCCAAACCATCACCATCTTCTTATGAATCTCAATCTCCTTCAACGTGCTTCAAGCAACCTCCACATTAAACTTGCCACAAAACCTCAGACACATCTATGTTGGGTCTCCAGCCCTGTTCTTGGCACTCAATGCTCAAGTACATAGTCAATTTCACTACATATTTGATGTACTGTAGTACTAAAACTTCAGAATCAAGCTTAGACTAATGGGTTATGGAATTCCTTTTCAGTGTTAGGCTGCACAATCTGGATTTACTGTATTATATTGATTTGTTGCTAAAAGGTTAACAAGAATTACCTTTGGCCTGGGTCACAATAGTAGCAGGGGGAGGGAGAATTGAAGGTAGCTAATGTTATAGATTTTACTCTGGAGTTCAGTGGACCTCATACTTTTCATAGCCAGAACCATCAGTAAAAGGCTTTAGAAACCCTCATTACCTCTTTCCTCAGAGCTGCTATAACCATGACCAAAATCAAAAGAGGAAGTTTCAAAAGAGTGACATTATCAGGAAAGAAATCGCATCCTCCTCAAAAAAGTGGTGCAGCTTCCTGAACGTTTCTTACAAACCAAAATTTGACAACTAGTTCTTGCACAAGAAAAAAATGCATGAAAATAGGTGACTAAGTGATTTGGTGGGAGTCTTAAGCCGTCTGATGCAAAGCAAGAGCGGTTGTGGTTTCAGTGGACAGGATGGGCCACCTTCAAGAGTATGTACTCCTATTGGACTTACCTCAGACCAGTGCAGTAACCAGACTTCATTTTATACATAGTTCTGGAAAACACAGAAACACATTATGGCTTGGTCTGGATGAGGCCTGAAACCGCCTGAACCAGCAGCTTTTGACTTTTGTTATGTTACTATTTTTAAAAAATCTGATTTCACCAACATTTCTCGCCCAAAACCTTGACTCATCTCCCCTCCGGATATTCGGGAAACATTGAATAGTGGACTTTATCTAACTGTTCATCTGAGTTTAGAAGTTCCTTATTTTGTGTCCTGCTTTGACAAAATTTCTTTGATACGGGATGGTTTCCTGACTAACTATCTAGAAAGTGAACATCTCGAATGCTGAGATCTCAGAGAACATAGGGGTGGTTCTCAATTGTCAGTGAATTTACTAATCTTGGCAGATTAGTACATTTTACTCAGTAGTAAATCTACTGATAATCAGAGAATTCCCCCTTATGCTTACAAACGTAAAACTGTAATTGCCTAATTTGCTATGAGGCCACTGTATCCTTAGGCTGTTGCTCTTAAGTGTGACATTGCTATTGTACTTTCATATACTTCATCTTCTGTTTCTCTTGTTCCCAAAATGTATCTGTTACTTAGTCAATCATGCCTTTTAAGTTATATTTAAAACCTCTAAATAAAAAAAAATGACAAAAAATGGCATCACATTTTCATTGCAAGATCAATGAAATTGTAGTCCAGAAAATTGTCTTCTGAAGATTTGATACTACATCAGGCAGGTAAGAAAATCAACATTTAGATGTGACTGAATTAGCTGCAGAGGTTTCATGATCATTTTGGTGTGGACATTGTTTGGAAGAATCGAGAATTGCTGGTCAGAGCAAGTTGGTGTGATTAAAGAGGTCGGGAAATGGCAGAGAGAGTATCATATCAGCCTTTGATAGTTAGCAAACCGTCAAGGAATAGTGGTGAACCATTACAGAATGAAACAAGGCAGAATTGATGCCTCTGTCTTGCTGAACCTTTTTAAGTGGTTGTATTAGTAAGAGCCTAAAATCACTTTAAATCCCATTTTCACAACGAATGATCTACAGTTTCGACATAAGAGATTAACAGTGATTGTAATTAATTACTCATTTAGATCCTTTTGTGGAGCCATCTGCCTTCACCAGAACCTATCTATCACAGCTGTCTTTTGATAGACGGGATATTGTACTCAATGCTGTATACGTTGTAACCAGAAGCAAGACATTTATGCATTGCATGTTAATCTTTCTTTGTGAAAGTGGATCAGTAAAAACATGTTAGCAGAACCTCAAGTGGACATTTAGTAGTTACTTTGTGGATGTTTCAGTCTCTTTTTGTCTCTCTTTTTTTGTAAGTTTGGTACTGGAACATACTACCTAGTTTCATGCTATAACATATGTCCCCTTGAGGCAAGGAAATGAACATCCAGGACACAAAGAAGAAGGAAAAGGACATGTGGGTTCATTTGCAGGGTAGTTCCATTTCCAGTAGTCAGTTCCTCTTTCTAGCCTCCCTAGGCCTCAGTGATGTTTTAAATGATGAACAGATTGTGATTGGGTTTCAGGGTAATCGGCATATATATATTTTCAATATATAGGTATTTGCAATAAGTATACAGGTATGTGGCCTGTATAATTATTGAGTGAAACGTTTTTCTATTAAGTTGGAGGAAGTCACTGGTAGCTCTGTGAGCAAGTGTTTTATTTTGCTGTGGCACGTCTCTTCTTCCCTTCAGCAACTCCAGTTCCTACTGTAGGGCTGCAACTTGTGTCGAAGTTAGCACCGATCAGCACATAATGGTCATAAAGTCTCCCCTCCCACCGCTTACCATTCTCAGATATGCACTCACCCTTCTTAAACACACTCTCATACATTCCTCAGAAACACACTTTTCAGCATCCAAGGCTGCACTCTCCACCTCTCAAAGCCGTCAGGAACCTCGGGGTTCTGTTCGATCCTGAGCTGTCCTTTCTCCCTCATATCCGCGCCACAACTGGCACCGCCTTCCATCACCTCCGGAATGTCGCCAGACTATGGCACTACCTCACCCCTCGCGCTGCTGAAACTCTGGTCCACGCCTTTGTCACCTCAAGGCTGGACTATGGGAACTCTCTCCTCGCCGGCCTTCCCGGCACCTCCCTCCACAAGCTGCAGGTCATTCTGAACTCTGCAGCTCGTGTACTGTCCCGCACCAGACACCGTGACCACATCACTCCCACCCTCGCTCGCCTCCACTGGCTCCCCATCCCCCAGAGGATCGAATTCAAGATCCTCACCCTCACCTACAAGGCCATTCACGGCCTTGCTCCCCCTACCTCTCCGACCTACTATCCCCTACCTACCTGCCCATACCCTCCATTCCTCTGGCTCCGGTCTGCTCCACATCCCCCGCCCCAACCGCCCTACCATCGGTGGCCTTCAGCCTCTCAGCCCCGAGGTTCTGGAACTCTATCCCCCAGTGCCTTCGCCGCCTCCTCCCTTTCCTCCTTCAAGGCCGGTCTCAAGACCTTTCTCTTTGACCGTGCCTTCAGCTCCCCTCTCGACTCTCTACCCCTTCCTCGCTCCCTCCCTTCCCTCCCCTCACCCTGACCATTTCCCCCCTGCTCGGGTACTGACCCAACTGTACAGCGCCTTGGGACGTCCTCCCGACGTGAAAGGCGCTCAATAAATGAAATCTTGTTGTTGTTGTTGCTGAAACAGGTGAACAATTATCGGGATGTTCCGTGTTACTGTTTGAACCTTAAGCGTTTGCAGTGGTTTCAACAATGTCTCTGGTGTCACAAATGGATTTTGCGATTGGACAACATTCAGTGGCTAGTTTTATAAAACATTCCTTGGAAATATAAATCTCAGCCTGTTCGTAGAATTCTGCCTTGAGACAAAAATTCCTTTTATTTCACAGATTACCAACTGTTAATTTCCTTTAAATCTCTCAAACCTCAAACAAATGAGACATAAAAGAAGATCCCCATTTGTGGAGAGAATACTTTTGAGTTACCAATTGGTCTGTGGTTGCATTCAGTGAGTGGCTTCTTAGAGTGGGTAGGTGGATGGCAGCATATCTGGCCACAATATACCCAGTGGTTAAATAGAGTTACTCCTCAGAATCTAAATTTATCCCTTACTGTCAAATTTTGCGAATACATATTTTTTCATGTGGATTTGTTTCAGATATTTTCTTTGACTTCTACCAAGACAAAGTGGAGAAGGGAGTAATATATGTGGTAAATATGCTGTCAGACATTATTGTAAAACAATAATCGATACATGGCTGGAGTGTGGTCATGCTAGAATCTGACATCCAGTCCATTATATTGACCTCAAGGTGTTGAAGATCTGCATTTTACAGGTGCTAAGTGATTTATCCTGCTTGTGTCTGAACTTATCTCTCCTTTGGTAATATGGTTAACAAAAAAGAAAATATGTCAAGTGATGCTCTTGGTTTTCAGAGAATCAGAACCACAGCCACAGCTCAATTTTACCTGTACTACAAAAGCGACACCACTAGTTACACCTGCCAAAAGGCTGTTCAATTTGATCATACTCAGCATAATTTCTCAAACAAAAATTGTATATATTACAGAAAGCATAGTAGTAAGTCAAGATGCAGCAGGCAATCAGTACTCAGAGGGTTCATGGTGAAATTAGTACTACTATGACTCAATTTAAGCCTTATCAGTGCCTCGCTGTTTTTTTTAGGTCAAAACCAAAACTAAACCAACCTCCCACCAGTGGTGACAGTGGTGGCAACGGAAGAAAAGTTTGCACGTTTCAGTACATGTGTACAAGTGTGAGTGTACAATATATTTCTACAGAACTCTAGGTACGGCTCAGGAGACAATAAATGACTAGACTCACACATGAAATCAGGTCATGGGGCTGATTCCGTGGCGAAAAGAACTATCTGCAGAATATGTTCCCCCCTTCCCCCCAGCCGCTCCTCCCAGGATTTTTTTTTAAAAACATCTTTATATAAAAAAGTAACAAATGCCTATGTTGTGTGTATGTAAATATATTGATTAGATTGAGAATGATGGTTCCATGTGGCCATCCTGTTGGAAATGGCTTACGACCACAGGAGGTAATATATTCACCCATTGATACATGAGCTGGGAGCTGGGAGATTCTGGTTAAGGGTTTGAGAGCAAATAACAAAATAAGGAATGAGAACATAGTAATCCATTTGGCCAATCGAGCCCACTCCTTTACCAAACCTTTTGGACTCTCAAGAACTTTACTGAACTTGTTTCATCTCCCGAAGTGAATCAACACAAGTAAAGAATCTGAGACACAACTTTCTGCAAGTTCTCATTTACCTCTGAAAGTAACCAATGGAAAACAACAACAAAATTACATTTGCATAGCGCCTTTCATGTCGGGAGGACGTCCCAAAGCGCTGGACAGACAGAGTTATGGACCCAAGCTGAGGGTCGGGGTGGGGAAGGATGGAGGGCAGGGGGGGGAAGCAGGGAGATCGAAAGCATGGTCGAAGAGGAGGGTCTTGAGGTGAGTCTTGAAGGTGGCGAGTGAGGGGGTGAGACGTAAGGACTGTGGGATGGAGTTCCAGAGGATGGGTGCAGAGTGGCGGAAGGCCCGCCCGCCGATAGTGGTGCAAACAAGGTGGGGGACGTGAAGCAGACCGGAGCGAGCAGGGTGATAGGGGGTTAGGAGGTCGGAGAGGTAGGGGCAAGCAAGACCGTGGAGGGCTTTGAAGGTGAGGACCAGGATCTTGAACTGTATCGTCTGTGTGATGGGAAGCCAGTGGAGTTGGGCAAGGATGGGGTGATAGGGTCGCGGAGCCTAATGTGGGAGAGCACATGGGCTGCAGAGTTCTGGATGATCTGCAGCCGGTGGAGGGAGGAGTTGGGGAGGCCAACAAGCAGTGAGTTAGCATAGTTGAGCCTCGATGTAATGAAAACTCAAGATATCGGTATAAGACAGTACTTTGAGAGTTAATGAATTCAGGAATTTAGGAGACTGTACCATGTACTGTATTAACTACTCTGTACTTAGAAAGAGAAAATTATTTTTAATTTCTGATCCTGCTGGAGGTTTATTAATTGTGGACTTATTTTCTCCTAGTTTACTCAGTTAAAATTCAAACAACCTAATTCCAAATGCCTGGATCATGTCCCCACTAAAATCAATTTTTTTCAGTGACGACAAGTTCAATTGTGAGACTTTTCGATTTCAGTTCGGTACAATGTCAGAAGTCAGGAATTTGTATCAATCAACTGTTCTGACAATATAAGAACATTTTTTAAAAGTTTAACTTTGGAGAATGAGTTGCAACACATTTGTGAACATCTGCAACATGAGAAAGAAGAAATGAATCGGCATCTCCAGCTAGCGACGGAAATGTTAGCTTCCCCATCTCGTTGTTCCACATTCAAATTAATGCTTCATTTATGGAACAGATAGGGGAGCAGGGCACGTACATTGACATGTGAGTGTGAGTAATAGCCAGCTGCTCTTGATCAACAGGAAAGTCTCAGCAGTCAGTTCAGTCGCCTGTTTACAAATTAGTTTCATGTTTTTATGCAACTTTGCTCAGTGTCAGCAATAAAAATATTTTTAATAAGTCAGCATTATACACAGAGCCATCAGGCAGAAAGACTTTTTGAACTTAGTTGAAATTATTATATGCAAGATTTCAAATTCTCTTGTAATACCGGAGTTCAGAATGTAGTAAAATCTGATAACAATTTTAACTCTTGCTTAAAAATGCAGAGCTACTGTGTTATTAGTCAAATTTGCCATTTAAATTAATGTCTCTCAACCAATTCCTCAAACAAACGAAAGGCAGGGAAACAATTGCTTATAATATATATTAATTGATCTTTTCATACCCACATTGATTTGGCAAAACAAAACTGCAACCCACAATTACAAAAATAGGTTGGTTCCAACTGAGAAGGAGGAAGTTCCCTCTAGCAGTGAAATCAAAACTCAATATACGGCCTGACTTCACTTCATTATTGTTCTCCAGACATTATCGGTGTAGAACTCCTGACCTCAATTAATCTTCCCTTTTTCCGATGTTCTACCTACTTTTAAAAATTGAGCTTAGTATTTGGTCCTGTAGTCAGGGATATTTGTCTTTGCTGTAATTTGTATGGTTCTGGTACAAAACGTTGCTTCCTTTCTTTCTGGAGCTTGAGCTTACTGAGGGCCTCCAGGGGCAAACAGTGGATACTATACAGGTTACCTTATTCACCTTTAGCCTTTGCCAAACCACATGGGACTTTTTGTTTTGAAATACTCTATCTCTATAGGTGCTACATTCAGTAAGCCATTTTGAAAAACAAATTCTACCACTTATGAATAAAGATATCGGAAATACAAGTAACAGACTAATTTCACATGGTAAACTGTGGGCAACTCAAGTCATAAATCAACAAAACAGATATTCCATTGGCTTTATTTATTGACAGACTAATTACATAATTTATGATCAAGGGCCCAACTTTTTATTTAAAGTTGGATTTTAAGAAAATATTAACACTAACCCAATGTTCGTAATGCTGTTTTCTTAGTGCTAACAAAACCAAAGACTTCAATGATCACGTAGCAATAAGTAATTCATGCTTTGAAAACAAGTAACAGCCATTCCAGGTCTAAAATTCTAAATGTCCTTAAATACAGCTGTGTATTGCTTCCAAGCTGCTTGGAAGAGACAGGAATGGTGTTAAATGTTTGTTTCTCAGTCAGTCCAGGAGTCCCATTTGCCAACAGATTATTTTTATTCTGACCTCACAAAAAAAGGACATTCAACAGTTCTGAAAAGGAAAAATCAGAAATCTTCATTTGTCTCCTCATCGTCCCAACCACATGACTCAATTGGTTCAACCTGGGCAAAGTCAACTTCCACGTCATAGACAAAGTCAGGATCATCAGATTTTTTCCGGTTCTTTTCAAAAAGTTCATCCATGATTTTTTTCTTCTGGTCCAATTCTTTATCATCAAGTTTATTAAGGTCTTCCTCTGGATCAATGGTGTTTTCTTTGTGGATTATTTCCAGGCTGCGATCCAGGCTCAATCCAGATAGACTGTTTCTCAGGAGCTGGTATAGCTTTTGCAGCTGCTGCAATGACACTCCACCAAGGAACGGCTTATGCCGAGGGTTATTTTTGAGTTCTTCTGCAGCTCGGCTACAATCTACAAATTCAAAAATATATTAAGTACATAAGGCACTGCTTGAATTCAGTTAACTATATTCTAATGCGTTTTTTTGAGTTGGCTCAAGGTCCCTGACTGAGAGAGGGAAAATTGTTTTCAGATAGGGTTCCTATCCCTCAATTGCTATTCACCGATCTCTATTGGATATATGCAAGTGGCTGTTTGGTATAATAGTTTTCATGTTTAAATAGCCTTCCAATTTAACGAAAACATTCTTTCCCCAAATAATCTGTTACTTTCATATCAATAGTAAAGACTAATAAGAATATAGCATAGCTGATTGAATCTGATTAACAGCTAAAAGGCAGAGTTTAATAATAATAATAATTCTTGCATTTGATATAGCGCTTAACCCTCACTTAGACGCTTTTAGAGATAAAAACAAGTATCCATTGAGTGGAGGAAGGAGGAAAATGGACAGGACACTACGAAGCTGACATTTCATAATAATAATTCTTACATTTGACATGGCATCACATCATTGAAACATCACAAAATGATTTACTGTAGAACATAGTGATTGTAGTTGTAGGAAAACTGAGAAGGCGAGGATGGTTTCGGTGGTGAACACACCAGCTACAGGCTTTCTCCATGGCTAATAGAATAAATACTGCTCAATGTAGAAACAAGTTTACCATTAGCACTGTACCATGATTAAAACCAAACTGCATCTTCCACTTTTTGGCTTTAATTCTCACCTGAAAATTTGGAAAAATTTCTAACTGGCATCGACCTCTGTCGAATTTTCTTAGTCTTTTCATCTTCGTAGATTAAAATGATAGCAGGTGGTTTGAACTTCACTCCACACTTCTTTGGGGTGTAAGTCATCCTGCTTCATCTACAATATTCTTCTGTCTTGCAGGTAATTCACTAGCAGGATTTAACTCAAGTGTCTTACAACACCGAAGAAGAGTAAGGCAGATATCTCGCTCCAGAAATCTTTAAAAATGTTTTCTACATTTTACAGCAAAGAGTAATCCATATGGAATATGCTGTTTGGCCAAAAAAAGAACAAGAAGTGTATTTATACAATGAATAAAATCATGTTAATTTCTCTGGTAAAGCATGTGAGATGCGAAATATTGCCACAGCTAAAACTATTCTTGTATTATTATTACTATTATTATTATTATTATTACCACACCCACTACTGCTGCTCCACAGTCTTGTTATTACTGTACCTCCTATTGCTCTACGGACAGTACCAATATTAAAACACCTACTAACGCAGTAGCCCTCGCAATCGATACAGCGCCTTAACACGTCTTCGAGACGTCTCAAAGCGCTTCACGGGACACACTGCGAAGACTAGCGACTGTGTACTTTGCGGCCGAGACGCGGCAGCCGGTTGCGCCCCCGCCCACCGCGGGGTCGTTCAGCGCGTTGGGGGGTGGGGGAGAGGAGGGAGAGGAGGGAGAGGAGGATGCCCTCCCCGGGGGTCAAAGGCGCTCTGTAAACGTCCGTTTGCTGCAGACGGACGGGTGCAACTGCTGAGCGCAGTTCCGCCCACACGAAATACACAGTCACTACACTTTGCGGTGAAGCCTGTGAAGCGCTTTGGGGCGTCTCGAAGACGTGATAAGGCGCTGTATCAAACGCCAGGCTATTATTATTATTATTATTATTATTGCTCTGGACTCGGTACTGTTCAGCTGCCGGTCTCACCCTCTCCCCGGGCACAGACCCCCTCACCCCACGGCACCCAAGGCCTCTGTCTCCATGGTAACGCCACCGGCCTGCGACCGGCGAACTGCCCGAAAAAAATAACCACCGCCGCCGCCGCCGCCACCAAAAAAAAACCCCAACGCCGCCACAAAACACACGCGTACCGTTCAAGGGAAATATTTACACGTAGCTACAGATTTCTGACCTCTTACCTCTAGATGTTAGCGATTATACGTCTATAAAATGAAACGCAGCGAACGAGTCAGCGGCGGCGGCGGCGTTCAGGCAGTGACCGAGGCAGCCCTGGGTCCTGCTGACGGACAGGGAGAGCGGGAGCGGCCGCTGAGCGCGAGTCAGGGTTTGGAGGGGGTCCGAGGCCCCGGGGCTGTGAGCGGGGGGTGTCCCGGCTCCGGGTTGTACCGGCGGCGGAGTCGGCGATGGGCGCTGCGGCTCAGGGTCTGGTGTCTCTGATTCTGACCGAGTGGCTGTGGGTCGGTGCCGCCGCCGCCGCCGCCGCTCAGGGTAAGACCTTAAAGGGGAAGTGCCCGCCCTGACTGTGCTCAGAGAGCTGCCCACCGAAAGCAGCGCCGACCGCAACTCAGCAGCACCGGACAGTTGGTGCTCTGATGACAACAATTCTCAGATGATTTATTGTTCCCGTTGGGGGAGGATTTTTTTTTTTTTTTTTTTTTTGCGCGCCTCACATCTCCTCGACGTCTCGCGCAGCGCTTCACGGAATAGACCGTAAAGTGAATTGATGACAATTATTGTTGTATGATTTTTTTTTTTCCCCCTTCCCTCCCTCCCCCCCACCCCCTGTGCCGCGGGTTACTGGCCGTACGTAACGGATGAGGTGATCGGCACCGCCCTTCGCTTCCGCTCCTCCTTCCTCAACAACTGCCACGACAACAGCTTTGCACTGACGCGGCGGCGCCCTCCGCGCCGGGCGGCGGCGTCTCGGAGCGCTTCATTAATCCTCCGTCAATCTGCTCGGGAATGGAGTCGGGCAGTGGGGGAGGATGACAGCAGAACTTGGACCTGCCCTTATCTGATGTCTCAGATAACCTCACCTGTTGCAGCCAGTACATCGGCTCCTTGGGTCGTCCTCCCGACGTGAAATAATAATAATGATAATAATCCTTGCATTTGATATAGCGCTTTTCACGTCGTGGAGGACGTCCCAAAGCGCTTCACAGAATGCACTGTAAAGTGAATTGACTGTATATTTGTGGGCGAACGCGGCAGCCAATTGCGCACAGCAGTGTCCCACAAACAGTCATAGATTGAAAATGACCAATTTTATTATTGTTTTTGGTTTTGGAGGATTATTATTAGGCTCTGTGTGGAGTAAGGAAACTTGCCCAAGGTTTCACCCTCTGCCTGGAATTGAACTCAGGTCTCTCACTTGCAAAGCGAGTGCTCTAACCACTGAGCTACAGGACTCCAAAAGGCGCTATACCAGCGTAATTTTCGTGTTGTGTTGTTTCCATGCACATAAGCTTTCACAAATTGAAAACAGATTCCTCTGAAATAACGATGAACTGCTAAAAAGACGTGCGCTATATGGCCTCTTTCCTTAAAGCTGCGACATGTCATTTATTAACCCAGGTTTTAAGGTGTGTTCCTGGACTATTCACCAATTTGTACGTTTCACGGGCCACCTACTGTTCTCTCAGTGAGGATGTCAACTCTTTGTATAATTTCAGGCTCCATGCACACTAGAACTTGCATTTATATAGATCCCTTCGCATAGGCTAATGTCTTGGGAGTGCTGTACAGTAGCAGGGTTGAACGCTGAGCAAGGGAGAATTTGGAGGTAATCATAGTTGCAGCTGAAGAGGTCAGTATTCAGGTGGATTTAAAAATAAATAAAGAGAAGGTTGAAGGCAGGGAGTTCCAGATATTAGGGCTGAATACCTGGCCACTGATGGTGGCATGGGGAATGTGCAGCAGACCTGTATTAGCTGAGCATATGGGGAGTGCATATGAGCAGGACAGAGGTAGGTAGGTGCTAGCTTAATTAATCCTCCATTATCTGCTCGGGAATGGAGTCGGGCAGTGGGGAGGATGACAGGAGAACTTGGACCTGCCCTTATCTGATGTTTCAGGGATATGTATGAGTGTGATCTTGAAGTCGATCCGTTCGGAGATGGAGCCAGTGGAGCCTGGCGAGCATTGGGGTGATGGTCGTGCAACTCTTATTTGGATAATGGTGAGCCGAAGTAAACAGTCTAACGCCAACTGGCTTGTGTTTCTCCAGAGGTTGGTGACGAATGGCCATATGATGACTGGCTGCAATCTGTGAAACTGAACAGGCATTTTGTAAAAGAAGGCTTTCACAGGTAAGAATCCCAAATCATACAGGAAAAAAAGCTTTGAAAGACAAAACAAGGCACAGATTATCTTTTGAAAAGTTGAATGAGCATGTGGTTCATATATTTATTGCTGTGAAGGCCAGGAAACTATGTACAGTATTATTGGTGACTAATTGGCGACTCTCTATTTTGGTAGAGAGATAGTGACTGATGTTGAGTTTGGCGCAAGTGTCAGTTCAGACTGCTGTGTTATGGTGAAGGAGCAGTTGCCCCAGGGACTTTATGTGGATCCATATGAACTGGCATCTCACCAAGAGCATAACAAAACGGAGGTATGAAAACTCTTAACTTTGCTTTCAATATTACTTATGCAGCACAGGAGAAAGCTGTGAGAAATCCAGGTCTGTCCTTGTCCATACATATTTAGGTGATTGTTTGGGTTTAAAGTTCACAGATGTACCCATATCTCAAGAAGACATGAATGCAAAAGACGGGTATATCATGTTGAAAATTGAAGTTAGATATTCTGAAGTCTGGGTAACATTCTGGTAACTGCCCTCACCTACCAAGAAGAAACTCATTGGACTATCTGTCACTGTTGTTGCTGGATATTGATGGTGTCTCTGGTATGGCAGGTGCTGGTCCTGGATGTGATTGATATTGAAGCTCCAGAGTACCTGTCAACTGTGCACTCGATTCTCATTTACCTGAAGCCTCACTCCAGACGCGCTGATTATTTCACTGCCACTGTACCTGTGCACATCCGGTACCATCGACCAACTAGTATGGGAGACACCGTTACCTTGGTAACCCTTGCAGATCCAGAGCTTATGGTTCACTGTGAGAGAAGTATGTAACATTAGAATGGTCATTGTGTTTCTCAACTTTGTATAGCAATCTAGTAAATTGCAGATTTCAAGTGAAAGGACATTATCTAAAAGCTAGCCTATCCTTTCACTAAAGGGATTGTAAAGCATGTGTATGTCCATTTTATTGGGAAACATTCTTGTGACTGCCTTACTCACCAAACAAGAAGAAACTTGTTGAATTATTAGGGAAATCTAAAGAGGTTTGTTTTATATTTTAGTGCAATTCTGAATCGGGAGACAGCTAGAGGTTTCACATTTTATCATGTTAAGGGGTGGTTGGATTTCACCACTTGGAAGTCCAGCTGACATTTACTATAATTCAGCTGGTAGGGCTATTGCTGTAAGATGCTGGATGACTGTGTCCCATTAGTAATACAGTTGGCAAACCCTGTTTTCAGTTCTACCCTTAACCGTAACTTATGAAAGATCCTTTTATTAATTGGCCTCCTTCCAATTGTCAGAAATTATCATATGCACTTAACCGTGGAACTGAAGACTGTGTTGGTACCAGAAGATGGACAGTAGCTACGGGTTTTAGATTGAAGGCCTTTGGGCTGGGAGCCACAGGATCATCTGCTTGAACTATATGACTGCTCTTATAAGATGTTTTCAACCACATTGAGGTTTGTGTGGTTTGATGTTGCAGAATTTTGACCTTTTTATCATTTATTGAAACTTGCGCTGTAGTGTTATACGGTTTGAGTTGTACACTTAATTCGTCTGCATTGTGAAAATTTACTCCAGCATAGATCCACACTCAACCAATGGATGATATGGTTGTATATTTTATGCAAATCATAGAGGTGAGAGATATCAAGATTAAGTATGCTATTTTATACCTTTTATATTTTAAACTCCCTTTAGGACATAGCTAAGGTAGGGAAATCTGACTTTCTTACTTTTACATGTGAAAAGAGTTGAAGTATTTTATCTTTAAATATTCCAGGTAATGTGAATATTTGCAAAGAGATACTTAGAGATTCTGCTAACTAGAAAAAGTCGACACAGAGCTAACTAGTGTTCTTCCTTAGGTTGGTAATGTGTATTTAACCTGTTTTGTCTCTTTTAGGCCTTGTGCACGAAGGAGGATTTAAACTTGCTTTGACCAAAGCTCCCTGCTCAGTAAGCAACCACAGTATCTGTAACTGGATAAATGTTAATTATCAAACTGTAAGTTTGTTACAAATGTTGTCAGTTTTTCACCACTTCCTTTGGAAGCAAATATTGTGTGTAGCACACTTCTATTAATCACGATTGGTGTATTATACTGTGGTGGAATGAGGCGCTAAGCTCCAGCATTATTTGTATTGTCTCGCTCTCCATTTATATTTCACTTGTGGTGAATGCCATGATTTTGGCAGCGATTTTCTGCCGGTCTGTACTATATGCACCATATTCTCTATTTGATATGGATGCAGAAATTCTAATACAATATAATACAAAACAAATTTACATTTGTATAGTGCCTTTGCAGAATTGCCAAATGAAAGCTATATTTTTTAGATAAACCTAAAATGCTTTGCTTAATGTTCTCATCTCCATTATTACAGATTGTAAAATTTTATCTTTTTTTCCAATTTACCAATTTTTCCAATTGATCAAATTTTAACCCCCCATTATGTGCTACACTCTTGCACATAAAAGTCATTGACACCAACATCTTTGTAGCTGGCAAGAAATGCATGTTAATCCTAGTTCAGTTTCAAAGCTTTAATATGTGATTAGTAACTGGATGTGTCATATATTGATGGTCTTGAGAGTGCTTGTGGATTGTGACTGATTTCTGTGTCTTTGCAGGTTACAAGTACACTATCACTACAGGTGCCTGTAGGTCAGACACATCATATTGTGGCAGTTTCCACTGTGACATTACTCACCACTGTGCTGTGTTGCAGTCTGCTTATCAAAACTGTGTGGACATATGGAGAGTTTGAATACTCAATTCAGAGATAATTGGAGGACCCTAAGAGATGAAGTTGCGAAACTGATGATTGCTTGAGTGGAAACCATCTCATCTATTTGCAATGAACAGTCCAGCTTTACAAGTGGCTCTGTTCTCTTTGACAAGCCTGGAGGGACTGCAGTTCATTTTGTACGTTCCTGAAGACTCCTGGTCATATGGTCAGGTCTGCTAGAAATGAGATTTGTCAGAGCAGATGGGATTCACTTCATTATGCCCTCTGATAATAATAACAATAATAATTATCCTTGCATTTGATATAGCGCTTTTCACATCTTTGAGAGATCTCAAAGCTCTTCACAGAATATACTGTAAAGTGAATTGACTGTATATTTGTGGGCAAAACGTGGCAGCTAATTGCGCAGAGCAGTGTCTTACAAACACTATATAAAATAATATATAGATAGCAATCTGTATCAAGTTAGTCCCAAAATAGTAAGAGGCTTATTTTCTGCACATCCGTAGTTGCTTTCAGAGAGTGAAATTGATCGGTTTCCTTCAGCCACTCAGAAGCCACAAGTCAATGAGCATCTCAGAGGATTGTCCACTTTCCTCTTTGGCACAGCACTTTAAAATAGATTTTTGTAAATTGTCCTGGTGTATGAGGGGTATTTATGGGTACAGTATCTCTCAGATTAACATTGCACAGTCATTTCAGTAATGGGGTGATTTGTGGATTGCCAAAGAAGACTTCAAGAACAAGTCAGATCATCCTTGCTGATGTTAAAGATTAAATGCTGATGATTATCATTGACACTGTGCTTCATTTTGCTAAATTATTTTGTTCAAATAGAGTGTTAGCATCATGCAAACTATTTGCTCAGAGTTATTTTTATTATGAACATTAAAACCAAGAACTCAACTTTAATCATTAGGCAATTTTTAACCAAACACAGACCAGATTCACAAACTTTATGGTAATAGCTTTTTCTGCGAATTATGAAATGATTCAATTCAGTTAATCCAGGAGCTATCTGCATCCAAGATGAACAAACTCACACCTCCCTCTACTGGCTGGATTTCATACGTTTTTTCCCCCCCAAAGTCACCAGTGCCCTCTTCTGTCATACTGTCCTGGTTTGGATAAAATTAAACCTTTATTACTATAGGGAATATTGCATCTTCAACATATTACTCTTAGGAGTAAATCTTCCGAATCTTTGGTGAATCACTAGGGTCATCACCTGGGCCAATAGAAAAGTGCGGAAATATTTGCCCCAAATTGCAGGGAAATTTTAATTGCTTTTTTTTTTCCTTTTTTCTCCCAATATTCAAATACACTTCCCTACACATTCTTCCTCTTCCCCCGTAATATCTTTGTTGAAAGAAGAAATAGATTTACATGGATCGTCATGTAAAACTCACATCAACTCTCCTTGGTTTATGAAAGGAGATTGAAATGTCTCTATTTTATTAGCAAGTTAAACCTGTCATCTACAAACTTTAAGCAAAATACACAATAATAATAATGCACAAACTGAGCTCTCATCTCCGATGTGAAATATGCTATGTAAATTGTTATAGAGGAATGTCGAAACAAGATTCATGATTACGAACAGATTACAAACCCATGTAACTATGAAAAGATGATTTGTTTTTCTTACTGATACACGTTTCAAAACAAAAGAGTTACATTTCAAACAAACAAAAATACCAGAAAAAAAAAACACGAGTCGGTCAGCATCCAAACCATCCACATCATTAACATTTCTGGTAGATTCTTAATTTTTATTTTGCATTTTCTGCATTTGGTTATTTTTTATTAGTTTTAACAGCACCAACAACAGTAAGAATTGACAAATGTGCACAAGGTATGGAACTTTATGCTATAAATACTTATGCCCAGCTCCAATGTGTCCCCTCTTACCTCCCCCCTTCTCTCCCTCCCCCATTGGAGGATAGTCAACTCTATGGGGAGTCCATTCCAGAGATTCTTCCCAATATTGCCCCAGAAGAATTGGAAGTTAGCCAACAGCAAAATATCAATTAAGATGGCACTACTGACATCCAGTGGCAAAATGGAAAATAGATGCTTGATATTGTGTATGAAATCCATCTGAGAGTTGGGTGTTACGAATTGCTTTTGCCACATACCCAGAGACATCCGATGGATATTCTGAGTCGAGAGGTGTAAGAATGTCAGTGTCCAAGTGAGACTTTGCTCCTGTAACATTACAGAAAACTTGTTACCAGTGGGAAAATAATGTTACTCGTGGATTACTCAACAATCCCATTTAAAAAATTTTTTTTTTAACAAAACAAAACAGTAATAGAAAAAAATCCCTTTACTGTATCGGTTCAGAAGAATGACCTGGGAACACCAGCGTGTCTATTCCTATCATGTTGTGTCCACGATGATGACACACAAGTTCTGCTCTGGGAATTACCTGCACATTAACGCCATGTGGATCTGAGCTCACAATTTTGCAGCCGATTAACACTGAGGTCCCATCCCAACCCCTTCTGGCGGATGGTGAAAGATCCCATTTGCAGGATTTGTTTTGCAATTGCAATTAAATCATAACATCCTCATCAGGAGCATCATCACCGTTATATATATATATACATATATATATAATAAAAAAACCCTTTCCCAAATGGACAGCTGCGTGTGCTCTTTTCCCCACGTCTTGGACGTAGAGCCTCTTCCCCCATTGAAACTGCCACGAAATAACCCAGTGTTGGGGGTTGGGGGTTGGGGAAAAAAAAGGGGGGGAGCAGTGAGTTTGTGCTGGGTTTAATCCTTGCAAATCTGCTCCTGGGACTGAGATCACTTCCGCCTGGTGGGAGTTTTGGTGAGTGATTCAATCGTTTTCAATCCCAAGTGTAAAAGATGTACACACAATCCAGAGATCTTGAATGGAAGATTTCCTCCTCCACTTTAACGATGACTTTTTAATTGCAAGGACTGTCTCCCTCTCTCTCTCCCTCCCTCTCCCTCTCCCTCTCTCTCTCTTTCTCATCCTGATCCCTCCTCCAGTCTTTAGGGAAAACCCAAGTTAAATCATTCTTTAAATTTCGCGGTCTGGACTCGGGATTTCACTGGAATGTCCCAGTCAGACAGAGGGAGACACAGAGAAGCTCTCAGTAATTCCATTTGCAGACCAGACTGAGGAGGACTCGCACTGTGGGCTTTCCAGGTACAGCTCCTCTTTTTTTCTCTCTGGTTTATAAACCCCCCCCCCCAGAAGGTTTGGGGGTGAGGGTGTGTGTGTGTGAGGGTATGTGTGTGTGTGTGTGTGAGTGTGTGTGAGGGTGTGTGTGTGTGTGTGTGTGTGTGAGTGTGTGTGAGGGTGTGTGTGTGTGAGGGTGTGTGTGTGTGAGGGTGTGTGTGAGGGTGTGTGTGTGGGTGTGTGAGTGTGTCTGAGGGTGTGTGTGAGTGTGTGTGTGAGTGAGTGTGAGGGTGTGTGTGAGGGTGTGTGTGTGTGTGTGTGTGTGAGGGTGTTTGTGTGAGGGTGTGTGAGTGTGTGTGTGGGTGTGTGAGGGTGTGTGTGTGTGTGTGTGTGGGTGTGAGGGTGTGTGTGAGTGTGTGGGTGTGTGTGTGTGAGGGTGTGAGGGTGTGTGTGTGTGTGAGTGTGTTTGTGTGAGGGTGTGTGTGAGGGTGTGTGTGTGTGGGTGTGTGTGAGTGTGTGTGAGGGTGTGTGTGAGTGTGTGAGGGTGTGTGAGTGAGGGTGTGAGGGTGTGTGTGTGTGAGGGTGTGTGTGAGGGTGTGTGTGAGGGTGTGTGTGAGGGTGTGTGTGTGTGAGGGTGTTTGTGAGGGTGTGTGTGTGTGAGGGTGTGAGGGTGTGGGTGTGTGTGAGTGTGTGTGAGGGTGTGTGTGAGGGTGTGTGTGAGTGTGTGTGAGGGTGTGTGTGTGTGGGTGTGTGAGTGAGTGTGAGGGTGTGTGTGAAGATGCTGGTGATGGTGAGTGCTGGAGTTAGTAAACTTTGGTGGAAGTTTTCTTTCTCTCCAGACTCAGCTTTGTGTGTGTGTGAGTGTGAGTGTGTGTGTGGCTTCTCTCGTTCTCACGTTCCCTCCCTCCCTCTCTCCTCTCCCTCCTTCCCTCTCTCCTCTCCCTCCTTCCCTCTCTCCAGCAGATCAGACGAGCCGCAGAGGCCCATCTCCTCCACCATTTACCCCCTTTAATCCCCACACACCCGCTCTTTATTGACCCCCTGTATGTGTGGGGCTGCAAAGCATTGCACAGGTCAGAGAGGAGATTGCAATGATTTTTTTTGGAAACGAAGAGGGGAAAAGGGGGTCATTTTAAAATATATATATATATATATATATATATGAGTCGATCAGAGGAAGGAATGTTAGTTTCTTCCAGAAGAGAGTCGCTGCTGCCAAAAATGGCTCAGTTTTTTTTTGGAGAGCAACAAAAAAGTTGCAACAGCCATCATTGCTAAACAGAATGCATATGAATTAATCACACGAACATCTCTCCCTCTCCCTCCCTCCCTCTCTCTCTCACACACACACACACACACACACACACACAGTTCTGCATCATGTTACACTTCAGGAATACCCAATACAGTGCTTCAATCCGCAACGCAGTGTAAGTAAAGTCACGTAACAATAATGGATCCAGTACTTATTGGAGGTTTCCTGTCTCTCTCTCTCTCTCTCTCTCTCTCGTTTGAACCCAATGGATTTTGCATTGAGGATTCTGGTGTTGCAAATCAGTGCCTGAAATCTGTCTCTCTCTCTCTGTGTGTGTGTGTGTGTGTGTGTGGGTGTGTGTGGTGTCTCTGTGGGTGGGGTGTGTTCTCTGCACCAGGTCGCTCTCTGCACCAAGTTTTAAGTGGAGCCACAATTAAGTGTTCAGTAGCTATAGTGACCACTGTCAACAACATCTGGCTTTGACAATATTTACTCCTTGTCTTGGGATCTGTTCACCTCTTTGTGGGGATTTGCAGTTAGCTGTTCTGTGGCAGGATCACACAACCAGGACACGATTTGGTATTACATATATATATATATATATATCTACAGTGAACATGATTGCAACCTCCTGTATTCCTCACCAGTGATCAGCAGCAGCATTCAGGTAGGTGGGTGTCAGTTTGCAGGAGTAATGTCACTCTGACAACCGAAAGCTGACACTGTTCTGCGCTGTCACAGCGAGCAGATGAATTGCAAACCTTTCACAGAGCCCCCCCTTTTTTTTTTCCGTGGCGGAAAATCTGATTAAAAAGAGTTTTTTTAAAAAAAAATAAAACAAAATAATAAAGATGCCATGTTTTGTGGCAAAGGCCCAATCTGGGGAAACGCAAACTTTGAATCAGGAATCTCTCCCAGTTGATTTTTTATTCTTTTGTGGATTAGCAATGCAATACAGTAAATTGATACATGCAAGTTATCATCATATTCTCCAGCACCTTGTGAACTCTGGTATGGGGCTGAATTGTAAATTGCTCTTGAAGGGACAGAAGTATACGACAATGACTTGGCTGTTTTTCTAGCATTTTTTTTTACCCAATTCTCTCCTGGGCCAGGAAATGCTGTTGTATTATTTGAGTTATTTCATGGTAGGTTAAACCTGACCTTGGCCTCACCCATGGCTCAAACATGCACAATTTCCAACAAGGACAGGAGCAGTGAGAAGCCTGGCTGTTAACTAAAGCCAAATTGCACCAGCTCTACCTGATATTAGATACTCCAGCATAGACCAGAGATTAAAAACTGAGATGTTAGGGTCTCAGTGTGGATTGTACCAGAGCTTTGCTCTGAATTGTATGTTTTTATTAAGGAGTTTTGCTGGTAGAATGGTGTTGTCATCTTGATGCACAATACTAAATATCAAAATCTTGAAAAATGGTCGTATGTTGATGCTGCCTCTAATCATTTGTTTTGTCTTCTGGTCTCCCTTGTGGTCTTGATATATTAGAGGTAGAGGCACTTCCTGTAGGGGAAAAGGCATCAACAGCTAATTATTATTTTGCACCTCCTTGAGCATGATCAAGCTTTTCCATACGGTTTCTTTTAGATGAGACACTTGAATCGGGTCTGCTTATGTATGTATGTTGCTTTTCTTTGAATGTAACACAAGGGCGGTATGTTTGCATAATTAAACAGAAATAGATACTGACACTTATTCTCATATCTGTTGCTATAGGGATTGGTGTAAGTACTCCTTTACCATGTAGCGGGTGGGTAGTGCTGGAGCTTAAAGTGGAAAAATTAAGATAAGGATCTGTAGCGTTGCTTGTATCACTAGCGGTAATGCAAATACATCCTGTCACAAGCTCCATTTGAAGTAACAAGGTATTAACCCAGAATTATGGAAAATTCAACTGATCATTAGCAAGCCTACATCTTGCTGTCATGACTCATTGATGGTATTGATTTTCTGATTTTCTTCCCCCCCCCTCCAAGTTTCTCGTCATCTCTCCCATGAGGTGGATCTATGTTGGGATGTGGTTCAGCAGGTGCTGACTGCTCTCCGTTGCTTCACTCAAAGGGCCATCATTCACAATTGCATCTTCTCAGTGTCGGGCACCTATTTGCCTTTGGGGAAGGAAACCAGAAGCTGAGCCTGATCTTACCTTGATTTCCATAGGAACAGGGGTAGACCATTCAGCCCCTTAAGCTTGTTCTGCCATTCTATAAGATCGTGACTGATGTGTATCTCAACTTCAATTACCCACCCTCGCCCCATATCCCTTGATACCTTTACCTAACAAAGTGGAGTTCTGTAGCTCAGTGGTTAGAACGCTCGCCTTGCAAACAAGAAATCTGGCTTTGATTCCCAGCAGGGGAAATGTTGGGCAAGTGTCCTTACTCCACATGCCTCTGTTTACCTAGCAGTAAGTGGGAACCTGGTTGTTAGTCGATTGGCAGATCACTTTTCTGGGAGTAATAATTCCTTCAAAAAAAATAATAAATTGGTCACTTCAATTCACGACTGGTTGTGGGACACTGCTGTGTGCAATTGGCTGCTGGGTTTCGCCCACAAAATATATAGTCAATTCACTTTACAAGTATATTCTGTGAAGCGCTTTGAGACATCTAGAAGTCTTGAAAATCTATCTCAGTTTGAAAATTTGAATGTATCCAGCATTTTACATGCACTGTTTCAGCAGAGCTCATTGTAATTAGCCTGAGCTGAATTGATTTTTACCCTCTTCTTATCAAGGACACGTAACCCAGTTATAGCGTCTCCAGGTGCATCATCCTGGTTGAAATCAACTAATAATGTACATTGGAATGTGCTAGACCATTAGAAGAGCTAAACCATTGATTTAAAAAAAAATATTTAGTGTACGTAGTGTACATCTACATAGTGTAGGTTCTGGCAGGGTAAATTGAAAAGCTGAGAGCAAAATAGAAAAGTAGATCAAAAGAAGTAGATTTCATTGTGTAGAACACGTCCAAACTTGCTTTGTAGCTTTCCAATGGGAGTGGACGCTTGTGTTCTGAGGGCGGGTTCTGATCCTGTGTTAGTTTCACAGCCCGTGCAGAGTTCCACAGTAAAACTGCATTGCTCTACTACGTGTTGGATTTTAAAGCACTGCGGAATCATTGTTCCATAAATTGCTCTTTATCTCATTTTAAATTGCAATAACATTGGTCTTAATTTTAGATATCAGTGTTTTGAGGAAAGGTTGGATTCATCTATCTTTGTGTTTTCGTTGCTTAAAATGTTGTTGAGTGTTTAGTGTGGGTTTGGCATCTTGTTTCCAAGCACTCAATAGCAACTAATACAACACAAGTGTTTTTTATGGACTATCTAATTGGTTTTATGGCATTGTTGGCTGGAGGTGACTGAACAGCCACTGTATAGCAGAAATGGTAAGCACTAAATACAGGAATGTAGCTTGTTTAGAAAATACATATTACGTATATATAGCCAAACATTCTGTTACTGTTTGTGAGACAATTTCACTTCCACAATACTGTCCTGACATTTTGTAAGGCCTTACATTTTTTTATATTAATTAATTTTACGAAAAGCTAAAGCTGTTAGTTGTCTTATGTATAGTTTATCTTTGATATTTGTTTAAGTTGAAAGTCTCAAAAAAAACTTATTTCTGAGTTTTTCCTATTATGTGAATCACTCTCCATCCATTCATTAAAGAGGGAAGATTGTGACTACTGTATTTTGTTAGTACCTGTAGTTGGCCGACAAGAGACTGAGTATGTGTATCTCTCTCCTCTGATGACCTAGCTACCACATTTACTAATAATCTTCAACAAGAACAACTGGCATTAGCTCAGTTTCATGGGTGTTAAGGTAACTGAGAGATCTGCTGGCTTCATTCCCAGCCATAGAGATCAGTTTACAGACAACCATAGTAACTGAAGGAACAGTGCTGCTAATTTAGCTATCTATGAGCGGGAGATTTTATATATTTTTTATTGCCCACTGTATTATTCTGCAATATCAAAATAAATCTTTTGGTGGTGGGTGACGTTTCTTTTGGGGGTGATTTTAGCAAAAATGTCCATTTACAATGAGTTTACCCAATATTCAGAAAATACTCATGTTACCGTCATGTGGAGCATCATCCTTGAGAGACAGAACTGTAGGCAATACTAATGGGATACAGTTGGAGAGTCTCACTATGGAATGCAGATGTCATTTTCATTTGTGTGAAACAGGGACTTGGACTATGAAAATATTATGCCGAGGAAAGCCATTACTCAAGGATGCAAAAACTAGGATTAAGGTTACTTAGAGCCTAGAATGTTTTGAAGGATAGTAAGAAGTTTGAATCTCCAAGAGATGAAACATTTTGGATGTAGTCTATGACAGAACATACGCACATGGTGTGCAGGTGGATGGGGTGGGTTTGATCATTGCATACTTTTTTTTCGTGTGAGCAAAAAAATGGATGTAACGTTCACGGATAATGACAGTCCTGTTTCTTTCCTGCAGCCTTTTTTCAACAACTATTATTGCATTCCTCAATTCCACTGGGGAAGACTGCAGCATTGCTCTGCACCAGTGACAAGGCACATGATACCCCAACAGAACCAGTACTCTGGGATCGGGATGGGACTTGGCTCCCACTCGTTCTGCACCAATGGACTGCCTGCGTTCAAGTTTCGATCGAGAAATGAAGTGATGGACTGGAGGCGGCTTAGTGCCATCGACGTAGACCGAGTGGCCAGGGAGCTGGACGTCACCGCACTGCAGGAGAACATCATGAGCGTCACCTTCTGTAATCTGGACTTGGAAAAATGCTCTTATTGCCAGAATCCCGTGGACCCAGTTCTGCTGAAGGTATTTAAATTGGCCCAGATGACCACAGAGTACCTCCTTCACTCCCAGGAGTACTTGACAGGTAACATCCAGATCCTCGAGGAGAGGCATCAGATGGCTCTGGAGCAACTTGAGCAGACAAAAGGGGAAATGGACAAGCAGGCAGAGGAACTGAAGAGTGTAAAGGAGGAGGGAAAAAGACGCAAGAAGATGATCTCAACCCTTCAACTGTTGGTACAAGCGGGAGCCAATAACTATCACAAGGTGCAATACGTCTGTTTTGACATGAATTGTAAAGTGTTAATTCCCTTTTAGTTTTGTTTCTGTGTGAGAATTTCTTTCCCCACACCAATCATCACCGCTTTCCCATAGGTAGTTTAGTTTAATTTTCTAATAAAATAAAACATCTTATCAGACCTTGCAATGATGATCTAACCTTTCCTCTGGCCATTTCCCCTCCTCTCCTGAAGGCATTGTTACAGCCTGGCATATGGTTTGATAAGCAATGGACACTCTCCAAAACTGCATCCAATTGCCAACCTTCATGTGTGAGCTGTGCAGGGAGAATTGGGAGATTATTTGATCAGAGAGGCATCATATCTGAGCCTGATTCTTCCTCACTTAACCTGATACCAATATACAAACCTCCATTCCAGTAGTGAGTCATCAGATAGTAATTGAGGAAGTCATTTTAGCTGTCTTTCTCTTTCCCTGCGGGGCACTAAGGCCAATTATAGCACTCAACTGCTGCCCTGACTGAGGTCAGCTTCCTCAGCGTGGACAAGCGATTGAACCTGGGACCCTCCAGGCATGTTTGGCTTAACTGTGCACAAAGTAGTGACTTTAGCAACTGAAATACTGGTGCTTGAGGATTGTCGCTGTTTAACCCTTGTGCTTTGATTCAGCTTTGCTTCCAATGATTTTGTTCTAATCTCTTTGTACAATCAATGTTTGTCTCCTCACAGTGCCAATTTTGTGATAAAGCCTTTATGAACTATTCCTACCTGCAAGCACATCTGGTGCGCCGTCATCCTGAGATCACTGAGACCGGTGAGAGACTTTGCCCACTTAACTTTCTCTGCTGTTCTTTTGAGAAATCGTTTTAAATTGAAGGATCCGCTGTGACTTTATTATAGAGAGAAAGAAGAAACAGCAGACTGAGCGGATTGAGAATGAGATTGAAGAGCTCAGGGAGAGGCTGAGGTTGACCCATTCACAACTGGAGGCAGAACGTGAGGCTGTTGCATTCCGAAAAACCCAGGTATGATTGTAACCGAGACCTTTGAGCTAACCTGGAGGCAGAACCTTGTACAGCAATGTGTGGCAGAGGAATATTAAATGGCGCCAAAGGGCCCATTTCTGCGCTATAAAAATCTACGAGTGTAAACGGGACTTGCTGCTTGGCTGAGAGTTCTTCCTTTGGATTGTTCAGTAAACCTGACGAAGACAAATCTGTCACTGTCGCAAAAAATTCAAGAGGACAAAGGGCAGAGTTAAAAATTAAGAAGCTAGCAGTCAGGAGGGAAGTCAGGTGGAATAATTTAAATTAAGGACTGGAGTTGCCTAATGCATCACATGGGAAAATAAGTGAGGAAAGATTGCTGCATCTGCATGGACAACAACTATATTATGTGGAATTAACAACCTTTTGAGATTGCTTTTGAGTCTCTTGTTCTCCTGAACCAGGAACTGGAGGAATTCCACAGGAGAGATGAAGCAGCTAAAAAGGAGTTTGAGGATTGGAAGGACGGAGAGAGGAAAAAGTTTTACCATGAATTGGATTGTCTGAGACAACAGCTTCTTCACGAATTTCAGGACATTGCATTAAAGAACTCTAACATCGAAGCAGTAAGTGAAACTTCCACACGGTTCTTTAGGTATTTGTTTTCAAGCGCTCCAGAACGCCACCCTGGGTGAAGGGTTCTGTGTAAATGCAAGTTGTTGTTGTTTTTGAAACCGCTGCACGATAACACTCAAACATTCTTCATGTATTTCCGCTAAAATTATTGATGGTAAGAACATGAGAAACAACTTTACAGACCAGAACAAGGAATGGTGCTGCAGTCTTATAGAGCTGGTCAGAACAAATTATTTTGATTTTCTTTTGTTTTTGTTTATTGTTCAGTTTTAGGTGACCAGGTGTAGGAAGAATAAACTCATCTTTGAGGGTGTCTGGCAGTGATTCACCAGATTAATACTTGGGATGTATGTCTGTGTGTAGTGTTAGATAATGACAGGAATTACTTTTTGTATATATCTCATACTGTGCCTGTCCAGGGAGTGGATAATGGACATTGTAAAGTTTTACACTGTATTTATTCCATGTTGGAAATGACCTGGCTTGGGGGTTACTTGATGGAGAATTGGTGTTGTAAGAAGCACTGTTGAAGGGCAGGAGCCCTGGTGAATGCCTCCTCACTGTTAGCCCGAGGCTGGTATTAGTAGAGCTATCGATCAGCTTCTCTACCTGCTCCTGGTCATGGCTTGTGCTGCAGGGAAATATTAAAAGGGAAAGAGTAAATCTTGATCATTTAAAAACGTGTATGGTGTCATCAGGCAAGTTCACATGATCTGTCGCAATGGAATAATATACTTTTCACAAATTAACTTTGCTTGTTGGCCTTTTGCTTTTGTTAGACACTGCAGGAGATTCAGTCTAGGGGTCTGGCTGTCTCTAACATGGGGACACTGCATGATGAGAGAGACAAAGAAGAGCTGAGAGACTTGCAGGAGAGAATTGACAGACAGGTGAGTAGAACTTGTGGATTTAGTCACACGGATCAGTGCTTAGCAGCTGTTCCTAATTGTAACGGCCTTAACACAGTGGAGCCTCCAAATACAGAGACAGATAGTAAATGAAGGTAATAAGCCCTGATAGTAATTTTAATGAGGAGATTATAATCGAGTTGCAAAGTAGCTTTCAATCCTACGCGTGTGTTCTCCAAATCAGGTCGATGTTGCCAAAGAGTCTTTAAGATGTGTAGTGAGGGGAGCCCAGTGTGACTAGGTGCAGGGGTTGAAGCCTCTGAACCATACTCCACTGTGTAACTTTAAAACATGTTGAATTGGGCGATGCTTTGAAACTCGCCAGGTTGCAATACGGAAACAAAAAATCGTTTCTCGATTTGACTACACAGCAAGGCAGAACATCCAGGCAATAAAATAGACACGTACAGTATACACTTGACAATGAGTCATCGAGAGAATTGTGATTAGATTGAGTTACTTGATTTTGTTGCTTTGTTGCTTTCATGTAAATAGGGTCTAATCTAACTCCTTGAGCCTGCTTCCAGAATGGCCTCCAGCTGTGAACTTTATTTGTCTTAATTTCATGTTTACCCATGAATTTAATTTTTTAAAAATTTTCTAGAAAAATGACTGGAAAAAGAAGATGAGAGAACTTCAGAATATGCATCAGACTGAAAAAGAAGAGGTATATGGTCTTTAAAATGTACACTAAACCATTGGGTCTCTGTGTTCATTGCTTTTCTCTTTGTGTGTGTGATGTGTGTGCGTGTGTGTAGTCAGAGGCTAATAGAATAATAACTTATCAGCTGATTGAGGAGAATGCAGCTTTAAACTGGCCCTCGGTGTTAAATAAATCTATTCAGAATTTCTTCTGAGCTTATTTTTAGCTTTGTTGCAGGGCAGGTCTGAATGACAGATCCACTAACGTCAAATCTGAAATGATGTTTCTGTTTTATCTGACAGATGCAGATTGAAAATGAGAGGCTAAGATCTACTCTGACCTCAGACCAGAGATCAGCATCCGATTCCTTCCAGACACATATAAGGTCACTCACTACAAAGCTCAAACAACAAGACATGTTAATTAAGACCCACGAAGAAATGGTATGTGACCCAACTACATTCTGATACCTGCTTCCCCTTAGGAATCATCTTAACATCTTCTTAGTGTGCGTTTATATGCACTGAGTGCAGTCTGTGGTTGTGCATCTGATGGTCACCTCCCCCTCCGCCTTCTTCCTTGCTTGGTGTCGAACACCACCGCTGTAGCGCTCTGAGACGCTATCCTGCGTGAAGGACGCTACATAAATCCAAGTTGTTGTAATAGTAGTTGCAGTTGGAGCCATAGTGCTTTGGGGAGCATCTAGGGTTTCCATGTTGGACAGCTTATCAAAGTTCATTTCATCTATAAAAATAATCCTCTAGTTTGATATAGTTCTTTATCACATCTTATAAAATTATAATTTTATTATCATCTCACTTAAAAAAAAACACACTTTTTTTTCTGTAACAATGCAAACCTGGGCTCACAATGAGGAAAGTAACCAACACAAGTTCTCTGGTGGTGGACTCTGCATCTTCAATTGTTTGGCTGTTTGTGGGATGTTGGCTGCGCTGTTTGTTTTGTGCAAATTGGTTGCCGGGTTTGCCCACAAATTACACAATGTCACACCACTTTACAATATATCTTGGTGAAGCGCTTTGTTACGATGACGTGATAAGATCGATGACGTCTCAATGATGTGATAAGGGGCTATAGCAAATGCAAGGATTATTATTAAACTCCGGGGTTTCTGGAAGTGTTGGTGCATCCCCCAAACTTTGCCACCTGTGGGTCAGATAATGGAGACTTACTTGAATAAAGATGTGCCCGAGGTAAGGGGGAAGTAATGCAGTGTCGATGTACACATTCCAACAAAGTCCCTGTGAGCAAGTTCCCAACTGTTAAAATGCAGATCACACTCTTTGTGCTGAGGCATTTTCTGGTTTTAATTACAGATCAGGAAGCTTTCCACCAGACCCGTTCAAGGTAAGAAAATACATTAAATCCTTTGGTTTTTAGATGAATGATTCACCATCCCAAGCAATTGATTCACCACTCCTAAATAAACAACATTGAGAACTATCACAGTGCATATACTGTCCACTTCTGATAAGTCTGTATTTCTCTACCTATTTGTTTAAACCCCTAGAGAGATCACCAACCAGGAAAAGATTTAACAAAAAATGTTACACTCATGTAGAATATCAGACAGGAGCTTCCCGTTGAGATTATAAACACGGCCCCCTCTTTATTATGGGCCATGGATATTCCCTTGGATGACTGTTGTTCTGTCAAAAACCTTTGAAGTGTTAAGATTGCATTATACACACATAACTTAAAGATCCTGATGTTGTCTAACGTACTTTTCTATTTAAACACGAATGCTTTAACATGAACCGACTGATACAGATCTTCCTTGACTCTTAAAATATTTTGAAGCAGCAAGTTCTTTGTAATAGCTTGTTTCAAGGAATGAATGTGGTGCCTAGTCTGAGAAATAGCGAGTCCTGTAGCTCAGTGGTTAGAGCACTTGCCTCGCACCGAGAGACCTGGGTTTGATTCCCGGCAGGTCAAAACCTTGGGCAAGTTTCCTTACTTCACATGCCTGATAATAATCTCTCAAGAAAAAAAATAAATAAATTGGTCACTTCAATCCACGACAGTTTGTGGGACGCTGCTGTGCGCTATTGGCTGCCATGTTTCGCCCACAAATATACAGTCAATTCACTTTACAGTATATTCTGTGAAGAGCTTTGAGACGTCGAGAAGACGTGAAAAGCGCTATATCAAATGCAAGGATTATTATATTTTTATTATAAATAGTGAATTTAGGTATGTTTCTGATTTCTTGGTCTAAATTAATTAGTAACTATTTGGTGCCATCTAGTGTTCAATGATCAAAAGAACAACTAGCAGCAATGCCAAATAAATAATGCAATAAACTTTGAACAGAGGGGCTACAGTATGCGCAAAGCACCAACTGTTAGGTTTGGGTTAGCTATGTCAATTACAAGTTAACTTGTCTTTAAACAAATCTTATAAGTGTGCTTTCTGCTCCAGTTGCTGTCGTTCAAGCTGTGGAGTCTGAGGAGGAAGATGAAGGTACAGTAAACTCCTGATAACTTGACCTTGGTTTAATTCATTGCTGTCACTTAAGTTGTCATGCTGTCGATATCCCAGGCGCCTACCATGTAAAATATTAATAAGGGGCTTCGCTCTGTTTGTCACTCTGCTTAACATGTAACTCGTCGCATTGTAGAAATTCCTGTAAGTACTTATAATGTAAAATTGATCAGATAACCAGTGCAATAAGATGGTGTCTTGCATCTCAGTGGCCTCCTGCCTATCCTAGTACATTCTTTGCATCCAATGGACCTTTTTCTACATGTAGCAAGTTTTGACAAATTTTTATATTGATCATAATTATGTTTAGATTCTCATATGACAAGGTCAACTGTACAGATTGGCCCTAATACACTATTAACTTATTCCCAGATGTGGAGAGCAGTTTGGAGGGAAATCAGCATCTTAAGGCCCTGAGACAGGATCCAAACTTCATCAAACAGTTCCGCCCCATCCTGGAAGAGACCCTGGAGGAGAAGCTGGAGGACATGGGTGTGAAAAAGGTATGAGTCAGGACACAGGCAGGCATCAGACGGGCAAGGTGGCTTTCGCAAGGCTAACTGTGGGGATACTGCTCTAAAGGTCGCCTACGTTTACAAGAAAGCCAGTTTATTTGGGTCTAACTCACCTGGCATCATTTAAGAAATTTCCATCCTTTTGCTGTTGTTTTGGTCCAGTAATCTCCAATCTCTTGTTAATGAGGTTCCATTCAGATGTGGTTCTCTTAAATGCTGAGATCGAATTGTTCATCATAGATCTGAGGATTGAAGTTAGGCCCTTTCGAATCTGGGTGGCTCAGTAACTTGGCAAATTAACTCCTTAGACAGCGTGTGTATGTGTGTGTGGGATCTCTCCTAAGCTTTTTTTTAAAAAGGGCTTTGAAATTGAATTCCTTCCAGGGTTCGAAGGGAATCTCTACTACGACGTTGAAGAGCCTGAGTCTGACAGTATCGAGGCAGCGCGAGATGAAAGCTAAACAGTTCGCGGAGTTCAATGAGCTAAGGGCAAGGTTCATGAAGGGAGTCACTCAAAAGGTGAAACAAAGACAGAAGAGTGAGGGTCACCCCTCCCCTCCTCCTCTCACACCTAAAGGTATGTGTGGGTAACATTTTCTTAAAAAAGAAACTTAATGTTACTGTGTGAGGTCAGGCATCTGCTAGGATTCATTGTGAGCATATCCATAGAGCTCACCCATGAGTGCACTTATGTGGAAGTTAGCATTGTTTTCCTATCTTCCCCCCCATTGTGGGTTTCTCTGATGGCCCATTGTGCAGAGGGAGCCATAGGTATGAACTGGGTCAGAGTCCGTATCAATGGTCATACACTAAGCGGTATTGAGAGCAGCGATGTGCTTGGGAGAAGGATGACAACAGGGAGAGAGGACAACAAACTGAGAGGGAACGAGCCTATGTTGAAACGTTTATTGGCTGATCTCGTGTGGACTGGTGACTGTGATTGGCCTCCACACCTTGCGCTGGCAAATGACAAAAGGCCCAGGTTCCTGATTCTGCTGGAGGCTAAGGTGTAAGCTAAGGATCTGACGAAGGGTCGTGGACCCGAAACGTTGACTCACTTTCCTTTTTCCATAGATGCTGCCTGACCTGCTGAGTTTTCCCAGCTCTCTCTGTTTTTGTTGCAACGAACTGATGGTCATTTGGTCGAAGAATTGTAATCAAGCAGGAACTAGCAGTTACAGAAAAAGGGAGAAAAGTAACAAGGAGATTACATTTGTTATATTCCTTAGAGCCTTTAATCCCATTCGAGCTATTTTATTCACAATTGCCTTTTTAGCAGGAAGGATCCCATCCAATGCGCCACAGAAGGCGGCCTCCAAGCTCAAGCAGCCTCAGACTGTGCACTCAAGGTCATCCGCACCCCAAGTAACTGTCTCGTCTCGTCCTCACGTGATCCACTCCAAGCCGTACCAAATGGAAGCTCCCAAACCTGCCCCTCGTCTTCGAACCACCAGCCCGTCGCGCTCCGCTGCACCGAACACCAGGTACGGGACTCAGCATGCACGGTAAGCTATGGGAGGATTCTTTCCTAGTGTGTGAGCGTGTGCCTGACCACGCTTACACGTGTGTGTCGTACGGTTACCTTTTCCAGACACGTTGTAAAATGGCGGCGTTTAAATCAGCACCAAAGTACAGGTGTTCAGCAGAGGAGGGGGAAAAATTACATGGAGCATTGAGCAAACCCGCCTTTGGCAATGTGTTGGCCACTTGTGACATTTCTCAATATAATAAAGCTTAACAGAATTTTTACCTCATAGCGTTAAACACAAATCAAAGGGGAAAACATCTTGCAGGATTGTATTGAGGGGAGGGGGCTGATGGGGGGGGGAAGAGAGGCACTGCTCCAACTCTTTAATGTCTTGATTTTTTTTGCTCTTGTGTATTTTTATGACGTTGAAATGTCAGTGCACCTGTGCTCACTGCACCATTACTGTTTGCGAGGAACTTCAGCCATGACGTTCAATGTCTGGCTGAGAATAGACGAGCTGTAGAGTTTCCTACATAATGTGTGATGCTCTGCAGCAGAAAACGGTCGTAAAAAAACACAAATACGCAGGTATTGCGGGTGATTCCTTATACCTTTAATTTACTGAGCCGGGCGCATGAGCTTTCTAATGGAAAAACTTCATTATAAACTCCCCGCCAAGTGCGGCCAATCTACCAACTGGCGAGAATAACTCTTGTGCCAAAAGTCGCACTCTTAACAATTTCTGCCTTTTCTTGCTTGTTAAAGCTCCGCGAAAGATTCATCTCCAGTGTTTGCTGTGTGGGACAGTCAGAGAGTGAAGTGCAGCTCAAGTGGCTGGTGGCTGCCTGTTCACAGTATGATAAGGAGAGCAATCAAATAATAAAATGATTTGCTGCTTCCGATAAGAGTGATTGCTTTAATGATTGGATTCATTACGAAGCAGTCAGGGATGTGTGGAGCCAGTGTTCGTTACATTTGCTGTGTGCTGCCTGGAAGTGGATTCCATTCTTGGCACAACCACTGATATTTTTCTGTCTGCATTTGACCTAGGACCTTAGTTCTGGCCAGACCAGTGATGCCCACCACTTTGAAATTGTGTGAGTGCACGTGTGAGCTAGTTTCTCCATGTTTAGGCACAGATTTCTTCCTGCAGTGTACGTGGCGAATTGAAAAGCCACGCACATCTACGTGAATCATCTCTGCTAAACCCTCCAATCAGTGTGTGTCACTTATGTGGAAGGTGTGAGGAGGAAACACGATCTTCCTCCTGGGCTCACCCCTGACCAGATGATTTTATGTGATTTGTGGTGTTTCAGCACGCCTCCATTCACTTCTGAAGATGAATCGATTGTGGACAGTGCCTACGTTACCAGCGCGGGGTACAGAGACGCAACAAAGATCCATGTTGTCCAGTCCAAACCGAAGCCGAGCCGAGCAGTTCTTAGCTCCGACGACGACTGGTCAGACACTGACATTTCCACGGGTCCTTTGAGCCCATCCACTGGGATTTCAGCCGCTCGTGCACCTCGAGGTAATCCACCACATTCCTCCCTAAATCTTAGCTGCGAGTCTCTAACTACCAGGCACACACGTACACGTATATTGCTGCAGGGAAGTGCTCCAAGTTTCAGAGGAAATCAGAAGATCTGGAAGTGATTTACAGAGTAACATGCTTGCTGTGAGTGAGCTGCGGTTACAGAACATTTCCCTGCTTCCTCTGTCCAGGTAAACAGCTGTATAGTTCTCCAGCTTGGAATAAATGGATTCCTTGCAACAGACAATCTGTGATCCACCAAAAAAAGGGAATGATTAGGAGACTGCGTTCTGCTTTAGATAAAAAGAAAAGTTGTGAACGTTGGACAACTGAAATGTAACTCAGTAATCTGGAAACGCACAACAGATTGATGAACAAGATTCCCTGCCCCCCCCCCCCCCGCAGTGTCAGTATTTTTAAGCAGGCGGTGTGTGTGTGTGTATGTGTGGGGTGGGGGAGGAGGGGGAAAATGGTGTATCCTGATTGAAATTGGCATTTGATTCTCTGTTAGTTGAGACAGTGAGATAGCTGACGTGTTGAGTGGTGTTTTGTGCCTCTCCTTTTACCAGGTAGTGTGGTGCAAACCATGATCAGGAGTCTGGAGAAGCAGCCTAGCTCACCAGTGAAGAAGCCTGTGGGGGGAGTGAAAATCCTACCAACCTTCCCAGCCGCACCTGCTGGCTCTCCAAAGGCAATCTCCATCGTCAGGAAACTGCAGGTACCGTAATGTGTGTCGGGTCAACTCCAGCCTAGAACATTTTTTGTAGGAAATTAAAAGGAAAATAACAGGAGGAAAGAGTGGTCAAATGAGAATTTTAGGGAGTGAGAGGATATTAGTGATATTTGATGGAGAGCCAGAAAGAATTCAATGTGCTAAAAAGCAAGATGATAAGGAGGTTGTATGCACAGAGTGCTATTTGGGACAATGTCAGTGCAGTCTAAGTTGATAAGGATCTTTGACTTTTACCTTGTGGTAGGAGGGAGGAATGGAGTATGTTTAAAAATTAAGATGAGCTTACATAATCATGAACTCCAATAAATGAGGCCTCAGAAAACTGGGCCTGATTTTTCAATGTCTTCCAAGTGAAACTGACTGGTTCAATTCATAGTCCATTATACTTCACAGTAAATCCTGTGAAGTGCTTTGAGACATTTCAATGATGGGATAAGATGCTACATCAATTTCGAGAGTTATTAATGGATTTTCTACAATTATAGTATCTTTGGATTACGATATGCCCTTTTTCTATTGTCAGTTGTCAGATGACGAAGAGAGTGACTTGGATATCTCATCCATTGAGGACGTGTCGGAAGAACTTGCTTTGAAAGAAAGGAATTCCAAACCAATGGCGTTGTCCAGACAAGGTGTGGAACCGACTGTGTCTCAGGGAACCAGTGTGTGGAGCTCCTCTGGCAGCCGAGGTGGGGGGATTGGTCGGTAGGGAACACTATTTGCATGTTCAGCTTTAACCCTACAAAATAAACCATTTATTTTTTGTCTGCATGACTGAATGCACGTTGTACTATTTGTACCCACTTATGAGGTGGAGGGAAGAATAATTACTCTTAAATTTTGAAAAGGTAGATTACAGAGTCACGATGATTTTATATTGGTTTTGAACCCTGTGTTAACAGTGGTTGCTTCCCCGGAATCTCCTATAACGCTCCGATCTCAGACCTAACCTGCATTCAAAACTGGGAGCTGATCCAAAGCCACCTGATCCTGGCAAAGCACAGTGCTAGCAGACATTGCCAGTACATTTGACCTGTTCCATCTAATTCTCTATGTTCTTTGAGTCAAGTCTACCTGATTGGTTCTATTATCATCCCTAGTGCCTTCAGCTAAATTAACACAGGCAGCGAATTGAACCTGGGACTCTCTTATGCTACGCTATGGACTCCAATCATGGACATTCCTTGAGTTTCATTTGTCTGAAGGAACCATAGCCCTGAAACCTTACCTGCCAGCATGTGCTTTCACTGGAAGCCAGTCCACTTGTGTTGCCATTCAAAGAGCTTTAGCATCTCTTGAGAGGGAACAAAAGATTTCTGCCAGTCTGGGCAATTTTTGTGTTTGGCAAAAAAAGATCTTATGTAAAACCATCATTACACAGAGATTAGCAAATTGGGTTGTAGAAAATATCTCCTTGTGTTACTCCCTTGCTGGTTTAGAATCGCTAGGGAATGCAAGAGCCCGTTATGCTCAGCCTTTGGTCACTCCTGAGCCAGGATTTCTCTCCAAAGCAGCTCCATTGAATTATGATGTGCTTTTATGGAGCAATATTGTCTCAATCTGATGGATCCAGACAACAATGGGAAGAAGGAGGTGAATCGGCACATCCACACCAATCTTCCACAAAGCACCTCTCTTGTAAATTAAGAAATGTCTGAAAATTTTAAGCACAATTATTAATGTTAGTGTTGACGACTGGAACTCTCATTCTATTTATACTAATGCAATTGAGCAGAGAGCTGACCAAGCTGTGTATCTAGTCTCTTGTTAGTTGTGTTAGTTGCAGGAGTTTTGGTGGCATTTCCCATAAAGGGGGGGTCAGTGGTGGCATTTGGCTGTTTGCATGTTTTTCTTCCTGCGCTCTTGATCTTTCTCTATGTTTCCGCTGCTGTCTTTACCGGGTTCAATATTATTGTTGCCGCATGCAGTGATGTGTTGTCTGTCTGTAACTGAAGATGTTATTGTGGGGGAAATTCAGTATTTATTTCTGTTGATTTGTGTGATGTAAACCGTACTCAAAACTAGAATTGAGCATCCTAACCCAGGCTTTGGTACATGTCTTGCAGGATGAGAGTGGCACGATATGTGTTTGCTGAAATGCCTGTCAAACCATTTTTGTGTCTCTATAAATAGTTTTTGCATATAAAAATGTGTTGGAAAAGGGAACACAGCAGTCTTTTAGCTCTTATTTTGACTTAATCTACTACAGTTTGCTCTTCAGTTAGTCTTAAAACATTGAAGTCGCTCAAAGGTAAATTCTGAAAACACTGTTCAGTCAAGCTTAGGCAAATATATTCCCACACCGCCAGATAAATATGATGCACATACTTTCAAGTTTCAACCTCTGATTATAGACCTCTTGCTCTTGCTGATAACAGGCCAGGGTTAGCAGCTATTGACATACGTAAGAGTTCGTCGTACCAGACTGATTGGAATAGGGAATTGACACAAGGAATAATTATCAGCCCTGATTGATAGATTTCACATTATTACAAAATTTCAAATGTAACCGTTGAAAATTAAGGTAAATGTGGTGCTAAATGATTAAGCCCTGACAGACTTATCTTTTTTTTGCAAAAGTTATCAGTGTACACGGCTGCTACAATTATTCTGGAGGCTGTGTGGAACCTGGATATACCCCGTTTCAAAGAGGAAACAGACTGAAGTCACCTGCATTTGTTTTCTCATGTAAATTAGGTTTCACTTGTCCACAGGAAACAAGTCAATTGAACTATGACTGGAGAAAATTAATTTGAGGAAGGAATAAAATCGGGGCGGGGGGAGCTATGACCGAGGCAATGGATCACAGAGTGGGCTATCATTCTGGGCTCCTGGTATCTCTGAGTCATCCTTTGTTACTGTGATTTATCCTTTTGAAGTGCTGGGTTAGAGACAGACTAGGATCAGACTCTTGTGTAACCCTGCTCAGGTCAACATCATGAATGAGGAGTTCCACGTCCACCTAACTCCTCATTCATAGTGCAATTGGGGTGAGTCTTCATTATATAATAATAATAATAATAATCATTGCATTTAATATAGCACCTTATCACGTCTTCGAGACATCTAGTGCTTCACAGAATGTACTGTAAAGTGAATTGACTGTATATTTTGTGGGTGAAATGCGGCAGCCAATTGTGCAAAGCACTGTCTCACAAACAGCCGTGGATTGAGTTACCATATTATTATTATCTTATTTTTTTCTACATAGAGAAATTCAGCATCAAATTGAAATATGTATTAGGTATTTTTGCAGTTATTTTTAAAGGCATGATTGACCTAACGAAAGAGCAGAGGAACAAGTTATATTTTCCCTCTTTTTTATTTTTACAGGGATGAAGGAGGCCGGTACCAGAAGCTCATTGAAGAGCAGCAGTTTTGCTACAGTTACAGACGTTAGTGATTCTGAATTTAATTTCCCATGAACATTAACCTATCTTAAGAGAGTCATCCCTAGTCTACTGCAATGCTGATGATGTTGCCTGTTCAGAGCCAGTAATAAGGGAATAACGTGTGGGCATTGGGGTAAAAGGCAGCATTGCACACAATGCTTCATTGTTAATCATTACCATTCACTTGAAATCTTCATGTTGTGCCCTTTTACATTTATGTATAAAATGACGTAACTTATATCTGACCATTACACTTCAATTTTAATCTGGATGAAGCTACCAAAAGCTATCCACTTCACAAACAAACTTTCCAACCTTTTGTATATCTGAACGCAGGTGTCTATATAATTCCTGAAATGCAGTTTGGGATTCTAATAATTGGTACGGAATTTGGTAAATTGATAGAGGTGCTGTGGTTGGAACGCCTTGGCTTCATATCCATATCTAGCCTGGTTAGCTAATCGTCAAGAGTAGTCATACAGATGTTACGCTACTCTAAGTGTTTTGGAGGGAGGAAAAATCATTCAGTTTCCTTTTCTGATCACTATCCATTGATGGCTGAAAAAGCACGAATGGATGTTGTATGAGGACAGGATTAGCCTCAACTTTGATCTCTTTCTTCCTCCTTTCCAAAGTTGAATAGTCCGGATACACACTGTCTATGTGGACATTGACTTGGATGAGCTCCAAGTGGAACTGTATATCAGGATGAATTGGTACCTTCAAGAGAGGAAGTGAAATTGTTTTCTAAAAAGAATGCTACAGTACTGGAAAGCTGCCCATTAATTATATCAGGCTGAGCTGATAAGAGTGTGCATCCTCTTTCTTCCTCCTGCCACTTTCTCCCGGTATAGCCCAGGTATTTTCTAATTATGAATACAAATTGATGTTTGCACGGTATGATTCATTCCTTTTTCTCCACGAGCACTGTAAATTTTCTTTCATCGATTTCTTAATGAAAGTTTGGTGGTACTCTACATTTCATTATACGCCGCAGAGAAGAGACTCATCCTTCTGCAGTTCATCCTTAAAAATAGAGAGCTACGTGCTCTGTCTTTATAATGAGATTTAAAGATGACAATTATTCCATGTTGAACCTCTTGGTTTTGTTTTAAAAATCATTCTCAAGGGGAAATTACTTGCAGTTTCTGATTGATACTGTTTCAAAGGACCTTATTTTTAATGTTTGTTATCTTTCAATGATCCAGGATGTTTGGATGCGGTTTGCCTTTTTAACTTGTGTATATATACAATGTGATATTGTATATCTAAGTGTTTACATTTGTGATATCTTACAAGTTTTTTTTACATTTGCCTGTGAAAGTCGAATTTTGACCTTCATAAATGTCAAGGTTTATAAATAAATAATAAACATGTGATTGTATATATTTATTGCTCTCCCTCACACTTTATCTTGAATAATAATCCTTGCATTTGATACAGTGCTTCATTGGGTCACTGAGACACGTCTCATTGTGCTTCACAGGATATTACTGCGCAATGCAGTGACGGTGTCTTTGTAGGTGAATTGTTTGGCAAACTGTAGCAGGTGGTAATTTTTTTGCGAAAGGACAAAAAAAATCACTCAATCGATCAATGCTAAACTTATTGCCCAGTGTAAAACTAAGCCATACATACTTTGTAAGTTTGATCCCTTGTTGGTGGTGTATTAACTATTCTGAGCAGAGTGGAAGTATAATTCAATTGAAGGCAGAGCCAATGAACACTGTATTGTCCATTGTCACTTCAGTGCTTCTAGAACATTGTGTTTTCAGGCGTGAACCAAGATGTGTCTATCTGTCAACCCGTTAAACAAATGTTTGGGCAAAAATAAACAAATGCCATATTTGCCATCTATGTGGTGAGGAAGAAAAAATCTACAGCACAAGTAGAGCAGCTGTTGATTGTTTGAAAGTTGATGTAAAGCTGTTTAGGCAGCTTTCTTTTGAACATAACAGGAGCACTGTTATTTTGAAAGCAAAGTTTAATGATACAGAAAAATATTCATATCATCGTTGAATTCCACTGTTCCCATTTTGCACTGGTGTTGGCAAAGCAAGAGAAGTGTTTCAGAGAAAGTAATTATACCAGCACGCTGGGCGCATTAAAAGGAAGACAAATTAACTAATGAGAGAAAATGACTGTAATGACAAAAGAGCAGAAATATTGGCTGATACATCTGTGAGTACTGCTTCTCCACAACTTGAGATGAATTAGGCAATTAGTCTCGCTGATAGTTTAAACAAGTTTGATCAAACACAGTTACAGATGGAAGCTGATGATTGCATTTTGATTAATGATACAGCTATTAATAGTTGAAAATCTGCTTTTCCTGATTTACTGTTAATTATGACAGCACTTGAATAATGTTTAACATACCCATTGAGGTAGTTTTCCCATTAAACTGCTAGACTTCCAGTTCCAGTATCTTTTTTTTTGTGTGGCCTTTTAATAAGCTCACATTGAAATCTACAACAAAAGGCAAGTACAAAGACTTCTGTTGGAATGACGGTAATTATTCCATCTCGATCATTTCTTAATTTTATTGCCCTGATCTATTTATTGATGTTCTCTCTCTTCTTCACAATCTTTGGTAAACAATGATTGCATTTACTCGGTTATTTTTGCATCTATGAAATTGACCTGACATTGACAAGTACTTCTGGGTCACTGGAACAAGTAAGTCTTCAAACTAGCAGTTATTTTCACACATTAGGGTTGATTGCTATGGTAGTTTGAATGTGAGGCTACATTAATTAGAGCTTGGAATGCCAGACTACAGTGAGTTTAGCCTCTGAGCTTTTCATTCTGTCCCATTCTTTTTCTGCACTCCTTTCCTGGAGGCGTTGACTTGTGCTGAAGTACAGGTTGAATATGTTCTGATACCTGGTTAACACTAAAAATAGCTATCAGCATTAGGTAGACTCTCTCCCTACTAAACATTCACACATATTTCACAATAAGATGGGAAAGGGAGGTCACTGGATAAAAGTGAAGAATGGAAACTATGATTTTGACTTTGCCTTAACTAGCTCAGTGATACTGAGTCCAATTATAATGTCATCGCTACTGCTTGGCTGAGAAATACTGAGGCCAAACATGTTGCTCCTGCTGCCAATATGTAGTATCCTCACTGCTGCCTTGTGTGAGATCAGTTAGATAAGCTCAGACCAAGGAATGAACCTGGGTTAGTATGGCTCAGCACCACATCACAAAGCACCCATAGGAGCCTTTGGAGTTTGAACACTGTCTCATTTCAATATTAGGAAAGTAATTTCTTTGGACACCTTGAGATATCTTATTTTCTCACCAATGTTCACCCCTCCCATTCTCCTCTCCTGAACACATTGGTTTCCTTTTTTCTTGTACAGGTGATAAGGTTCTACAGGCATCGATTGCCTGGTCAAAGTGGCCATTATTCATGGAAGAGCTTTAATGGTGAGCCTTAATGCTGTCTGAGCAATCAGCCTCACAATGCTCACCATTAAGGCTCTTCCATGAATAGTGGTGATTGGAGGTGCAGAACAACCCATTTAACTTAAGTCAGGCTCAGAAATATAGGGTAAAGCTGTTTCTGCCTCAGCAGTTCCTGTGGGGCCTAATTCCTGGCTGGTAAGGGAACAGAGTCCATCAGCAGAGAAACTCATGACAATACTAGTCACTAGGTGAGGGGTAAAAAGCATGATAATTGAGGAAGTTACAACACTAGGTGGCATCAGTATTCCATGAAAACATTAGGAATTACGTGTGAGCAAGTATTACTTGAACACATTAGGAATTCTATTGTGAATACCCCAAGGACACGATGAACCCTGTTTTGTTATGGATCAGGAAAGGTGGGCAAGCAGAGGCAAGAAACAAAATTGTTATCTGCGGACGATGGAAGGAGACGGTATTGAATGATGGAGATGTGGGGACGACTATACTGGAACTTTTACTATGGGATGGGGGGGGGTCAGGGAACATCTATACATAACTTACCCAGAAAATACCCAGGTAGGTGGAGCACACAATTGGAAGACTTTGTTGTGTGGAAAGAGCTGGCTTCTTGCTTCATTGAGAGAAATTGCCAATTTATTTCCCATTAATGGCGGATTATGGGAAGCTTTGTTTTATGGACTCATACACACTAAGAATTGGGTTGAGATTGTCCTCTTGAGCCCAATTCATGTCTGGTATAGGGGCAGCCAGCAGATGGAGGAGACTTTCAATCCATTTGGGAATCTCCCTTCAAACTGCTCCATATTGACCAAATTATCCCTACCCGCTTATATTATATCCTTAAGGTTTCATTGACTAAGTTACTAAAAACTGATTTATTAAAGATTTTTTTCACTAAACAAACCTCTTGTAGCTGAGCAGATCCTCTCTTGCTTTGGTAAATAGGATCAGTCTTGTTTTTCGGTTAGTTTGTTCTGTTGGGATGTAAATGATTCCATTCTGATAATACTCTGAGCTCCCCTGAAACCAGTGAATTTGATCACTTCAATCCATGGCTGTTTGTGGGACGCTGCTGTGCACAATTGGCTGCTGCGTTTTGCCAACAAAATACACAGTCAATTCTGCGAAGTGCTTTGAGACGTCTCGAAGATGTGATAAGGTACTGTATCAAATGTAAGGATTATTATTATTATTATCTATCAGTCAGGGCTGGATTTGGAAACCAGGTTTGCCAGATAGGACAGTATTCCCTGGGTCCCTCACAAGGCATTGCCCTTCACTGCATGTTTCTTAAAGATGATTGTAGCACAAGTGAAATGGGAAAACCTTCTGCAACTAATTTTGATTAAGAGCTTTATATTTTCTTTGGAATAATTTGACTTGCATCAACGAGGAACTGGCCATATTTATTTTTATTTTATTAAAAAAAGTTGTCCTGTGTTGAATATCAACATATTTATTAAAATGGAGAACATTCTTTCCGTGGTCTGAGGATTAAGTCATCTACAATCTCTGTAGGAAGCATGTACTGATTCAGTGATAAAAATACAATTTAAATTTCCTGTCTACTTGAAATGTATTCTGCATATTTACTGTACCTTAATCTCCTGCTTCCGATAGCTGAGGGCTGCCATGTTCCTACAGACTTAATGTCTGCAGTTGAGTTTCTAGCAGGCAGTCAGTACCTTTTTATTTCTTAATTTGTACAACAAACTGAAAAGGAATTTCACTGTCGTTACCCTTACTGTAAAATGGGTGATTGTGGCTGGTTACTAAAATGAGAGACACACACAAGGGCTTTTTAATTTGTTCTGTATTGAAAGTGCTGTGGGGCTCCAATGTGGCGCAAACGTGAAGAATACTTGAACCATAAAACTCTTCGCACTCTGCAAAGTGCTCTCAGCATTTTCATCGAGTTGTACAGTTTACTCAAAAGCTGGACTCAAACATTCCCAGGTAATACTCGTGTTTGCAGTTTAAAAGCGTATCTGTTTATATGTAAGAAGAACTGACAATTCCTTTGCCTCAACTCTCCTCCATCTACTGACTCATGTTGGGATCAGGTTCCATGGGTGCCTAATGAGTGCTGGCTGGTAGTTTGATGGGTGGGGAGAATGGTGGGCGGGGGGATAATAGAGGGGGAAAGAAGAGGTTATCACAGCTGAGCCCTGCGTTGTCCACACTTGCACTTAGCAAAAGGAATGACTGAATACCTGAACAGTGAGGTTGTTTTCCCCTTCTAGCTCAGGGGCAATGAAAGCAATTGCAATACCCTTACTGTCACTTGACTGAAATCAAATAAATCAGCACTGATCAAAGATTGAACCTGAGACTTTTCTGGCCTGAAATGCTCAGTACCACAGCAAGCAGTTCACTTACCCATTGAGCTAGAGGAACCCCAGATTATCTTACGTAAAGCAGGTCTTAACTTTCCTTGATATTCAGCCTTTGTTCACTGCCACTGTGAGCAGAGTCAGGTGGGACTGTTGGATTCCGGATGGATAGACTTAGATGAAAGGAAATTGCTTGTATTCTTGATTCCACAATATTAAACCTGTAATTCCATCCAGGGTATCCATTATTCTATTATTCATTTCTATTATTCTAATAAACCATCTGAACCCTCTTGATTAGATTCTATCCTGTAACTCAGTCCCGGGTGTATATTATTCTGTGTATATAAACCATCTAAAGCCTCAATTAGATCCCAGCCTGTAACTCACACTTGGGCTGTCTATTATTCTGTTTATGTAAGTAAGATGCAGATTTATATCTAGGCTGACTTAGAGAACTGAGAAACACAACAAGGCCAGACAGCAAATGGCATCCAGGAGTAATCAGGAACACCATGATGCTGTCCCAATCGGAAGGCGAGATTCTGAAAAGATGTAATCTAATGA